AACGGCACGAGATTTGCCTGAGGCACGATCAGTTCTGTGACGGCATCAATGACTGCGCACCGAGCATACGTGATGATCCACATTCACCCAAGATGTACCATGACGAAAATGAGATCATATGTAGTACGTTCCTCCTTTTTTTTCTTCGTTCGCTTGTTTCTTTCGTTTGCGTGGGGTGTTTTATCTTTTTGTCTTTTTTTTTTGGGGGGGGGGGGTCATTTTTGGGGGTAGGGGGATGTTTCATTACGGAGGAAAAGATTCAATGGGATATTTTGTATGATTGCATTTTGATCGGGGAAGGCAACAACGGGGAATTGGCGGCGAAGGGGGGGGGGGGGCAGGCGTTCCATCCATGCGCCTCTTAAGTAATGCAACTGAGCCAGGACCCATTTAACGTCAATTAGTGGGGGACAGGAGGAAATCCCGCCCCCCCCCCTACATTTTAAAGTGGGGGGCATCGTATCGTTTGTCCCCCAACACTTTTTTGTCCCCGAATAAAAATTGTAGCCTACATAACAATTCTATACCTCTGAATAGCTTATTCAGTGAATCCGAACTCGAAAATGATGTTTAAAGATGATCCTTTTCTCATAAAAATTGGTTTAAGTGGTCAGAAATTGCCTCAGATCGCACCACAGAGCGTCTAGAATCCAAAAGTTTTCGGAGGCCTTAAGCGGGCCCGGACCCTACGCCGTAAGGGCTTCGCGCTTGCATTAGTGCTAATGCCCCTCCCACTTTGAGAAGCGATTAACGCCTTTGAACTTAACCAACTCACTCTTTTTTTCTATCAGATTTCTTGAAACATATGATGGATCGATAGAGGAGACGTCTAGACTGCAAGAGCACCAGGACCAATCGAAAATCGCGAACGAATATCTGCGAGACAATTCACATACACTTGACTTAAATTTCACATATTCAGCTCTAGACTTGTGGTATGGAAGAAGAATCATAACATATTCGGTTGACTTGTATTGGCATAAATAATTATTTAATAATTATAAATGTAGGTTCTGTCTGTTAAAAAATACCGGGAAAGAGATTACAGAATTTACAAGAACTTTTGAAATATTTGTCTTTAAAATACAGATTCAGTTTTCAAGACGGACATATTTAACTGATCTAGTTGTTATGTCATTCAAGTTCTACTGTCTCAACATTGTTAGCCTATATACTTGGATCAAGAAAACGGGACTAGTAATTCCTTAAGTTTATGGTTAGGCCTATTTAAAGGATATCGCATGTCTGTGTTTTCTTTATGATCTTCATTTTATTATAGCTTTTATTATTATTATAGTTTTTTAAGTTTGTTTTGGTACTTCAATTGTTGCAATTTTTTGTGTGTGTATTGGCCACCGTATTGCAACCTATCTTTATGTTACTCCGAATAACCTGGAATGTATGGGCCTGCTGGTCATTATGTGCAGTTCAATTTCAGAAATAAAGGAGCGATCGTAGATTCAATTATTAGTTCAGATCTAATACATTATTAATTTGGTAACTGTGTTGCTCGCGTACTTTAAGTTATACGCGATTATGGGAATCAGAAACACTAAATATCTCACTCCCAGGTCCAGATGTGCGAACACGCACAAAAACAATGCCCGTGGTGAATATTTTTTTCCCCCAAACAATCATAATTATGGATCATGGTTGTTGAGCGCCCTCTACGATACTTATACGTACCCAGGTATATGCCATCCTGTCGAACTCTCCGATGGCTCACCCAGCTGGATAATGCCCTGGTTTTGAGATTGGAGAGTCTGAGTTCGAACCCATATTTTCCAATCTTCTTTTTTCTTCCATTTCCAATTTGCGGCTTTGGAGGGTTTTTTTGTAAAGGGAAAGAAAGTCCGAAAGTCCGAATTTTCATTAGATCTCATGTTTTAGGGAAGTTGTCCAAAACCTCACAGCGTACACCCCATTTGCTTATGTCGTTTTGGGAAAAAAATAGCGTCCGGGGAGGGGGGAGCCGGGGGGGGGAGCCCTCCTCCATTCCTATTATAAAGTTTCCTGTTAGGCCCGCGTAGACATTTCACTCTTCGAGTTCCCCCATTTCCTATCTTTTGTGCCATTTTTGTGCCCCCCCCCCTCCCTAGCCAAATCATGGGTGCGCCACTGTCCGTCACCCATTTTAAGTTTCTATCCCCAATGCTCTGGAACCATTTCCAAATAATGTTTTTTAAAAAAAAAACCTCTTTTGGTGGTGGTGGGGGTCTGATGTGGCGCAACCCTCTGCATAAGGTTGTTTGAAAACTGAATGTGCACAAAATAAAATGTGCTCCTGCTGTCATGTCTCATTGACTGTGACAGAAGTGAGCACAGCCCAACTCATACTCACAGCCCAACTCGGGCCACCACTTCACCAAGCAACATAAGACAAAACAAACTTTTTCATTGGTTCAAAGTTGGTCTTTACATTTGCAAATGCAAATCTCTCACTGGCATACCTTTTTATTACCAACTATGGTAATGAAGTGCAGCTGTGCAAGGCTGGAGAACTGAGTGGGGTGATCCAGCTAATTAGGTCAAAGACTTGGCAGCATGCCAGATTGCTGGCTTGTATTTTTGTATGTATATAATGAAACTAGGGCTAAGTGCAAATGAATTCATACACATACACATATGAACTCGCTGTGTATAAAGCATTTTATCATACACTGTTGATAAAATGAATTATTTTAAGGCAGAAACAGACCTGCCTCGCGAGCAGACTAGCTTCCAGTCCGTATGATTATACGAAAATGCAATTATAGTCGGTACTCGATTCGAAATTGATTTCGTTGGCCATTTTTTTTTCGTCGATGTCTTACTGGCAGTTTAGAGAAGGAATGTAATTTTGTTTTAGATGAAGCTCAAAAATAGCATGGGGAAAAAAAAACTTTACTAAAAGCTAATCACTAAAAAGGACAAATGCACGAGTTCAGGAAAGGTCCGTTAGGTCCCGATAACTTCTCGGATTATAGCGTAAAATCCCGAGAGTTAATAGATGGAGCGCTCGCGCCGCTTTTTTTCTTTTTAAATCCTGAAACTAAACGGATGGAACAAGGGGCCCCACCCCTAGTGATTGTTCACTGCATTTCTTTCTACTAATGCCACCCCTCCCCTATATCTCTTACCCTGCTCAGAAAATTGAGAGTACCTTCCCCAACCCCCAGATGAGTGCTACCAAGTACCATGCAGTGAAGTCACTGCTTTCCACATCTGCGTTGCTTTGTTTGTTCACTACGCATACCGGTACCGGTCCTGTGGCTAAATTAGTAATAAATGGCGTTTTACCAAGCCATTTAGGAATCAATTAAATCAGTGGTTGCAGAGGAAAAGTATTGGACTGTCATTTATTTCAATTAGGCGACAGGTGAATTTGGCAGTTACTGTTCGATTCAATCGAAACAAGTCAATGAATGAATTAATTACAGTTGGTTAATTGATCAGACAGGTTGGTCATTCTTCTTTTTCAGTCGTGACACATTATTTATATGGCCGATAAAAATGAAACCTATATCACTTAGCTAAGGGTAGGCCTCCGTTTGCCGAGAGCATGATCGACTAGCTGTGAGTGGATTGCATAAATTGCTTTTCTGCAGGTTCCGGAGGGCTGAAAAGAGTTGCGATTGGGGTATTATATTTTGGACCAATCATTTAAGGATTTGGGTAAGATAACCTCAAGTTGGTGGCGTTGGAGCGTGCTTGTTTTTAAATTAATTTCTGAAATTTTGAAGCATTTTGCGGTTAAAATAACGCAGAAACAAAATCAATTACTAGATGCTTGCCATTTAGTTTCTTTGTTATATACGCAGGCTTATCATAGGTACAATATTCTCCCAAAAAGACTGATGCATTTTAGGATGTACACGTGCCAGTGGCGCACCCAGGATTTGGCTGGGGGGGGGGGGGGGGGCTCACAATTTTTTTGTCAAAATTTTTTTTTGGGGGGGGGGGGGACTATTTTGACGTTGGTGGCGCCACTTACAACCCTATTATACTACTCGAAAATAGGCCACATTCATATCAACAAGGCCAAATCGTGGGACTAAAAAAAACAATGTGCCAAAGAAAGGAAAAATTGACCTGGGGGGGAGGGGGGGCTCAAGCCCCCCCCCCCCCCCGGGTGCGGCACTGACACGTGCTGACGTTGTGTAGTAGAGCTAGCAAATGACAAGATGTCTGTCTTATGCAGTTTTATTTCATAAATCTATGTATACAAAAGCTGACATAGTACTTTTTTAATAAAGGGATTCGTATAAACTCAAATTGGTTCAATTTGTTAGGTGTAATTTATACATAAAATTTCATAATTGTCGGCACCTTGAAACGTTCCCCGCCCTACGGAGATAACTCAAATCAATTTTTGTTCACTCATCTTAATGTCACACAGCTGTTCAAACAACAGAATTATGGACTAATTTCAGGAATGTATTTTGCTGCCAAATCACAGAAATGTTGTTATGTCGGTGGAAATATTTGCACATATTTCCCCCACATTTATGATGGATTTATCCAGCCTTTACAGTCTTTTAATTTGTACCTTCATTTCCACACTGTTCCCACTGTGTAATTAAAATTAATGCAAAGAAACAATTACAAAAATCAAGTGCTCTATATTCATAAGACGGAATTTTGCGTCGGGGTGATGTAAATCAAATTAGGTTTTGCCCTTCACCGACGTTTAAACACTGTATACTCGAATCCCACCGAGTGATTTTTTCCCAACTTTCACTCCGGAGGTATACAGTGATAATACGTCGCTGAAGGGCAAAAACCTAATTTTAACTGCTCTATATGTCCAGTTAACATTAAATGCACATATCAACATTTTCCATACAAATGCATAAAGCAAATTTGATTTAGTTTGTCACCATAATATAAAACATTTTTATTTAGTTAAAAACTAAAAATTAGATTTCAATGAAGTAAAGCAGCATAAAGAAAACACAATACTGAAGAAGAAAAAGCAAAACGCATGTGATTAAAAATAATAAAAATCTAAATGAAATTAAACATATATTATTAAACAACGTACATTGTACATAGAACTTTAAATCCAACACTTTATATATTTAATAATATATATTGTTTACTCTCCAAACAGATTAAAATATATAAAACGAGCATTATAACTCTGTGTAAATTATGATAGAAATCTTTATATATTGCTTTGTGGTTCAGCACTGCGTCGACTATTTTTCTTTTCTAAATTTATCGTTGAGATACTTTTAATTTACGCGGAAAAAAGCGAACGAGAACCTATAAGTGTCTTGCAATGATCAAAGGAAAACTGAATTATGCATGACTTGGCCCCAACACTCCTGGAAAAAAAAATACGCCCCAGCCATGGCCCAGTATTTTAGGCATGGCCTAGGATGGCATGTGAAATATGGGAATCGAGGGAAGGATCATGACCCTGGATGGCAGCATACATGTGGTCGTGTTTAGACACTTTGCAAATGTCACTGCATACTAATCTGAACTTTGTGAGCATCAGTTTTTGGAGTAGGTCATCTGGATTGGATGTGGACATTTCACACTGTTCGGCACAGCTGTAGGTGTGAATAGTTATCTTAATACTGAAAAACAAACAATTTTTTACGCATGGAACACATCCGAGGCAGGACATGTAAATATGGCATGGCACTCCAAAAATGGTGCCATTTATACAGCTGTCCATGGAATGCTATTTTGAAGTTGTTCAGCTTAGTGAGAACCAGAGATTACACACAGGCATTCAAATACAGATTATATTAATTTGAGTCACGACTGATGCATTAGTTTTATTTCAGATTTTTTGGGTTTTTTTTTTTTACTTGTGTGTGTATATATGAGGAATAAATCAATTTTTTTTCCTGATTGGTGAGTTTTGTTAGTTTCCCTATGCAACTTTTTGTTCATTGTATTTAAAGGGTATGCATCAGTGATCAGTGGTGGACAACTGAATGTCATGGTGTTTCTATTAAAATAGAAATAACTTGTGAATAGAGTACAAGCAAATCACAGTTATTAGTGACTACCATGTACTTTATTCCTTTGTTCTTTATATTCAATGGAGCAAGCCACATATCTTTTAGTGTTTTTTTTTTCTAACTCAGTCATTTCTTTTTGACTCACACTGTACAGCTGTTACTGCAAAGTGTCTCTATTATGATCCATTAGTGTAATGTGTACTCTGTGGAAGTTATCTTAAGAAAAATGATTATGACTGGAATTGGAAGACTTTGTTTCTCTGTTACAGTGTCACCTGATACTATCTGGTCATCTGATCAAGTCACCTGATTTTAAGAAAATGACTATCAGTTGAATTGGAAGACTTTGTTTCTCTGTTTCAGTGTCACCTGATACAATCTGGTCATCTGATCAAATCACCTGATTTAAGAAAAATAATTATGAGTTGATTTGGAAGACTTTGTTTCTAAGTTACAGTGTGATCTGGTACAATCTGGTCATGATCAAGTCACCTGATCATACCACCTGATCAGATCACCCTTGCATGTGACCTGATAACTGATAATAAGATCATGTGACAGGACTAAGATAGTCCTTCACAGGTAATTCCAAACATGGCTCGAATGGACCCATGCTGTCAGTCAATCAAGCAGTGTGCATGGACCAATTAGATCATGATTTTCGGTCAGGTGACTGTGTTTATCAGTCAAACCCAGTCACAAGTACTGTGAGGAATGTACTCTTACTAACGGTGGGTGGGGCTTACGGCCAAATGCAGACAACGGTCCATTGTGTGATCCAATCATGTGACCAGATCTCATCACCTGACAGCATGGTCAGCTGTCATGTGACCTAGCCATGCCTGCTCTGGCCTGGACGAGGGCAGCAAACTCTCCCTCTGGCGTTGCTAGCAGCTGCTCAGGAGTTCCCATCTCTGTGATCTCACCGTTGCTCATGACCAAGATGGTGTCGCAGTTCATGATGGTCTCAACTCGGTGCTGAAGAGGAAGACAAGAAAAAAAACCCCGATAAAACAGAAAATTTGTTATCATCTCTTCTTTACACGAACCAAGAAAAAGAAGTGATTGTTTTTTTTTCTTCAGGGAATTCACGATAAAAACATTGAAGGAAATGTACAACATTTGCTTTTGCTGCAATTTTCAGAAATAAATGGATTTGGAGGATTAGTACGTTATAGAAAATATTGTTAAACTGACTTGTTTCACTTTTGGGCTTGTAGATGCTGGAAAACCAAGAAAACCAACCATGTTCTTGTAGTCTGGTTCCCTGACCCCACTTAAGATGAACGGAGCAATTAAAACACATTGGGGAATTGCAAGGTCATAGAATAGTCTAGCACTGGCTTGTACCCCTTCACAGGTGTGTAATCAATTGCAAAGAAAAGTCATGAATAGTTTTTGAAAAAAGCAAGTTTTCTCCAACGCTGGTCAGCCGACCAGCGTTGGAAAAATACATTTTTTCTTGAAAATGTCAGCACACCAGGAGCCAAGATTTTAAAGGATGCTTTAGATTGTCAGTCCCTAACAATCCAGTAAGGTATTTCGTGATAATTTGATCATATCGTTTTTTGATGTTTGAAAATGTTGTATCTTCCCTTTAAACTGGTTATTGAAATTAAGAAAAAACAAAAAGTAATCTATGTGAAATGTAACAATTAATTATAAGCTATTGTGTGCTTGAAGGTTTCTAAGTATAAGCCTTATCGTCTGTAGCCAACTCAGATTTTGGAAGTTTTCTCTCCAAAAAGTGTGGAACTTACGGCTACAATCAAAACTGTTCGATCCTTGAATGCTTCCACCACTACCTGCTGCAGAGTCTTGTCCTGTAAAACAAATAGAACAAGAATATTTTTTATTGACCTCACCGATAAGTAGTTTTGTCAGAAGTCCATCACAGGTACATCACAATCATCACTAGTCACTCACAGTCTATCACGTTGAAAGTCCTCACAAGTCAATCAAAGACGAACTCACAAGTCAATCACAAGTCACCACAAGTCATTTAAAGTCCTCACAAGTCAATCACAGGTCCATAACAAGTCCTCACAAGTCAATCACAAGTCACCACAAGTCACCACAAGTCATTTAAAGTCCTCACAAGTCAATCACAGGTCCATAACAAGTCCTCACAAGTCAATCACAAGTCACCACAAGTCATTTAAAGTCCTCACAAGTCAATCACAGGTCCATAACAAGTCCTCACAAGTCAATCACAAGTCACCACAAGTCACCACAAGTCATTTAAAGTCCTCACAAGTCAATCACAGGTCCATAACAAGTCCTCACAAGTCAATCACAAGTCACCACAAGTCATTTAAAGTCCTCACAAGTCAATCACAGGTCCATAACAAGTCCTCACAAGTCAATCACAAGTCACCACAAGTCACCACAAGTCATTTAAAGTCCTCACAAGTCAATCACAGGTCCATAACAAGTCCTCACAAGTCAATCACAAGTCATCACAAGTCAATCCCAAGTAATCCAGCCTCAAGTCAAGACATTCCTTTGTTATTGTTCATCCACCGTTATTTGTGACTGGACTTGGGAATTAACTTGAAATTTACTTGTTACCAGACTTGTGATGGACTCGACTATGAGCTCCGTGCACCAAAAAGAGAGGGCGCTTTTTTACCACCTCTGAGAGCCCCGTGTGGTGGGGACACACCACGTACGCTTGTTCGGGCGCGTGTATGTTGGAAAACAATGCGTGACTAACTTTATTCTGAATGTGCACAAGGCTATGGCGTTCTTGAGTGAGCGTGAGGCATTGTCGGCAATGGCTTAGAAATTCTCTTTAGCCGGTCTCCTCCAACTCTCCCTTACATGCCGTTGAGGGGGTACTTAAGGAGAGGATAACACTGCCGATAAGAGAAGGTCACATGGACTGACATTCATGCTTTCTAGGTCAGGAAACTCAATGTTCACTCACAGCTATCAAATACTAACCATCTCAAGATCAACTGATGCTGTGGCTTCATCCATGATGAGGATGCGGGATTTGCGGAGGAAGGCTCGAGCAAGACAAAACAACTGCCGCTGCCCAACAGAGAAATTCTCACCCCCTTCAGACACCTGAAAATCTGCCACCACAAGAAAATGAGCACAAGAAAATACTAATGAACAGAGATTATTTGAGCATTAAGCATCATTTAAACACCAAACATCAATTTAACATCAAGCCCCATTTGGACATCTCAAACGAGTGTTAACTTTTCATCGCAACGTTTTTAGTTTTTTTATTATTTGAACATTTATGTACATTTATAACACGCGCCAGATGATGCTCGCGGAAGTTGCAGATTACACTGATTACACTTATATCTTGCTGCACCGATGCGCATCGTGCGGACCTTTACGAACAATCTGAACAGCAACTTCTGGGGTTTTAATTGTGGGTTGGGTTTCTTTTACGGCTACCCGCGTTTTACTTCAATAGGGTACCTGGTTCCCACACTACCGGTAAATGAACACCACTAATTTACACAAAGTTATTCAAAGTTAGATAGATAAAGGCACATCTATTATACATGTACAAGAGTTTTGAGAATAAGCCAGTTGTGGATTCTAAGTGCACATGTGCACAACATGATCTGAATTTTTATGGATAAACACAGCAGGATGAATACACTATGAGGTTCATATGTACATGGTTAACGAAGCTGCAGTTGCAATTATTTTTCACGCAATCAAACGCATGACCAAAAATGTTGTTAGGAAAAAAATGTTGAATCATACAAGATACCTTGAAACATTGAAACATGATGCTGTCTAGTGTCTAAAAAACATTGAACAAGAATTGTTGGTTAATTTTGTTGGTACTCGCTATGATTTTGCATGCATACAGTGACTTGCAAAAAGAAAAACAGTAATTTTAAAAAGGGAAAACATGAAATATTGATGTGCACCCCTGCAGTTACTACCAAACTGGCTGAATGTCTTCCTCTAATTTTGTTTCACCAACCTAATCCACCTAGGTCCGACACCAATCCTTTGACCTGGGCTATCTGCAGTGCCTCCCACAAATCCCCATCTGCCATCTTGCCAGTTGGGTCCAGGTTTTTCCTTCATAAAAATTTGATGAAAAAAAAACCAAACAAACATAAATTGATTCAACTAATCTTAATGTGAATATCCACCCTGTTTTTGACATGTTCTTGCAAAACATCCAACAAAACTGCAAGGGTATGAAAAATGTGTTAGTTGTTGATTCTGAAAAAAAAAGGAGTATTGCAATTTGACATTCCATTGCTACAATATACATGTACACGTTCAAAGCCACATCTTACAGGCATGTAGTAACAGTTGTTGAGGCCTTTATTTGGTAATTTCGAAGCGTATTCTGGAAAGAAAAGATTCATCAACCAAAGCTGAGCTGCTGTACGACGTCCATACAGAACACAGGTCACAAAGTGTTCTACAACATGATAGAGGCTCAAAATTATTTGGTACATTTCGAAGCGTATTCTGGAAAGAAAAAATTCATCAACCAAAGCTGAGCTGCTGAACAACGTCCATACAGAACACAGGTCACAAAGAGTTCTACAACATGATTGAGGCTCAAAATTGTTTGGAGATGTTCGTCAACTTCTGAAAAGTCTCCATTTCACAATGATGAAGGGCTCGTCCTTGCAATAGTGGCAGGGTAAACGTCGAAAGTGTTCTACAACTCTTTGAAAAAGATCAGGTACGATCTTATTACCCACAAAAAGTCAACTTGGTTATGCAATTACCCTTTTGCACGACCATTATGAGTGAGGAATCCAAAGAAGAACTGGCATGGAAGTTGCACTATGGTTGGCAGGGGTGTGAGTGACCACTGATAAAAATAGCTGAAAACAACTGGAAAAGGTGTAAAAAAGCTGAACTTTGGAAATCTCCTATACTTTTGTACACAGCAAGTGAGGGAAAAAAGCTGAAATCCCAAACAAAAAAAAGCTGAAATCAGCTTTAAAGCTGAGATTTCACACCCCTGGGTTGGAGAAACAATAGCGAGACTAATGCTCTTCTTAACCATGCTGACAAAAAAGTTGATAGTGCCGATAAAGTAAATACACGGCCAAGTTTAAACGACAAAGGGGAAAAAAATTCGCACCGATGCCTGAAAGGCAATGTTGCACTGTGTGAAATGGATGGTCAAAAGAAGTATGAAGACCAATCCCGTTTCCGTGTACAAACCGATTGGGTAGGTGTTAATGAGGAGGAGAGCTTGGAAATGGTCTTGAAAAGTTCTTAAAGGGTGGTCATGAAGCCAAACATAGCATTGCAAAATCACAAAATGAAACTCAGCTTGCCATAGCATATGGAACTAGTGTAAGAAACCATCAGGAAGGGAATGACATGAAACCGAGGGAAGCTGGAGAGCTCACAAAAAGAAGGATCATGTTTTAATCAAAGACGATTGTTTCAATCACGTTGAAAAGACAGGGACTATGGGCTCTGTGCGCAAACAAAAGAGGGCACCCTTTTACCTAGCAACGACGTCCCATGGGTGGGACACTACATTGCGCCGGTTGACGTGCGCACCATTCCTTGTGTGCGACGCACGTGCACCAGGGGATTTGTAGTATGTACATGTACACGCAGTGGCCGCGCCTCGCCGCAGCAAAACATTGCAGTCAGGCAAGACGGCGTCATCCGGTCACCCCCAACTGAACTTTCATTGCCGGTGAGGGGGTACTTGAGAATGGAGCGGATAGCGATCATCTGTGGTCCACGACCAGAAAGCAGCTGCCAGTTCAATACATTGGCTATTTACAAAATACCGGGATACATCAATTTGTAACAACTCTGCATCATGAAGTCTCAGTATCTTGAGGATAATTCCATGGCAAGGTTATAAAATTTCAGATAAGGCTTTATGCACCTTCAGAATGAGGCTTCACGCAATGCCACAATCGGTTGTGGCCCTACCGCGTACCGGTAGCTTCAACAGAGCTGCAACAAGTGGGTAGAATTCTGCTGTTCAATGCATGTTCAGTCCAAACAAACAGTTCGACCATATTCCATTGAAAATTGACTGGAACGCATGTTCTTGGATTTCTGAATTGGACAGGCAGATTTCCTGACAGAATATCTTATGTATTTTCATCTTTTTAAACACCCTCAAAAAAGAGGTTGCTGTTGTGCAATTTTTTTTCTCCAGCAAAATACATGGTTCTAAAACTCTGTATTTTTTAGACCCTTTTTTTTTAAAAATTCATGGTGGCCGATCTGCCCGCTCATACCTGATTGTTCCAGTAAACAGAACCGGGTCCTGAGGAATGATTGACATCTGTTGACGCAGGGCGCTTAGAGACACATGAGAAACATCCAGTCCATCAATAATAAGGGATCCTGGAGAAGGCAAGTGAAGCAGCCATTAAATTGATAGGGTACTTACATGGGGTAAGTTCCATTACAGCTTGCAAGTACAGCTTGTGGTCACATTGTGGGAACACAGTAACTCTATGATTATTCATAAGATGGAATTTGCATTGGGGTGATGTAACTCCAAGTTGGGGTTTAGTACGCTTGTAATGCAGGTCCCACCCAAGTGATTTTTTTACTCACAATCACTCGGGAAGTTTCATCGCAGTGAAAATGACCCTAATGGCAAAAGATCTCCCATTTTGACCTGTATTCAGGGGGTAAATAACACGCTCAGATTTGCCTACTGATGATCCATGTGCATGCTTACCCTCATGAGTGTCAATCAGCTGAAGCAGAGCCAGAGTCAGCGAGGATTTTCCACTCCCTGTCCTTCCACAGATTCCAATCTTGAGAAACAAATGGGAATTGCACAGAATTAACCCAGCCATACTGGCAATATCTCATTCTTTCTTTTTTGAAAGCAACATCTTGCTTTCTTTTTTGAAAGGGGAGGGGGGAGGATGCCTTTCTTTGCATTTTGTTATTTTATATCATGAGATTTGAAGATTTGCATGGTGGAAAGATACTAAGACAAGATAAGTTTGCAGTAGCACCATGTGAATAAATCTCTTTTGTGAGTATCTGTGGTTCTGAAAGGAACCAGAGGGACTCAACGTTTTGAAAAGTATGCTCTGCCCGTCGTCAGGAGAATGAGGGATTCCAACGATGATGCGATGTTATAAGGATGGGTGCAGTGAGACGTGAACTTAGGTTCAGTTCTCGCCTATGGGTCACCGATACCCTGAGCTCCTTCCCCTTTGCCCCCTCACTGTGTACTAATACGTTCCAGTAAACCAGCATCCTTCAGTCAACTTGCATCCTTCTCAGCTTCACCGGTTTCGAGCTTCACCAGTTTGCATCCTTCTCACGCCTCACTGCACCCATCCTTATAACATCGCATCATCGTTGGAATCCCTCATTCTCCTGACGACGGGCAGAGCATACTGTTCGAAACGTTGAGTCCCTCTGGTTCTTTTCAGAACCACACATACTCACAACAGAGATTTATTCACATGGTGCTACGCCAAACTTATCTTGTCTTAGCATTTGATATCAGTGAAGTTAAATGACAGTGGCTGCAGGTAGGGGTTAAGTCCTCGTTGCGCCTCAAAGGGCCCTAAAAGTCTCTTTTCCACCACAATCTGCCCAAGCACTATATATGGTGTTGTGAATCATCAGGGAATAATACAATGTAGTGCTAATACATGCACATGTACAGGGTGAGTAAAAACAACGCACCCCAAAAGGTAAGACTCATTTCTGAGTGCGTGTTCTTTCAGTAAAACGAAAACAATTCTCATAGGAAAATGCATGTATAATTGTTTTCGTTTGGCTGAAAGAACACGTACCTTTTTGTGATCCACGGAATGGTGTTCAAAAAGCTCTAACTTAAAAAGTCTGTGAGTGATTTGAATGATTCTTATACTAAAAGAAAGCTCATTGATCGGGCGTTCTTATCCTAGATTGTGAGAGTGCTACAGGCAAAACTTCATTTAATTGGTCCTACCATTTGGGATGCATTTTTATTGGTCACCGTGTATTACCGGTTTAAGTCCCCACATAAAAATATGAAGAAATTCGTTTTCTATTTGTGTCAAAATAACAGATTAAAAATAATCCACTCCTTAAAAAACTTTCTTGAACATTAAAGATGCTCATAAAAAAATAATAAAAACCTAGATTTTTCTCCTGATGAATTTCCAATTTTACGTTAACACAGAAATTGACTTTATGTGTTTTGTTTTGATGAAAACAAAACCTTTTGTCCAATTCTGTAAAAAAGGCCTTATTTTGCACACAAATGAACCTATCCTGCGAGAACCAAATTATTGTCAGGCCACAGATAATTTGAATTTTGTACAAAAATATCTAAATAAACTTTTCTTTTGATTTTTCATTCAAACTGAATAACCTGTATATCGCTTGAAAAATAGCAACTCAAAAAAAATTTATGATTTCTGTTTTAGCCTCTGAAGAAGAACTTGCTAAGTTCGCAACGTCAGGCCACATTAATTTTAAGATTAAAAAAAAAATTTAGTCGGACTCGAAAAGCACAGGGGTAGGAATCTGTAAGTCATGAATAAGTCCAATTTGGATTGTGACGATTACGACGATTACATTGGCACCACCTATAGTAAAGATGATCCTAACTATAGAGATAGTCACAGGTCAACAATAATTTCAATCACAACTCATATCCCATATAAGAGGCAATGAACAGTGACAAACGAATGCATTTGTCCATGTTCATTGGACTAGCCTGCAACTTATATTGAGACTGGATGGCTAGTGATTGACTTGTGAAGGACGCATAATGGACTTCTGATTAACTGAACTACTCTGGTTAATATGGCAGTGTTTTCGTGGTTGCATTTTAGTTCACCCATTATGACTTTGTAAATGAATTTCTATAAGCACAGCCAATTACTTGCGTAGTTTCGTTTACGTTTCAACTAGTTTCACTAGTCTTCATCCTCAAGCGGCCAGACCACCATCTAATGGCCGCAACAGGAAACAGCGCCACCAACTGACTGGTGGTGCTTCGTTCTGAGGATGACTAGTGAAACTAGTCGAAACGTAAACGAAACTATGTACGTAATTGGCTGTGTTTACATAAAATTCATTTACAAAGTTGAAATTTTACCAGCCTGATGAACTTCTTTTAAGATAACCCATTATGGTTCCGTGCAAAAGTACCCCCTCAACGGTAAGGGAGGGAGAGTTGGGGGAGACCACTTGGAGTGACATTGGAACGCATTACTGACGATGCCCGACACTCACGCAGACGCTGTGGCTTTATGCACATTCAGTCTAAAATTCGTCTTCTTTCGTTTGAGGCAGCAGAAAGTCAAGCTATTCCGCCCAGTTGTCTAAGCCATGTTCTTGTCTGTTCGCTGACAATGTCTAAAATTAGTCAAGTGTGCTTGCACTGTGTGTCCCGTCCATGGAGCTCTCAAAAGTGGTAAAAAGGCACCATCTCTTGTTCGTGCATTAAGCCCACAGTCTACCACCCCCAAAAGCCGCCCCGCCTATTACTCCCTGTACCTCCTTAAACCCCCTGAGCTCTCAATTGTTTAACGAATTCTTCAGTGAATAAATGCAATGTATTATTACACTGTAAAATCTACAAACTTATAAAGTAATACAAGTACTGCAACAAACTCTTATGTTTATTCCTTTTCATGCCCCCCCCCCCCCCCCCCCCCCCCCCCCCCCCCCCCCCCCCCCCCCGCACCTCTTTCTTAACAGAGAACTCTCCTCACTTTTTCTTACCTTTTTTCCTGGTTCAATACGCAGATCAATTTTATTCAGGACTGGCTGCAGGGTGATGTCATAGCGTGCTGAAAGCTGATTGAACTCTATCCCTCCACTAGAAGGCCAATCACTGGCTGGTTCTATGCCTGAGGTTACATGAGAATGTAAGGCAAACAAAAAATACCCCAAACATTTAATAAAATGGAGTAAAACAAAAACTTAGAACTTTCTTTGCCAATTCGTGGTTGGAATTTTGGCCAACAATGGAATGGCAATGTTCCACAAATAAAGAATAGTTGTTAATGTTTCTAAACACATCAGTGGAGGGCTGAAAATACAAAATAAGCACCAAAACCTACCAAAGACTTAACAAAAAAGCCTCACTCCTACACAATCAGGTGGTTAATCTGTAATCTCTGGCAAATTCTGTTGCCACCAGTGGCTTCAATTTATGCCCTTGTGGCAGTCCATACAAAATGGCGATCACTGCTTACATCGAAAGAAAGGTCTATACTTCTCACTCTTTGAAGACAGGTTTAATTGTCTTTGACATGCCCGAATATTTCAAAAGTTTCTTTGATTTCGAGATGACATCTTAGCTTGCTGTTTGGCACATTTGTAAGCCGATACATCAGCTGTTTAGGTTAGTAAAAAGTCTCACTAAAATGACATAAGTATATAATTTTGGTTGGAAATATTAAAACTGTTGTCATTTCCTTCTATATTTCACTTGCCACAAAATAAATAAAGCCAAAAAAATTATATAAAGCAAAAAGGTCATGATAAGATTTTCTAGATTCTGTTTCATTTCCAGGATTCTTTCGGTGAGTAATATCAATACTAACATTTTGCGACAGTCCTTCATTAACCCTGCCAGGTGCAACAGAGTACAGCAGGTGTACAAGTCTGTGGGAATTGGCCAGTCAACCCAAGCATATAAACTGCCATTTCTGAGACACTGAGAGATAGTCCCATAGTAAAGGTATAGTCCATCATTTGTAATTTGTGCATTTTGTTCGTTTGAAGCAACAATAGTGCTCAAATCTAAAGAAGGGTAATGAACAACTAACCTGAAGTTTCAGCTCAGCTCCAGCTGTATATTCCGAGAAAAACAGCATTTTAGGATCTCAATTTCAAATCAAAAATTGCTGAATCATGTTTTGAATTGGGCCTGAATTCAGCGTCCCAAACAAGTTCTCACTGAACCGATTGCAGCTACGCGATGTCGCGCACTGATCCAACGCATTATAGCAACCGCGCGCGTGTGTGCGTCGTGTCAATGCTTGCGCGCGCTTCGCCAAATAACAAGACGAACTACTAATTTAAATTTCCTACGGTGCGTCTTAAGAAGCACCGTTGGAAAGGCCTTCTTTTGTTGATTTCCTCAAAATGACAGCTTGCCAGAAAGAATAATTTCACAGGGAGTTTAGTCCCCTTACTATCTTTCAACCAAGTATGTTTTTCAACAATAATTACGCCAGTTACTTTTTGGATAGCTGCAAATGATGGACTATGGCTTTAAATAATGCCACTGTTGGTCCTGTTGTGGCTGGCAGCCTCAAACTCTGATGCTGTTTGACCAATAGGATAGTTGACCTGTTGGACACTGTTATCATGGCGTAAATCCTGGGGGGGGGGGGGGGTGACGGGGGGGGGGGGAAGGATATATGCCCCACTATTAACTGTGGGATTGCCCATTGGATCATTTCCCCAGATTTTTGTTGTGATAAACCAAAAATGATCAATTTGAGGTTATCTTTTAAATCTCCAATGGTCCAATTCATTAAATAGTTTTGGAAAATGGAGAACATTACAAAAGCTTACAATGCACTGTTTGTAAGGTCAAGTGCGCAACCCTTACATTTGTATCATGAACAGCACCCCCTAGTGTAACGTGGGTGTCCAGCCCCCCTCCCCCCCAACCTATAATTCAAATTTCCATGGCTGGGCAGTTTTGGGATTTTGCCATATGGCCATCCCCCATTCCCCCCCCCTCCCACTCGCGGACACGGATTTACGCCACTGATTGTTACACTGGCAGGACTATTCCCTTTGACAAGTGTTGTTTGTTGTTGCCTTTGGCAGGGATTTGTTTTGCCAAAATACCCCGGAGGGCTAGTTAATGACACCACAAACCTTGATATTTCTCCGTTGGAAGGCAAGTGTAATGCTCAATTCTCTCCACGGCGTTCATTCGGATCTCCAGCTCTCCGCAGAACTTTGCCAAGTAGCCTATCACACTGGAATTCTGCAAAATAAAAACCAGAAGATTGGAGTAGAAGAATGTCTTGAGCATTTCTAGAAATGCAAACTGTATTTCAGTGATAACACTCTAATGTTTGAATGTTTTTGTATGGGATTAATTATACTTATTAGATGGAATTAAAATAAAGCACTATGATGTTGGGGATGATACATCCTTGGCTGTTTCTAGGGGGGAGGATCCATTTTGCGCCGCTTCACCGCTGGAGAACACTTGACTGGATAGTGGTGTGTATCTACATACTGACTCAAGGATTTCAGTCTGGCATACATTTCAAGTACAATAGCATAAAAAAAAACAATGAAATGAGTTTTGGCTTTTTTTGCGTGTCTCTAATACACAAAGGAACCACCTGAATTATTGCGGGGTAGCAAATAATACTAAAGTTGTAATTAATATCTATCAAAACTATACATGGGCAGATTACTCAGTTCAATGTCTTTTTCAAAGTTGAAAAACGTTTGTATTTCTACAAAAGAAGAAACTTTAATAATAAAAACGTCATTTTTAAGGGTGAACACTAGCATCGGGAATGCAACTTTGTGCGCAATGCCATTGGAGCATCAGGTTGGCGTAGCAGTACTTTCCCCGCCTTCCACCGCTGTGACCCGGGTTCGTTTCCTGCCTGGCCCACATGTGGATTGGTTTTCAGTCCCTACCTGATTCCATGGGTTTTCCCCAGAATATTCTGCTGGGCTTTTCCTCCCACCTCTAAAACTGCAATTTCTCTTCATTGTCTCCTGTCTACAGGTTTCTTCAGGCTTGTGAGCTACAGTGCCTAGGGCGCTTTTGAGGAATCCTTGGTTTCATTACCAGAAATAAAATAATATTAATAATTATAACAATTTCTCCTTTTATAAAAAAATGTAAATGTGTGCGTTGTTTATGAGAAAACTGCCATACCTTTACAGCTATCGCAATGGCCAGACCAACTAGGCTTGCCGACACTCCATCAAAGGAGGATGCCAGCAAAGCTGCAACACCAGCAGCCAAGACCATACAAGTTCCCAAAATGTCCTATCGAGAAAAGAACCGAAACAGGTCGGCCCGTAAATGTGTGGGGCCAAACGTGTGACATGCTTGTGTCCCTGCTACACTTGGCCTGTGTGATTTGCCATGCAAGTGTCATTAAAATTGACTTCAAACTATTTGTTATCTGTTTGGCAGGTCATTTGCTTTCTACAGTTTCTTTTGGAGACAGGGCTGTGCATCGGAACCTGGTACCCGATTCCCCGACAGTTGATGTCAGAAACCGGTTCCAGATTACGGAATCCGGTACCCGTAACCAACTTTATAAATTAATAACAAATTGAGTTTCTCTTTTTTTGTCAAGTAAACCAATAAAATATTTCAATAAAATTCATATCTGTGTCTCGGATGGTTTTATTTTATTGAGACAATTCTTGTTTCATTAAAACAATCAGCGTTCATGAGTCCCAGAAGGACGATAAATGTTGACGTCACTAGTTTCGCAAAAGTGACAAAAAAGTTAATGCCGAGTAAAAGCTCTCTCAGCATTTATTACAGCTTGGCACCGCCGGCTCATTGACATCAACAGATTGGCAAGGATCTGATGAAATATATACCAAATCCACTGAAGAATTTGGAACAACTCCGCTTGACTCCGTGGCCACACTTGGTGATGGAGTTGCCTTTTCAGTTCGTTCCAAAAAATTCTCATTGCACGGAGTCCACCCATGGACGTAAATGGAGTCCACTTCCGATACACGTATTATGCATGACGCATGCAGGTGTACTGTGCAGCCGTCACGTGCCTTGCGTATTTCTCATCTTGGGAAATTCCCTTGACATGAGCATCATATGTAACAGGGACACGGGAGAAAAAGCGCGCAGTTGAAATACAGCACTGGTTAATTACTTGGCTATAGCTAGTGGTACTACACATGTCTATGGGAAGTGGCTTCAACTGCTTCCACAGGTGTATGTGTTTGCAAGCCATATCCAAAGAATATGGACCAGGCCATCGTATTTTGAAGAACGTTTGAAACAGGGCACTAGGATATAAATGTGTGCTTGGCTGGTTTTAAACACTATGCTTAAGACCGGTTTGGAGTCTGGATGCTGATAATGACCCGAGACAAAAGTCAGCGTCCAAACTCCAAACTGTCTCAAACATAGTGTTTAGTACCAGCCAAGTACACATTTATTCCCATTCATACATACTGATCGAAACTGATTTTATAGATGTCAAGAATACAATGGACTCACTTACCAGCCAGATGTTGAGCCACAGGTTACTTGTCTGTAGGTAAAGGTATGCTGTGCAGTTCTCATTGACCTTGGAGAGAAGACTAGCCAGGAAATGTTTTTGGTAGCTTTGAAAGAAAAGAAAAGAAAAAACTTTTAGGCCAAACAAAGAAGAGCCTCCGGTTTCTGGTCTCCATGCATGCGCATCACCGTAGCCGTGCGTGTCGGCAAAAATAAAACTTTTTTTTTTTCAATGTAAGATGATGTCTCAAAACCGCCAAACTCACTGGTTTGACTGGAATCCTGCTGCTGCACAACTTTAATGTGTTTTAGATGGGGTTACGATCGAGTATGTGGCCTCTTGTTCTCCCATATATTTTGCACTTAATTTGGTCGGGCACCGTTTGCAGACGGTGATGTAATTTTGTAATTGTGCGTCTGGAAGCCAGACTGAGGGAGCGATGGTCGTGTATCTGGAACCTGTAAACACTTTTTAATTAGCGCAAATGTAAGGGAGCAGACTAATGACCAGCCCGCAGCAGCTCATGCACGAGGTCGATGTCGCTGTATGGTCTGACATTACCGCTTTCTCTGATTGTTGTCTTGAATTTCCCGAAGAAAGAAACCAGAGACTTTTTTTTGGTGCCCTGTATCTTGAATCAGTGGGAGAATATAGGTTACTTTAGCACAACATGTCCAGAAATCATTCTGGCTTTTGTTTCTACTTCCATTCTGAATGCACGAGGCATTCACACAGAAATAGTTGCATCATTTTGGTACAAGACTGTACATAAATATAGATTTGTGCCCAAGTCACATTTCATCATAAGTGATAAGAAATATAAAGCATTGTTGGCAATTTAGGAAAATCCAAGGAATGCAATGACTGCAGTAACATGCACACGAACAAGTACGGTAATTAAAGAGGTCAAACTCTTGTTAAGTCTTGAATAAAAAGAAAGGACTGGTACCAGTCTATTCATCCCTTCATTATATTTAGACACATGGTTTTTTTTTTGTAATCCTCCGCTTCATCTCTGTCTTAAGCTAGCTAACTTGGGCGATTGTTGCCATGATCTGCTGAAAGAGCATTAAATCCTGTACTTTATGAAGCCAAAGTATTTTCTTTTGGTTAACACATGAATAATTCATGAATGATTCTGCTGCGCATGCTTGAGTTGAAACCAAAGCTGAGATGAAGGTAAGGTTTTAAAAACGCCACCAATTACAAATAAACACTTATGCAGACTCTTCGGATTGATTTTGATTGATCAATTGTGCTTCACACATCGCCTCTTGTCAAACTAACAGTTGTCTTCTTATCCGCTCTGTTCACAAGTACCCCCTCACCGGCAAAGAAAGTTCAGTTGGGGGTAACTGGACAACGCCATCATGCCTGACTGCAATATTTTGCCACGGCGAAGCGCGGCCACTGCGTCTATTATACATACTACAAATCCCCTGGTGTACGAGCGTCACACACAAGGAACGGTGCGCGCGCGTCGACCAGCGAAACGTAGTATCCCGCCCATTGCAGTTTGCTAGGTAAAAGGGCGCCCTCTTTTGTTGATGCACGGAGCCCATACAGCTCTAGCTCTGCTAATGCAGCCACTACACCAATATTAAACTGATTTTCCTGGGTCACCACAAATTAATAGTTTAAGAGTGGCTCAAAGTGCATGCCCTTCTTTTCAGGATTATGGGTATTTCCATTAAAAAAACAAAAACATGCAAGTTTAATACATTCTTTTTGTTATTTTTTGCAGCTACTTTCTGTGTATTTTTTTGGTTCTGTATCACTGTCTGTATTTTGTTTGAGGTCAAATAAATAAATAATATTAATAATATAGACCCAGATAAAAACAATTGAGAAAGGTTTACTTCATGTGTCAATTGTTCACTGACAAGACTCTACAGTCAGGCTGAATGACTGCACCTGTCATTATCTTCAAGCAAAGTTGATTCCTTGATCCTGATTGGTCGATCCGTGGCAACAACAGTGTGATATTATACCTAATCGCACGGTCCGTATCGCACTCTGCGTATTGAGCTATTCCATGATGCACGTACCATTCCTCCTGCACGCAGTTGTAATAGAACAACTGCTGAATGGTTCGTGTACCGCGTACGTGTTCCAGCTTTACTGTACGCCAAGTTTGCCTGAAGACAACTTTGTTATCCCGCTCGCACTCGCGGAACACGGAAAATGTAGTGCATCTTGCACCCACATACTTCGACCTCGTTGTATGTGGGACACAGATGTGATACATTACTTCATGTTCCACTCGTGTCCACGGGACAAATAATAATCTCTCAATGACTTGCAGATGTAGTTGCTTCTGATGACAGTTTCCAACATCAAACTTAGTTCCAATCTTTGGAATGATTTAGTTCCGCGCAAATCTGGAACCCAAGTCTTAAATAGGTGTGACTTACCCATATGCTCTGATTGTTGGAAGACCATCCAGGGTCTGTGTGAAATATGCTAGTACTGGGGATCTGGATATGCTTTCCATTCTCTTGATTTCTCTAACAAAAGAAAGCAAACAAATATAGGACACAATACATTGAGACACAGAAAATACATTAATACACTGAAAGACTCAGAGAGAAATTAAAGATAGACAAACAAACCAACATTTACAGGAACAGCTGAACAAGCAGCCTGACAGACAAATAAACAAACATGGCTAAATGTAGATTGAAAGAGCTGGATGGAGAGTGATGATGATACCATAAATAAGTAATTTGGGTGATTCCCAATACAGTGCGCCACTTAATTAGCGGTTTCAACGGAGAGTGCATTTTCGGAGACGGTCGACACATTCGCAGCGCAGTCAGTAGTTTGGTAAGTGTATGATTCATGTATCACAGCAAGTCGGCCATGTTTTTGTCGACCGTAAACTTGAAAAATTGACTCGGTGGTTTGCAGGTATGTTGTTTGCAGGTATGTTGTTTGCAGGACTTGTGATGGGTCTGCCATTTGACCAGCAAAGGCCATAACGACAACTCTGTAGTTAGTCTTTGTAGTTAGTCTCTGATCCAAGGAAACAGAAGTTGTAGTCAGTCTTTGATCCATGGAACCAGAAGTAACAGTTAGTCTTAGAGACAAGGGACTAGGAGCAGAAGCAGGAGATGGAACCCGTTACCTTGAGGAAGCCAGAAAGAACCTGACTATGAGGAAATGGATGATTGCTAGAGGTATGATGGCTATCAGGTACGCTGGCGCTACGATGCTATCCAAAATGATGAAGAACAGTCCCTCAATCGCGTTGAATAAAACCGCATCCAGATTTTGAAAAAGATACTGTGAAGAAAAAGTACATATTATTATCTTACCTGTCTTTTTCATTTTGCTGATCATTATGATATTGGAAAATTAAAGGGATGCTTAACTCTTTCGCTACGGCAAGCTGCTGACAGCAGCACACACAAATTGTACAGGTCGTACGGAAAGCCGCTGGCAGCGGCTCGGTGACGCCGCTGTGAATAAACAGGGTATCCCCATGACGTGGGCCATATCTACATAATTTATATCGTATAACCTCTGACCCTAGTTTGAGCCGCTGCCAGCGGCTCTCCGTCTGGCCGGGGTGCGCTGCAGGTTATTGTGAGCAGTTTGTTTACGGAGATACATTTAAAGATAGCAGCGCCCACATCGACGCTCGGCGGAATTTCCAGCGATTTATTACGTCCAGTTGGGACAAAATGGTTACATTCATGCAACTTAAAAAAGGAAGGGCAGCAAGTTTGCCATTAATCTTGAATAACAGTAAACTTTGGCTTTTTTTGTTCATGTCTAAGTTAGCAAAATTAACTGTTGACCCAACACAAGGGAGTGAGCGAGAAAAGCCAACAAATTACAGGTCCTTCACGGGGCAAAGGTTCTTTCCAGCCTCACTACAAACTAATTCGGTAAGGAGACATGTTTCCTCTAGGAATACGTACTTGGTCTATGCTGTTTGTATCACTCGAAAATCGATTCAGAATTCGGCCAGTTGGAGTCGTATCAAAAAACCTGCAGGAAAAAAATTCAGATGGGTATGTAAGAACAAAAAAATTCTGTGCGACCCATAGAAATTTACATAAAATATAGGCAAACAAGAACTAAGCAATACAAATATATAAGGTCATGAGCCACTGAGTTGTAAATACAAATGAATTTTAAAATACCATAACATTTTGACAGTGAATATATATTTCTTATCACGTCTTACAATGTCCAGAGATCACATCAGTTCTTTAAAAGATTTCTCCTGAAAAAAAAGGAGCCTTACTGTATTTGATTTGATAAAAAAATCTCAAGTAATCCAGTTTGTTTTGCGTGGGTTTCTCATTTGTGCAATTTGTATATCTTAACTTTGCAATACAATCACATCGATTGTAGTTAAGTCAGTGCATAAGGCACAAAAAATACTTCTGCTTCCGAGTACATGGTATTCGAAAATAGGGTAGCTAGGTAGGTTTTTTTATTTTTTATTTTTTTGCAAATTTTTTTGTGGACGATCATATCGTGTAGTCAAGGGTTAAAGGTAGTCATCGATGGTCTTGGGTGTTTTTTCCCCCTCATTTTTCCCATAAAAACATTAGGGTAGAATAGGGCAGGTAGGGAAACCAGGTTTTTTGGGGCTTAAGCTATTTACCTCAATGGAAGATGTATAACATTATTCAGAAGTTTTTGGAAGAGATTCCTGGTTGCAAAGTATGCAGCACTGGTGCGGGCGACATCAGATATGATGACAGCTGTCACACAGCCAGCTGACCAGGCAGTATATCCCATGATGTAATAGCTTGTCTGAGCAGGTACAGTAGTCTGTAAAATACCCCCCAAAAATAAAAAAAATGTATGAGGCTATAGATCTGCTTTTCTCAATAGAGAGATTCCATCTTTACAGATATATGTCATGTATGTATGCATACGTTTTGCTTTTCGTAACCGTTATCGAGCATTCCATTATTTTGTACGCATATGCTTAGTTATCATGACTGTTGCTATTAAATCCAAATGACAGCATCCGATGAAAGTCTCATATATCTGCAGCTAATCCTGCTTTGAATCACAGACATATGGCACATATACCAGTATGTACAGAAATTCATTCTCTTTTTATTCAAATCATGCATGATTAAATAAATTAACAGAGAAGAAAGTGAACATTGACCAAGTACTATGTGTTTCACACTGACGCGAAGCGAGCGACATATCCATGCCGACGATGCCGTGTTCCATGAACACCCGTAGCGAATAGCGAGGTGCATATGATGTCACAAGACCACCACAAACTGATGACCTCGCCAGTGCACTAACTGTATGCGTTCGCTTGCGAAACCTTTCTAATAAACATTGAGTGCCATTTTGTTTCAAGGGCAGCCAACAGAAATGTATCAATTTCAACTAAAAAGATTTATCCTAACATTACACAAAATGAATTTCATTTCACACTGTGCATGTCTTGTGTGCAATAAAATGAAAGTATCATTTCATGACTAAATTTCAGCTGATTTTGATTTGATATCTCAGTCAAACAAGAATATTTCTAGAATAATACTAGCAAATATTCCTCCTACCAGCAGGCACTCCAAGCTTGTGGTGTGCAAGAACTTCAGCAAAGACATGAACATACATGTTTAAAATTCACTAAATCCTTAATGCAGTCCGATGTATTCCGTAGTTGGCTGCCTAACCAAAGAAGCCCCCCCCCCCCTCTTCCTCCCACAATCCCCTACCCATCTCTCCCGCCCCTTCAATCCCTGCCCTATCCCTTCAATTCCCCTTACCATCCCCAGTTATTTTTGCTTGTTCGTGTGTTTTATATTTGTATGATACAACAGTCTCAGATTCTTCTTATAACATTTATTTAATCTTTTTTACTTCTTCCTAATTATAAAGTGCTTTTTATACTGAATGTTTACTAGTTTTAAAGTTTTTCATTGTAATGCCATTTCAATTCAGCTTTCGGGCTGCGATAGTGGCTTTAATAAACCAGAATAATAATAATAATTAGAAAATTTACAAAATGACTTTTTGGGAGAACTTCTGACAGTGCATCTCCATACACACAAAATCTTGCACAATGGCAACCTAAGGGAATTGTCAAATGAGGAGACGAAACTTTCTTTATTTGAAAGAAATAATAAGTGACAAATGTAAAATATATTGTGTGGAATCTGGTTCCATATGAACAAGCAAAATTCTCAATCTACTTTTGGGTCTCTAATCTCACCTGAGCTTTTGTACCTAGTGTTCCCTGGTAATTTTTTTTATTTTTGTTTTACAAATAGTGTTTAAATATATCCCATGTTTCTTAATAATGTCATTCTTATTTCTGTATACATGTATACTTATTACTTTTTTTACATGATAATTTCTCTCGTCTTTTATTCCTTATTTTCGTACTACTACATGTAAAAGGAGTCTTTTAATTCATTAGTAAGGTATTATAACATGTGATTTTAGGATAATAACACTTTTTGTGAATTGTCTAAATTCAGCATATTGCCGCGATGACAATTTTTATGCAATAAACCATTTCAGTTCAATTCAATTCAAGGTAAGCTTACATTTGTATCTGCTATGCCAGCTTCACTCCACTCAGCCAACTTGAAGGCCTTGCCTATCAGGCAGCCATTGAAGACAAACAGAGCAACTATCCATGCCAGAAGGGGCCAACCAATCACACGGATCAGGTACAGATACACCCTGTGGGACACACTGCCGTACTTGCGCTCTTCGTCTTTGACAAGCTGGCCAGATGGTTCATGCTTATCCTGTTGGCTGCTTGTGTCTGAAATGCAGTCTGAAAAGGTCGTGTCAGAATGAATTGGCAATGGCTTAGCAGTGTCATACTATATGGAGAGCGGCTTCAGCCGATTCCATAGGCAGATGTATAAACTGAAAGCCACAGCCAATTAAAGCTTATCTTAAAGATGCATACTGAAAGCCACAGCCAATTAAAGCTTATCTTAAAGATGCATACCCCGTGCTCTTAATATTTTTTTCTCTCGTAACAACTTTTCAATTGAACCACAACGGGAAACTGACTAGGACTAGGTGAACTGTAACAATCAGAAAGTTGCACAAAAAATTGACTGGAGCGAGGCTTGAACCTTCATTTGAAATATTTGTTAAATAAATAGCCATATCCTCTCTGAGTGATACCCGTTTTTTTCATGACTTTGGGCGTGATTCCTGGCTGTACGGCATCCGGGGTTTATGGCTTCTGACTAGCGCTCCCTGAAAAAAGACATTGACTAATTATTGGGGAACTGCCAACATAGGGCTGGATAGCTCAGTTGGTAAGAGCACCGGAATGGTTATCCAGAATGGTTATCCGAAAATCGCAGGTTCAAGCCCCGCTCCAGTCATTTTCTTTTTTCAACTTTTCAAATGTTTAAACTGGTTTGTTTTGCTTTAAAGAAAAAACTACTTTATTCCAATTTTGGGCGTCTAACCCTCTGAAAAAAAGGCTTTCATTCTGTGCACAAAAAACCTGCTCAGCGAGAGCCAAATTATTGGCTGGCAGTCAATTTGAAGTTTGAGAACAAATAATTTAATAACTAAACGTCGGTGGATTTCTTAATATGTCACATTCAAAAGTGTATAACTTTTATATTGCTAGCAGAATAGCACATGAAAACACAAATCTATTTTTGAAGAAGAACTCAAACACAACACAGGGAATGCATTTGGCATTCAACAGACTTCTTAAATTGGATGGAGCATCGGACATACAAATGTCAGATAAACCAGGTTTTGTAATTCCTAAACGCTTCACAATTTCTGCATCTATTGCAGACCGACACTGATTTAAGGAGAGTTTACACTAAAATTCCGAAGGTATTGCAGTCCAAACAAGAACCAAATGAGGTTATTTTATTACATGTGAATAAACTCAATGAAGTAAATGCGGCAATATTTGAACAGAGGCACACCAATGGGCTCCCTGCACAAGTACCCCCTCAACAGTAATGAAGGGCGACTTACAAGAGACAACTGGAAGTGACATTTGAATACATACATACATATAGGCATTTTTATAGCACCCCACAAAGATCGGAGCGCTTTACAAAAGCTGACATATTAATTAAAGATACAAACAAAAAATGCATTGATACAGATACAAAAAACTATACAAGCAAAATAACATATGGCATGATTAAACAAATAAATGGGTTTTGAGTCTATTTTTGAAGAGCTGAAGTGTGTTGCCTACGACACCTGAAGCTCATGCGAAAACGCTATGGCTTTGTGCAGGTTCAGAATAAGCCATGTGTATTTTACACTTATATACACGAGCGAACCAGTACGCGCATGCAGCGTGTCCCGTCCATGTGGCTCTCGCAGGTATAATAAGTGCCCTCTCTCTCGTACATCCCAAGCTGAAACACACCAGGGGCGAATTGCAATAACGTGGTCTAAGACGGCTGGCTAAACCAGTCCGATTTTAGCCTGCTATTGCTCTTAGACGGTCTTGGTTAAGACACCAAACTTAGCCCATTGCAATAAGCTGGTCTTTACAAAGCCCGCTTAGAGTAATGATTCACAAACAAACATATTCCATAGTTACTAACAAATACCGCAGAGACTGCAAACATTTTTTTGTAGGCCGGTTTGTGTGATTCAAATCATGCGAAATCAAATCTGTCAATTCCAAGATTTTATGTTGAGAGAATATTGCATTTGCAGTACAACTCAGTGTCATTACATTTTTTTCTAGAAGATTCCTTCTATCCTGGAAAATCCTCCCTCCAAGCAGCATTCTTTTTTTTTTTTAAAGATTATCACACACTGCCATCAACTGGAAAAAAAAAACATGTTAGGAAAGAATAATTCAACACACCAATGAATTCCAAAAATCCCAACTATAGACCATTTTAAGCCAGCCCTACCCAGGCTAACTATTTTAAGACTGTCTTAATACTTAGACCGTGTCATTGCAATGGTCTAACTTATAGACTGACTGACAGCCAGAGCTTTGAGACTGTCTCAAGCACATAGACAGCTTTAAGACAGGTTATTGCAATCTGCCCCAGCGGTAAAATGAGCCTTTCATTTCCCTCTGCTCAAACAACACACGTGTGCATGCATGCACTTCGGATGATTTTTTTCTCTCCAAAACTGTGCTAATGCAGCCACCTTTGTTGTTCTCTCATAGCTACAAGGTAGGAAATGGAATATAATTAACTCACCCGGTTTCTTGCCATTTGTGATGTCACTGGACTGGTCTGCCAAAGGTGGCTCATCTTTAGATGACCGCTCCAAATCGTCCACTTGGTCTTGATGATTGGTGATTGGCTGGAGTAACTGCGACCAGGATGGACTGGTATGAAAATCCTCGGCACCGATCTCCTGCTGTGTTCCTTGTAATTCAACTCTACCATTGATCATCACAAGGACCTATGAGAGATGAAGTCACAAAACAATACAATGTGATTCGTATACATGTTTCAACCTTGGTCGCCTGAACAACTAGGAGCATCCTGAGTTTCATTTTGGATATTTGCATTGATCTTTGAATTCACCTTGCGCTAACCCTCCCTCTCTGGCTGACAAATTTAGCTACGTCATCACTGCAGTCCACATTCATCAAGTGACTGTTTTTATCAGTTAAGAATTCCCTTGTTAATTTGATATAACCATGCTTTGCCTGGAAGTGGTTATGTCAGCTGTACCTACCAGTTACCTCTTTTGTCTGTTAATGGAATTTGACTAGTCACAGTGTTTACACAAAAGTGATCTGACTGGGTTTTTTTGCATGGCAGGGGAAGTGGAAGAAGTCAAAAGACTGTCAGTGACTGATCAAACACTTGCTTCACGTCCTGTGATCTGGCAAGCCCAAGCACAACATACGCAAACAACTTAAGCGCGTCATGACAGTTAAAAAATGCCACGGCAAAAATCATCTGCAGCGGATGAGCACATGCGTTTGAATTTGGTCGAAGGTTGTTGCCACTCTCATTCAATGTTTAACAATGTACAGGAACTGGGGGTCAGTCATGTAATATTCTAAAAGCTTTGTACATGCGATACAAAACTGTGTTGACCTTTTTATAGTGCTCCCTCTTGTGGCATGGATTAACCAATTTGCGCCGGAGGCCGTGTATACACGCAAAAGTTTCCTGAAAGTCAGATCGGATGACTGAAAAACCCGCAACACCCGAGGCCGGAAAATATCTGTCAGCAAGCCACAGCCACCGACCGAGGCCCGAAATATGACTCTGCAGCCCCAGGGTGTTGGCTTCAACCCGCCTGGCATTGCGGTCGAGTGAATATTAAACCCATGCCTTAGTCCATTCTTGTCAAAATAAATCGGATCTCAACTGGTCAAAGAACAGATCACAAAGATACTATATGGACTTCAAACACAAGTACCCCCTCACTTGGTTACAAAGAGACAACTGGAAGATACTGAAATGACTGCTGTATGCCTGGGCTTCAAGAGAAGATAATGCAGGGTTGATGCGCACTCAGAATAAAACAAATTGTGCATACATGTTTTTTGTTCCATACCAGTGCATACATGTTTTTTGTTCCATACCAGTGCATGCATGTAAATATGTGTCCCTCGATTAGGTACGCAGATACCATAATGGCTAGGTCTGCAAAAACCTACTTTTCAATTCAAATTAACAGCTTATGTACAATGTACATGTACAACATCAAGAATCAATAATATATTAATTTGGACTAAAAAAATGTTGTGTTCAATTGTTCGTCCTTACATGGTCAGCCAGTTTCATCAAGTGCAGTTGGTTGGTCACTAAGATGGCCGTACGTCCATTCTTTGATAGCAATCCCGCAATGCCCTGCTGCACAATATGGCGGCACACATGAGCGTCCAGGGCCGATAGTGGGTCATCCTGTGGCAAATAATTACAATTAACCTTTTAGTCTCTGTACCACACAAGACCAAAAATTGGATGAAAAGTCTGAAAGATGCTATTTCTTTTATACTGATAATGTCTTTCTCTCAGATTTAATAGGTCTAAGTTCAGACAAAAGTCTGAAAAACCTCATGCCTGTTCAGAGTCCTGTCCACAGAAAACGAGTACATCAAGTTCACCTGTTGAAAATCAAATTCTATTTAGATCCACCTGAGTCGTTCCAATACCTTTTAGTTTTGCACAACACTGGAACATTAGTCTAAACCAGGGTTGCGTTCAATGCCTGCAAATGTTGCGCACGTTTGCGAACGTTTGTGTGGAACAGATTGTGCGCCATCAACGTTGGTGAATGTAGCAAAAATGTTTTCAAAATGGCTGACGCAACTTTAAATGTTACGCGCCGGGGCTCACATTTGCCCTGACAACAAACTATGTTGCTCAACAGATTTTATCGGGTAGGTTTATTAATGTTTTACAGCTGTAGGATAATCCTTGAGAAACCCTCCACATGTTCTCAAGGATCACATACATCGCCTGCGAAACTTTACACTCACTAGACATTAATAACTCTTCAAAAATTTGGGAGGCTGCTTGCCACACAGTTTCACTGGGCGCCGCCATTTTGACAATGGAAGAGTACAGCCCACTGATCTCTATATAAAGACTGGATAGCTAATAAAGAGCCGCACAATGAATGAATTTGACGCCATATTGGTGAGACCGGCTGGTGATCTACAAAGGACAAGTTGCCTTTTTTATAGACAGCATGATTTCTTTTGTAACGTCGCGGTTCACTTGACTTATATTTTGACCACCACCACTGACCAAGGTTAACTACAATTTTTCTAACGTCGTGGTTACTAAAATGCCGCAAATATCACTTTTTCGGCGTTTTGAAATAATAATCACCACGGAAATGTGTCCCTTTTAGAACATCATAATATGTGTACGTGACCAAAATGCGCGTCAACTGTTGATACAACGCGTGCGTATTTACGCGTAGAACGTTCGTATTATACGCAGCCATCTTCGTGAGACCGGGGGCGAATTGGTCAATATGCAAAGTCTACTGTGTGAATGTTGTATGCATATCCGCTATCCAGTCTTTATATAGAGATCAGTGGTACAGCCTAAGGCCGCATATCAATGACTTGGCTAAGGCTTGCAATTACATATGCCCCTATGGGAGCTGCTGAAGCCATAGACACGGGTTACGGCTGGCAATATATAGCCATGAAATTCAGATGCGGCTTAACTACAGAGGCAAGGCTTACCATGATAACAGTAGTTTTGTTGGAATACAGTGCCCTGGCCAGACTGATCCTCTGTTTCTGGCCACCGCTGATGTTGATTCCCTTCTCTCCAATCTCGGTCCGATCTCCAGCCGGAAACTGCTCCAAATCTGGCTGCAGTGCGCAGGCCGCTATCACCTCTTGGTATCTAAAGTAAGCCAAATAACAAAACCAGTCTCAAGACTGGCTCATACTCAATGCAAATGCAATCCTGAATGCAAATTTGTGACGTCACATAAAGTTGAAAAACTTTCAATGCTGTCAGAATCCGCTGTTGTGTGCCGTGTCATTGTGTGTCGCCATCATGCCTTCAAATATCTGTGGTAAATTTAATGAAGCTGGTAAGCAAAGAATTTGGCTTAGTGAGTGCTTGTGCTAAGCAATTATCAGCTACAAACCCTCTGAAGCTCAGTTGGTCCACTGTCCCAAACGTTGAGGTTCCCCCCGGTTCTTTTCAGAAACTCACAAACTCACCAAAGAGATTTGCCAGATCATGCAACTGCAAACTAACTTCCACTGCTTCATTCACCAAACCTTCAAATCTTATCTCACACAATATACATAATTAATTGTATTCTTTCATGAGTCCATATTCTTAACCCTATTATCTTCCCAAATCCTCTAAAATCCTCTTTGCAAAGAGAAGCATTTTTTCAGGACCGATGAGGCTATATTGCAAAAATGCGTGGCTGATTTGGAGGATGTACATGTACTGTGTCAAGGTCATTGGGCCGGACATTGTGTTGTTTATGCTCAGCCATGCAGAAATTGAGGCCTAAATTATACTTGAAATCCTCCGCACTGCTCCATGATGTCACTGGCTCTGCCTCAACATATTGACAGTGATTGCTGGAGGATTTTGCAGGATTGAGGCAGTGGTCACCCCTCCAAGGACCACGTTCAAGAAATAACGGAGGTTGTATGCAATTTTTACATGGAGGCAGTTGGGGGATTTTGCAGGACTGAGGTTGCATCCTGGCGAAAATGCCTAGGGAGTAAGGGTTAAAGAAAAATGTTCCAACATGGGCCCAATTTCATAGCGCTGCTTAACAGCCGACTTTGTGCTTACCGAGCCTCCATCTATTTCATAGGGACCGTTAAGCAGTAAGCACAGCAAAAGCAGGCTTAACCTCAGAAGAAAACTTTGCTTAAATCAGTGACGTAACAATAGAAATCTCCATGCGCGCGCAACTGTAAGCACAATTACGGCATGAAATAGTGCTTAAGCAGCAGCATGATTTTCTGCTATAGCAAGCACAACTTTTCTGCTTACTGTTAAGCAGTGCTATGAAATTGGGCCATGGTCTGGGCCCAATTTCATAGAGCTGCTTAACGGTAAGCAGAAAAGTTGTGCTTACTAAAGCAGAAAATCATGCTGCCGCTTAAGCACTATTTCATGCCGTGATTGTGCTTAAGGTTGCGCGCACATGGAGATTTCTATTGTAACGTCACTGATTTAAGCAAGGTTTTTTTATGTGCTTATAAGCGTGCTTTTGCTGTGCTTACTGTTAACCACGGATCCTACACACAAGGATTAACGACTCGGCCTCCTGCCCAATTTCACAGCGCTGCGTAACAGTAAGCAGAAAAGTTGTGCTTACTATAGCAGAAAATCATGCTGCTGCTTAAGCACTATTTCATGCCGTAATTGTGCTTACAGTTGCGCGCGCATGGAGATTCCTATTGTTACGTCACTGATTTAAGCAAAGTTTTCTTCTGAGGTTAAGCCTGCTTTTGCTGTGCTTACCGCTTAACGGTCCCTATGAAACAGATGGAGGCTCGGTAAGCACAAAGTCAGCTGTTAAGCAGCGCTATGAAATTGGGCCCTGGATACACGAACATATGCTTAAATTAATAAATTACTCTGCTCGTCATGAAAACATGCTTTTGACTCTCTCATTAGCTACTTTCACTCAAACTTTCTTAAGGAAGTGTATGTATCCAGAGTTGAGACAAAAGATGATGATAACTGAAGTATGTATCGTACATTCATACATACCTTACGTCGTCCATGTTACAATCTAGGGTAATATTGTCTCTGACTGAAGCATTCATGATCCATGGTGTCTGAGCTGTATAGGCTACATCGCTGAAATATAATCCACAAATAATGAGACATTTGAAAGATTTTCATGCAAACGGATTCACATACCCGTACATGTGCGCATAGTAACCATAATCAATAATTCTGTCCTTGCAGCTTGCGCACTGTGCATGTACACACTGTACACTTGGTTATCAGGAACCAATGCAAAAAGTAATTGAAAATGGCAGCATCAGATGAAAACTTTGAATCTGCAGCTCTCTTGCATTGAAACACAAAAAAAACATTGCACAATCATGTTCAGTAATTTATAGCCGGTAAATCTAATCAAGCATGATTAATTAGATTCACAGAGAACGTGAAAAATGGCAATTTACCGTGCGCTTCACACTATCACACTTCAACTATTCTCAAGACAAAATTTCAAAAGGGATTTTAAACAAATTTTTGACAGCCCCAAAAATTCTGACAAATTCATCGGCACAAGGCAGTAAACATTAGTATTGACCTAACTTGGTCAGCGGTGCATGTATTTCGAAATAGGCCATATAGGGTACAAACAGCTGGGAATCCCAGGCTTCCAACCATATGGTATATATTAAAGTGGGAGGGGGCACAATTTCTGTTAACTCATTAAACATGGTCACTTATAGGACTAACAAATTTCTAGTTTTTTGTGGGGGGGGGGGGGTGTTTTTTACGGGTCCCCCCACGCCCAACTTGGCTAGCCACTATCAACATATTGTTTTAATTCAGAAATTAAAGTTTTACGACATTTACATTTTATATTGAAGTGAGGTTGCTGAATTGCTTCAATGAACATGAATTTTCAAACAATTTGTTACCAAAATGGCGTAATAAATCTGTGTAATAAATTCGCTCCTCATTTGTTTACAAATACAGGTCGTTACCTGTCTTGTAAATTAATGTGGCCGCTCAGCGTTGTCATCTCGCCAAGCATGGCGCTGAGAAGGGATGACTTGCCACTTCCCACGCTACCAATAATGACTGTCAGCTTGCCTGAAAATATATCACAGGTTAAGGTCAGAGGTCACGGAAACAGTGCTGCAGGGAAGTGGAGGAAATTTAATTCCCACCCTCCTTCACTCTTTTCTGCAGGGTTCCGAACACTTTATGAAAACAAAATTCCTTGAGTTTTTCCAGATACTTCACTGAGAAATATCTTCACTTTAAGAAGGCTGCTGGAAAGTCAAGAGGCACGAGTAGCACAGCCTATTGTTGTTGTCTGGAGAAATGTTTGATATTCAAATTGCATAAACACTGAAAAAGCCACACAGTTGTGAATTTCTAAACGCTCGAGGACAATGCTTTGTGTTTCCCTTTGTCCCTGTTATATAACACTCTCCCAGAGACTATAAGCACATAACCATACCATCGAGGACCATTTTCAACAAGACACAACGCTCGAGGAATGACAGGATCTTTTGTTCTCCCTTTGTGTGTCTGTCCTCTATCGTAAAGCCATACATTTACACCATAGCCAGTCAGTCAATGGACACAGCTTGGACACATGGCACAAGCAACAAGATGCACATACGCCAAACTCCTGAAAAGCTTTCCCTTCTGGGTATCTGTCTTATTTTTGGTGTTTTCCCAAATTCTCTTGTCCAACTTGTCTTTCATTTTAAAAGTGTTTTTGAACAGTGGAAACACCAACGGTTGCAGGAAATTTTTTAAATGGCGGCCATCTTGAAAAAAATAAAAATAAAAAATAAAAAGCCCCTCTTCCTCCTTTTTTTCAAAAACCCGGACGAGAAACATGTTTTTTTTTTATTTGGCCTAATTAACATCATCACGTTACGTGAATACCTACCACTTGGTATGTTAACACTGATGTCATGTAGAACAGCATCAGACTCTGAGTCCCATGAGAAAGTGCCATGTTTAATCTGAAATGAAAAAAAGGTGACACAATCTGTTAAAAAGGTGATTGCCCCTTCTAGATTTCGCCCTTAAATTTCAACAGGTGACGTGTTTGACAGTAGCAACACGTATCTCCCAATTATATCGTACAACAAAATGTCTGACTCACAAAACCTGTTTTCTTGCACAGAGACTGATCAGCACATTAGCACAGCAAAGATACTTCAGATGAAAAATCGTTTTAAGTGGTTTTAGCATTCAATTATGTATAGGTGATGTATAAATAATATGTGATGCGATCAAGCTGAATGAGTCGTTTGTCAGGAATTTCTATTTGGGGATACAGGCCAAAATAGGGCTACTTCATCGCATCACTTCATCACATCTCGATCTTGGTGTTCCGACTTCCATAATTTTTAAACTAAAGATGGTACCAGCATGCGGTTTTACGGCAGTAATGCTGAGATTGTGCTCTTTTCAAATCTGTAACAATTTTTTTTTTGACCAGGGTCGACAAACGACTCATGTAACTTGATCGCATCACATATATCAAAATTATTGTACTGTACTGGCCACAGGATTTTGTTTTCTGAACATCGCAAGTATTAGAAGACTTTGGGTATAAATGTTGCTTGGCCTATGGACGTGCTTGCCTCATTCCCCCATTGTCCAATGGCACAGGCCTGGAAATAAGCTCAAACAAAATATGTCAATTCTTTCAGGAAGTGACTGGCCTGAATTAAATCAGGGCTAAGCGAACTGACGTTATACATTTTTCAAATTGTTGTTGATCACTTCCGGTGTGGAAAGGAAAGCCACTGTGGCAGATGGAGTTGAAAAGCCTCTTGTTTTTGTCTCCCTTGTTGGTGTTTTGCGACACTGGGGAAAGACAACATTTGACCGTATGCTACAGTACCTTCACTGCTACTCCCGACTGCAAATGCTCTGTGGATATTCCGCCATTACCATTCCTTCCAAGTACTTCTAGTTGCAGTCCGTTCCCATTGACTGCTCCACTGTTGGATTCCGATCTCTCATTGGTCCCAAGAGGTGTCCCACCAGATGCTGGAGATCCACCCAGGGGCTTAAACTTGACTTCTAAATCCTGCCATGTTAAAAGTGAAAGTCAAAAAGAAAAATATGTTGCGCCTAACATCTTCATACATGGAATTCCTGTTTTTTTGCCATGTCTAATTGGCTCATTCTTAGAACTTGTTACCTTTATATGCAAACCACGTAACTTTATGTATCTTTCTGATGTACATTTTTACAGAGGGATTTGTGATAAGTTCATTTCAAGATGAGATTCCAAGTCAAACAATATTGAATTTTGGCAATTTAATGAGCAGATTTCTCCACTTTTAGCATGCACAAAATTCCTACTTTCTTCTTTCCATACGAATATCCCTTTTGCTGACTAAACTGTTTATAAATACAATTGTAACACCTCATCCACAGATTCTGTGTCTTGATTGGTCGAGAGCGAGTCACATGATACTTTCTATTGCTATCTTTCTGTGCACGGCCAAAAGTACTAGACCTGTAGCAACCAAAGTACTATACCATTAGCAACTAAAGTACTATATCCACGGTGCAGTATTTGTGTGCAAATGCATGCTGGTGTGCGCGTTGCGCGTAGCGCATTTTGTTCCAAAGAGAGTGCGCCGCAGAGTTGGGGTCAAACATTTCGTGAAGGGGTAGTTTGGAAGAGAGAAATACATTTTCCACCAATTTTGTATTGAAATTGAAGTTTATTTCAACTGTGCTCAGTTTTAAATAATTTAAAATATTAAAACCAAGCAGAATCTGTGGGTGAAGTGTTATAAAACAAATATTGAATGCTTTATCTCGTGGTGAAGTAAAACTAGCCTCCCTCGGTGATCCATGGAGCATTCTATTTTCCCTCGGCTACGCCTCGGGAAAATAGAATGTCCAATGGATAACCTCGGGAGGCTAGTTTTACTACACCACTCGAAGCCTTCAATATTTGTACATTATACTGAGCAGTGGCGACTGAAGAAGAACTATAGGGAATGACCACAATACGGAATTGTTCCTTTTTTGGACCCCACTGTGTTTGTCGAGGAGAGGCTCGATCTAATCACTGACGGCTACACTAACTGGACTGGCTGCTACACATTGGTTTGGCCATCTGTGATCTCAAAAACCTCATGCCAGAACATACATTCATATCGTTCGCCAGGGTAACTCGTTCCACTTAAAACATAAATTTCCCTTACGATCAATTATCCTCTGGATGTTGGCTAGTCCTCGGTATACACAATGTATGACTGCCTAAATCTCAAAGGATGGTCAGAAAAAAAAAGAGTTTTTAGTTTTGCCATCTTAACTTCGAAAAAAATCCATACCACCCATTCATTAAAAACTTGCGTTCCCTGCAAGTGTGTCATGGGTGACCCAATATGGCAGACGGTGGCTTCAAGACCAATCTAATTAGTATAGAGGTCAGTGGTTCCAACTCACATCATGTGTGGCATCTCTGCAAGTTTGGCGACTTGTGCCGGCCGGCCCCTCGACTTCTGTACTCATCAGGAATGCCTGCAGCCTGTGCGTGCTGATGACGCCGGTCACCATATACGAGATGTAAAACGGGAAGTAGAAGAGAGAACTCTCAAACAGATAGAAGAGAGACAGTGCTGGTAGGGCCACCTCAGGAGTCAGCGCTTGGCCAGACAGGAGAGTGTAGGTCCCAAAGGACTGATGGTAGTAAGACCAAGGAAAAATGAGTTTATAACGTTTACATTTTATGGGATTAAGGACAATATATCTGACCTGTTCTGTCAAAAGCAGATGCTTGTGGGCAGAGGTTGAAATTGATTTAGGGTCAAAAAATGCTAAGGGGGTGATTTTTTTTATTTTCTAATTGTTGCATATTTGTGATCTTGAACATGGCTAAAATATACTATAAATGTTTGAAACCCTAATTTGAACTCTAAATATAGTACTTTCGATGATTTGTTAAGGTACATCAGTTAAAGAAATGTCACTTGAAACAGGTCGTAAAATAGACCCTGAACTTTAACTGCGATTTTCTCCGTTTTCTACTTTTCGACGTGATGAACTTCAAAATAGCATACTTTGCCCAGGAATGACCGCTTTCAAAAACTAAACCACCTATTAAAAGGAAAATGTACATATTTTTTAAAATATGTAAAAATCTCATTTTTGACTTGATGCCCAGAAACGTCTGATCTTGACAGGTCACATATAACATATTCAACCTTGCTTTTAATTCAATTATGTTTCAGATACACGCTGTCCGTAAATTGAACGTTAAAATTAACTTTTGCACGGGATTCAGGACTTTAATACCTAGCCTCCATCTTGGCTCAATAGGTCTCGTTCAAATGATGTCATTTCCTACAGACCATCCACGTGCATCGACATTTTGAGCGTCAACTTGCATAACGCGCATCGGCTGCGTCGTATTTCGAACACATTTCGAGCAACAAGCGCTCGTGTTTGGAACATTTTCAACACTGCGCAATGCTTGCTTGATTGTGTAAAATACGCAGTTGCAGTTCTCCTACAGAGATGGCCGTCATTGAACGAGCCCTATTACGTTTTTAATTATTTGCGACCCGACAGGGAAGACTGGTTTCTGTCTCCCTTTCAGAAACAGTAATGTGGGGACAGGAACCAATCTACTGGCAGAGCGGATCTCAACTCAATGTAAGTGGGTTTTTTTATGGATTGCAGATGCCCAAAATAGAAAACAAAACCTTGAAAAGTTGTCATGAGAAAAAACAATCAAATGTGTTGAAGAGCATGGACAGTGCATCATGCATAAAAGCAAGAAGCCACTGTAACTATCTAGTTTACATCGGGTGACTGATAAGACTTTTAGGGTTTGCATGGTGGACATGATCAATGAATGGGAGGTTTGCGGTAACACCATGTGAATGATATCTCTGTGTGAGTTGTGTGGTTCTGCAGGGTTCGACCTTAACTTTTTTGTTCACTAGCCAGCCAGGCTACTGAAACAGACTGTTAACTAGCTCGCGGGCATTTTCACTTGCCGCATGTTTTTTGTTTTCTTCCTATCCTTCCATCTTGGCTGTATATGCCAATAATTTTTGACTCGCCAGCCGGGCTACTTAAGGAATAGTTTGACTAGCCCGCCGCTGTTCTGACTAGCATTTGGCTAGCGGGCTACTGCTAATTTCGAACCCTGTTCTGAGAAGAACCAGTTGGCAAAAGCACACAACTCTCTAAGAGATATCATTCACATGGTGTTACCGCAAACCTCCCATTCAATGAACTGGTGTTCGGTCACTGCTTGATCTTGCACCTTATCTGGAAAATTAATTGGCTCCATAAAAATCGAACTATTTTGTATCATCCCATGGACGGATCCAGGAAGTTTTGCTGGGAAGGGGGGGTTCAGGACCATCAGATTTGTTAATGTCCAAATGTTGCAGACAAACTGACATATAGATAATTATTATTTCTATAATTGTTGGAATTTTTTTTTTTTGGTCAGAGCAGGGGGCAACTCCAGCCCAATGGATCCGCGCCTGCATAGAGAAAACAACTAAAACATATCTACACAATATCTATCCTATCAAAAGCTACATGTGCATTTGAAGAAGTCCTCAATTTCAATATCAAATATAAAAAAGCATCATCAAGACTATAGTGATTCCTCAGTAATGGAGGGCCAAGAGTAAAGAACTTTACAAAGACAACAAATGTAAACTTACAACCAGGGTGATAAGAATTGGTCCTGCTGAGGCTATTGTGGCTGTCAGAAAAGAAAAGAAAATATTGGATAAAATAACAAAAAGGGCAAGGAGAAATCTACCAAACAAAATGAGTAATCTACCTGTCTACCTCAGCATTTTGTCAGACTCACATTTTTTAAAAATATTGACCCCTCTCATACATGTCATAGACAGCCACATCACAGGAAAATCACAACTGCGAGTTTAACGCCATCAAGTGCGTGTGTGCAACATGCTCTAAACAGGCGCGGATGTTGCTCGAAAATTCTTCCAAATACAGCGCAGTTGATGCACGTCACAAACATTTGACGCCCAAATGCCGATGCACGTGACAATATGTCGGAAGTGATGTCATTTGAGAGAGACCTGTCAGAACGTTATGAAAGTGGCAAGCAAACTTTTTGGAAATGGCTATTGAAAAAAATGGGAGAGAGAATAAAGATTATCAACTTACTGGTCAAGGCGAAGCAAATACTTCTGACAAGATTGGCCAAGAGCTCTTGCTTCCTGACGGACTCAACAGTGTGACAGAAAACATCTTCCCAACCATACATCTTGACCAGCTTTATTGCCTGCACCAACTCTTTAGAGTACTTCAGGCGACTATCGGAGAAAAGCTGTATGCACGTAATGAAAACAAAGTTAAAAAGGGCTAGGCTTTTAGCTGAGTTGGACACCCAAAAGTCTCAGTTAACCCTAACCTTCCTAAATCCTCCAAAATCCTCTTTGCAAAATGGAGGATTTTTGCAGGATGGAGGCTATATGGCAAAAATGTGCGGCTGATTTTGGAGGATGCACTGTGTCAAGGGTCTTGGGCCAGACCTTGTGTTGTTTAAGCTCAGCCATACTTGAAATTTCGGCCTAGATTATACTTGAAATCCTCCGCACTGCTCCAGGATGTCACTGGCTCTGCCTAAGCACATTGACAGTGATTGCCGAAGTATTTTGCAGGATTGAGGCAGTCGTCACCCTTCCAAGGACCTCATTCAAGAAATAACGGAGGATTTCGCAGGTTTGAGGTTGCATTCTAGCAAAAATGCCGAGGGAGTTACGTTCCATCCTGAAAAATAGGAAGGCACATGCAGGTTTTTCCACAACCCCCTTCATGTCACTTCTAAACTCACTATGGCCGAGCACGGAAAACACATTTTAGAAACCGCAGTTTGCCGAAGCAGTGCACATTTTTCATCATCATGGTACATCTCGAAATGAGTTGATACACGGATAACAAAGAAACAGACTATTGATAAGATGAATTTTGTGTCGGGGTGATGTAAATCAAATTCGGTTTTTCCCTTCACTGATGTTTAAACCCTGTATACTCAGTGTGTTACCTCCCGAGTGAAAGTTGGAAAAAATCACTCATGTGGGACTCAAACCCATGACCTCTTGCTTTCTAGTGCAGACGTCTTACCACTTGACCACCAAGCTACGGGATCGGTTGGCTGGTTCCGATCTGATGTACATAGCAGCAGGTACCCCATTAACTATGAAATTTTACGTCGGCGTGATGTAAATCAAATTCGGTTTTTCCCTTCACCGATGTATAAACCCTGTATACCCAGTGTGTAACCTCCCGGGTGAAAGTTGGAAAAAATCACTCGGGTGGGACTCGAACCCACTGCTATATTCAATGTGACTGTGGCTGCGTCTGAATGACACGGCTATGGCTGGCTACAATGAGTGGCTGAATCCACTTTCCACATGTGTGTTAATGACAGCCATAGCCACGTAATTTGAATGCAGCCTTACTATGAACTTACCAGTGCTTTCTTCTGGAATTTGGACATGCCTCTGCCAGCGAGAGCAGTCAGAGGCATCACTAGGAAGAGCGAGGCAGCACCTATCAGTGCTGAGAAACCAAGGAGGAGATACAGCAGCACCATGGTGATCGTAATCTGATGTCAAAGGTCAAACAAATTCTGGTTACCGTTGAGAACAAAGAGTCTATAGAAAAGGGGGTTGGTGTGGTAAGTTGGCCCCTGTGCTCATGCCTGATTGAATCAATTCTGAGGCAAGTCACAGTATGTTGACGTCGTCAGATGTGTCACAGCCCCTAATGTGGTGCACTTCCATTTTCGACCCAAGCACCTTGCCAGATTAAAGGTTCTACCCGAAATTTCACAGGAAGTGTAAGTCCGCCGAGTTTAAATATCTCTTCTTGAAAAATCTTGATTTTAAACACTTTTTATAATACATGTAGTTACACTGGGAAAAGGTATTCTGATGCAATTCTCCTACTTCCAATGGAGTGTATAGCGTACCTTTTAATATGCGCCGAAAAAGAAAAACCTCTGACAAACATGTAGTTGCATGAGTGAGTGAAAATCACAATCTTTTTGTCAACTTTAGAAAATTCCTGCGGGTCGTATCAGTTCTGGTCGGTTTTCCCTTCAATTTGTGTTGGGTCAGGTATTCTGTTTCGATTAGTTTGGCCTGGTCAACCTGACCTGATGCACAACATTAGTCTGCATGAGGAACTTTGGGAAAAAGTGCACCACGTTATAGAGGACTCCACTATAACAAACATTAGGTGTCTGTCATGAACGTTGGAACTTACCGATAAAACTGTGGCCAGTATCGAGTGGAACTCCCTGAACATTTGTTGAAGGTTAGCAGGGTCGATGGACATGAAGTTGATGAGCTTTCCCGCCGTGTTGCCGCCGTTGGAGCCCCCTCCAAGTGACAGACGCAGGGATTTATCATACACCATACCCTGTTGGTTAAACCACCACATGTACATGAGTGTCATAATAATCAGATGTAACAATGCACTACTTTGCTGCTCATGCCATGTTGATTGCATGTCGATTATGAAAACAGTTTTTTTCCCTGTGATGTTTATCATCATTTGGGCCAACCCAGAACAGACTGGACAACGGCCTTAAAAAAAAACCCGACATGATGGGCACTTTGTCTTCCACCTCTAGATGGCTCTGGTTCGATTCAAATTGGGATCACTCTTCTGCCTGAGTTTAAAGCCCCTTGAGTAATAACTCTGGTATGTAACACAAATCACAATTTGCAAATCCTTTCCAAAACTGTCTTACAACTGTTCTAAACGCTGTGCTACTGCTGTGCTGAACTCAATTAATGTGCATTTATTTTTTTTAAATTCAGCACAGCGTATAGAACAGCATTGAGAATCATTTGGCTGGCAAAGTGGGTTCAGCACGGCACCGTCCTTTGACTGGACGGGGTCTGCCGACTGCGGTAGCACCCTTTGTGAATAGAAAACGTCGAGTTAACTACGAAATGTAGCTGTTTTCAGAACCACACAAACTCATCAGGGGCCAATTTCATAGAGCTGCTTAAGCACAAAATTTGCTGAAGCACCAAAAAACCAGCTTAATATAATCAGGTTACCCGTCAAAACTCCACTCGATTTTTATGCTAAGTAAACGATACATGTAGCTAAATACCAGTCACAAGCAATGTACATGTACATTGCATGGCATTTGGGCCGGTAACCTGATTATATTAAGCAACCTTTTTTGTGCTTAAGCAAATTTTGTGCATAAGCAGCTCTATGAAATTGGCCCCGGCCTTAACCAATCGTCTGTTGTAAAAAATGTTGAGCACTACAGAGTGTCTTGAAATGGGCCAAAGAGTATTGAAGGGAAGGCCATTAGGGGGTGCCATAGGTTGTGATTAAAAAAATTAAAGTAAAAAGTTACAATTTAGAGTTACAAAGGTAACTACCTGAATGGCTATTCTTGTATGAATGGCTTGTACAGTCAAGTAGTACTGCACTGACCGGATGCATAAGACGTGGGTAACCTTGGCAACAAAGAGGATAAAGAGGAGGATGTAGCCGTTTGAGAAGAACTCACTAACTGTGATGAAATGCTGCTCCTCCTGTTAATGAGAGAAAATAATCGTCAAACTGTCTTAGTAAAGTTGCAAGTTAACTATGTTGTAGAAAAGAAAATCAGGAATGTAGTGTACAGTTGTTATACACACATCGTGAGGTCCAAAAATACGTTTCACAGAAGGCGTGTTATACAGGAACATTTTATGAATATGAATTCCAACTGCTTAGAGTGATTATATGCACCGTACTGCTCTCTATTCGAAAGACACTTGCTGCAACACTAAGTATGTAGTTGCTGAATCGGGAGAGTCGAACAAAGAAATTGACTGGAGCGGAGATTGAACTTACAAGCTCCGGCTTGCAGTTGCAATGTTCTACCAACTGAGCTACCCAGCCCTATGCTGGCGGTCCCCCACTTTGTTATGTCTTTGTTCAAGGGGCCCTAGTCAGAACCCATTAACCTATATATGCCATGTAGCCAGGGATCACGCTCAAAGTGATGATGCTAGCAACATTAGCAATGCTGCAAACCCGGGGAATAGCGAACAGGGAGCACTCAGAGAGGATACGGCATTTTTTACAAATTTTCAAAAAAACCACAAAGGGCAAGTTATAGGTGCACTGTCCTATAGTCAGGTCCTCTTAAGAGTTTTTTTTTTTTAATAATGTTGTTGTTCAGTTCAAGAACATTTTTGTAGGCAAGCATATTCTTGCTAAAAGCTTCTATCTGAAGACATCCCTTTGGTTCATTCAAAAAGTCATCTTCAAAAATCTGCAAAACATCTTCACAAATATTCTTGTTTTTTTTTTTTACATCTAGAGACAAACTTTAAGTTGAACCTCTTAGTGCCAAGCCCAGGACCTTGCATTTCCAATGAGGCACGCAATTTTGACGCTTGTTTGAAATTCTCCGATCCAGCTTTTCCACAGAATCAACTGAAAATCAGTTTCAGATTTTAAAAGTTCAACGTCAAGTCAGACAAAACTCACCACGACGCTTTCATCCTGATATTTGTGTGCAGAGGCGTACAACACAATGCCCCTGATGGCTGCAGGCGTGGTGAACTTCACTAGAACCGACACAAGCTTCAATGAGCCTACTGCCAGCAGTCTGATGCCACAAAAGTGACCAAAGACTCGGAACAAGGAGACTTTTCTCTTGTCTTTGGTAGCATTTTCCTGGTGGGACCAAAAAGAGGTCAGATAATGCATCTGAACAAAACGGTGTACGCCCTTATTTCTGACTGGCATTTAATATGTACAAAATTTGCTCTTTCGGTAATTTTCAGAAATGGATGGATTTGGTGGTAAATACCGGTATTATAGGCCTATAGGAAATATTATTACACTTGATTAGGCCCTAACTGTTCAAAGTTTAGGTTCATGGATGCTGGAAAGACCAAGGAAAAAAAACCCGCTGTTCTTATAGTCTGGTTCCCTGACCCCAATTCAGATGAAACAGAGCTGGCTTGCACCCGTTCACGGATACATGTGTAAACGATTGCAAACAAACTGCGGACTAACTAAATGTGGTCAAGTGAGGGCAGTATTTGAAAAGAGTCATTTTTTTTCCAATGATGATCGGCCAACCATTGTTGGAAATTGATACAAAAAATTCCACTTTTCTTCAAAATGACAGCATACACAGGTGCTTGAGACAGTCAAGCAAGGTAACAATAATTTGGTAGTTTTGCTTTTTGATGTTTGCAAATGTAGTATGTTACCTTTGAAAAGTCAGACCAAACAGTTAGGGGAGACTCTAGGCTAACTTATTTATACTAACTAGAACCTGATGTCATTAAAAATGACTGGAACAATATATCTTTCGCACGTTGTTGCTTCTAAGTTGTAATTGATTCACACGTCGTACTTAATTCAAATCTTAGGTAAAACTGGAACGACTCTGGAACGCCTTTCTAAAATCAAATTAACCTGTACACACTTGAACAGTAAAAGGGCAAGTACAAGAATTTGTGCACACTATGTCCCATACATAACAAAAGTTTATACCCTCTATAAAGGCATTCATGGATTTCAGTGTTTTTTTAATTCTACAGTACTGTTGGGCATCTGCAAGGAGAAATACCCACAAGATGTTATTATAGTCTTTGAGATGATTATGTAATTAAAGAAAACATGATGTTAGATAAAAAGGGGAATTTCCTTTGACTTATTCAAAACTTTTTTAGAGCAAATCTAAAATAAACTTCAAAGCATGACTTCACAAACTTGTTTCAAGGATTTTGCAGGTTCGAGCAAAGTATAGCACAGCCACTACTGCTTCGTATGGGCTTGAGTACCCCTGGAAAAGTTAAAGTATACATGTAGATCAATCGGAGCAGGCTATCAATTTTATTGTGAAGCATTATGCTAGCTGTTAGTGTTATTCTGAAAATCCGTCACAGGGCAGTTGCTTTGCACTATAGCGTGCACCATGGTTTCTCCACTGCAGGGGGCCGGGCCTGGATACGTAACAGTGTTGTAGTCAAGCCAATCACACGTAAGGTCACTAGTAACCATATTTATAGAGAAAAATACCACAGCGTTAACTCACACTCTTATTCTCCCGCAGATCCGGCACTTAATTTGAAGCCGTTCTGAGCACAGGCATTTTGAATCAATGTGCGTTTTTGTAGAACGTAAGTGAATCAGATAGAATAAATTATGAATAATGTACTCTAAATGCAAAGTGGAAGTACAACGCACGCAAAGTTGTTTGCGTTTTGGGCAGATCTGCTTCAATTAGTAGGCCTACTGGTATAGAAATGAAAATGTTCAAATAGCTGTGCTAAAGCTGTACTAAATTTCGAGTTTTACGTAGGTTTGTGCACAAACATGGATGCGCCCAGCTGCAGCAGGCTTCACCTTGTACAGCGAGTTATAACATGTATAAGCGCTCAAGTAATTCAATATAGCTCCATGCTAGTAACAGAGGATGAACTTTAACAAAGGGTAGACTTCAGGTCAAGGATTGTTACAGTTCAATTGTAATAGACCTCTAGTGTTAAGGCAGAGGTACATCTAGGGCAGTGGTTCTGTACAGCTTGGATAAGCACGAGTAAGCCTATTGTGCATTCATAAGATTTGAGGTTTTGCATTGGAACGCTTCTACAGCAAGCTGTGGGGTCATCATCTGACCTCAACCGAGACGAGTTTATAAAGGTGGCTAAAAAGCAAGCCTGTACTGTACATGCTACCGTAACATTTCGACAGCTGTGATACACGTCCGACTTTTAATACTTGGGGGACCATTGAAATTAACTGTGGGTGGGGCCCATCTATAGTTTGGCCACGCCAATCTTTGAATTTTGCAGATATGTTGCTGAACTATATAAGACACAGCTGAACAACTCATCCAACTAGGTACCACGTGGCCGGCCGGCCGGCCCTGCGGCATGCACGACGAATGGTGCCAGCGCGCGGAACACCCTGCACGTGCGGTGCAGCCTGCGAGCGTCCCAACTATAGTTGGGCCGACCCAACTGCCACACTATAGTTGGGACAGTCCCAACTTTTGTTGGGACCGATGTGATAGTTGGGGCGGTCCCCCAAGTATTAAAAGTCGGACGTGTATCACAGCTGTCGAAATGTTACGGTAGCATGTACAGTACAGCAAGGCTACTTGTTAGGACTGCAAAATTCAAAGATTGGCGTGGCCCAACTGTAGATGGCCTCACCCATAGCTAATTTCAATGGTCCCAAGTAAAGTCAGACGTGATCAGAGCTGTAGGGAATGTTTTATAGTTACACAAAGCAACATAGTTAGGACCACACAATTCAAAGATTGGAATGGCCCAATTATTGATGGACCCCACCAGAAATATTTATTATAAATTACAGAAGAAAAAAGTGCTGTTCAAATTGAGTTTAAACGTGTTTCCTTGTTCTGGGAGTTCACTGTGTAGTCCTCCATATCATTTTCCATGGAGTATAATAAAGTCAGGTGTTGTCCAGCGGAAAAAAACTAAACGCCTGCACATCCATCGGCATTCACCATGCAGACTCCTACAATTTAGCGTACGCTTGTTGCCGCAGCGCTGCACGCAGCTGGCCCCCTTGACTACCAACTATAGTTGGGCCAGCCCAACTATAGAACTATAGTTGGGACCGATACCATAGTTGGGGCGTGGACACATTCATTGAACATCAATAAACTAAATTAACACAGAACAGTGATTACTTGTATTGAATTGTGAGACCTTCTGATGCACTTGGCTACAACGATGAAGTAAAAACTAAAGAATGTGCAACTTGGTTCCAATAGTTTTTATACAAATACCTATTTTACAGGAACTCACCTTTTCCTTCCGAAAGGCCTCTTTAAATTGTTTGTAGTTCTCCTGAGATGTGTGTCTTTCTGGCAAAGAGCCAAGATCTTTGCGTTCCAGGGGGCGCTTGTTTCCAAGCCGGAACAGCTTGGTCAACCATGCTAGGGTGACCTGAGACAGTACGCTGACATCATCTTGAACATAGTACATGTCATCTTGGGTTGATTCCGTGGTGGGCGTTGGATGGTAGGACGGATTTCTGTGTGATATCTAACAGAAGAAAGAATAATACAAGTATTGTTAAAAACAACCAAAATGAGATTCTCACATTACAGTTTGCAAATAAAAAAGAAATCGTTTCATTCAGATTGATTTTTACAGATTAGTCTTGAGTTACTGATTTTTAATTTAAATAAAAAAAAAAATCAATCCAGTTTTCCATCCTCAATGCCATTGCCCAACGCTTTGATAACCCTTCTTCCAGTGCATTTATATCGTGATTGAAGATTAAAGGGGCCATGCACTGAATTTTTGTGCAACTAACTACATTGTACTCCTCTTAAATGTATGAAAACTATTTGACATCCCTTTTTGCTTAATTTGATTGAAAACTGCACTTCTTTAAACATTTCATATTGTCCACACTTTTCCATTTAACTCAGGGTGCTGTTGCTGTGATGTCATTTCAGGAAGAAGTTTAGGGGTTTTCTGTTCAAATTGTGAACCCAAAATTTGCTCATTGAAAACATTAGAAAGGAAAGGAAGGTCTGCTTATTGGCGTAGTGCCAAGTACTGAAACAACAACGAATCATCAAAGAAAAGAAAATGTACGACGGCAAAATATCCAAAATTCTAGCAATATTTTTGTGCTGAAACATTGAGATTTCTGCCCGGAATGACATCACAGTTTTGCTCCTGAACATGGAAATTTGCATTAGCATGAAAACAAAAAAGGCACCAAAATATTCTTGCAAATGGCGAAACAAAAATTTAAATGGGATACAAAGGTGCATTTTCAAGGATTGCATTAAAAAATTACATTGCATGGGCCCTTTCAATGAAGGCTGTTCATTCAGCACGTTCCATGTGTGGAGTGAATTAAAAGCTATTACAGTTTTGGGGAAAGGGACTTATATGTATCAATTGACATTTATCACAGCACTTCCACTGTACATTTAGGCTACATTTTCATTGTGATGATTTGAGTTGCATTCAGAATTCTAACCCATTTGTACCTGTAACACATTGTCTTACATTGTATTTATTGCCCAATTGATCCACACAAAAATGGTATAGTGCTCAGGCAAAAAATGAAGGGGGTTTGGTGTGGTACAGTGACTGATTCGATGGACATTCAGTCTTCTAGGGTTTTTTCTAACACTCTGAGCACTCTGCATTGTAATATTTTGCCCGCTCATTTGAACATAAATTTTGTATTTTGTTTGCAATGCTTGCTCTTTATTACAATGACATACATAAATAGGGCAGGTTATTCTCATGCAACTGCATGTAAGCAAATAAACATTACAGTATGCACAATCAATGATCAACTCGACCAAAGTGCTATGCTGATTACTACTTTACAGGCAATAGTTAGATTAGACATTGACCTTAATTCTTCTCCACCTGGTTTTATGCATACAATAGCTGAACAAAGGCAAACAAAAAATTTGAAGAAAAAAAACCCAAGAGCCTTTCAAACTCTCACCTGTGATCTGTTGCAAAAGTCTTCAAAATGCCCCTACAATGATAGACTTAAAAATAGTAGTAGCCCCACTTGGGTAGCCATTGTAGTAGATATTACTATGCAATGAAGGTTTTGGAAATAAGACATTTTTGTACACCAGTATTTTAGTGCTAAGCCGTGTACTCAAATATCTCGTAAACAAGAATAGTTTCACTCACTTGGAGTGCTTTTTAAAGCCTTATATTTGTCATATTAAATTTTATGATGAATGCAATGAATAAACCAGTTTACTTTGTAACCATCATAAGGCCAAGTAAAAAACAAAGACTTTCTCAGCTGGACTTTTTGAAAAAAGGAAGGTGGCCATCTCCCCCCCCCCCCCCACCCAGCCACCCCCCATGGATTCTTCCATTTTCTGGACTCTTTTGCTGAATTTAATACGGTACGTGCCCAAAACAAATCAAAAGAGAAAACCATTGAAAATTTCGAATTTGTGTATGATTGAAAAAAAAAAACAGCAGACAGAGACAAGAAACTATTTTGTTTTTGTTTTTTACTTGGCCTAACAACTTATAAATACGCACCAAAAGTATTGCGAGATCCAGGATGATTAACATAGAGTAGGCAGCAAGTAAACACACATTCAAGTCGAAACGCACAACTTGAACACTTCCAAGACCAAGCCCAAGCAGACTCCACAAAGTTACAGCCCGTTCAATAACGCACAGACTCCAATATGGTAGAGACAGGAGAGTCATTTGGAATCTCTGCCGCTTCTCCATTGAGTTGTAGTAAAACGCTGCAGCAAAAGTTGCAATTAAGGCACTGAGGCTTGGCAAGTACAGAAATGGCTGCGATGGGGATGCATCGTGCCGAGTTGCATCCGACAAAACACCCTCTCCTATCGAACATGAGAGGACGAACAGAAGAAATATAATGAGTAACCACCGTAGTCCGTTCCCTGGACATCTTTGTGGAGATTTTGAATGAGCAGTTTTCATACAAAAGGCTAAGATAACTAGCAACACGGTGAAGGCTAGAAGAAACACCGCGTGCAGGGCCGTGCCTACTGCACTGACCGTGCACAGCCGTGCTAGCCACGGGTCTGTTTCGCCCACAGGCCCCGTCACATTACCCCCGTCGTTCTGGTCACTCGATAAATTCTTCGGTAGTTCGCCGACGCCGCAGAACCAGCTGTAATCATCTTTTACGGCAAACATTGCCATCGATGTTCAAGAACATTGGGGAAAACTTGGATTTGAGATAGATTCACAAAATCTGCCCAGCTCCATCCGGCAATGGATGATGGGAAACAACTAGAACTACAGATTAGGTTTCATTTTCCGGGTTTTACCCCGTATATCAGCTGATTTTTATCAACATAAAACACTGCCCTCTATCGCCGCCCCGCAATCTTTTTTCCTGCAACCTAGTACACGATAGTACAGTGACCATAATAGTTGGCAACGGAATGGTTTTCGGAGTAACTTCCCGGCTTAAAAAAAAAAATTCTGTAGCCCTGAACCAGAAAAAAATGGTGAAGTTTATTTCATCGATCAACAGGACAATTTAGTAAATATTCACTTTCGGAGACAAAACATAAACGTCAAATTCCGTGGATTCAAACACGCATCAACCTTCCCCGCCTGCAGGCGGCCATTCGCCAAAGCCATCGTGGCTTAACTTGCCGGCAAAGACAAAGCGGCGAAATGCGAGGCGACTGGAGCGGGAGACCACATACGCGAGTGGCGAAGCCATGAGGCCTTTTCCAACTTGTCAAGAATTTCTTATGTTTTTCTTTATGATCTCGATTTTTGCTACCCCAAAAGGGTAGCAAAATTTCCACCAATCATTATCCTTTCAGGGCGCGCGTGGCTACTACCCGGACGCGTCGACGCGCCCGGATGCTTGCACAAAATGTAAAACAAAAAATGCGAGTCTAGTTTTCCACGAGATCGTGGCCGCGTAATTGTTCTTATCATTATCTTATTTTAATTTTACTTATAAAAGTATTTCAAGAAATTATTTGAGTGTATGAACTTATTTTTTCATCTGAACTTATATTTATTTGCTCTTACCTTTTCCTTATCCACCCTTCTTTCACAAATGGAAGCAACTAGGCAAAATCTGCGCTGTGATTGGTTAACCTTTCAGCACTCTACTTATTTGCATACAAATATGAATTATTCAACAAAATCAAGTTCGAAAAGGCCTGTGGCTTCGACACTCGTGCGTGCTGACTTAATCTTTGCTCCAGTCGCTTCGTGCTTTCGCAGCTCCGCCGCTCTAAGCCACGATGGCCTTGGCGAAAGGCTAGCGGCCACAGGCTTTCTATTCCCTTTTAAATTATGGGTTCGCCGCGCTTCGACGACTGTGCACTACATGGGGCTAATTACTAAGGGAATAAATGTGTGCTCCGGAGGTTTTTATCACTCTGTTTAATACCACTTAGAGTCTGGGTGCTGATAATTACCCGAGCCGGAGGCGAGGGTAATTATCAGCACCCAGACTCTAAGTGGTCTTAAACAGAGTGATAAATACCGACCGAGCACATATTTATTCCCATTCATAAATACCTTATCCGTAAAAAAATATCAAATAATTCGTTCAAAACATCCCGATTTTGTTCAACAAGTTCACTTCATGCTTTTTGAAACATCCCTCTAGCAAAATAATGGAGTGTTCAGCTGGCGAGTAAGATGTAAACAACCCTTTTATGGAGATTGACGCGCGCGTATCATGTTCTGCGCGATGCCGCGCAGAACGCACCTGGGGCGTTGCGTTTTGAATTTAGAACTGTAAAATTCTGACTCGCTGGTAGTGTTGCGCATGCCTACGTGAGGATTGTTTACGTTCAACCAATGAAACGGTAAGAGGCACTGGATTTTTAGGAGTCCACATTTTATTGTGACACTGGAAAAGTGTTTAAGACCAGCTAGCCATGTCTTTATCATCCGTTTAAGACCGGCCACGTGACGGGCTCTCGACCAATAGGAATAGCTAAACTGTCTGAGGTATTTATGAATATACGTTAAAACTCGAGAAAACCACAAATTAAATGAGGGTTATTAGGCGAAGTAAAAAAAAAACAACAACATGTTTCTTGTCCCTGCCCACTTCCTTTTTGGAGGCCGCCTGGATTTTTTTCTTATTATTTTTTTTTATTTTTGAAAATGCAGTAAAAAAAAAACCACCGAAAAAGTCCACAAATTCATCGGAAAATAAATTGTAGACCAATACAACTCTAAATGACAAAATCAATATGTCCAGTTCTCTTGTCCAACTTGTCTTTCATTTTAAAAGTGTCTTTTAACAGTGGAAACACCAACGGTTGCAGGACATTTTTAAATGGCGGCCTTCTTTAAAAATAAAAAAATAAAAAAAATAAAAAGCCCCTCCTCCTACTTTTTTTGCGAGAAACATTTTTTTTTATTCGGCCTTATTAATCGACTCGGAGCAGGGTAGCGTGGCCGGACTGCCACGGCGGCACTCGATTCGAACTTAGAAAGCACCGCACAGATCGCGTAAACCTCAATTCCCCGTCATAGCTAGTATACACCCAAAAGAAATACTCACATAAACGGTGAAGAATACTAAAACAAAAATCCTGGATCCAGACCCAGACCCGGATCACTTCCAAAATTATAATCGATTTGTACAGTTGTACCAAGGACCGTGCCAAATCCGACAATAGCTTTTTAGGCTATCTTGTAACAAACCAATCCTGACCAACCAACCATCAACCAATTAACCAACCAACCAACAAACAAACCAAGCAACAAACCATGCACATCCGTGCTGCAAAGGACACTTTGCCTCCGTAAACTTAAAAGGGGTGGGGGGGGGGGGGCTGGTACCATCTGACCATCTATATGATGATGGCGCTGTTCATTCACACTACTATCGGACAATATAATGATTTTTTTCTGGGAGGCACACGCTCGGGCGACATTCCCAAAAAGCACACAGCCGCTCATTTTTTTTTTTTTGCAAAAAAAGGCACTTGTTAGACAACAAACAAAAAAAGGCACTTGTTTAAACAAAACAGGGCACTCTTTAAAAATAGGGGGGGGGGGGTTAAACACTTGCGAATTAGAGCACTTCAATGGAAAAGGGCAGTCTTTAAAAATATTGGGGGGTGGGTAAGTGAAGAAAATTTATGATGAATGCAAACATTAAAGTTTTTAAAGTAAATTTTAGCCTTGGATTCGATTTGTTTAATTTGACTTTTTATGATTTGTGTTGAATTGTTGAATAAATTGTATTTACAAAGGCGCAATTCTTGTACCAGATCTTTGATTTACCTGATTACATGATCCAAGCAAAATTAATCAAAAGAACATTAATTTGAATTCGCTTTCCTAACATCAAACACTGCAGACAAGCACGTTTTTGTTAGCTTCTCTTTATTTCCCTCACCAAGTATATGATATTAACATATAAGTCAAAGTACAGTTATATATAAATATATTTCTCTGGATTTTTTTTCTGGATATACTGCAGGTCTTGTTTTCAATTAAACTAAACAAGGCACCATCCACTGTACGTGCACACATCGTGTTTGAAGTTTTGCATTAAAGGGAAAATACAACATTTGCAAGCATTGAAAACTAAAACTACCAAGTTTTTACGAAATACCTTACAGGATGTTGGTAAATCACAGTCTAAAGCATCCTGTAAAATTATGACACCTGATGTGAGGTCATTTTCAAGTAAGTGGTATTTTTTGTATATATTTCCAATGGTGGTCGGCCGACCACCGTTGGAAAAAACTTAACTATTTTTCAACTGCTGCTCCAAATTTACAATTTTTTCAGTCCAAATTTTGTTTGCAATTTATTGCATGTTCATGAATGGGGGCAGGCCAGCTAGACTGGTTCCCTTACCGTACAATTTTCCGGCATCTATAAATTGATCCATTTCATTTTCAGTGGAGTCAGGGAACCAGACTACTTCGACATTTTTGTTTTTCTTGGTTTTTCCAGCATTTTCGAACACAAAACTTCAAACTTGTCAGTGGAACAATAATTTGATCAATAATACTAACCCCTCAAATAGTTCATTTCTGAAAATTAAAGCAAAAGCCAATGATGTACATTCCCTTTAAATGCATTTCCAACATAAACTAGCCTATGCGGCTGAGTAAGGCTGCATCCGAATCAGTTGGCTAGAGCTAGGTCTAGGTCTGCGCCCATTGAAAATACGCGGGGACGCGCTGACAATAGACGTAGCCGTAGCTCTGGAAGCCCTTTTCGGACACGGCCTCAGATGCACTGTGGCCATCTTGGATGTGTGCTTTTGTTCAATAGGCGGTACGCATGAGTGTACACCTCGTGTCCATTCATTTTTGAATTGACATAGAACACTGTTCCGAGATGTGGAATAGTGATCAACTATGGCCGTGTCCTATTGGACCGATCCAGTAAGCCCCGCCCACTGCGCACGTGGGCAAATTACCACGTGCTCCTCTCCAATGCCACGCTGCATTTTCCTGCCGCGCGCATCATACGCGCGTGCACGCATGTCGGACTTCTGTGCACGCACGTCGGACATAAATCACGGCTGTGATTGGTCAGTACACCATGGGGCGGTGCTTACTGGATCGGTCCATTACTTGGCTTCGGCGTGACATCACACACGTCTATGGTAGTGGCTGCAACCACTTCCCATAGACTTGTGTGTAATATCAAGCCGTAGCCAAGAAAATCGGACTATTTTATTGTATTTCCGATGTTGCTCATTGGCCAATTGCCGCCATGAGTACTGCATAGGCTGCCATATACTATTAGGTCTATAATGAGTTCAGTACATTACAGGCAAAGAAGCGACAATGAAAAGTAAGGACACACTAAGTCCAAGAAAAAAAAAACACCCCCAGTTGATCGTCCGGTTTTTTTTGTAAAAGAGAAGGTTGATGACCACAAAATCGTCTTAAAGTGCTTAATATTGAATATTAGAAAATCTATTACATGTATAAGCATCTGAACTTCTGAAACATCTTTCAAAAATATTAATGCCTGATATTAACACAGACAAAAATTCATGCATCCCAAAAAAGGAAGCGGGCGGGGTATTTGGTAACTGGTATTTGTTTCTACTTGGCCTAAGTGGATATAGATGCCATCTATAAACACCGCAAAATGGAGGAGTTTAAAAGCAGCACCGATAAATGTGGCCAAATGGTAACATGTTTACATGAACTGCTGTTCAATTCGAAAAGCCCTTTTTTGTTATACAGGAAAAAATAATAATAATAACTGAATAACTTAAAACCTGCAAACTACCCCCCAAAAATATGTAAATTATCACTACACAAAACAAATTAATATCCAAAAGAACCCAAAGCTATATATTTTTTTCAACTTCAATAATTTTTTTTGTGCATTTTAAAAAACTAAAGAAATATGTCTATAAAACTGCTTAACAACAATCATGAGTGTTTGTAAACAAATTCAACAAAATTTCAACGAGCTTGAAGATTACCATAATAATATAGCTACCTATGTCCTTGGTAAAATGCTCTCCGTGGTACAACATTTTTTCTAGTATACATTTTTTTCTCAATATCCCTTTGAAGAGTGAATTACTAAGCCTCAGTAATTAAGGACAAGGTTGGCAAATTATTGTATAGTTATGACCTGCACGATTTTCACATTTACTAAAAATTGATCACATGATGAGAGCCATCCAATAATCTACTGCAAATTGGTAGATTTTATAGGCAGCACCGAGAAAATGTGGCACAATGGCTACATGTACATGTAAAACTGCTGTTCAATTAGAAAAGCCTTTTTGTCTCGCAGGGGAAAAACCAAAACAATAAAACTAATTAACAACTGTATTATTACAAACCTACCACCTACCAAAAAAACCCTGTATATGATCACTACAAAACAAATGGATATCCAAAAATAGAACCAAAACCTACATTGTTTTGTTCAAATACAATTAATTTTTGTGCATATTATATTTTAAAACTAAAGAACAATCATGAATTTAAGTACCGTACATGTAAAAAAAAAAGAAGCACTTGATGATTACTAAAAATATAGCTATCTCTGGCCTTGGAAACATGCTCCCTGTAGTACATTTTTCTAGTTCCCTATCAATATCCCTTTGAATAGTGAATGATTACTGTGCTTCATTGGGTGCGTTCGAGTAGCTCACCCGGATCGACTCAGGTATTAAAGGCAGACGGGTTGGGTAAATAGGGGCAGACGGGTTAGCCACGATAGCCGGGCTAATCGAACGCTCAACCACCGCGCGGGCCATCACGATTCTCACGGGACGCCTGTATAGCAATGGCTGCACCCATTGCACTGACAAAGTAATGTATGCATTATACGCGCACTGGGTAATTAGTTTGAGATTTAATGCTTTTCCGTCAATTGAAAAAAAAGAAGTAATTATAGTATCTAAAGTCGCAGTGAGCTCAATAAATGGGAATTCATTGGAATTGGAATTCAATAAAGTATATTTTTGAGTCCAACTCAGATTACCGTGGTCCGACCGCCATATTTGTCCCTTTCTTGGAATGAACAACGCATGCGTGTGACGTATTTCCACCACTGACTCTGCTCCACGAGCAGGGTCTGTGGTGGCTGACCCAGATGAGCCCGAGTACGACGTCAAAGCTTAGAATCGAACTGCACGGGGCTGACCCGTGTCGACCCGGGTGAACTAAACGAACGCACCCATCAACAGAGCCTCAAATGCCATTTTGTCTTTGAGCTCCGGACCACTCCGCGAACCTTCTATGGTACTTTACACAACGTTGCCCTTGTTGTTGAAATAATTACCCAAAAAACATTCATGTTGAGATTTTGTCTTGGCATTCCACAAGAAACAAATGATGAGAAATCAGTTGGAGATGGGTGAAATTAAAAACAAATTTTACTTCCGACCTTTCACATAAGGATTTTGGTACCTATATAGGTCCCTTGTTCGATCAAGTTTTTTTCGTGAGAACGAAAATGATAACGATGCAAAGATTTACCTACCTAAAAGCTGAGTTTCAACTAAAACAAAATGGAGTCTAGGCCTATATATTGTCCTTCCAAAAGGTCCAAAAGCTAAGCATACTAAGTCTACAATTCGTTATGTTCATCAATGAATATACTATTCCTGTTACAGCCATTACACCATTAAATTATCTAAGTCTTACACCAAAACATAAATAAACACCAAACCCTTTTTTTATTTTGTGACTACATTAATACAAACACAATAAAAAAATATATATCACCACACAAACAGTTGAAAGAAAAAAAAAGTAGAACCCCCCCGAGATTTTCAAATACAAGTCATGTACCATAAGATATCCCCCTATGCACACATAACATCAAAGTTACCCTATGACTAAGCCACAGTGGTCATGAACACACTTCATGTTTACCGGTCACATGTAGGCTTACCATGTTTTGCTTCTGTGGAAGATATAGGCCTATTGGGCCTTTTTTTTTGTTAGGATGGATACATTTAGGGATGCATGCTGATCATATCTTATCGGTTTACTATAGGCCTATTTCATCCTTAAAAAACTTATCATTATCTCATCAAAACTGGAACATCCTTTCCCAACGAATTTATTTCGCAGGCAGTTTTTCATGCAGTCGGCGTCAAACAGCTGGCGTTCTCTAAGAGTACATCCCCACTGTTAGGAACTATACGGACAAAAATGAAAATACATGTAGACTATTAATTCAACTTTAGTGACCGACTTTTTACAAAGAGCATCAAAAACACCGACTAATCCTTTCGGGTGTATATGACAAACTCATTTTTGGTGAAACGTTTCTCGACCCAAGCGACTTTCACATTGGGAAAGAAAACACTGCAAGTTTCACTCACTTTAAAACCAAAATAAATAAATGAAATAGGACTTAACTTTAACACTGAAACTGGGGGCTTGTAAGACAAGAGGGGTGCAACACAAAGTGCTAGTCCTGGTTAGAAAAAAAACCTTCATGACATAGTAACTTAAAACCACACCATGTGACCATGCTTCTCCTGCAGTCTGCAACGATATACGAAACATCATTTGTCTAAAACTGACAGTATTTTGTTGTTGATAACACAGATGCCTATAGTACAAAATTCCCAACCATTATCAAAGTCATCATATTAATTAACCTTAACTTTAACATAAACGTTTTAGTGGCATTCCATAAATTGCTGTCGTGCGATTGATTTTATAAGGCAACTTTTGTCAGAAACATTTGTGTCACCATGTTGTCAATTGTTGACAAATAAAGATGTTTTGTGTGTCGGTGGGGAGTCAGTTGGCTCAGTGTTTGTAGGCCTACTGTCCTCGCCCTCCACCGCTGTGGCCTGGGTTCGATTCCTGCCCTGTCATGGTCCACATGTTGATCGGTTTTTCAATCATATACCTTATACCGTGGGTGTTCCCTAGAATAATGTTCTCAGGTTGTACTCCCAAATCTAAAACTGTATTTTTTGTCTTCCCAATACAGTTTTCTTTAAGCCGAGGGCACTAAGGAATCATTAGTTTCATTACCAGAAAGAAATGAAATAAATAAAGCACGTATTAATTGGATTTCGCCGTTTCCAAAAGATTTTCCGACAAATCTACCAGAAATCTGTGGAATAACAGTCCAAATTAGTTTTAGCCAGTGTATTTTCAGACAATTTCTAACAGATTTTTTTGAAGTTCCTATCAATAATTTAATGTGAAAACCAATAATCCTTTCTGGCAGTAATAAACAATTAGCGCATATTCCCCATGAAAATGACCATGCAAATCTTTGCCAATAGGCCTAGTCTGATGATATGACTGCTCATACCTCATCCAGGCTGTAAGCATCACCGCGTCTCATCGCCAGTTGGAAGTTACATTCTGTGGAAAGAATCGAACATATACTTTACTTTCAAATTTAGGTCTATATAGTGTGTATCAAAAAAATGCAAACAACATGTAACCGAATGCAAGACAAAGAATGTGTAACCAACACAAGTAATAAAGGTATGGTTTAGAAGATACGCCTTTCCTCTTTAAAATGAGACATCTAACGACCAAATCGTATAATGTTTGACAGATTTATGAGTAATTTTCCTAGTGAGGTCAATTGACCATGGGACCAAGTTTTCGATTTTAGGCATTGGGATGAAGGTAGGCTAATTGCTTCTGTGTGGATATTTGCCTGGCCTACAAACGTCGTGGTTAGCGAGTTAACACAATTCTAAACACTTCTAAACACTCAAGATGTTTACAAACTGATAGTAAGACAGTGTTTAGAATTGTGTTAACTCGCTAACCACGACGTTTGTAGGCCAGGCAAATATCCACACAGAAGCAATTAGGCTACCTTCATCCCAATGCCTAAAATCGAAAACTTGGTCCCATGGTCAATTGACCTCTCTAGGAAAATTACTCATAAATCTGTCAAACATTATACGATTTGGTCGTTAGATGTCTCATTTTAAAGAGGAAAGGCGTATCTTTCAAACCGTACCTTTATTATTTATGTTGGTTACACATTCTACGTCTGGCATTCCGTTTTATTTTGTTTGCATTTTTTGATACACACTGTATAACAGTCAAACTTCAAAGCACAAAAGATGCTAAGTATACGGGTGAAGTGAATACTAACAAAGTGCAGTAGATGCCTGTCACATCTGAAAACTTATTTGACTAGTGGCTAATATTACGAGGAAGGGCTTGACAGTCATAATAAAACAATGATAATTATTTGAGAGGCCTACACTGACCCATCAAGTGCTTGAGCTTGACGACGCAAGCAAGGAAATCGTCAAAGGTGATGACCCCCTCTATGTTGCTATAGCGCAGCACCAAGGTACGAAACAACTGGTTGCTGACACGGAACCCTGCAATGTGAGGATAATAAAACCAAGTTAAAATCTGGATAGACAGGTGCGTTTTAGGTAAAAAAAAAAAACCAATTAATTAAGGGCGTATTAACACACTGTAGTACGGCAGATAGTGACATATTTGGGAGAATTGTGCTTTTGATGATACAAGCATGAGATTCGGTACACAGTTGCAGTAAAAAAGATATTTGGCCATAGGGCCATCACAAGTTTGGCCTATTGCAACAATGGCGGCCATTTTTCAATTTGGCCGCCGTGACATATTATTTTACCTATATTTTGATACATTTCTGTGTATAACGTGTTGGTGTGGTTGCAAAATGTGTTAAAACGGCCGCCATATTGGACAATGGGTCAGAATGGCCGCCATATTTTGTCATGGGACAAATCTGTGACGACAAGTATAGTCGGAGGTCTTTAATTGGGTGCTAAAAGTCATGCTTTTATGAAAAAAAATCAATTTATTCACACCTTATGTACCAAATATATGTAAATATCAAGTAATGGCGGCCATTTTGAAAAAAAGACCGCCATTGTTGTCATAGGCCAAATCTGTGATGGCCCTTTAGCCAAATTTTTTTCTTAGGACATACTCTGACTGTATGCCGAATTTTATGCTTGTATCATCAAAAGCACAATTCCTGCACATATCTGCCGTACTCAGAAAAAGCGGATATGTAAATGTGGCCTACAACAATAATTATCTTGAACCCGTTGGGTGGGAACACTATGCAGCATTTTTATTTTTTGGCAAAGTATTATCACGCCACAAACTACTTCATTCGATCACATGCATTCCAAAAATAGGGGCGGTAGGTTGAGAAACCTTCTTTTTTTTAATTTTGCAAGTTTTGTGTGTTGTGAATGAATGGTGTTTTCACATCATGCGCGTACTATTATTTCAGCTTGATTTATTTAGATGCGTGCCACGGAAACATTTAAAACCGACCCCCAAAAAACCATCAAACGATGAAATGCTACCTATTTAAGGAAAAAATATTTAAGGTCAACGATACTTTCACAGATGAGAGAATTTAAGTTGTACCTACCACTTTGCACAACATTGCAACGAGAAACTGGTCGGCGTGGTCCGTTTCAGAGAAAATTTAGTGGAATAATAATAATAATTACCTTGGATTGGAAAATTTTGAGAGACATTGACAAAGACTTGCGCAACAAATTTTCAAACTGAAATGTGCCCTAACCCAATATTCCCTTGTCTTTTCCCCATGAATTTCGGTATGTTTACTAATTAGACCACGAGGCTACCTAATTGCGACAATAACATTTTTGCCTCTAAAGGGGGCTGTGACATTAGGGAGACATGGATATTATAGTTACAATGATAATTACGAATATTTTCGACCCGGCAACTAAAGCGGGTGGCCAAACCTTGAAATTGAATGGTAAAAGACTTTTTTGTTAAAAGCACGTGATTTTTTTTCTCGGACGAAAATGCATGTTAAAGAGGTTGTGGAATGCTCGAAGACATTTCCGTCATTTTTCGGGTATATGTAGCCTAAGGTGTGATGAAATAAAAACGACTATTGTTTCTGTCATAAAATGAGTACAAAATGTACTTTGAGAGCTGTTTTTCAAGTCCTGTCATGCCTGTTTTGACCCGAAAGTGCAATTTGTATAAAAGTCGTCGTTGCGGGCAGCAATCAAAACACAGTAAATCGTGACGTAATAAACAGGACTCCCGATGCAGAGTAGCATAAATGAGTCCTGTTTATTACGTCACGATTTACTGTGTTTTGTTTGCTGCCCGCAACGACGACTTTTACACAAATTGCACGTTCGGGTCGAAACAGGACCTGAAAAATAGCTCTCAAAAGTGCCCTTTGTACTCATTTCATGACAGAAACAATAGTCGTTTTTATTTCATCACACATTAGGCTACATATACCCGAAAAATGACGGAAATGTCTTTGAGCATTCCACAACCTCTTTAAGGTAAATCTGATTGAGAAATGTTTTAAAATAACCGGGAAAACATATTCAATGTTTGTGAGTGCAATGGTGAGAATAATAACATCTCCCGTGAACTTTCCGCCGTACTGAGATCGCGTATACTTATCATAAAGCTTCTGACCGAGTTTGACCAACATAAAGGGTGAGTAAAAAAACGAAACGCAAATGTCGGGACTATTATGTCAGTGAAGTTCTGCATGTAGCACTTTCAAAATCTAGAATATAAAAGCCCAATTCATAAACTTTCTTTGGGTACAAGCATTATTTAAATCACTTAAGTACTTTTCAAGTTACGGAATTTTAAACACAACCACCGTTTTAAATTTCTGTCCACGGATCACACAAAAGGTGTGCGTTCTTTCAGCAAACGAAAACAATTCACACACATCCCTTTGTGATTTGTTTTCGTTTTGCTGAAAGAACACTTACTTTTTGTAATCCGTTGACAGAACTTTAAAACGGTGGTTGTGTTTAAAAGTCCGTCACTTAAAAATTACATGAGTGATTTGAATGATTCTTGTACTAAAAGAAAGCTTCTGCATGAATTGGGTTTTCATATGCTAGATTATAAAAGTGCTACATACAGAACTTCACTAAAACAATAGTCCCGACATTTGTTTTTTGTTTTTTACTCACCCTGTACACCATGAAACACTTGACAAAAAGTCGTGGTCTTATTGGCCAATTGGCACTCTTTTGATTGACAGGCCTAAAATATCCACAATGACCATTATCCCGAAGTGTGATTCCTTAATACAACCATTTTATTCCAACTCGATGATACCCCAATTCCTGTGCCCTTCCCCCGCAAAAAAAATTGAAAAAATTGAAAACTAAAAACACTACTCTACTCACCAATTTTACTCAGGGCTCTACGCAGTTCATAGCTGTTGAAGTTTCCTGAGTTATCTTGATCGTACTTTTTAAAAACGCCCTGTACAAATTACAAAATTACAAATATATATTTATATGTATATGGCACACTTGATCTGTATTAAAGCAGAACGACGTGATATCTGTTTAAAAGTATAGTCGTATATTTGTAAGTTGTGCATTTTGTTCGTTTGAAGCAACAAACGTGCTCAAATTCTAAAGAAGGGTGCTGAACAACTAAACCTGATGAAGTTTCAGCTCAGCTTCAGCTGTATATTCGAGAAAAACAGTACTCTAGGATCTGGATTTCAAATTCAAAAGTTGCTCAATCATGTTTTGAATTGGGCCTGAAATCAGCGTCCGAGACACGTTCTCACAGAGCCGATTGCAGCTACGCACACTTCGCCGAATAAAAAAAGAACTACTAAGGCCAAAAAAAAAAAGTCTCCGGTTTCTGGTATGGAGCTTGTCCAAAAAGTGGTGCGGCGACGCGGCTTTTTTTTTTTTTTTACCCGACTTTTTTGCTTCAAATGTCGGCTGATGACTGCAAATGGTGCCCGACTAAACTTAGTGCAAATATATGGGAGTCCAGAGAGGCCACATAAAGCTTATTCTCGATCATAACCCCATCAAAAAAACACGTTGAAATTGCGCAGCAGCAGAATTCCAGTCAAACCAGTGAGTTTGGCGGTTTTGAGACATCATCTTTCATTGAAAAAAAAACTTTTTCATTTTGCCGACGCGCATGGCTACGGCGACGCGCGCGCATACCAGAAACCGGAGACTTTTTTTTTTTGGCCTAACGGACATTTCCAACGGTGCGTCTTAAGACGCACCGTACCGTTGGAAAGGGCTTCTTTCGTTGACCCCTTACTATCTTTTAACCAAGGATGTTTTTCAACAATAGTTACGTCAGTTACTTTTTGGAAAGCTGCAAATGATGGGATATAGCTTTAATATCCTTTAACATTCACTGCATGTAGTACATATTGTGATTAATCTTTTTTTTAATTTCCATCGTGAGCACGTAGATATATAGGTTCAAAAGTGGAAAAGCCTGCATTTAACTCTCTTTGTCACCGGTTGTCATTCAGGTACATAGACGCCTTGCATGGCAGCCATGTTGACTGGGACCAGATTGACTGGGACCAATAGGACGCCAGACCAATGGGACGCCGGACCAATGGGACGTCCCCGGCCCCGTGTCAAAAGGCGGTAACATTTCCGTGCAAACGTTGTGCACAAAATAATAATGGGGATCATGTTTATGCAAAGAATGTCGTGGTTGGCAGAGCAAACTGGGCTCAGTTCCTTTCTCAATTTATTTAGACGACTGATTCTTCAAATTCACTTTTGCCTACCTTCCACTGCCTGAGGTTACTCCACACTTCCTTGAACTCATCAAAGCCGAGCTTGCCAGAAACATCAACCTGGCAAAAAGCTTGGTTAAGGAGAACACTTTACGATACAATCTAGTCATTTTTGTTTTCATACAGACCCATTTCTGTCCTTTGATAGATGATTACTGACAAATGACAATGACAAATGATGCTGATAAATATTGAGCCATTACATTGTTAATTCAATATGCTCTTGTTAAAATTCCAATATATATTTGTTAGACAAGAGTATGAGTTCCGTGAGCCAACAAAGAGGGCGTTTATATTACCACTTTTGAGAGACGCGTCTGATGCTGCGTTCAAATCACGTCGTGTTTATCCGATGTTCACAAGTTCATTAGTCGTATCTAGCATTCGTATTCCCCTGTAACTCGTATTCACCAGTGGTGAAGTGGAGGCGGAATTATTTTCTCGAGTTCACCACAAGTCTGGTTCCCTGACCTGATAATTTCCCCCCACACCCAGACGTCTAAATTCATTTCGCTCGTAACCCCGCCCTGCAAACAGGACGCTGGGATACTCTGATGATCTTCACAGAATCTTGTGAAGGAAGTGGTCTATGACCTATGTATAAAGCATCTGGCTACAGCTGTTCAAGACCGCAGTTAGACAATGTGCGCAAATGCTATCCGAAAACGTCCCATAAAATTGCGCACATTCCATACCGGATGTGATTTCTGTTTCATTGCGGACCATGTGGACAAAATTTTGAGCGTCGCATAATGCAATCCGACCGTTCGTGATTCGAAACGGAGCCTGAGCGAGTGACGGGAATTGTAAATTTACAACACAGCCTGAACACAGATAAGGTTTACATAATTTCCTACATTATTACGCTTTTCAACGAGAAAAAACATCTCTAAACTGGAATAAAAGAGTAATGAATCAGTCTTAACGGCCGTTTCAAACCTTGCAGAGTCATGACTTTGATGACGCGCAGGTCACTGGTCACGCAAAATCCAACCAATCAGAGCGTGAATTCATCAGAGTATCCCAGCGTCCTGTTTGCAGGGCGGGGGCTACGAGCGAACTAAATTCATCAGAAATAGTCGGAATCTTAATTTTGGACTGGTTCACGACCATATAGACCTTTCTACGCTTGGTTGGCAAACTGCATTTTTGCCAACCACGGGCACTGATCTCTATATAAAGACTGGATAGCGGATATTCGCCAATGTTTACAAACAAAGGCCAGGTCTATAGTTATTTTGTTCACGACTTGCCAAAAATAGTTTGCGCGGCTAAGGCAATGTACAAGACAAGAAAGGAAGGCCTTGTGCATGCGTGCATGGTAAGTAGCACATGATAAACACGACGCGATTGGGACGCATGATCTGTCTCCCAGAATAATCCCCGCCCCCCAAAAAATCCCTAAGGATACAATCGATGTCCGTAATGGATATACCGGGAACCAGTCTAGCTCCCCTGACTCTCTTTTTCTGGCCCGTGACGGAGCCCAAGTCCAAAGATTGGTTAGTGTGTATAAAAACTGCATGTGGCTTATTTCGTAAATGTGGGGCCAATGAATTTTGATGTCACTCATTACATTGTGATATTTGTTGCCCTGTAGCAACAGTGAATTATATACAAATGATTTTAGTTGCTCAAATTATAGTACTTGTACATACATATTTTATAGCACAGCATGAAACATCCAACTAATTTCCTGAAAGCTAAATAGTTCACGGTTTCACGTGTAAAAGGGACAGCAAAGCTGCGACATTTTAAAAACTGCTGTTGAAATGTGTTTTACTTGGTTCCGAATTCCGTATGTTATTGAATCCTACCCTGTGCGCGCATGACTGTGTGTATGAAAAATGGGCCTTATTCACGAGTTGGCCATTTTGTCGAGTTCCCTGAGTGTATTGCATTAATTGTTAACTGTTGAATGGGATAGCACCAGACTATTAATGCAGGCATAATGCAGCCTTATTTTACTGTCTTTTTTTAAATGTGGCTTTAAACATTATAGGGAATGTTTAATTACACATTTTACATTGTTTATAAAAGCAGAATGGAAAGAATTAGTAATTAACTTGCTTTCATTTCTCTTCGCAAGTTCCAAAAATTAAGATTTTACCTAAGTTTCAATTTAATATGGCCGACTCGTGCATAAGGCCCATGGACAGTTTGGTCGAGAGAAAAGAAACAATGCATTACAAAAATAGTGATTTTGGGAAGAAAAGTGAAATTCCCTTCCTACTAAAGTTTCCTATTGATTTTGCATTTGAATAATCAGATAGTTCATTTAAACATTAAATAAACAACAGTATTGAGACCCCTCGTACTGAAAAAAACCATCAAGGATACATCTACGGCAGCTAAAATGGCTCTGCATGTATCCGTAGAAAATTCAGAGCCTTCAAACTCTAAAATATCAGAAAGAAAAAATAAATCAGAAAGTTAATGAACGTCTATATTTTAATGTTGTTGAAGTAATTCGTCTATGGATTTACAAGGGAAAGAGGCAACTCATTCCATTTTCAAATAAGGTTTTGCCCTCCATTTTCACAAGAATTTCCCACAGCAACTTTTTAGGAATTTAGCATTTTGATCAGAACCCCTAGCCCTCGTTATATTAATCTAAATTTTCAATCATTAAATTAAGTCACAAAAAAATGCCTACTTTTATTCAAAATGTTGCCAATTACACGCAGAGTATAGGCATGCGCTGCTTCCAGTATGTTCTAAGACTAAATAATAGTATTTGCAATAACTTACAAATAAGTACTGGCTGTTACATCAATCTACTTTTGACAGCACGTGCACAAACTATCTCACAACTCAAACCAAACACACCTCTTTAATAGTCATACAAATAGCGTGTAGAGACTGCAAACCACACTTCGTGTATAAACTGGCAGCCCGTGATGAAAACGTGTAACACATTGCTTTGTTCCAGTTATTTGCCACACTTGGTGGCAGCGGTGGGATCCTTATATATCCGTGGATATTTTGGGCATAGTATTCAACCGTCCCTAGACTTTTTGGACATGCAACTCCGTCCCCGGGGGCTACTTTCATAGTGACCGTTTTAGCCGATTTTCGGCTAAACTTTGACAGATTCTTCGTTCAAAAACGAGTTTGACCGATTTTTTTGGGCAGATTTCTGGCAGAATTCAGCAAAAATTGTTATTTAACAGAAAAAAACATAGCAAATTAGAAAAAAACCCAGCACATTTGTTTGAAAAAGCTTCATTTTTTTTCAAACACACCCTTGCATAATTGAACAGGTTGCCTGGTCTAAGTGCTGAGGTTCACTGGGAAAAAGACGACGCAACCGCGTTTTGCCTGAAATTTACGCAGTTTCATAACATCTTTATGTGACTGAAGATTGTTTATAATGTAATTTTAAACTTAATTAAGGCGATACTAGTTATACTACTACTACATCTGCACGTGCTGTAGTGTATTTTGAGTAATTCTGGGGAATTGGGCAGAGTTTTGATTCATCTGAAAGATTTTTGGAGTGTGTTAAATTTAGCAGAATTTTTCTTCATGACCTTACGGTCACCCTGGTTACTTTTTTCAACCTCGTTGCCATATAATCCTGGATTTTCACTTGCTTCCTGTATCCCAATTCGATACAGCTATTAACCGTAATTGGTGTTATTTCCAGCTGGTTATAATATTACTCATTTAACAATCAATGTGAATTACTCCCAATCGACCTGAAAACACCCCCTTTAATTTCCATTTTGGCATAATGTGTAATGTGACACAGCATGTATGTAATATGTGTAACATATTATTGATCCCTACCTTGAACCAGCGCTCACATCACCTACCTGTTCAACATCTGTGCTGAAGGTTGATGGGTTGCAATCATAGAGCTAAATTAAAGATATAGTCCATCATTTGTAATTTGTGCATTTTGTTCGTTTGAAGCAACAAAAGTGTTCAGAATCTAATGAAAGATACTACACAACTAACCTGATGAAGTTTCAGCTCAGCTTCAGCTGTATATTCCGAGAAAAACAACATTTTAGGATCTCAATTTCAAATCAAAAGTTGCTGAATCGTGTTTTGAATTGTTTTGAATTGCAGCTGTACGCGATGTCGCGCACTGATCCGACGAATTTTAGCAACCGCGCGCGCCTGTGCGTCGTGCCAATGCTTGCGCGCGGCGCCGAATAACAAAACGAACTACTAATTCGTTTATTACTAAGGGAATAAATGTGTGTTTGGGAGGTATTATAACAGTCTGTTTAAGACCGGTTTGAGTCTGGATGGGCGATAATTACCCGAGGCGAACCCGAGGCGAAGCCGAGGCTAATTATCGCCCATCCAGACTCAAACCGGTCTTAAACAGAGTGTTTAATACCGACCGAACACACATTTATTCCCATTCATAAATACCTTTTCGGCCCAAAATAAAAAAAGAAATGTCAAAAACTAGACGTTGCCAACCATTTTGTTCAACAATTTTACATCATGTTTTACGAAACACCCCTCTGACTATAATATGGAATGCCTCTCCACAACTCGTTACCTAATAGGGACATTGGCGTGCGCGTCGCGCGTACTGCGCGATGTCGCGCAAAACGCATCTGGGCTGGTGAAGTGTGAATTTTGGACCATGAAAAACTGATTCACTGGTAGTACATTGCGCATGCATATGGGAGGAATTTGAACGTTCAGCCAATGAAACGTTAAAAGGCACCGGATTTCATAGGAGTCAAAATTTCATGTGACACTGCAAAAGCATTCAAGACCAGCTAGTCATGTCTTTATCATCCGTTTAAGACCGGCCACGTGACGGGTTCTCGACCAATAGGAATGCGTAAACTGTCTGAGGTATTTATGAATTCAAAATGATAGCTTGCCAGAAAGATTAATTTCACAGGGAGTTTAGTCCACTTAGTATCTTTCAACCGAGTATGTTTTTCAACAATAATACGCCAATTACTTTTTCGGATGGCTGCAAAATGATAGACTATAGCTTTAAATTACTAGAGCGCTAACTCCTCATTCTTGCGCGCGGAGACGCTTTGAAACCGTCCTGGGCGCAGACATTTTGAATTCACGTGCGTGTTTGTCAGCCTCGACCATTGATCTCCATATACACAGTCTGTGTATATGGAGATCAATGGCCTCGACCATGGCCACGACCATAGACTCCATGGGCGCCCTCGCGTTCCTTCACTAACCCCTGGCCATGATGTACACGTAAACGATGCTGACTGGCTATTCAGAGCGTCCTGCGCGCGCATTTCGAAGATTGCACGCCGGGCGCGCCCATAATGCGCTCGCGTGCTTTGCACGTGACGTCACGTACGAAAATGTTTTGTTATTCAAAACTCGCGATGCCTGTACGATATGGATTATGGCAGCCTCGTTTTGCGCTAAAAAAAACCCCTGTATCTTTGTTTGTAAAGGAACAAAAGGGGTACGCACATTTAATACAAATCTTTGCTAAATAAGTAAACGTCCAAACCTTATGTTTGAAAGGATTGATTCTTCAAAATCACAACTTTCAACATTTTAAAGATGGTGTCGGCACGTAAAACGGATACACTGCAGCCTAATTAGCAGCGTTTTAGTAAAGATTTGTATTAAAGGGACACTAGGTCCTGGAACAGCCCAATTGGGCTATAAAACGCGCTTTGAACGGGATTATGTTAATCGGGACAAAAAAACATTTAAAACTAGCATATAAATACCCACACAACTATCCTTTGAAAACTGGGCGTTTTGTGTTATTCCTTTTTTATGCATGCGAGAACGAATTCCGGGGTCCACTTTTGCGACCCCATAAATTCGAGCTGTGTAAAAACATGGATGCGCCCATCAGGCATCTCTTTGTACATCGAGTTATCGCTCTAGTACTTTAAAGCTACAGTCCATCATTTGCAGCTATCCAAAAAGTAACTGACGTAATTATTGTTGAAAAACATACTTGGTTGAAAGATAGTAAGAGGACTAAACTCCCTGTGAAATTATTCTTTATGGCAAGCTGTCATTTTGAAGAAATCAACGAAAGAAGGCATTTCCAACGGTGCGTCTTAAGATAGTAGTTCATTTTTATTCGGCAAAGCGCATGCGCACTCAAGCGTTGGCACGACGCACACGCACGCGCGCGCGGTTGCTATAATTCGTCGGATCGTTGTGCGACATCGCGTAGCTGCAATCGGCTTAGTGAGAACGTGTCTCGAACGCTGAATTCAGTCCCAATTCAAAACATGATTGAGCAACTTTTGATTGAAATCGAGATCCCAGAATGCTGTTTTTATCGGAATATACAGCTGAAGCTGAGCTGAAACTTCATCAGGTTAGTTGTTCAGCACCCTTCTTTGGATTTTGAGCACGTTTGTTGCTTCAAACGAACAACATGTACAAATTACAAATGATGGACTATATAGCTCTATGGCCGCAATGGAGTACCGAAGCAAGGTACAGGGCTGAATAGCGCGCTAATGTCTTTCAAAATGCACACACATTATTGTGCGCGTGATGCGTTCACTTCGGTACTCTATACTTAGTCCGTGAGCTTCTTAAAAGAACTGGGGAAACCTCATGAAAAATTGCCATCAGAATAAGGAGATTGCATTCTAATGGGGAAACTAGATGACAACTTAGTTGTGGATGGAAAACAAGACGAATCGTTAGGAAAACCATTTTGAAATATACCAAATACCCTTCCATGAGTTGTGCTTGTCCGTTCCTTTCCTGCTAAATTCACTCCCAGGATTTTAACTGGCAGTTCATACTTTCAGCTTATGTGAATGCTTGGATATTGGATGTCATAAAATGTTACCATTTTTCAATGCCAAAACAATAATAATGTGACATCATAAGTTTGTGCTTGCGTTTTCTTATTATTTTTTTGTGGTGATTGTGCATCCTTTTTTTTGCAACAATTTTTTGTGTGACCTGCCACTGAATAACGTGATTCATTACTACTTCAGGTACACCCAACCCTCAACACTATTCTATCAACTATATGTATTTTATAGAGATAGTTTGCAAATCATATGCAATGGTGTAAAGGTTATTAATGTTAGTATTCTGAGCATTTAAAACATGTTCCTCCCTACAAATCGACTAGACCAAAGTTTTTAAATAATCCGTCTTATAAAAATTATTTTCTGTCAATATATTTAACAGTTGTTGACTGATGTGATGTGGGATATGACGTTTTGAACACCCGAGGGACGCATAGAACGCTCGGCTTCGCCTCGGGCGCTATGCGTCCCTCGGGTGTTCAAAACGTCATATCCCACATCACATCAGTCAACAACTGTTAAATATCCCAATGATTAAAGTGTCGTATAGCCGGCAAGGTCATTTTATGTATTTTTTGGGGGGAGGGGGGGCGGGGCGGGGGTAAAAAGTTCGTGAAAAGGGCACTCGCATGCACATACGTGCTGAAATGCAGACGGGGTTTTTCTCCGGTCACTTTGGCCTCCGTAAAATGATAAGGGGGGGGGGGGGGGGGGGGGGGGGGGGGGGGGGGGGGGGGGGGGGGGGGGGGCTAATACCATATGGGGGTGATGTTAAAACCGGACCATCATGGACACTATCGAACAATCGGTGGCGCTTTGAAGGGCGGCACAAATGGCGACGAGCTAGGGCTATAGGGTTGGGGAACATAGGCATTGGGGGACATATGCATTGGGGAACATAGCTATGCACCCCTCCAGAGAATCGGCCGTATAATCCCATTGGTGAGAATGCTGGCCCGCGTTGTTTTTGTTTTCATTCCAACTGTCACTGTCCTTTCAAGTTACAGTTGTGTCTGTTAATTTGAAATTATTCACCATTCTTGTAAGCCGCTATCAGCACGTCTCGTAACTCATACACATCTAATTCCCCGTCCTGTCACAAGAAACAAAAAGAAAAATGATAAAATCTAAGACAGGACTACAATTATAGTTTGATAATGACAATGATCAGAACCACATTTAGCATTGCCAATGTTAGGCCAAATAAAAAAAAAACATGTTTAGCGTCCTGCCTTTTTGAGAAAAAAAGGAGGATGAGGCCCTTTTGTTAACCTCCAAAATGGCCACCCGACCGGGCTATTTTCAAGATGACCGCCAGGTTTTTTAAATGGCCACCACTTGGACTCAGGAAATGACATACCAGCTTTATATGGGCTAGATGCAACAGAAAGAGGCCAATATGATGTCCCCGTTTACAATTGATCATTAAGAAAAGAAGAAAAAAGGAGGCGGCCTCCAAAAAGGAAGCGGGCGGGGTCGCTAAACATGTTTTTTTTTATTTGGCATTACAACAGCATCAATGGTGAATGTGAATGAAAACGTCACAAGCCATGATTCCAGTTGCTTCGCTCTCGCAGTATTCATTTTTTTCTTCAAATTAATTTTCACCGTGTACCGTTTGTATTTGAACTATTTTCATCTCTTGAAAATAATAATGCTTTATATGTTTGCACCTTTAACTCAAAAAGCAGTCTGAATACTATTGCTAGGCGACAAATAATTTGAAACTTGTAAAGCAAAATAATTAACTGTAAACTATAAAATGTTTCTTCGACGTCTCATTACACAAAGTGAATAACTTTTGCGTGAGTGCTAGAAATTTTTTTGGCTTAAACTCGAAAATAGCATGGGGAGAGCATTTTTTAAATAAACATAGTCACAAACTGAAAAAAACCGCACATTTTCCAATAATGACAACAAACGACACAAGCAAAATGGGTTATCCAGTGCAACATAATTTAAAACTAGAGATTCGCGTTTGTTGTTACAAACGCAGAGTGGTCGGATAGACAACTATTTTATGAAACACTGTCCAGTTAAGTTATGAATATTTTCATGTAAGAACAAAGGATCACGAAATTACATCCCTTCCAGGACAATCAATTATTTTGTTTAAAAAAATGCATCTTTAACCGTGTGATAAATTTCACTACAATCTACGTACACGTACAAGTTATTTCTGGCTTGATAACGTCATTTGTCAAAAAAAGCTAGGAAGTGAATACTGATTTAGTTCGGAGTGGATGTTCATTGTGAAGTTAAATAACGTATGAAAATATGGAAAATATAAGTGTATGTATTCATTACACCAAACTTCCGGTTTGATGACGTCACAGTATTTGCAAGCAAAAGGTGAACATTATAATGGTATCGTTATTCGGGCTTAGATATACGACATGGATCAAAATGATAGAATTAAATTTAAAATATGATCGTTGGCAAATTCTCATTGAAGTATCTTCCGGTCTGATGACGTCATGAATTTGAAACCTTGACAAGTTATCTGTGGTTAATCAAAGAATATCAAGGGGATCTGGTAAAATGTGAACCTATGGTTTTAAAATTAAAGAAAACAATCACTATTTATGTTCCACTAGGGGGCGCCTTTTCGGATGATGACGTCATCACCCTGTTTTTTGTGTCTGTCATTCCGCACTAAACACTTTCATAAAATATATGTTTGTAGTAAAATGCTTCCTTTTTTAAGTTATATTCAGTTTGTATTGCACTTCCGGTAACACCGGAAGTAAAGGTCAAGCGGTTTTGTGTCCGGGAACACGAAATGTTTCACACGGCATAGTCTACAACCTCAAGAAAAAACGAACACGATACTGTACTTATTTCAAGAGATATAACGCAAACTATTTTGTCAAAATTTGCCCTTAAATCGCTTGTAATTTGATACCTGATGATGTCATGATGACGTAACACAATTTGTAACATCTTCGTAACACGGTACAAGTTCACACAAGGTTTTGTGATCATACCGTAAACCCTTCGGAAGAAATTGTGCTTTGCTTTGATTTCAGGCTAACATCTTCATTTTGAATTCACCTAACTTTGACCTTCCGGTTGACCCGGAAGTAAAGGTCCAGCGAGTTTACGTACGCGACAAAAAATGTGTAGCAATTAATGGTCTATCTGATTACAGAATACAAACATCATTGATTATTTAGTTCAAGAGTTATAGATGAAAGTAATTGGTCACTTTTTCAGATAAAATCACATGTAATTTGACACCCGATGACGAAATCATGACGTCAGAGTAATATGCACCACTTCGGATGAGGGTTGATATATATTGAAAGTTACAAGTTCATACCATATACCGTTTTAGGAGAAAACCCGCGGAGAAGTATTGTCCAGAAAAAAGAAGAAAGAAAAAAGATTAATTCTAACAGATCCAAAGAGTGGTCGGGTTGTGCCCGACCACTCAAAAAGACCAAAGTTTTAAGATTCAATGAAACTTTACACAAACAAACTTGAATGTGATGATTCAGTCTGCAGCGTGAAAATGTATTATTAAAATCAGGGATATGACAACAAAAACAATGGGATTAACCATGGAAACTTACGGCTCCTGCGATCTTCTCGAAAGTCTCGTGTAGGCGAGCTGTCACAGCATCATCGGAGCGCGGTTTCTCTAGCTGTGGAGGGGGGGGGGGATTAGACAAGCCTTAGAAGAGCAGCCACTCGAAGAACAGAATTAGAGGAACAGCACTTAGTGGCCATTTTGAGATGATTGTGATTCGATACGATCCGATGACGCCTCTAATTAAATGCACTGATTGTAACAGGCCTACTAATTTGCAAATTTCATATGCACTAAACAGGATTTAAGAAGTCTTCATTTTGATTGTGATGATAATTGCATTTTGATGTTTTATTTCTAGTTGGCCTTTCAGTCGTGTTGAAGACGCATTCCCCCATCTCTTTTTGAGTTGCATACGGGAAAACATGAGAAAAGGACACCTTTTTAAAATTGCTATTTTTCTGGTAATACAAAATTATGGAGACTCAAAGGTGAACATCTGCCCTTTTCTGCTAACAGAATCGCAAAAAAAAGAGGACCCTCTTCTGGTCAATCACAGGCCCGGGGGGGGGGGGGGGGCATGGACGTGCACTAGTGACCGAATTATGCCAGTCTATATGTGTTTTTATAACTCACCTCTGTCCAAAATCTAAAATAAGAAAAGAAACCTTTCAGGGTTTTAATATTGAACTGTATAAATTCAACAATTAACTCATAAGCGATTCAACAATTATAGGAACGCTTTAGTTTCCCTACATTAAATTTTTCGGTTTGAGTTCTGTCAGAGGGCGCTGTTACCAGTCAATAAAATGCGTTTATATGTCTGTGCCCGATCAGACACTTTCATAGATAAAGAATAAAAAGACTAGATCGGCAGCGCGTGCATACGCGCCATAGAGTGTGCACAAATTTCCCCGTTCCCTCATGGACGCTCTACGCGCAGTAGTGCGTGGGGCAAAACGTGCGTTACGCGCACCTACATTCCCGTAGGTTTGTGCACAAACTTGCATTTTTATGTCCGTAAAAGTAACATTTTTGACCAGTAGTTATTATGTCTCCAACAAACTTCAATATGCAATTTCAAGCTGGATAGTCACCTCGAAGTTTGCTCTGTTTTCCCCATGATTTTATTTTTCGTTTCAAAATGGTGGTGCGCGTTGCTAAAAATCTCCAAATATAATGTCAGCTTATCTGATAAATTTGTGTAAAAAAACACTGTTTTAAATAATGAAAAGGAAAACGTAGAATGTAAAAATTGCTTTAAATTACAGCTGAATTATTTAAAATCTAAATTGTGAAATGTTTGAATGGATGATTTTGGAGATTTGTATTACAATTTATCATTATCCTTTTCGGGATGAGAAGAATTACTTGGATTGCATTTTAATTAATGAAATTAAATTACACTCGCTCCATAATGTTCCAGCCTTCTGAATGGGGGGGGGGGGGGGGGGGGATGGCTTGAGGTGTACGGATGATGGGTGTGTTTGTTGTGCATATTTCGAAATAGCGTCGGGGACATTTTGGCCTCAATTTGACGCTAATTGGCGTGACCAGGCTGGGAGGGGGCATTGCTAGATGGCAACATCATGGAGAACTGAAAAGCGAAATCGGGAAAGCTGATATATAGAAGCGACATCAGGATGGTGAACGTTATATTTTGCAATGAACAATACACAAAACCACTGCTACTCATAGCGAAACGAGATGGGTTAACCGTACGAACGATTAAAATAAAAAATCCTAAAGTTTATTTACATGTGCTCTACCCATTTTTTCAACATTGAGAGATTCTTGCGCCTTCTTGAAGATTTTCAGATGCTGGATACGTCACTAGGAGTGCACAATAACACAAATTTATTTGTTCTATTTTTTTTTGGTGAAGGGTGAAGGGCTGGGGGAGGGGTGTGCATCCCCTCCAGTATCCAACAGTACAAAACTGTATCTGATAACGGCGTATGTAATGTCCTGAGGAGGGACAATGGAGAAAAAAAATATGTTCTGGGTGTTGTCCCTTAAAAATGAAGAAAATAGCACTTAAACAACTGGAAGCAAGTTTATTTTTCGCAAAGCGCATCAGCATTTTAAAACGGGAAATAATTACGAGACATAAAATGGACCAAACTTCGAACCGAACATGCAGCTTAATTACCCATTTTGAATGTTGTTGGAGAAATAACTACTACAGGTCAAAAATATAACTTATACGGCAGAAAATATATCTTTCCTTACAAACCTGTCTGCACGCACTGCCGATGACGGGCACTTTACTCTGGAATTACGCGCGCGCGATGTCTCGACGCGCGTCTAGTTCATCGCCATTTTGCGCATCGTGTGTGACGTGGGCATGGTTGCGACTGTTTTGTGTCGAGATGCCGCTGTTCCACGAAAGTCACACGATTTCTCAGTTTTGTGACCTGAGCTTTTCCTTTCATATCATCGCGGCGCAAGCAAATCGAAGGTAGTGGCCGCCCTAATTAGTACCTCTGTGGTGACCAACTCTGTCTGCTCATCTGCGGTTCTGTGGGATCAATCAAACCATTTCCATTTATTTACAAAGTCATAAATACATGTATTTACAAAAACAAAATTAGCAACAAACGATATAAGTAAAGGTCTGACACTAAATTATTGACACAGTTAAGCAGATGTTGAGAGGGGGAGCAGGCCGTACAGGAAGGAGGGAGGGGGATTGGTGATGTCATGTTCAGTAATTTAAAGAACACTCAAACAACGTTTGAAGTGGCACCATGTTGAAGTTAAATAATTAGTTCTCTATACTGAAGCCTGGGAATGTTTTTACTTTGCAGATAATTACCAATCTTTGGTCTATACTTACGTAGAGGAGGAGGTTTTTATAGTGAAGATACGAATCAGGAATTCGCCTTCCTTGTTGGGCTCAAAGGTAGAAGGGATGATACAGTACCGGCCTCGTGGCAGTTTGAAACGTCCCGTCATCTCACGAGTGTTGAGGAAGCTGTCTGAGCGGACTTTGAGCGAGTTGTTCTGGAAGAAAGACTTGTCCAGCAAGGTCGTCCTGTCATCTTTGTACTGCATGTGTGAGAAGGGACAGACTTAAAATAATAATATTTTATCAAAAAGACAGCTCGTAAGCTTAACTTAAGCCAGTCCCAAAAGGTACAATAATTAATTTTAATCGATTGATTTAGACAGGCTGTTTACTACGAATCTTTTCATTTATCTGTGACTCTGTGTACACAATATAAGGTACTCTATAGACCATGACCATGTTGCGGCCATCTTGATTGTTTTCCCATTCAAATCAAAACCAAAGCAGGACTGGAAGCTAAAATGGTCTGGTTCCTTTTTGCACAAACACATTAACATTCAATAGTGTTATTGAATAAAGGGAACATGACTGAAATGGTGGCAGCATGATAAAGGTCTGTAGAATAGCCACTCGCGCAGAACGTGCATGCTGTGCTTGCAAACTATTCAAATCACTGCATCTTGACTTCCAGATTCTGACCTTTCAGCGGCCTGCGGGCGCGCATTTTATCGGGTTTTTGGTCACCCATTGTTGTGCATGTATTTCACAAACATGGCAGCAAATTGACTAAACAAGAGCCTTGGTCGAATTTGTGCTCGAAATGACCTCACGTAATATGGCACGCGCGTTGTTCGCTTAAATATCAGTGAATAACCCCGTGTTACGGAATATATCAAAACATATAATGTATCCATAATGTCTGCTATTATTTTTCTTTTTAAAACTGAACACAAAATCGAGTACTGTGTGCGAAGAAAGGAATGAAGTGCTAAGCTAAGAAACTCACGCACAGCGCTTGCGAGGTGTGCCAGTGTAGAGTGAACTTCGCGAAATGCACAGCTTTTTTCCTCGCAGTTTTGACTGACTCTCGCAGCTGTCCGCATTGAATTGTTCGTGGGGCAAAAGTTGGATGGCAAAAACCACCACTGAACTTGTGAAAAGTAACCGAGAGGAAAGTTTGTTTGGAATGCTGTTTGGTTTGATCGCCTGTGAGCTTCGCTTAAAATGTCCAATAACGCAGACATGGCTTAGAGTTAAAAGGACTGGTTCCCGACCTCATAGATGGAAAATCCAATAGTCAGGTTTTCAATCCCCATCTCCTTCTGCTTGCGCCTGTTTTTCTGCATCAGTCCAATCACGAGAGTGCAGCCCTTGGCGGCTGGATCATCTTCATCCTCGTCGTCTTCTTCAGTGAGTCGCACCTCAATCTGAGGGTTGAGGTGAAAGGTATCTGCGGAGAGAAAAACAAGTAATTATTACGTTTTTTTTTTAAATGTCAATGACCACTGCAGACAGAGTCTCTCGACAGGCGGTGTTTTGAATGACGATTTCAGTAGCCTGTAGTTTCAAGCTACTGCCTATTGACAGTATCTTCAAATCGTCATACAGTCACCTTGTGGAAAGTGGTTTTGGTTTTCAAAATACATGGGGAATTTGCCGGCCTGAATGAAGTAGGGCCGACCCACTTTTATTTCGGCTTGGCACATGACTCCCAATTGAATGTGCTTTACAAAGAATGTGCCTTTGGGTTTCTGCACGGAGTTGGATTTTGGAGGACTCTGAAAGTTTATAGCAGAGATTTAATTCAATTCAATTCAATTTATTATACTCGTCACGTAAAAAACATGAAAATTGATTTCCAGTGTGCATTATACATGTACAATAAGACCACAGATATATACGAACGTAAAATTAATAAGATTTGATGTAAAAAACAAAAGGTACTATAAGATATTAGCACAATGACAGAGACTATATTTACAGACTATCAAAAATTGCCAAAAGATGCCAATAAAATTCGGGTTTTCATTGTCAAATTCTTCATAGGAGGACTTGAGGGGGGGGGGGGGGGGGGGGGGCATTACATACTTATGAAGTTGAGGGAGCCACCAGCAGTGATTTTTCTCCTCCATGAACCTTCAATCTCATTGGTCACCCATTCCTTCCGGCTGGAGGTGATACCAGGACCCAAATGGCACATTTCCAGACGACTATACTCACGAATGAAGTCACTGTACTCCATCCTTTACGAAAATTCAATGTATACAAATCAAGGTTAAGTTTGTAAGAATCAGTTGCTGGTGGGGATGCAGATCCGGCGTTATCTGAACTAAGCCATTGGATGGCACCATTGGCCGGTTGATCATAACACAATATTTAGGAATCGTCATTACACCAAATTATTTTAAAATATCAAATATTCAAATTTTTTTTAATGGTTTGCACAGTTTGGTGACCTAGGCCTAATAAACTAAACAGTATTTTCATTTTGTTCAGTCCCCAGGGTGCCGTTGAATAAAATATCTCCTTAATCACTCTATGCTGCTCTGAATGTTACGGTAACACTTCGCATGCATATCGCAAACAAGTAATGGAATCAATATTACAAAAATATTTAACTTTTCGCATTAATGTAATCCAAAATTTCGCAGAAATGTTATTAAAATAAAAGTGTATGGTATTTAAGGGCATTATCTTTTAGGAAATGCATTCGAATAAAAGTACATGCTTAAAGATAGGTATATAGCAAAAGCAAATGCTAGTTTTACACATATAGACCAGGCGATATTTAAAATAATTGTTACACGAAGAGGCATTTTCGAGTACAGAAGTTGGTAACATACCGGTAGCTATTTTACCTAATGTCGGGGAGTTGAATCCGAAAATGATGGTTACCAAGCTGGATTTTTAGTGGAAATGTGCATAATTTGTATAAATCTTTAATACCCGTCGTGTAATATATTTGTTCCAATATTTGGTTATACTAAATTATTATTTTATTTTTTGAAAAGTTTATTTTGGTGATTCTTCTTACACTTCCTGACTTCAATAACATTTCTAAAGCATATAAGTGACAGAATGATTATGAGGACAAAGTAACAATCCAAAATGGCTGCTATTACACCATAAAGTTGCGCGCATTTACCTTGTCTCCAGATATCATCAAGTAAGCCTAGTCTTGCCAAACCTGAGTATCGATGAACTTCAAATTCACCATGTTGCTTACTGTACTGGTACGATTACCCTATAAAAAAACCTTATGGGAAAATCATGTGAACAAAGATAACATTGCGATATTAAACGGGGGGAAACGTGGTGTCCGTAAATTGGGCTAAAAAGTAGTTGAAGGGTTGCCTAACGTGGGAGACGAACACGTTCCATGAAATTCCCAAAAATTATTGGTAAGAAACAGTTGGACGTTGACATAATTATTGTAAGCAACAATAATCTTTTATTTTGGGGGATTTCCTTGAAGTTATTCAAGTCCCCCACGTTAGGCAACCCCGTTCGTGAAATTTTTAGCCCAATTTACGGACACCTCATTTTCCCCGTTTTCCCTTTTGGCCTTAATATCAAGATGTTGTCACTTTTTACATATTGTCCCATTAATGTTTGTTAGGGTAACTGTGCTAATAAATAACTTTGTGAATTTGAAGCTCATCAATACTGACGTTTGTCAAGACTACTGGATGATATCTGAGAAAAAGTAAACGTACGCAACCTTAGGGTATAATAGTAGCCATTTTGGATTGTTTCTATGTCTTCATAATTATTCAGTCACTTATATGCTTTAGAAAATGTTATTGAAATAAGGAAGTGTAAGTATAATCACCAAAATAAACTTTTCAAAAATACAATAACAAAAAATATACCCAAATATGGGAAAAATTATATTACATGACAGGTATTAAAGATTTATGCAAATTAGATATATTATACAAATCCAGCTTGGTAACCATCATTTTCGGATTCAGCACCACCGAATTAGGTAAAATAGTTATGTTACCAACTTCTACTAAGCAATGCCTCTTCTTGCCCTAAATGAGCCCTTTTTTAAATACCGCCTAGACTAATACCACCCAATAGCTTTGTTGACAGACTGAAAGCTTTTTCAGGAAATTCTGTGACTCTGTGGTGGCTGTTCAGAATTGTGTAACTAATACCCCATACAATTGACCCAGAGTGCATAAACTTGTCCACAATTTATCACAGACATTTTATGAGATGTATAAGTCGGGGAAAACAGCCAAAGACATACAGGGTGAGTCAAAACCAGCGGAACACAAACCTCAAAAACTATATTTAATATTTACAAAAAAATGTAGTACCAAAAATAATGACTGGGAAGCCAATTTCATAAACTACATTTAGATGAAAAAATACTGAAATTGCTCAATCCGTTCAAAGAATATCACCATCATAAAACCTCTTTCGTCCAATAACGTCTTCAAACATCACCAGCGATAAAACCTCAGTTAAGATGTTAAAAAATATCACACAAAGTCCTTTTAAAGGCCCGTCTTTTTAAAAAAAGGTGAATTCTATAAATCATATTGTTCACCTAGCCAGGGTAGCTAATAGAGATATTGTGTACTACAGTTGTTGGCAGTTGTTGAAACAAGTATTCTGTGTAATTTTCTTTGTTGTTCCAAACAGTTAGAAAACTCACTAAGTTTTTTTTGTTGATGAAACAGGTTTTAGCGTCATTGCGCTTAAATGGTGATATTCTTTGAACGGATTGAGCAATTTCAGTAATTAAAAAAAAAGTAGCTTATAAAATTGGCTTTCCACTTATTATTATTTTTGGTGCTAAATAATTTTTTTTAATATGAAATATATTTTTGGAGATTTGGGTTACGTGTTTTTGACTCACCCTAGCTGTAAAAGCCCTTGACCTACCAGAACTCGCCGTCGGCATCAAACGTCAGGCCCATGTCTCTCCTCTCACTCTCGGACACGGACGACCATTCACGGGAACTTCAAATACACAACAATGAGTGTTTAAAATTAACAATCACTAATCACACGAGAACAAATCTCCTACAGATTCAATCCTATATTACGATTTCTGCCGGTCAATATATAGGCTATGGAGTTTACTCACAAGGAACCATTTTGGTCGTGTTCCCTGAATGTATTTTATAAATTGTGAATTGTTGAATGGGATGGTGCCTGACTTTATATGCATTCTTGCCTCACTTTTATTTGTTCATGTTTTTTTGTAATGTGGCTTTTGTATGTTTAATCACAAATTTTCATATTATTCATCAGAGTAGACTGGTATTAATTTGTAATTACCTTTTTTGTCATTGCTTTCATTTCTCCTCGCAATTTCCAAAAATTAAGATTTTACCTCGCTTTTTTATTTAACATGGCCGACTCGTGAATAAAGCTTATATCATGTTTTAATATATTCCATCAATTATGGGAGTACCTATTTCCCAATTCAATTGTTTACTAATGCTAGGTTTACTAAAATAGTATAAAACTTTTACAAATAAAGAGCGTGTGTCGTCCGCATAATCAGACCAACAATAATATAGCCCGTGAGGTCATAATGGACAAAGAAAGACATTATGAGACGAAGTTGTACTTGAGCTGATCTGAAGTGGTTTATTCGGTTGGCTGTGATGCTCTCTGTCTGATTTCTATATTCTACTGGGTTTTATTCAGTAAATGGACATTCCAATCTTACAGCTATATCTTACAGGTTTTCTTGCCTAGTATTAAGAATTGTTCACTAACTATTGAATATTAATAATACAAGATTGAAGGTGTTTGGTCAACTTGTATCTGGGGGCAGGGATAGGCAAATTATTAGAACAATCGGACTTCCTCATACGTCTGTGGCTGATTCATCACTGTGGCCTTCCAGTGCAGCCCAGCGTCCACCCACGCGGGCCTTGTTGCAAAACTGGCCATTCATTAGATGTGTCTCATTACCAGGAATTGTGGTCCTGTTCCTTGAAGGTCAACCCATGCAATTTATACAAGAAATATAAAACATGGTATTTTATCACGGGGATATAACCAGACCTGTTGAAATGGTGATGTAGAGCTATTGTGTATGCAAGCATTCTTGATGACACAAGTTATGGTAAACTATTCGAATTGTATTTTGTCTTACCGGTCACTCCAACGCCCACTCCACTCACTCTTGTCAACGGGATCGAGAATGCGGACCAAAACAACCCTCTGCGAGGATCCGTGCAGACGAAGAGTCACCTGCATATACAATGGAGACATTTAAAGACAGGATGGACATTGTTTAAGGCTGAAATTGTTATTATAATTAAATATCAATAAGGGAATACATGTGTGTTAAACTCTGTTTAATATGACCGGTTGGAGTCTGGATGAGTGATAATTACCCGAGGTGAAGCCAAGGCTTATTACCAGCACTCCAGACTCCAACCGGTCTTAAACACAGTTTATTACCCGACCAAACACATATCATTCCCATTCATATATACCTTTTCCGTCAAAAAAAAAAAAAATTCGGTCCAAAAATCAAAACAAGTAAAAAATAGACGTTGCTAACCATTTTGTTCAACAATTTTAATTCATGTTTTATGAAACACCCCTCTGACTATTATATGGAATGTCCCTCTACAACTCCTTACCTTATAAGGAGATTGGCGTGCGCGTCGCGCGTACTGTGCGTCGCGCAAAACGCAGCTGGGCTGGTGTAGTGTGAATTTCGGACTATGCAATACTGATTCACCTATTTGTATTGCACACATAGAGCTATATTATTTATTATCTTCAAGCAAACTTGATTCCTCGATCCTGATTGGTCGATCCATGGCAACAAGCCGTGCTACATATAACCATACCGCACGGCCACGGTACTACGGAAGTGTATTTAGGACACAAATTTTGAGGCCCTCTATTTCGCCCGGGCGGATTACTATTTCGCCCGGGCGAATTATTATTTCGCCCGGGCGGATTACTAATTCGCCCGGGCGAATTACTATTTCGCCCGGACGGATTACTAATTCGCCCGGGCGAATTAGTAGTCTGTCCGGCCGGGAGAATTAGTAATCTGCCCTGGCGAATTAGTAGTCTGCCCGGGCGAATTAGTAATCCGCCCGGGCGGAATAGTAAAAATTCGTTATCACGCTTGCGCGAGTGGAACACGGAAAATGTAGTGCGTCTGTGTCCCACATACCACTCGGCCTTCGGCCTCGTGGCATGTGGGACACAGACGCACTACATTATTCCGTGTTCCACTGGCGCTCGCAAGATAACTAATAATATAGCTCTATGATTGCACGTTAAAAGGCACCAGATTTCATGGGAGTGCAAATTTCATGTGACACTGGAAAAGTGTTTAAGACCAGCCAGCCATGTCTTTATCATCCTTTTAAGACCGACCACGTGACGGGTTCTCGACCAATGGAAATGGGTAAACTGTATGAATACAAGTTATATAGCGCCTTTGCAAAAGAATTCAAAGGTGTGTAAACAAATCAACAGAATTGGGAACAAATGAAATCAAAACAAATATGGTTTTTAAGAGGCCCTTAAACTGTGCAAGGCATAGTGATACCGGTGGATCGAAGGGGGGGGGCGAATTAGATTTAAAAAAAAAAACGTCCAAACCATGCCAAGTACCGTACCGGTACTCGCGCGCCCCCGTCTGCCCAAAAGTTCAGGGGCCACTTGCGGACTTAAAGAGCGGAGAAACCTCTCCTACGTCTGCATAAAATACGCAGAGTGAATGTGGCGTGAGAATTTGTGGCCATATGTATGGATAGCATAAATGTGAACATGATGGAACAATTGCTGGTCTCATCTGCTCAATGTGCACTCTGTACGTGGTAATACCCATTTTTTTAAAACGTTCGCGCAATGCCAGCATATGGGGTAAAGGAATTTGAAATCATTCATCGAATTATTTATCTACTTTTGACAAACCATGAAGGAAGGATTGTAACTTTTTGTATGGAAAAAACAAGAGTACATGTATAGTCTAAACAAATATAAACAAATGTTGCTTGGAATCTTATTACATATTGCTCAAAAATTGTCAGGGGAAATTAAGTAGCCAGCAATCGCCTCAGAAGCTTTTTTTTAACATAGTTAAACGTCAATGTCAACAATTAAGAATGTAAACATGCACATTGGCGTCTTACAGTGTGTATGGTAAGAGAAAACATTGCCTTACTTTTTTTACAGCAGTGATGATGTAAGCGTGTCCCATGATCAATCCGTTGGGCAGCTTAGCCTCCTTCTCAGTGGCTCTGTTGGCGTCAATGGAGCAGGCCATCAGGGAAGCACGTTGGTTGCCTTGAAGCATCAGCACGGACAGGTTCTCAGGAGGGTCCTTCAGCTTGTGCAGCTCACAGACTCCACCAGTGAAGTCTTCCATGGCCTCGATGGTGTCCCCGCCCTTCAGCGCCTCATAGCTTCCGTGCAGTCTACAAGACATGTGTCAATGGGGAGTACAATTATTATAAGCACTTCGCACAATAGTTTAGTCAGGATTATTTTTTTTCAGTGGGGAGCCCAGGGGGACTTTATGGGGGAAATAAGGGCGGACCAAACAATTTTCCTCCAAATTTTCAAATTAAGCGTGGACTGAGCAGGGGAGGGGCTGGATCTCCCCTGACGTCGGAGGGCGATCTTGTTTCTTGTCATGTTATACAGCTTTCATAAGTCCATAGGGTTAATGGACTACAAATCGAATTATATTAACATTCCTCGTCTTGATTAATAACTAAAAATAAAAGGCACTTTCTGGACGAGGGGCCAATTTTAATTTTGTTACTTTTTTTTATATCCTAATTATTTTTTATTTATTATTATTATGATATTATTATTATTATTATTATTATGCCGTGTGAACAAATTGTATAATGAGGTTCAATGGGTCACGACACGGCGCGGAAGATCGTGTTGTGATTTGCTTGGACAAAGACCCATAAACATTGCGCGTCTTTTGGTTAAAAAATGCAAGTCGAACTTCAAGTATACTTGTACTAACACAAAAGTTTAACAGTTTGTTACAATTTTCTCACAAAATGATCTTGAATAGCTGTAGTTTCAGATACCGAGTGAACAAATTGTGCGGAGTATACTTGAAATGAGCAGCATACAGTGATTTAAAAATAACAAAGCATTCTCGGCATCGAATTCTACACGTCTATCTCTGTTCCATCGTTGGCGGCGCCTTAAATGAGACAGCTTGCCTTGGCGTAGCTCACTGTACAAGACTGCTTTTGGCATCCTCGAGACTTCCATGTCATGACCTGTCCACCTTAGGCCAAGTTCGGGCAAGGACCATTAGTCGACTAGTGGTTGATTTGTGACGTACCTTACGCCTGCGCACTGATAGCAACGTGCGAACGTCTCTAGTCAAACGCTGGTCAAAATGTCATCGCAAAACTTCTGGATCCTGGCTCTCTGCTAGCGTTATGAATGCGCGCGGCTATTGGTTACCAGCGAAGCAAGCAACCCCAGTAGGCTGGTTCCAAATAGTCGACTAGCGTAGTCAACCACCGTCGACTAGACAGAGTTCGGGCAAACGTTAGTTAACCATTGGTCGACTATAGTCCTTGCGCGAACTTGGCGCCAGGTGTCTAAGCATCAGCATGACCTCTATGCTGGCCTGCGGGGTGGCCTGTAGTGCCTCGACGGTGGACGGTGAATAGTGCGCCCTCTAATGGCACAACAATTAGACCAGCGGGCCTACTTGCACTATAACGCCTTGGCCATTTCGTTTCAGTGGTTTACCTATATTTTTATTTTCTCCTTAGGCTTTCTTAGGGATCAAAGCTTTCCTTGGGGATCAAGCTGGCTACCTTCTCGTGGTGATCTCCGTTACGGCTCAAGCTCACAAGCTGACAAGCCTGCAAAGCTACAGCCAACCGAAGCCAGCAACACAACTCAACCTAAGCGATATCGCTATTAATGAATATCAACCATCTCAACCGCCAACCAAGGTTAGATCCATCCAATCTCACCGTTCCTTATTGGCCAACGAATCGGGGGCGTTTCCCTGATGCGAGACAATGACTACCACCGAGATTCGCATACTCCAACTTAATGTCGAAGGACTCACCAAAGCATATTATTATTATTATTATTATAGCTAAACGTGATCTTGTCCGACACCTGGCTGAAAAAAACATCAAGCCATGCAACATCACCATCCTATGAGACGGTGTCCAATCTTCGGCCCTCCCAACGGATCGGCTGGCCTTATCGACCTTCACGACACAATATTGCAGTGGTAGAGAACTGACGTTCCGGTGGGATACCTCCAGGAACGAGTTATACAAACGACGACCTAGGGAACCAATCAGCGATCGAAAAAAAAGGTTCGATGGCTCGACCGACGGTTGTAAACATACACGTCCCGGCCCGCGGTACGTTATCGAGCATTATACCAGCGCTTTCCTAGGGAACCAATCAACGATCGAGATACTTCGGTGATCAAGCAGGTTTGTTCGAATTGATACAGACGGTCTTATTGACATAAAAGAGCCCCGCCCGCATTGCTACCAGTACGAGTGAGTAAAAAAGGCCTGTTATGCAAGTGCGCTACACAATGCAACTATTGCTCTTGATCACTGACGTCTTGGATCAAGACTAGGATCTCGTCTGCGATTGAGGAAAATGTTTTACCCCGATAGTTGGAATAGTCAGATTTCTCGCCGTTGTTCTTGTACAGCCACACTATCACGACATTTTGCAGATCTCCCTTCTTAAAGCATTCAGGAGGGACACCATCTATACCAAGAACCCTATGCATGATCAACTTGGGGACTGCGGACTTGACCTCCTCAAAAGAGGGTGGGTCATGAAACTCTGTTTTCGATTGCTGTTGAGGTACTCTAGCAATGGATGCTTCTTGGCCATAGTTTCGTGTTTCTAAAAAGACTCGAAATAGTGCTCATCAGTCCAACGATGTGAGCATTCTTCTTGTCTGCCAAACTGTTGAGCCATCCGCGGAGCTGAGTATAGGGCTTGAGTTTGATAGGTAGGACCAGAGACTTGCCGAAATGCTATGTCTCATGTGTCGGCATAACGCTGATATCTTTCTGCAAGCACTAGCCACTACCTGTCATGAAAGCAGTCGTGGCTACCTGGCGGCCTGGATTGGCCAGCATATTCTGACAGAAGCTCTAATCTGCTCGATGACTGTTTCTCATAATCGTTTCCATCAAACCAGTCTTTGCTCTTTGCTCTTCTTAGATGAGAAGCCCACACTTCACTGCTGTCTCTTGCAGTGTGATTTTCATGTCTTGCCACAGCTTCTCCGGATCTGTTTTCGATGCTCCGATATTGACGAGCTTGCTCTCCGTTTTGCTCTGAAACTGCTAGCTCAGTCCTGAAAGTTTTTATACTTGGACTTTCTTGATTTATGGGCTTCTTCAGTTTTAAGGCGGGCATGATGTTCAGTCTGACGTTTGCGCGAACTAGTTTGCTGTCTGTGTAACAGTCGGCGCTATAGGCGTGACTCTGGTGTGAAGCACATCGTTCACATCCTTTTGCTGGAAGATGGTATCAGTGACGGTACGGTCCGGCTGTGTTCTGCACACAGCTTAAGCAAACGTCCATTGTCGTTACAGTTGACATGTTCGTGTCAGCCAAGCAACTCTGATCATATGATGTGGTCTCTGCCGACCCCGTACATTAAAGTTGCCCGTGATGATGATCTTATCTGAGTAGTTTGTTTTCCGGAGGAGTTATTTTAGGTTGCTATATACAATGTCATATCTGCTTGGAGAGTTGAGGCACAGAAGCTGATAATGGTGAGCAAACTGGTTGTCAAGTAGCAGGAAGCGGAGGGACATGAGTCGGTAACAATTACCCACTGGAAGACCTTCTAGTCACGTGACGATGAAATGTTTAATCATTATGCCTACTCCACGAGGTCTGTGGGCTTTGCCAGACCAATACAAGGTGAAACCTGCACCATGTTCTGTTTAGGGAGCCCTGTTCAGCGAAGCACACTTCGTTTACAGCTCAGTGCGGCAATGTCAATGATCAGTTGAGCTATAGTTCCCTGGTAACCAGTGCTGAACGCCTCTGAAAGTGGTTGGTGTAAGAATCAGAATCCTGCGAACATTTCAACATGCTACTTTGACACTATAGCCGTCTTTTTGTATCCTTCCCTTCCCTTCCCTTCTTCACCTGAAAATGTAAGTGTTTCTATAGCGCTTGAATAAGATGGTCGGTCTTTGGACTGAGCGAACCAATCAGGTGATGGGTGAGGCAAGCTTTCTTTCTAACGCCTTTTCTTGGTCCGTTACCATGTGGAGTAAGTAGTGCTATCCCTGAAGAGGGCTGCTGTTCGCTAGTAGTGCCCAATGCTGTTGTTGTCTCAGGTCAGCAGACAAGCGACTGATACACCTGAGCCTATGCCTGTCGTTCCATCCAATATCCAACGCGTTGGGACTTCTGGCCATAGTAGTTTGTAAGTAGGAGTCAGGGCGAGCAAGACATTGATCCCACTCTTTAGGCTCGAAAAGGCATTCACAGTGGCTTAGTGAGCTCAGCAGGTTTTACATTAGAGTGTCCTTCTGCTAACCTCTGGCTGAAAATCCTTCTCCTGGAGGCACGAGTAACAACTGAGTTTGATTATTCTGATAACCCTTCTCCAAGACGACATTGCTTAAAAGCTAACCAAAAAACAGGTTCACTGACTGGATTGCTGAATGCCAGAACGTGTCCACACACCGATTGGTCATGCGCATTGTACCGTTCCTCTATAGGACTCCAACTTGCTCGTGTATCCTCTGCAGTTCTACCCGGAGCCTGCCCCGTTCTGCCCCGCCAGTTACCATGGTGTGCCAAGAGGATGCACTGAAGTCTTGGCAATGGGGAGACTTTGTACTGGTGGGAGGGTCTTATACACACACCAGGCTTACCGTCTTTTCGGACTATACTCGCCAGCGACTGTATAGCTGAAAGCGGGAAAGCTACACTAAACTAAGTTACTTTATATACATTCCATTACCCTGTGCAAGCACCACACATGATTTGTATGGTCCACACAGCGGCGGCGGAACGCTTTCAAACTGGGGGGAAGGGGCGCAAAAATGGGCACTTGCTCAGGAAAAGGGCCACCTTTCGTCGGTGTGAAAGTGAGAGCCCCTCGGCCTCTGTAATGGCAATATATTTGTTACGGGGGGGGGGGAGCAAAAATGTGGTCCCCAAAAAGTGAGTCCACGAATTCACGGCGTGGGGTTGGCCCTAAAAAAATGGATTTCATAGATGCTCTGTGGTGCGATCTGAGGTAATTTCTGACCGTTTTAACTACGTAGTGGGTGCCTGTCTTTGTGACGTCACTTACAAAACAAATAAAATTTGGTTCTTTTTGGGGGGAGGAGGAGCCATTGTCCCGCTGCCCTCCCTTGGATCCGCCCTAGTCTTGGGCATTCGGCACACCGCACATGCACACCCTCCGCCCCCGGCAGTAACCTCTCTGTGCCCGCCCATGAAATGTGACTATAAACTAATTGCACCTCATCATGCACCTGTTCACTAGCACATTTTCGTCCCAAAATCATGAACACTTGAGGCTCTTGACAGGAAACTGAGGCATTTGCGGTTGTATTTGCAAAAACACAAACGTGAAGCTCAAGTGCATGAGGTGTTAGGAAGTAACAGTTATGTATCACATGGTGTACTTGAAGCACATGGGGTGACAGTCGGCTTAACCTCAGGCGTGTGTTTTACCCAAGGCTGACACTTCACGTGCATCAACTTAATGTTCGATTCACGTGCATGACGTGACATCACTTTTTACAGTGGGGAGAGACCATTTTTTTTTTCACGAAAGGGGGCCTCTTGCTTTTGATGGCCAGCCTCTGTGACAATTTTATTCCCGTGAGGAACAATATTGGTTTTTAAACGCCAGTTTTCCATGAGAGGGGCACAATTGTCCTGTTGCGCGCGCTATCAGGAAATAATGTGCTTTAGTCTCGAGAAGTTATCCCCAGAGGAACACTGTTATTTTTGATGGCCAATTTTCCATCTCGACAGTGGCACAATTTTATTATTGCGAGAGGGGTATTTGTGTTTTCGAGGGGTATTTTTTCCTCTCGAGAAGGTACATACACAATCTTGTTAATGAGAGAGGGGCACTTGTGTTTTTGAGGGGCAGATTTTCATTACAAAAGAGGAAACAATATTATTTGTAGTGCGATCATAATTATGCTTTCATTGCGTGCGTTCGAGGGGCAGTTTTGTTTCATATCGAGGGGCATATTTTATAACTGCGAGAAGGGCACTTTTGTTGGCCTGGGAAAATCGAAGGAAGGGGGGGGGGGGCTTGCTCCCCCGGTTCCGCTGCCCCTGATAGTGCAGACATCAACCAAATACCGATTTTCATATTCCTTCTCATCCGGCCAAAAAAGCAAGACAAAGACCGTCTCATCTCCCTTAGGGGTATGCTGCCTGGTCGGTGCAACCGACTGAATCTAACACACAACCATCTCTGCCCTCATCACCGATACTCATTTACTGCGCAGGGGAGAGGCAATGAGTGACAAAGTGTGCAGGCCTACACCGCCTTATGTGGAAGGTTGTTTGTTTCTTGTTACGCAAATTAGGACCGAGTTATGGGGACTTTCTGCTGTCGATCACCTCGTACAGACGAGTGTATGTCCCCTCAACTACGGAACAGGACCCCACACCCGACCATGCGCACACACATCAAGGCTGGACTCGAACCCACAACCTGCAGAATTACGCACAAGATGAGCTCAATATACTAAACCAAGAGGCCACAGCACTCCACAACACTTACTCTTGCTTCTCTTCCAATCTTCCTGTGGGGTACCAATCATACCTCTGACAAAGGAAACAAACAACCCAACACCCCAACAAAGAACAAACAAAAACAATTACTGACTTACTTAGCATAAGCCTTCTCCAGCAACGCACTCCAGAACTCGTTCTTCTCCGAAGAATGGGCAAAGACCAATTTGCCATCCAAAGTGGGCAGGCGATCATCCACTACCACCTCCACCCACTTGCCGTATTGCCAGAATTTGAAGTAGAATGCCCCGCAGTAGTTACGGTCAAAGTCCTGGTCATCGGGACAGACTCTATTTACAAGACTTGCCACTTGACCGAGTGCAGCCAGGCCAGCAACGAACCAGGAGTTACCTGAAAGAGGAGATCATCAAACAGTTTCAGCATTTTATTGAACGTGTGTTATTGGCCGGGCCTCAAAATTCGGCAATGGCAGGACGAGTCTGTACACGGAGCAGCTGTTTTGTTTTTTTGGTTTGTTTGTCTTTTTAAAATCACATTTTAACAGGAATTTGGTTGACCTCGATCTTTGAAATATTTGGATCTTGTTAATTTTTTTTTTTAGATTTGGCAAAACACTTAAAACAGTTTTGAAATACTTTGAGTATGGAGCCAAAAATTGCATGGTTAATGTTGTTTTCTCGCAGTAAAGAAGATTACATTTACCCTCGATTTTCTGTGTGTGAAAACATGTATGAATGACGTAAAAAGCCTCTGTACTGATAACGTCACACTTTGTTTACGTGTGTGCTTTCCTGTGGTGCTCAGTGGACCGTGGGCCCCCACTGCATCCATAGGAAAGTGAACATGTAAACAAAGTGTGACGTCATCAGTAAAGAGGCTTATTGCTTACCGAGCTGTCCCTGAACGTCAAAGCGACTGGCCCCTCCCACAAACAACTTCGGGTCTTGGCAAAGTTCCTGTTGTAATTAATGTACATGTACATGTACAGTGTCAATGAAAATGATGTTGACAACCATAAAATACATATACATACTCTGGCTCGAATCCAAGTTAAACATTGAATTCATTAAGATATTTGTGGTTTTTCGCAGTCTTTCTGAAGGTAAACAGACACAGTGTTGTTCCAAAAGTCAAGTTAAACCAACTGATTGTTCTTAGAACCACAAATTGCAGTAACCGCAAGTCTTCCAATCCTGGATGGTGTCCACTATGCATGCAAACCCTTATGTCTTATTTTAGCATAATCTGCATCACGTAAGCCATTGGCTCCAGCCAGTCGGATTCTGACGATTTCTTTGTGGCATCGCTTATGTTTCCCATGCCTTAGCAAGCACCAATGGGCGTCGCCAGGATTTTTTTCCGGGGGGGGGGGTAAAGCAAAAAATTTATCACTTTTCCGAGCGTGAGCAGGGGAGCATTTACCCCCCCCCCCCCGCCCGCCCATCAGCAGCAGTATGGCTTCGCACCTCTTTGTCCCCCCTCGCGACGCCCATGCACCTAAAACATTGGCTCAGACATACTCATCGTCCTGAAACCGTTGCAGGTCAGTAAATCGGGCCGAAATCGCCTACGCCGGCCAAATCACGATTTGCATGCCCTCTTTCGCTATTTGAGCATATTGTGGGCCGTGAACTTGAGGGTTTGTAAAAAAATATGAGTGGAAAACGTCCACAGGACTGTAAACTTGTAGTTCTGTGCAATTTGGATGTAAATGGAGCCCTAAAAGCGCTCTATTTTGCAATGGAGTGTAGGCGTCGTTTTTTCAAAATGGCGATGGGCTTTAGGACCATTTTAAGGGGTGATCATCCTCGGATGGAAATTTCTCCTAAAAGTCATCAGTTAACCCCCCAAAATTGAAATAAAATGAAAGATAATGAAATAAGATTTAATTTGATGTGTGTCTGGAATACCTTGAAGAGTTGTGAGTATTTTTCCTGAATTTTTGAAGTGGGGGGAATTTATCAGTGGGGCCTATGTCAGTTTATTTACTGGTCTGCAACCGGAGACCATATTGCCAACAAGAAGTGTTTACTGACGTAACAGATATTTTAAAAGTTCACCCTGGTCTGCTTTTTTGTAACTGTTCCAACAGTCAGTCCATCTTTCCAGTATTGTATTTAACTCCCCCTCTTCCCCTTAATTAAGTCGTCATAATCTCTTCTCAACTTCTACCAGTTTGGCCATCTGCCCGTCAACCGGTACAGCTTTAAAGTGGCCATGAAAACAATTTTTTCTGAGAAACACATTTTGTGCTACTTTCTTCTCTTCTTAAATGTATGAAAACTATTTGACATCCCTTTTTGGTTTATTTTATTCAAAAGGGCACTTCTTTAAACATTTAAACATTTTCTACGCTTTTTTAGACAACTGAGGGCGCTGTTGCCGTGATGTCATTTCAGGGAGGCACACAGAAAACTTCCGTTTAAGGGTTTTGTGTACAAATGTGAACCCAGAAATCTGCTCATTGATAACATTTATGAGAAAGGTTTGCTCATTGGCTTACTGCCATGTACTAACACAACAACGAATCACCGAAGAAAAGAAAATTTTAACAGCGAAATATCCAAAATTCTGGCAACTTTTGTGCACAAGCCAATTGCAACACTGAGGTTTCTGCCTGCACTGTTAAAAATGCCCGTAAATTTACGAACTCCGTAAAGTGAAATATTCCATATTTTCGGCGTAATTTTACGGACTTTCCGTAAATGCAAATATTAATTATGTTATTTAGCGTGATTACAATCCGCATCGGCCCAAACACCTACACCGTAATATAGTACATCTAAGTACATAATTATTGTTATTTCACCCACAACCGTTTACACATGTCCAAACTCACGTCAAGGGTCTGTTTATTTTACGGAATGAAAAAACTTTTCCGGAAATTTTGCTACAGGAAAACGGAACGCTATTTTCTTGCTGGCAGCAAAATTTCCGGAATTTTTTTCTCATTCCGTAAAATAAACAGACCCTTAACATGACATGTGTACACGGTTGTGGGTGAAATAACAATATGCTAATGAATATGGAAATAATTTGCATTAGCATGAAGACCAAAAAGGCACCAAAATAACCTTGAAAACGGCAAAATGAAAATTGAACATAAAGTTAAAGGGGACACAAGGGTGCATTTTCAAGAATTACATTAAATTTTCAAGAATTACAAAAATACATTTCATGGGCCCTTTAAGTCTGTGTTTCTCAACAAACACTAATACTAGTCCCTATCTTGTTGTTTCTTCTGTGTCCACATTATTCCAACTGCTCGGGCGTTAATATGCATGCTCTCTATACTATGAAATAAAGTAAAAGACTCGGCCTGTCCTAAAATTGTTCTGTTACGATGGGTTACATGTACAATGTAGGTATACATGTTTTCAATGTGTACATTCACCCCAATATTAATCCTCAGAATGTTAAAAAAAAGGCACATTCTTTGTAGAATTGAGAATGTTCCGGGGGGGGGGGTTAATATTAGGAAGTAAAAAAGAAGATAGATTTGAGAAATTCTATAGGTGTCTGCTGATGGGTGACGGCACGTCAGACAAGACACAAGCAGACGCTACTCTCTGTTTTACTAAAATACCGATAAGCATTTAGATGATCTGATTTCTACAAAACCAATGAGAATGATGTTTGAAACTACATATACTGTGACCTATAAACGAAATGACTGATGGGAGCTGTGTTTCAGTACAAATTGACATTATTCGATGATGAGTCCCGTATGACACATTTTGTGTGACACGTACGACACTTTAAATTCTGTTAATCTTTTTTAGTCAAACAATCACACGTTTTACCTGAGCGATCCTTATATCAGACCTTTGTTTAGATGTTACACTTCATTATAAGAATTTACCACTAATCAACCCACGGATTTTGTTAACCCAAATTCATCGTCACAAAAAAACACGCTTCGTTTTTAGCATTCCTGACTAGTAATTTTTAGCCAACTTATTATCAGACGCGGATCCAGAGGGGGAGGGTTTGGGGGCTCAAAAAAACCCCCAGCTCTGTCAAAAAAACAAAATCCATAGAAATTCTTGAAAAAAAATCCGAAATCCACCCTGCTCAGACACCCAATTTGTTTTTGCTAGTAATAATGTTCGCCTTGCACAAAATACGTACAGCGCCAGCTTGGTTAGGGGGTATTTCTACATTATTCTGGGATATATGTACATTATTCTGTGATATAGTTTTAATAATCGTCGGATTTGAACAGTGCCCAAATTGAAAGCCTTTTGATTTTACGGAGGCCAAGTGACCGGAGACAAAAACCCTGTCAACAATTCATTTTTTTGCCGATGACCCCCCCCCCGCGTAAATTCCTGGCTCCGCCTCTGATTATTGAGCAATAAATCATAGTGCCATTCTGTTATTGTGTCCCAGGTTTCTTTATTTATTCTGACACACTCCCTGACTTTCCAATCAGCCTTGAAAAACAATCTCTGAATGGGTTGTACGACACATAATGGAATTGCCCACCAGAGCTTGACGTCAAAGGGCCGACGGGTGGCACTCCCCAATGCAGACTGGTAGAATTGAGAGTTTCCCCTACGATGAATAAATAAATAAACTACTACATGTAGGCTATGTAGGGGGCCTATACATGTTCCACAATAACATATTTTCGTTTGAAATTTTATCCACTCTGAACAAAAATGTCTTATTATGATGCTTGGTGCCCTCAACACTGAAGTTCCTAAATTTAACCTCAAACTGCCTAAGAATGCAGGAGAAAACATTGCAGGGCGAGCCTTCGGCACGCATTCATCTTCCCCTTCCCCCGCAACCACCCTCCTTTCCTGAAAGCTAGACCTGCCCCTGTTGTATATGTACATAACCTAAATCTATGTATTTTATTGTATGACCTGTAGAACATATACATGTAAGCCTCACACTCTAAAAAAAAAGAAGTGTATAAATGATTGCTGTGCAAAACATGTGTACAAAAATTGGGTAATTTCTGTTCAATATTGAGCAAAATGAATATGTCGCATGTACCTCCTACTCGTGCCATGTGTGTTACCCATGAAATGGGTAAAATAGGTACTAACGTTGACTACAAGTCCAAGCAGCACAGGCAAAAAGTTAAAAATCATGGTATAATTACCCAAGTGATGGGTTAAAGAAACTGGATTTACCCCACAACTGTGTAACAATTCTTTCTTTGTACACGTCGAAGAGTTAAATTTGCAACGAAAGTAGAAAAAAAATCAAAAACAGGGATCTGTAATTGAAATACCTCGCTTGTCAAGGCCCCGTCATTGCTGTCTCTAGCCAATTTGCAAGTTGAATTAAACCGCAAGGGTGAATATACCAAGGTGCACAATAACTGATTTAAAAACAACCCAAGCGATGGGTAAATTTGGAACCCAAAAGTGCAGGGTAAAAATTTATATCCCTATATCTGGGTAAGAAACTGACACAACACTTGCGTAAAATGAGGGTTGGGTTAAGTTTACCCAATAATTGAGTAAAAAGGAAACATTGTCGTCACATGGGTAAACTTTCTTACACAATTTCGTTGTGCAAACATGCAACACAATTATGGGTAAAAGTTACACTGAAATAGGTATTTTTACACTCTAGCTGCTGTGTAAAAAAAAACTACCCAAGTTGACGACCATGTTCCCTTTTTACTCTCGAAAGGGTAGTACTTTTACCCAATATTGAGCAACTATTTTTTAGAGTGTACATGATCATATTATAGTAACTTTATCAGATTGTGACTGTCGGGTCCGTCTTTAAGGCTGGACCAGTGTACCCCGCGCCGGGCACGACTACTGCGGCAAATGGAACTGCCGTTTTGTTCGGATTTATACCGACGGCCTATTTACAAAAAAAGACTAGGCTCGCCCTTAACCTATTTACAAAAAATGGCCAAGCCCCCATTGCTACGAAATATGCAAGACGTTAGTGACAGAACGTAAAAAAATCAATTAAGCAGAGAGCTAGCATATTGCAAATATTGTTTTTGATCACTGACGTCCAGGGCCAAGACTAGGTTCGCCCTTAACTTTTGTTTATCCAGCCGGGCTACTGGAACAGACTCTTAACTATAGCCGGCGCGCATTTTCACTAGCCCGCATGGTTTTCTTTTATAGAGTTTCTCATAAACAAAATGTGTGTATATTCCCCGTAACTTTTCACTTTATATACTCAAACGAATACAGAGACACAACTTTCTCAATCTGAACTCGACGTACAACATTTATTCTTTCGCATCCCAGCAACATGGCGTCTTACGTTTTTACGATGGTAATACTCGGGGATCTGTTGTTTGGCTTTTTTTTTTTTTTTATCTAAGCCCCCTATTGAGGAAAAAGACTTGTTCATTGCCTATCTATTGTTTGAAGTTTGCAAGTTTGAAGAAGTAGTTCAAGACCAGTTCTTTAATGTGTAGAACAACTTACTTGCTTAACAAGAATAAGAATGAGCGATACTATCTCTTTTGAGGTCATGATTTAGGATGTAAGTTGCTAATGATTATGTACACACTTATGGGATGTATAATTAAGGCGCCCTTCCGGGAGAAACAAAGAGCTTGAAGTGTGTCTTTGTACAATAGCAACCATGTTAAGCTGTACAAATTTGAGCTCTTCAACCACATGCTTTAGAAACACTGTTTGAGGAACGCCATGGAAAAAAGTTGAATTGTGCCAAGTTAGGGCAGTAGACCTGCGTGTATGTATCATACATCCATACTGCAAAGGGCTTAACCCTAAAGGGGCCGGGGGGGCGGAATCCCTCAACATTTTCCGCGATAGCCTCTAAAAAAAAAAAAATTCGCGACCCGAGCTGTTATGACTTTTTAGCCTCGAGCTTTACGCATCTTTTGATACCAAAAACATAAAAATCGGACCACGGGTTGCCGCGTAGCGAAAAATTTTCCGTCGCTACGCGCCGTGAAAACTGAATTTTCGCATATACGTCGTGTACACAGAGCAGAATTGCCATTCGTACATATGAATAATTAATTAGCCATAATTCCAAAACCCTTTGACCCATAGTCATGAAATTTCTTGGGTATGATTAGGAAGAGTTGCTCTATGCATGTGCTGAGTTTCAAAATTTTTCGTCACTCGATGGCCGAGATCTTAGGGGGGGGGGGCGGAATCCGCCTCCCCCGGCTGAGAGATGGTCAAAATAACCCGGCCCCTTTAGGGTTAAAGACCTTCAGACCTTCATAAGTTATCGCAGATGACCTTCTTTGCTTGTCAACACCCATTCACACTCTTTGTACAATTCAGAGTACCTATTCATCTCAGTCCTTCCGCATAAGTCAACATTTCTAAAGGAGCCCATCGTATACAAAAACGGTCGCAAGGTTGGACGTGAGGGTAATTCTATCAGCCATTGTTGGCATAGATGAATGCAAAGCACCTCGATGATGCATTTGGCCATGAAATGCAAAGTCTTTCAAAGTTGCTTTGAAATTTAGTGGCATAAAGTATAAATCATTTTCTGTTGGACTTTTAGCTCAGAGCCTCATAAATATTACAATTTTCGGAAAAAAGTCGGTCAATCGACTGGTCGCTGACAATAACCTTTTCATTTCTGGATTTCTCCAACACCAGGCCTGACGAATTTATTTCAAGGGGTAGTTTGTACCAGTACGACCTTTAATCGAAGTAAACTGTTTAATATTCGATGGGTCACATTAGAGGTAAATGCAAATGATCCTAAAGATATGCCAATAGTATCTTACCACGCAGAATTCAGATCAATGCAACTTAATGAATGCAAAATTGCAGGTACATAAAAATGGACGTGTACGCTAACTACGCTTTAAAGAGGTTGTGGAATGCTCGAAGACATTTCCGTCATTTTTTGGGTATATGTAGCCTAAGGTGTGATGAAATAAAAACGACTTTTGTGTCTGTCATGAAATGAGTACAAAAGGTACTTTTGAGAGCTGTTTTTCAGGTCCTGTTTCGACGCGAACGTGCAATTTGTGTAAAAGTCGTCGTTGAGGGCAGCAAACAAAACATAGTAAATCGTGATGTAATAAACAGGACTCCCGATGCAGCGTAGTATAAACGAGTCCTGTTTATTACGTCACGATTTACTATGTTTTTTTTGCTGCCCCCAACGACGACTTTTACACAAATTGCACGTTCGAGTCGAAACAGGACCTGAAAAACAGCTCTCAAAAGTACCTTTTGTACTCATTTCATGACAGACACAATAGTCGTTTTTATTTCATCACACCTTAGGCTACATATACCCGAAAAATGACGGAAATGTCTTCGAGCAAAAAAAGAAACCAAATATTCTCATACAAATATATTTATCGAGTGTGTATTATGTGAATGATGGGTTGACCTCGCCAAGGCTGTTAGTTTTCCCCGCTTTAAAAATCTTTTACAATAACATTTTCCCACTTCGTGGATTTACAATGGAGTAGCAGGGTGGCATTCAAGATGTTAAATGTACCTTCCCTCGGATTTTAGTCATTTCAGAACACAATTCCTGTTCATCAAAAACATCACGCAAACGTGACAGAGCGGGACTTTTGATGTTAGGAGGGGCGCGGGGGGGGGGGTACTTTTCCCTTTCAGGGATAGGAAACTGGTGTGAAATCAGAGTTTAATTATACGTAAGCCAAGATAATACGAGTACAAAAAAAACATGCCCTACTTTTGATCCTAAATAATTCTGTTATTTACCAACGCCATACGAAAGGCTCACTTTCAGAATGTCGATACAGCGCTGGAGACGGTGGGGGAAGGCGTGTGCTGTATTTTTTTGTGTGGCGTTTAAATCTCACCCTCCTGCCCAAAGCTGATGAAACTCGCTCCATAAAATATGTCATGCCTTGTTTAGGCCTACATGATCTGGAATTTTGTTTTAATTCCATTGGTAAACAACTGTCGGAGTTATAATGGATCAAAAGTAAGACAATTTTTTTTTGACACGAGTTCGTACAAAATATACAAGTGCACTCATATTGAAGCATAAAAGCTCTTTTCTTGACACGGCCTGACACGTAGTCTCATCTGCCATAGGTACGTGTATTTAATCTCCTTTTGATATATTTTGGCATATTTGTGTATGTGTTTTCAAATACACGGATATGGATATACTGTACACTTGTATGTGACACATTCTGTATGTACCTGTTCGTGTAATTATACCTCTTTAATTGTGTTTCCATTCCAGCTTGGAAAGTTTCTCTCAGAAAATTATTTTAAAATTGGCATCAATAGTCAGTGCAAATTAAGTACAACGTGTGCAGGTATTTCTTTTAGAATTTAATCAAAGACAGCATACACACCGTTTGGAAAAAGAGGGGAAAAAAATCTTAAACAAGAATACATTTATCAATCAGTTGTGTGTATATATATGTGAATGGTGGGTTGACCTCGCCAAGGCTTTTCCCCGCTTACAAAACTCTTTTACAATATTTTCCCACTTCATGGATTTACAATGGAGTAGTAGGATGGCATTCAAGGTGTTAAATGTACCTTCCCTCGGATTTTAATAATTTCAGAACGCGTACACAATCTCTATTCATCAAAATCATCACACAAACGTGACAGAGCGGGACTTTTGATGTTAGGAGGGGGGGGGGTACTTTTCCCTTTCAGAGATGGGAAACTCATTTCAAATTGAAGAGTATACGTAAGCCAAGATGATACATGTAAAAAAAGTCTTACTTTTGATCCTATATTACTCTGTTATTTACCAACGCCATACGAAAAAAAATCCTCACTTTTAGAATGTCGATACAGCGCTGGAGACGGGGGAGGGGGGGGGAGGCGCGTGATGCGGCCGAAAGCTTCTGAAGGAATGTAGGATCACCCCTGATGTCATTGCACACCTCCTCGATCGTGTGTTGTGCCAAACGATGGAGGAGGTGTGCAATGCCGGGGTGATCCTGCATTCCTTCAGGAGCTTTCGACCGCAGCACGCGCCTTCCCCCACCGTCCCCAGCGCTGTATCGACATTGGAAAACACCAAGTCGAAAGTGGTAGATTCTGAAAGCGAGTATTTTTTTCTTCGGATGACGTTTAAATCTCACCCTCTTGCACAAAGCTAATGAAACTTGGTCCATTAATTATGTCATGCCTTGTTTACATGATCTGATTTTTAAAAATTCTATTGGTAAGCAACAGAGTAGTTCAGGATCAAAAGTAGGACATGTTTTTTTCTGACACGAGTTTGCCAATAAACGGGCAATATTCATTTGTCCAGTACAAATAAACAAGGGCATGCACTCATATTGAAGCATAAAGGCCGTTTTCCTGACACTGCTTGACACCTAGCCTCAGGGTCAGAGCAAAACAAACACAAATTTAATCTCATTTGGATATGCAATATAAACCCATTCTCCCAGGCATTTAATTGACCTAGGCTAGCCGCACTTTTCTTTACTTTGAACTTCACAGGAGTAAGGACAATTGAAGGTTGATGAAGGTAGGTCTCGTATGCAAACAAAAATGCCTGGGAGTTAGGGTGCGGCCATTCATCAGCCATAAAGACTTTGTTTACTGATTAAGTCCCTCACTGTCCCTTTGCTTTTCATATGGCCCAGCATTGTAGACTTACCTTAGGCCTCTTCCATGCAAATCGCCCTGAGTTTCTTCCGCTGTAGTTGATTGACGAGTCAACTGCTGGGAACTCTGGGTCCTCATACAGGCGGGAGGAATTGTGATTCCGCTTGACGTCTCTGTATGTTACTCCAGTTCTTGACATCTTGCCCAATCAGTCTGTTCACTTGGCACTTGAGATATCAGAGACAATTCAAGCTGGGGAGGAAAATTAATTGTAGATTGTGAATAGAAAATGAACGGAACAGTTGAGACATGACACATGTAAATGCATATCTATTTCAAATAGTCTTTACATACATGTATTTTCTATATATCTCGGGGAAAATCACGTGATACACCATGAACGTAATCAATGGGCACACTTTTCAGTAATGGGTGGTGTGTACAAAGTTCGACAACGAACTAGTAAGTTTTGAGGTTAAAATTTTTGTTGAGTGTCTAGTTTTCATGTACACAAGAACAGCATGGATGCGGTTTGATGCTGGCGCGATTGCAGACCAAATAATGCCTGCATGGTGCTGACCAAGAATTGTTCTTGGCTGTTTAGAAATAAATAATGGATTATCAGAAGTAGAAAAATATGCTGACAAAATAGAGAGTGATTTATTTCTACGGTGCAACTGCAAAAATACAAAGTTCAGCAAGAACCATTCCCCGATTTACTCAAGATTTTCTATTCGCAGCGAATCGGATTAAAAATCGGGAACGTGTGAACTCAGCATAAGCCAAACCCATATTATCCCAAAACTCTTTCCTGCTTAAGGGCGTTTTATACAGTTATGTTAAGCACATTCCTAGGCTACTCCAAGTCTATATAATGCAGTGACAGAAATAGTTTTAGTCCTCTCTCTCTCTGCAATGCATGCCACACACTGCCTAATGACAGTACTGCAAAGTTGACTGAGCGTGAACTTGACATAACTGTGTGTGTAAACAGAGTGGAACACATTTACACGAACATTTTCTCTACAAAATCCAACTTCCATCACAACAGAAAGCTGTCCAAATATTGAACAACTTTAACTTAATGATAGCCATTCGGGGCTTGCGAGTATCATTTGAAGGAAAAGTCAACATACCTGTGTAGAAATAGAATCTGGAATATCAGCAAAAGACGTGCAGACAGGAGTGGGAGAGAGCGCAGTTTACCTCGGTCTCTACGGTGCAAACTACGCGCACCGTCACTGCGTTGGATCGATCATGCGTGTAATAGTAAGGGTCCAGTAAGCCCCGCCTATTGGGCACGTGGGTTATGCACACGTGCTCCTCTCTAATACTGTATTTCATGCTCCAGCGCATGTTCAGCTGTGATTGGTCAGAACACAACGGGGCGGGGCATACTGTTGTCTTTCACTGGCGGGTTCCTGGATGCCGCACTTCACGCACTATAGTTGGGTGGAGTCGTATACCACAATGTACTGCAGGTTAAAAAAAAATGTAAATAAAAAAAAAATGAGGTTGAAACCACAATCTTTTGGGTTCAAAAGCTCCGCTTTCTTGCACTTGTTTTTCGTATTTTCCCCACACAAACTGTGGTTCTATCTGTCTATTACCGCAATAATCTCAGCTTATTACTCGAAATGTCATATAATTCTATCAAACAGTTATATATTGTATTCTGAATTGTTAACAAGGATATATTAAAATATGAAATATTAATATTGTGATTTGTCTGGTACTTCAAAGGAAGTTTTTTAATTGTTGGTAATGCAAAAGGAAATTGTATGTATGTATCTAGTTACTTCCCAAACGTCTTGAATCTGAATGGGAAGTAGTATTACTGGTTAATGTTTTATAGCAACTATACTTTACTTTGAAAAATGTAATATTGCCATGGAAACAATTTAAATATTTCAATGAACATTTTCTTGCAGTGTATTTAATAATTTACATAAAATTGCAAATACTACATTAAATATAAAATAGAAAAAATAGACAATGTGTTAAATTTTAAATAAAATATTAAGGACTCCTGAACCCAAAATAATGGAGATTGGTTGTTTCATTTAGATGAGTATTCATTTTGAGTTCGAGTAACCCAAGTCCATAAAAAATTGCAAACATACATTAGGCCAAAAAAAAAAAAATTCGGTCTCTGGTCAGACCAAAGTTTTTTTATTTTTTTTTTCAAGCTTGGATTGTACAGACAAGGTGGGTCTATTTTGCTTTTTTGGTGTCCTCATGTACATTGGTGTCCTCCATAATTTGCCTTGGTGCTTTCGATCATTTGCCTTGGTGCAATTTCCCATTCCTTGGTGCTCTTTGTTAAAAAAAATTGAGGAGGTGCGGAAATAGAGGGCGCTGCTGGAGCTACCGCGGAACATTTTGGAAAAAAAAAAGATCGACGCGCATGATTAAAATCGACGCGCGCTGACCAGAGACCGACTTATTATTTTTTTTGGCCTTAAGGAAGTACATATGAAAAAAATGGCGGGAGTGATCAATAAAAACTGGATTTACTCTGCAGTGTATTTTGTAGTACGGTTAAATGCGATGGGTCTGGGGAATTAGCGCCTTCACCAGTGGTGGGCTAAATGTCATCTTGGCCATTTCTTAAATGCGAGGTGGCCAGGTGATTGCAGAAGAAGGTGAACGATTTGCCCAAGATTTAAGGATGATGTAAATTAAGAACGTATTTAAAAGTGCACTTTACACAAAATGTAAGATTATGTGAACATTTTATGGTTCGGTTAGGCAAATTTGAAGATCTTGGGAAGGGGAAAATGCTTTGGTTTGACATGTTGGCATATATTGAGCAAGAGCGTAATGGAGGGTGTGTTATAAATCTTGCTTAACTAGAAAAATATATTGTGCTTTTTTGATATATTAAGTAGAAGTTGATGTCGTTGTAGGATTCAGAGCATGAGGTTATCGGGTTGCACAATGAAGTATTGTCATTATTATGCAACAAAAACATTATATAAAAGAAGTGCAATTTTCCAGAGGCTAATTTAGTGCCAACTGTATGCAAAATGAAAATAATTGACACTGTTAATTAATACCGGAAACGTCCTTCAACCTGGTATAGCATTGCAGATCGGATTGTTGCAAGCATATTGTTAAGAAGTAGTAAAATGGAAATTAAAATTGGAATACTACATTTAGCCTGACATACAGCCACTCGACTGAGAAGCTTTTAACAAAAAGGCCAGCGAAAGTCCAGTCAAAAGGTATTTACGAGTCTACTCTGAAGTCAGTCACAAGAAACAATGGATAGTGAAGGAATGCCTTTGTCAAAGATCGTTTGAAATAAACACAAACCTATAATAACGGTATAGAAACATTTTTATTAGCCTATGTAAGATAAGGCGAATACGATAGGAGGGCGCTATTTGGTTTGGGTAAATACAAAGAGTGCGTTCGAGTAGCTCTCCCGGATCGACTCGCGTAAAGGCAGACGGGACAGCCACGACAGCCGGGCTAATCGGAAACGCGCCACCAGGGGTCAACTTTCAGGCTCTATTAACGACAAGTTTCGCAAATTTGTCAAATTATGATCTGTATGATTTTATTTAACATTGATCACATGACTAGAGGTGTAAAAATGTATAATATTATACGTGTAATGGTACCACTAAGGAGACACGTTATCGTAATTTCTTCGGACGATGGGAGACATCTGTCGTTAGGGCGACATTTTCATGTCTCCCTAATGTCACAGCCCCCCTTTAGAGGCACAATTTTACCGTCGCAATTAGGTTATATTTTGTTGCTCGTGGTCTAATTAGTAAACATACCGAAATTCGGCATTAAAAACAGATACAAATAACAAACATTCACAAAATGTTTAAACAATAAAAACAAGAAAACAAAAACGAAAGCCAAAGGCAAATGCCCTGAATTAAACAAGTTTACCTGAACACTGTGGCCTGAAGGCCTTTCTAATACCTCAAGCTACACAAAAAATTATAAATCTATAGAAATCTATAAAAATCTATTAATTCATGCATTGAAGAGAAATACATTTTCATCAACATGATACAAGTACCCTTACCATTTGCTGGCACCATTTTCAATTAACCTATCGCGGTAGAATCGCGTCTATGCGTAGCTTGTGAATATTGTCCTGTTACATGATATAAAAATGGTGGTCGCGGAACGCGCAAAATCTGAGACAAAAAACAAATGCGCATACACAATTCTATAGGGTTGTCTAAGGGGCGTGGTTGACTCGCAAACAGCGTACTAACGATTAAAAAATGTTTTCAACTGAAACTAAATGGAGTCTATTGTCCTTCCACTATAGGTCCAAAGCCAGGCATAATAAAGATGTCGACGATTCCTTATGTTCATTAATACACTAGTCTTCTTACAGCCCTTACACCAGTAATTTATCAAAGTCTTACACAAAAACATATGAAGACCCCAAACCTTTTGTTTTGGTTTCATGACTAGGACTACATTAACACACACAAAAACCCATCACCACAAAAATAATTGACTGAAAGCAAAACCTCGAGAGTTTGAAATACCTGCACCATAAGATATCCCCTTCATGCACACACACTATTTAAGTTGCCTTATGGGTGAGACACTGTGGTCCTGAAAACGCTTCTATTTTCTTCCCTCAGTTAAAATAAGAACTATAGCCTATTTTGCCATGTTTTGTTTCTGTGGAAGTAATATTAAATTGGGCTTTTTTGAGGATGGAGACATTGAGGGATGCATGCTGATCATATATCTTATGGATTTAATATTTCAATCCTAGAAAGAACTTATCATTAAAGTAAAATCTACACTGAAGATTTCTCATCAAAAAATGGAACATGCTCTCCCGACAAAATAATTTCGCGGACAGTTCTTCACGCATGAAGTTGGTGTCAAACAGCTGGAGTTCTCTAGGAGCGCATCCCCACTGCCAGGAACTATACGGACAAAGATCACAACAGACTATTAATTCAACTTCAGTGACGACCGACTTTTTACAAAGAGCAATAAAATCACTCACTAACCCTTTTGGATAACAAATTTCCAGTGAACTATTCTTGACCCCAGTGACTTCCACTCAATTTAGAAAAAAAAAATACATGAAATAGGAATGAACTAAAACACTTGAGGGAAAAACAGAAAATGGAGGCTGGGGAGACGAGGGGTGTACACAATTCTGGTGAAAAAAAATCCTTCATGACACGTTAACTTAAGACCATGCCATTTTACCAGCTTCTCCTCGAGTCTGCAACGATTTCTAAAACATCGTTTTGTCCAAAAATTGACACTTATTGACACAATCGTTTCTGATAACACAAAACACTGATATGACTATATTTCCCAAACATATCAAATTCATGATATGACGATTCAATTATTCTTTAATTTAACATTAACCTTTTAGTCGTATAGTCTTACAATCTCGTGTGATTGATTTTATAAGGTAACTTTTATCTGAAACTTTGTGTCACCAAATTGTCCACTGTTGAGAAAATGATGTGTGTGGGCGTGTGTGTGTGTGTTTTTTTTTAAGTCGGTTAGGATTTCGGTTGGCAAAGTGGTTCCTTTGGATTGGGTTTTCAATCCTATATGTGATACTGTGGCTTGATCCAGAATATTCTTCTCGGGTTTTACTCCCAAATCTAAAACTGTAAATTCTTATCATCTCTTCTAAACAAGTTTCTTCAGGCTTTCGAGCTAAGTGCCGAGGGCACTCAGGAATCGTGAATTTCACTACCAGAAAAAAATACAACAAATAAAGTAAATGTTATTGGAATTTGCCTTTTCCAATTGATTTTCCAAAATGTCCCTTCTTTTCAACAAATCTCCTACAAATCTGTCAAATAACTGTCAAAATTATTTTTAAGCGAGTGTATTTTCGGACAATTTGTAACAGATCTGGAACCAAACACAATTAGCGCATAATTCCCTTCAAGATGACCAACTTTGCATGTATAATTTGACATGATTTAATGCAATCTCTGCCAATAATCTAATGATATGACTGCTCTTACATCATCAACGTTGTAAGGTTCTCCACGGCTCATCTTCTCATGGAAACTAGATTCTGTGGAAAGAATCAAACACATACATGTATTTTACTTTCAAATCTATACAGTAAAAAATCATAGCACAAAAAGGGCCAAGTGCAATGAAGTGATTACTGACAAAATGCATGTGATGCCTTTATCTTATCTGAACTTGAAAGCTTATATGACTTGTGACTGATATTATGAGGAAGGGCTTGATACAACAGTCACTTTTACAAAAAAAATGAAGCTGGGAGTGCTAAACTGACCAGTCAAACCCGTGATCTTGGCGACGCAAGCGACGAAAGCGTCAAAGCTGATGTCTCCCTTCTTGTTGCCAAAGCGCAGCGCCAGCGATCCAAACGTCTTGTCGCTGACAGAAAAGCCTGCGATTTGAGGATAACAACACCAATTAGTAATCTGAATCAACAGGTGTATTTTAGGTAAAACTACCCAATTAAAGGTATAATGGACCAAATGACATGCGTGTGGTTTTTTTTCTTTTCATTTTTTAAGCAACAAAAGTGCTCAAAATTTAAAGAAGGGAGCATAACTAACCTGAAGAAGTTTTAGCTCTGTGAATGCAGGTATATTTTGAGAAAACACAATATTCTGGATCTCGATTTCCACTCAAAACTTGCCGAGTTACATTTTGAATTGCGCCCTCTCGGGACTCAATCCCGAAATCAGCATTCGGGACATGACATAGCCTAGCGCAGCACCAACGTTCTAAATAACTCGTTGCCGACACATAACCCTGCAAAGCGTGGATAATAAAACCAAGTTGAAATCTGGATCGACAGGTGCCTTTTAGTTTATTATAACAATAAATTAATTGAGGGCCTATTCACACGCAGGCATAGTGACGGAAAGCAGATATGTAATGTGGCCTTTCAAAATAAATTATCTTGTACTAAGCATTAATGGGTAGGAAAACTGTGTGGTATTGTTACATATTTTTTTGCAAATTATTATTTGGCCACAAACAACGATTACATATATTTCAAAAATAGAGTTCGGTAGGTCGTGAAATCTTTTTTCAAATTTTGCAAATTTTGTGTGTACTAAATGGTGTTTTCACACCATGTGCGCACTATATTTCGACTTGATTGATTTTAATGTCTGACACGAAAACATTCAAAACTGGCCAAAAACAAAATTACCCTGATGAAAACCTACCTTGTTTAAAGGAAAACGTATTTAAGGTCACTGATAGTACAAATATTAGAGAAATTAACTTGAGCCTACCACTGCACTATGCCCATCATTACAAAGGGGAACTGGCCAACGTGGTTCGTATACCAGAGAAAATTGGGGGGGGGGAATGCTTTGCGTGTTGCTTCAAGTGTCGGCGAGAAGAATTCGAAATAAAAACATGAAAATGGGAAATACTGTAACCAAGCAGATGAGAGAATATTACAAAAACTCTTAGCTGTCAACTTCATTTTCGGGCCGCTCAAAAGACGGTTCATTCAATTGGGAACTAAAAAAGATTACATACGTGTGTCTGATTTGCAAATGGAGAAATTTGAAGATGTGTACAAAATAAGTCACAGAAAAGGGTGATAAAGTTTAGTGAATAAACTCCCACGATTCTGCTTTATACAGCGGTGTATTCATTTTTTTTGGACTGAGACTTAGAACTCATACAAATTTGAAAAATTCCTCACAAACTCGACCTATTTGACCTTTGACCCAGCAGAGACCAAAGAACAATAATACCTGCCAGCCGATCAATCAACCAACTCACTTGACTGCCCATTGTACTCAGATCGCGTATACTTATCATACAGCTTCTGACCGAGTTCGACCAAGTTTGACCAACCAGTACCGTAACACCTGACACAAAGTCGTGATCGTACTGGCCAATTGGCACTGTTTTGATTGACAGGCCTAAAATATCCATAATGACCATTATCCCGATTCCTTTAGAACCAGAATATCCCAACCCAAATCATCCCCCTATTCCCGCCCCCCCCCCCAAAAAAAAACCCCACTAGGCCTACTCACCTATGCTTTTCAGGGCCTCACGCAGTTCAACGGCAGTTAAGGAACCTGATTTTTCTTCATCGTATTTTGTAAAAACGTCCTGTAAAAATGTCAAAATCACCCAAAATATATATATATATGTTTATCTGTTTAATGTATATCTGTTTAATATAATATAACCTGGTATATATTTTGTGATTCATTTTTTCTTCTTTAATATTTCTATCATAAACAAGGCCTAAGCTGTCAAAAGCCTGCCTTTAACTCACTTCGTCATCGTTGACATACAGATACATAGACGCCTTGCATTGCAGCCATATTGGAGGTGCAGTGCGTTTGTTCAAGTATACACACAAATTATACCTTTTATGCATAAACTGTTATTAACTTTAAATAACAAAAAAACCTCCATTTGCAAAGAGTCTATAGAGACTCTTATCTTCAAAAAGAATTTCAAAATATTATACCATAAACTGTGTTATTATACATGTATAGGCAGTTGTTCTGCAACCGTGGCCTGATTTCATGGTTCTTAAAGCGAAAAAATGGAGCAAAACATTTCGCACTATTGGCGTATTAACCTACGCCAGGGGCGGATCCAGGCTTTTTTATTTGCGGGCGGGGATCAGCAAACCAGTGCGGAAATGTAGACAGGTTGTTTTCTCCGGAAACTTGGCCTCTGTCAATCAAAAAATAAAATGTGTGTGGGTTTGTGGGTGGGTGTGCCCCCCCCCCCGACCCGCGCCTGTATGTGGCGATGAACATGCACATCTTGCAACTACTTCTTTGTATTAAAAAAGCAAATAACAATTCGGGGCTAACGTTTTATGTGCACAATGGGGATCATATTTTAAGCACAGAGTTTCGTAGTTGGCAGAGCAGAATTTCGTCGTTGAAATAAGTTCCTTGCGTAATTAATTTAGACATTGATTCTTGAAATTCAATGCTGCCTACCTTCCACTGCTTGACCATCGCCCAAACTCCCTTGAACTCCTCAAAGCCGAGCCTGCCAGTTTGATCTTCCTGGTAAAAAGCGTGCTGAGGAAAACACTTTACGATACAATCTGGTCATTTGTGTTTTTATGCAGACCCATTTTGTGTCCTGTTGACAGAGGATTTCTGACAAGGATAGCTTGCCTGTTTTGGATAGTTTGCCTGTTTCTTCAAGTTGTTATATTTTCAAATCGTCACTTGAGCTTGCCACTGCTGTCTACACCAAAACGCGGCTGTGTAGCCACGGGAAATTCATCAGCACATGCCTCCATTGGAAGCTGATCCCAGGTGGGTTTGAGTTGAACTTCATCCATCTGACCCCATCCCTGGTGATAACTCTTATTGCAACAATGTTAATCGCATCTTCACCTCGTCTTCCCGTAAATTAATGAGGTGTACACTTGACAGTATGCTTGCTAGAATTCACACTCTCAATGATAAGATAAGTAGAGCTCGTCGTCAATTGTACTCCGTTACTACGGGTCAACATGCCTACGTGATTCGTGGAAATCAGATTTTTCGTGACTCGGACTTGACTCGAGTCACTTTGGAAAATGACTCGGACTCTGACTCGGACTCGACCATGATGACTCGGACTCGAGCTTGGAGACTGGTGACTCGAGTCACCTTATTTTGAAAAGAAACATAACGTTACAAATTTGTGCGACGAACGTATAGCATTCTTTTTAACTCCATAGACAAAACACGGCGCCGCGGAATATCGTATCCAGGTGTCATGCCAAAAAGTGTCCGGTATCATGGAGGAGGGTTTTTAGAGATAGGAATTAAAAGGAAAAAAAACATGTTGGGTCTAAACAACATGTACACACAAGGTTAACTATATACACTGGGCCACTGGGGTTTACTTAAAAGACAGAATGGATGATTGAAAAATAATTAAAAACATTTTAGATTAGTTTTGTGAACAACTAAGAGCAAGTGACTCGTGACTCGGACTCGAGGCTTGTGACTCGTGACTCGGACTCGAGGTTTGTCACTCGAGACTCGGACTCGGACTCGAGGCTTGTGACTCGTGACTCGGACTCGAGGTTTGTGACTCAAGACTCGGACTCGGACTCAACGTTGGTGACTCGACTACAACACTGGTGGAAATATTCACGACATCAACTCTGGGTGGGCCGAGTCCCGTGAACGTGGCGTAAAACAACGCCACGCGAAACTGTGTAATAAAATCGTTCGACGTGTTCAAAATAGTCTACATGGACGTCGTTTGTCCTATGATATAAGTACTTACACGTGAAGATTACAGTGAATATTCCAATCAGCGTAACAGTCGGCATTCCAAATAAATTCGACTTGTTGGAGAGAGAATTATGGAGGCGGGTCCGAACGTTTGCAACTTTTATCACACTGGTCCCTGGTACCCCGACTAGCTGTACGCGCAAAATGATAGGGGCCCGCCGAGTGCCTGTAGCTCTGCGGATCAGCCGCTCGTCACATTGATTTCGATACGGCATGAAACAGCCGTCGATCAAAGGGCGAAACAAATACCGTCCAATCGTATACGGGCGCATGCGTTCTGCAGGGCTCTGCAACATTCGCTCGTACCCCCGCCCTGCAAACAGGACACTAGGATAGATTTTGCGTGACCTTTGAAGTGCAAGTCATCATGGCACGACCCTGCAATTTGTAGCTTCTCTTTTATTCCCATTCTTAATGCTTATTTTTCGTTGAAAAGCGTAATGTAGGAAAATCTGTTAAACTTATCTGTTTTGTACATTTTGAATTCCCAGCGTCACTTGCTTAGGCTCCCTTTTCGAAGGGTCAAATTGCATATTATGCTACGCTCAAATTTGTCCACATGATCCGCAATGAAAAAGAAATCACATCCGGTATGGAATGTATGCATTTTCTATGAGAACATTTTCGGATAGCATTTGTGCGCATTACCCAACCGCGGTTTCAACAGCTGCAGCTGGATGCTAAATTAGGCTGTATCCGAATCAGCTGTCTAGAGCTAGGTCTAGGTCGGCGCCCACTGACAATACGCGGGGACGCGCTAACAATAGACCTAGCCGTAGCTCTGAAAGCCCGTTTCGGACACGGCCTTATATAGGTCATGATACGTTACCCAAAACTTCCTTCGCAAGATTCTATTCTGTGAAGCTCATCAGCCTTCCAAGCGCCCTGTTTGCAGGGCGGGGGTACGAGAGAATCTGCAGCGTTCTGCAGAGCTAACAGGTACTCGGCGGGTTCGCTCGTACCCCCCGCCCGGCAAACAGGGCGCTGGGAAGGGCAGATGAGCTTCACGGAATCTTGTGAAGGAAGTGGGAATGACATTCTGGGTAATTTATCATGACCTATGTATAAAGCATCTGGCTGCAGCTGTATCCAATGCGTGCAAATACTATCCGAAAAGTTTGCCATAGAAATACATACACACCATACCGAATGTGATTTCTTTTTCATTGTGGAGCACGTGGACAAATTTTGAGCGTCGAATGATATGCATTTCGACCCTTCGTGAATTCGAAGCGGAGCCTGAGCAACTGACAGGAGTTGAAAATTTACAAATCAGATACGTTTTACAGATTTTCCTACATTATTATGCTTTTCAACCCAAAAAAGGCGTCGTATTTATGAAGGGGGAATAAAAGAGCGATGAATGACTCAGTCTTATCTACGGAAGCGTATTTAAGACATGACCGAAAATATTTTTTAGGCCCACTACTTCGCCCGGGCGGATTACTATTTCGCCCGGACGGATTACTATTTCGCCCAGGCGGATTACTATTTCGCCCAGGCGGATTACTATTTCGCCCGGGCGGATTAGTATTTCGCCAGGGCAGATTGCTAATTCTCCCGACCGGGCAGACTACTAATTCGCCCGGGCGAATTAGTACACTTCTGTACTGAACGACCATTTCAAACCTTGCAGGGCCGTGGTCGTGATGACGTTTAGGTCACAGGTCACGCAAAATCTAGCCAATCAGAGCCTTAATTCGTCTGCCCTTCAAAGCGTCCTGTTTGCAGGGCGGGGGGGGGGGGGGAGGGCGAGCGAACTCGGCGGGCTCCTATCATTTTGCGCGTACAGCTAGTCGGGGTACCATTTTGAAGGACTGTCTGAAGGAACGCGCATGCACCCATGGAGTCGAGGCTGCGCCCACGAGATGCTCTCGATCTCAAAACTGGTAAAAAGGCGCACACTTCTGTTAGCGCACGGAGCCGTAGAAGAGTCACGCGGGGTTGTCTCCTATAGCGGTCGTTCCAAACAATTGTCTGGTTCCCAATTTTCACCGTGCAAAACATATAGGATATTTAGGTATTAAAATTTTCTAGTTGAGATTTCTCGGATGATTGTAAGACTGAAAAAAATAGGACAGTGCTTCGTAACTGACTGTTACTGTAGTTATCACTCCGAACGTCACGGATGCCGTTTTTATGAAGCCCGGGAAGGGACAGGGTGGAATTTTTTTTTGGTGTTTGCTAATTCCTTCGCACGAATTACTAATTCGTTCGCACGAATTACTAATTCGTTCGCACGAATTACTAATTCGTTCGCACGAATTACTAATTTGTTTGAACGAATTGCTAATTCGAGCGAACTAATTATTAATTCGTGCGAACGAATTAGCAATTCGTTCGCACGAATTACTAATTCGTTCGCACGAATTAGCAATTCGTGGGAACGAATTCCTAATTCGTTCCCACGAATTGCTAATTCGTGCGAACGAATTAGTAATTCGTGCGAACGAATTAGCAATTCGTGCGAACGAATTAGCAATTCGTGCGAACGAATTAGTAATTCGTGCGAACGAATTAGGAAATTCCAAAAAAAATTCCACCCTGTCCCTTCCCGGGCTTCATACGTTATTGTATATTCCAATGCGTAAAAAAAAATCGATGAAAGAGTGGCCCGTGCTATCGCTACGTGAGACGAGGCTTGTGTGGCACGGTCGTCCCGAGCAACGCGAGACCACGGCGGCGTATGGCGTAATCACTTCTACAGCGTATGGACAGTTTGGTCGAGAGAAAAGAATCAATGCATCACCAAAACAGTGATCAAGGGAAGAAAAGTGAAATTCGCCCCCTAGTAAAGTTTCCTATAGATTTGAGTAATCAGAGACTTCATTTAAAGGGAATATACATCAATTGCTTTTGCTGTAATTTTCAGAAATGGATGGAATTGGGGGGTTGGAAATATATAGCAAATATAGTTACACTGACTTTTTTTTGAGGTTTTGGGTTCGAAAATGCTATAAAAACCAAGAAAAACAATCAGTTTCCTGTAGTCTGGTTCCCTGACTCCATATAAGAAGAAACAGAGCAGTTTACATACATTGGGGAATTGTAAGGTCAGGGAACCAGTCTAGCTTGCTTGTACCCGTTCATAGGTGTGTAATCGATTGCAAACAAGTGCAATGGTCAATTGGGGCCAGTATTTGAAAAAAGCCAGTTTATTCCAACGCTGGTCGGCCGACCAGTGTTGGAAATTGATACAAAAATACCACTTTTCTTGAAAATGACAGTATACCAGGTGCCATGATTTTACAGGATGCTTTACACTGTCATTCACTAACAGTCCAGCAAGGTATTTCAAAATGATTTGGTAGTTTTATTTTTTGATGTTTGCAAATGTTGTATTTTCCCTTTAAACAACAGTTTAGAGACCCCGTATACTGAAAAACGCTTCAAGGATACATCATACAAAGCCACAAAGGATTTGCATACATCGATAGATATGCCTTCATCGTCGCCAAACTCTAAAATATCAGACAGAAAATCTGAAAGTTTATTAATGTCTATAGTAACGAAACATTTTGTTGAAGTAATTCTTGTGTGGATATACAAGGGGAAGAAGCAACTTATTGTATTATTTCCACAAAAATTTCACACCAAATTCGTAAAAGAGTTGATATTTGATCAGAATTCTTCATTAAATTCATCCCAATGTTCAATCGTTTAGTCACAAAACAAAATGTTGTCCCACTTTAATTTACAAATTGCGCCAATTAAATGCATATGGTATAGGCATGCGCTGCTCCCAATTTGTTCTAAGACTAATTAATAGTATACTTGCAAAAGTACTAGCCATTACATCAATCTACTTTTGACAGCATGTTGCAAAAACTATCGCAAAACTCAAATTAAACACACTTCTTGGTGAAAAAAAAACCGAATGTCGGAGACTGTGGATTAACAACTGCGACCTCTATGTTTTGTTCTCGGACAGTTGGAAACTTATTATTCATGAATATGCAAATAAGGCTAAACGAAGTCATTGCATATCTGTAATTTACATAATGTCATACGAAACATAAGAACCTTTGACATCCGTGATTCCCGCTCACGGACGGATCACTGTGTGTATACCTCCGATGAATAATTAGTGCAAACTTTATTTTGTAAAAGTCAATATAGACTGATAAGGCTTTTGAACCCTGGTAGAAACTTTAATAATTGTAACATTCGAATGTTTCGACTTACAACTGTAATTAATGTAGGTAGAATGTGTTCGGGAGGTATTATAACACTCTGTTTAAGACCGGTGGGAGTCTGGATGGGGAATAATTATCCGAGGCGAAGCCGAAGGTAATTATCACCAGTCCAGACTCCCACCAGTCTTATTCATTCCCACTCATAAATACCTTTCGGTAAAAAAAAAAATCAAAACAAGTCAAAAACTAAACGTTGCCAAACATTTTGTTCAACAATTTTGCTTCATGTTTTACGAAACACCCCTCTGACTATAATATGGAATGCCCCTCCACAACAAGTTACCTTATAGGGACATTGGCATGCAAGTCGCAAGCGTACTGCGCGATGTCGCGCAACACTGGTAGTATTGCGCATGCAGACGTGAAAATGAAACGTTAAAAAGGCACCGGATTTCATGGGAGTCCAAATATCATATGACACTGGAAAAGTGTTTAAGACCAGCTGGCCATGTCTTTATCATCCGTTTAAGACCGGCCACGTGACGGGCTCTCGACCAATAGGAACGACCAATTAATGTAATGTAACAACAAATTTCCTCGCACTCTCTCTGGAATGCTAGGCGGGCGGCCACAAATGCTTGACGAAGTTTGTCAACTTTGTGTGTGTTTCGCACGGCCATCCCGCGCTCGAGCACATGATGATGCAAAAGGATAACCTTTAAAGAGACTTTTGGTATATATTTTTATTTGATATTTGCATTGGGATGGAGAAATACAAAGCTTTCTAGTGAGAGGTTGGGTCAGGCTGGTTCAATATTAACCTTTAAAGTTTTTCTTTGCTTGTTAACTTAGCAGGCTTCACCCGGCTATACACTGCTAGTACTGCATGACGGGCCTCAACCTGTACTATTACTATTACTATTACTATTTTATTTCTCGGGAAAATATCAACAAATACATGTAAACAAATGACTAAAGTTACAACACAAAACAACAAAAGCTTTAGATACATAAACAAACAAACAAAAACAAAATACCATTCAGCTCCCGAAGGATTGTCCAAAAGAAACGTTGTTTCTGTCTAGGGGTTCTCCAAACTGAATGGCATACGTGAAAACAACAAGCAATAAATATAAAAAGAAATTTTAACTATACAAAAAAAAAAGTTAAATAAGTTACATTAAGTCAAGAACAAAGTTGGTAAATTATATAATTATTAGACAAACAAATCAAAAGAAAAAAAAAATCAATTACATTTGTACTAGGTAAATTAAATGAATAAACAAATTAATATATACATTGTACTTCAACTACTACCACTACTACATGTACTACTACTACTACTTATACTACTACTGTATATACTAGTATGATGAGTAAGAGGGCACTTGTTTAATACAAAAGGGCAGTCTTCACAAAATATTGGGGGTGGGGTTAAATACCCCCACCCCCTTACCCCCTCTTGATACGCCACCACTGGGTTTGGTACAATTTCGCTCTTCGATTCACTGCCCAGTGGTTTTTCTATTCTATCAATCAAAACATAAAAAAGTCTAGATCCTTTGCACAATTTGCAAGAGCTTAATTAGTCCTTGTCTTACTTTTGAGAGGCTTTTCTTTATGTTGACAGACATAAACACTTTGTTATTAAATTAATATAATCTTTTAGAAAAAAATTAACAACATTTTGCTAAGAAATACATGTATTCACAGGTTTTGTATTATTTTCCTTTGTCCATTTTTTAAGATTGCCACTTTAAGGTACATAAACGGCATTTCGGACAAAAGTAATATGCCTTCCACTGGTGCTTCTATTGGTGTTTGACTTAAAAATATAAATATCCTTGCTTTTCAAACAAACTTTCCCAAAGAACTCAACTTAGGCATATTTGGTAACAGTTTCTGCCTAGTATAACTCCTCCAGAGAATTGCCTTTTATCCCTATTGGTGAGATTACTGGCCCGCATTGGTCATTTTTTTGTTTATTTAAATTTCCCCGTCCTTTAATGTTTCAGTTTCGCTTGTTAATTTGAAATTACGTACCCTGTGAGAAAGCCTTTTTTAGCGCTTTTTGCAAGTCCCACGCATCCACTACACCGTCCTGTTACGAAGAACGAAAGGAAACATGTAAAATCTTAGATCATAACTTCATGTAGTGTGATAATGACAACCTCATCTACAGGCAACCACTCACCAGAGTGAACTGCTACCTCGATCTATAGCCCTTTCCCAAGAGCTGTTCGGATTTGGAACAGGCTACCGGTGGCTGCGGTCACTGCGACTTATCTGATAGGGTTCCAGACAGAAGCTCTCCCAGCTATAGGAAGGATGGAACTACCAATCTCTCTCAGGGCATATTGACAATGCCACCATCTGATAAGAACCCTAACAGCACATACACAGAGCACACATGGAATTGCAACCCACCCTTTCCAGGACAGCAGCAATGCTTATAGGAGAGTAAACCTAAAATGCAAGATGCAACTAGACTAACCATATGTAGCCAAAAATGACAGTAATCGTCGTCTGCCCGACAGAAGGGTATGCGCGTTTGCCCTTTTATGCGCGAATGCGTTATCACCAAAAATGTTCCCAGCCAGAGGGCATATGCAGAAAACTGCCTCTATTTTAATGACATTTAATTACAATTTCGTCAGAAATTAATACAAATTAATCCAAAACTTATGATTCATACATGTGACAAATTTCGAATTCGTACGATTTATATTACGTGTGGGAGAACATTGGATTCAAAATAAGCGTTAGGGAACAATAACCTGCCAATGCAATTTTCTTGAAAATGGTTTTTGCGTCAGAACGCTCATGTGTTCTTCTGCCGGGCAACCGACGGGTTTCAATGGTGACGATAAAACCAAGCTTTACATTGCTTCGCCCTTGTTCTTCAACACAACCATTTTTGCTCCAAAATGAATTTTCACCGTGTACATTTTTTCTTTGGAACAGTTTCATCGATTGATAATATGCTTATATATTTTTCGAGTTGTGTTTGCACCTATAACTCAAAACACAGCCTGGATTTTATTGTTTTTATGCCTCAAAATTGGTTATTGTTATAGACCTAAAAACACAAATTGGAAACTTATAAAGTCAGCAATGCCATAACAAAAAGCGGGGTGAATTCTTTCTTCGATGTCTCATTCAAAAGTGAATAATTTTTGCACTAGTGCTTGAAAATGAACAACTTTATGACTATTTTTGGGCTGAAACTCGAAAATAAGCATGGAAAAAGCATTTTTTTTTTTTAAATCATGTTATGCATTCTTTGCGCATAAATTGCGGAAAAATTCACAACTGAATAAACCCGCACATTTTCCATTTAAAATGGGTTATATCCATGCCCAACGTAATTTTAAAACAGACCAAAGTTTAAGATTCAATGAAGCATCATTACAAAAAAAACCTTGAAAGTGGTGATTCACACTGCAGCGTAAAATGTGTACTATTCAAATCAGAGGTATGAAAAAGAAAGCAATAAGATTAACCATCAAAACTCACGTCTCCAGCCAACGCCAAGAAACTACCGTAGAATGGAGCAATCGGTGGATTCTCAGAGCTCTGTACCCCTGGCTGTTGGGGAAAAAACAAACAAGACTTAGAAGAGAAGCCACTAGAAGCGGTCCTACTAAAATGTGTCCAACAAGCGTCAACCGGCGTCAACTGGCGTCAACAAGCGTCGGAAGATCAGAAGCAGCTTTATATAGTAGAAATTATGAAAACGAATACTTTCTGCAAAAAAAGCTAAGTTAGAATTGTTTTAAACCGCTTTTTTATGTGTAAAAACTAGTATGAGTTCGTCGATTTAGTATTGGCTGCCATCTTGTTTGTGTTGGCACTGGTTGGGTCATGACATTCATCTTGAGGTACTAATTGCATGGTGTATGGAATTAGTGACATATAATTTTGTTTTAATGTATACAAAGTATACTGTTTTATTAGGCCTTATGCACTTTTTTTTAGATCGTTTCGTAAGAAAAACAAATTTAATGTTTGTACAACAAAAATATCTGTACACAAAAACAAACACCCAACGAGATATCAAAATGATGTTTTTGCAAGGAATTCCCCTGACAATCTCGGTAACGGTCGTCAAATTCAAAATAGTACATGACGCAGCAAAAAGTTCGCCCATACGATCCGAGTATACTTGATGTACAAAATCGTCGTTGAATTTTAAGTTTTCTTAATGAAAGCAATGAATATTAATTATCAACTCATTTCAAAAAGCTTTTAATAAGCAATTAGCAGTTAATTAAACACTCGGAAATACTCGCGCACTATCCGATTGTCGACAAAATGAAATCGGCAAACTTCGGACATTTTCGGGAAAAAAAGAGGAATTCCTCCCGTTTTAGTCACGTGACGTTGATTGTAATACAATGTATTACCGGAGGCTACCTGACCTAAGATTCATCAGGAATAGTCAGAATCTTTTGGTCTAGAAACCAGACTAGTTATCAACTAGCGCTTTGTTGGCGGACAGTGCCAACAGCGATGTCTGAGGCGTCAGTAGTGACACAAGTCTGCATTGGGCTGAGTGTGCGCGACGGTGGCAACATTAGCGAGCGCTGACTTGATGTTGCCAAAAGTTGCTTCCGCTGCATCAGTCCACTGCAAGCTTTTTGACTGTGAGCGGTTGGAGGAAGGCGGCTGCGTGTGGTAAAACCCCCGTAGAAGTTCACTTACCCAAGGATCTCTTTGAGTTTGCGGTGTGTCGTGGGTCAAAGGAAATCCCAGACGGTTTGGGAGTACTCCCTGCGAATCAACGATTGCAACTCCACACCAAACTGGCTTTTCGCTGAATTGATGACGCGTCCGTGGTCAGACAAGCGATTGAAGAGCTGGAGAAAATAAGGTTCGTGTTCTTCCGCATCATCGCTAGCAACAAGGAGATCATCGATATCAGTTGGCGCGGCGTTGCGGAGCCCGAAGGGCATGCGCACTGACTCGTAGAGTCCGAAGGGCGTGGTGACGGCTGCCCAAGTTGGGATGTCGGACGGCAGCCTCCACTGAGATTCGGTGGTAGGCGCCGCGCACAAGGTCGATTTTGGAGAAAACCTTTGCACCATGCAGCGATGACGAAAAATCGTGGATGTGTGATATGGGATAGCGGTCTGGAACTTTGCGATCATTGAGTACGCGGTAGTCCCACATGGTCTCCAGTGCCCTGGGGTTTTCTTCGGGACCATGTGGAGGGGTGAATTCCAATTGCTGCTTGATGGTCTGATGATACCAAGTTGCAGCATGTGATAGAACTCTAGCTGTCGATTATGTTCAGTCTTTGGGGCGAAGGTAACGAGGACGAGCAGAAACCGGTGGGCGCTTTGTGATGTCCGGAAACTTGGCCAAGAGCGCATTGAGAGTCGTTTGTGGCAAACATAGGGTGATGAGGTGAGGCCCATGACACCATTGACACCGACATTGGTCGTTGCATCTAACAGACGACAATGTCTCATGTCCTCTAACAAATCAAAGTGGCGCAGGAAATCTGCACTGACGGGTGGTGAACATCCGCTATGATAAACACCCACCTACATGTCCGTCGGAGTCCTACACTGCAAAAACTGCAGTGTTAAATTAACACCATTGGTATCTATATAGGACCATCTGGTGTTAAATTTTACTGGTGTTGTCCTATATAGATACCGAATGGTGTTAAATTAAGACCACAGTTTTTGCAGTGTAAATCCAGCGTGAGTGACCGTTTTCTGAGGGGAGCTAATATATATCAACTAGCCATACTGGAAATAAACCATGTTATAATTGTTTTATTATACCTCATACGTATTCAGTTGCCGAATGCACCTCGCGGGAATAAAATCTTCGGTTAAACTTGTCCAGCTCACCAGAAGAATAGTATTGCTCAATCTCAGAAAAGTTCAGTAAGTTCGCAATACATAGCTGACTCCTCTAAAAGTAATAGTTTGTAGGCCTACACTTTTTGTTTTGTTTAGTAGCGGAGGCATCATTATTGTCCACGTTATTCTCCAGTTAACTTCGGCATCATTGAACTCAGGAACGCTATTTAAGCTTTTTATGTGAAGCGCTAGGGCAAAGTTCACGCGTGCGAACTACACCCGTTCGACAGTTCCACGATTGCTTCGTATCAAGCGCATGCGACAGTCTACTATGCGTATTTACCATGTGCGTGAATAATCGCACGCGCTTAAAATGACATCTGGCACGTGATGGTGAATGGACTTTGATGGCGTTAGGTCAGCAGAATGCCTGTCGCCGTTACTTGCTGGCGGTCGCGTTTCCGTGGGAGACACCACGTCCACCAGCGCTCAGTTGTTTTAATGGATGAATAAACAATGTAATTAGTCGCGACTAGTCGACTATAGTCACAACTTTTTACCGATAGTTTCCACGACTATTGAAATTCACTATATTACTGACATGGTTTACGGCATTTGCGAGCTTGGTCCGAACGATGCATGGTATATCAACACCACGAAGAAAGATCCGCTGCTGCGGAATCCCTAACGGATGGCGTAGGTGTCTGTGATCGCGAGCGATTACGTGGTCGGCTTCGAGAACGTGGACGACGTGACAAGGCTTGTACTTCAGTGTAGCGGCAGCTGTCCGATTTCCTTGCTCAGGAGTTCCAGTTCTGTCATAGCCTTGGTCAATGCTCTCGTCGTTATTCGTCCCGTACGCGGTCAATCGTCGGCATACTCCTCACGCGCTATGCACATGCATGTAAAAATACAGCGCGAACAGCGACCTCATGCGGTGACTATTTTTTTATGCAAATCAGTTGGGGACGATCGAGAGCCTTGGTTCAATCGCCGGCAAAAGCTTATGTTTTTCTTCATTTTGCGCTGGATTTCTAGCGCACGACCTCGTATACGAATACAGAAAAGTGTAGGCGGGGCTAATATGTGGAGTGTCCAATCACACCTTGGTAAATCCGGACGTCATCAAATTCTTTGCAGCTATTCGCCTTTTCGGACGTGACAGGAACCACAGTTTTGTACAGCGGTGCCGTGTGCAGAGCACACAACGTGTACGTGAATGGATTATGTACGGTGCCACGTTTCACTATGCAAGGTTTCATGCAACGATCGACCAATAAGAAAACGACATTTAAGGTCAGCTAAGGCTATTAACATAATGAGCACCACCCCCAACACCTCACATGGACGATTGAACCAAGGCTCTCGATCGTCCCCAACTGATTTGCATATAAAAATAGTGGCCGCGTGAGGTCGCTGTTCGCGCTGTATTTTTACATGCATGTGCATAGCGCGTGAGGATATATGCCCCGCGGTCAATGCCAGCACCATTTGTACATTGAGCGGTAGTCGTTGCAGAAATAGCTGGCGAAGGATCGATTCCTCAAGTACGCGGTGCCCAGCAACTGTCGCATGTGACGAAGCAACTGGGTGGGTTTTCCGTCGCCCATCAGCACCTCTTTATTTAGGAGTTGCTGAAGGCGCTGGGAAAAAATGTTGCAACCTGACGCCACATCCGCATTGTGTACACAGTCTATAGAAAGTAAAGAACATTTTCAAAGTATAGCTTAGCAAATTGGAAACGTTTCTCAGTCCACGATTCATGTCGTATCATCATTTTTGCAATGACCTTCATTGAGATGATATTAAAGACAAAAGTGGCGTCAGATTGCAATTTTTTTCTGAGGCACGTTTGGTCAGTTGCAGATATGCGCTTGATCAGCTCTTCTCGCAAAGTTTGGGTTCTCCTCGGGAGGTGCGAGCAGGAAATTGCGGACTTCCTTTCGGGGGCGAGGGAAAACACAATGTACGCATAATTCGCTCCAACGAATTTGGATGCTCGTTTGTGCAACTTTAATTTGAATGCCGCATTGTTGAAAATGCATGATTTAAATGTGAAATTGCATGCTTTTAATATGAAATTGATTGGTGTTTTAGGTAATTGCATGTTGATCTTAACGTGCATTCAAATTCGTGCGAAAATGGGCGCTTGGTCATCAATTTGGCCGCCAAATCTTCTAACTTGGCCGGGAAAACCTATACAAAACACTGCATTCTAATTGATCAATCAAACCATCTAGTCCTGATTTAGGTATGAAATGACGTCACGATTTAGTAAAGTCGACTGCGATTGGCTGGCGCGCGGCTTGCATAATATCCGCATGTCTAGACATATCAGACGTTATACAGGACTTGGCTCCGTGGATAACATGCGATACTCAGACTCAGTACACGCAATGCAACTCAGAAAACTCTTAACGCTATTCCGGAACTTCAGGTATGTTGGAATGTTCCTCTTCAATGCAGCTAGCTATGCCAGAATGTGGTTGCTGGATGCAGGAAAGTTAATGAACCAAGCGAGGGTGTTGCAATAAAACGTTTCTGTAACTACAGAGGGCGCTAATTATGTGACCAAAATAATTAATGGCTCATGGTACTGCAACCTGTCTGTTGCAAAACACGACTGGTCAGATTAATGCGCCTCAACCTGTGCATGCGAATCATACGTAGGGGTCGGCACGCCTTACCGATGTAGTCACTCCGCTGTGCCCGCTTGAAGTTGTGACATGTTCCGCTCCGTCCTTTGACTCCATGTCGCGTAAATATACCGTCAGGGTCACCAAATATGGCTGCTACACAATTACCAATGAAGCTGCACACGATATTTGCTTTCAGAATGTTTTATTATCTGCAACAAACAACTCACTGTACGAGGCAAGTGAACAGCGAAACTCGGCAAGAAAAGCTAAAGTGAATACAGTGCATTTATTATAACCTCGTAGTCATACATATGAGGCTTAGGCTGGCTGCACTTTCAAGGACGGACGGAAGGAAGGAAGGACAATTGCAGAATGGGCGAACTTTGACCTTACTATTCACAGCCTGTCAGGAGAGGGCGAACTAACAATAAACAATAACTGGGCTACTACATGTACCGCAGACATATAAAAAATGTTTGTCTGTGGCTACTACACTGATGATGATAGGCCTACGCTCATTATTTGGTGAAAACCTTTTCAATTAATAACATTTTTGTAACTTTTTTTCAGGTTTCTTTTTTATTTGCAAATTTTTGATTGTGATGATAATCGCATTTTTATGTTTTAATTATTTGCAGTAGCCCTTTCGGTTCTTGCATTCCCCAAGCTCATTTTGAGTTGCACCTCGAAAACATGAGGAAAGGACAGAACCTCTTTTAAATTGCTATCTTTAATAGCCCTACAAAATTAATTATTCACTTTTGAATGAGACATATCGACCCATTTTTTCCCTTACGCGTAGTTATTTCTATACAATTATATTCAATTAGTTACAGCCTGATAATTCCTCCCCATTAGGGTATGGGCGAGCTCATTGCCCGCAATTGGCGTCTATAGTGTACGGAACAAAACAAATCTGATCGTAATTAAGGTTCTTTTTGTGGTCAAGATAAAAACAACTCGTTTTCAGAGATACGGCAAAATGCGGGACAAAACATTCACCTGATTCAAGACATTATTGATTTGCACTTGGATAAGGCCAAAAAAGGACTGTTTCTGGTATGCGCGCGCGTCGCCGTAGCCATGCGCGTCGGCAAAATGAAAAAGGTTTTTTTTCAATGAAAGATGATGTCTCAAAACCGCCAAACTCACTGGTTTGACTGGAATCCTGCTGCTGCACAATTTTAACGTGTTTTTAGATTGGGTTATGGTCAAGAATAAGCTTTATGTGGCCTCTCTGGACTCCCATATATTTGCACTAAGTTTAGTCGGGCACCATTTGTAGTCATCAGCCGACATTTGAAGCAAAAAATTAGGTAAAAAAAAAAAAGAAGCCGCGTCGCCGCACCACTTTTTGGGCAAGCTCCATACCAGAAACCGGAGACTTTTTTTTTTGGCCTAAAGAAAGTCTCATTCTTTTCTTAGTCTTCGGAAAAAAAGCGTTAGATTCAATTGAGGTTATCTTCATCAAGAAAGCGTTCGAGTTTTTGCAACTTTGGTCCGTCTCTATTAAAGTGGACAGATGTGTTGTACAGTAACATAGTTGTGTCACACAAAATGGCTGGTTGTCAAACTCATGATTTCAATGTTACTAGAGGCATCAGACAAGGCTGTCCTCCATCAGCATTATTGTTTATAATTGCAGAAATTGTGGCTCTGAAGATTAAAGCTAACGAAAACATCAAAGGAATCCAGATAGATCAAGATGGAAACCTAACGGAAATTAAAACCGCCCAATACGCCGGTGACACGACCATCTTTGTTGGAGACAAAAACTCCATCATGTGTGTACTAAATGAAGTTGGTATTTTGAAAAGGTCATCAGCACACACACAATTCTCAGAAAATTTTTAACCTCGGGTTTCTTTGGATGATATTTGTTAACGACCTTAAATTGACTGAGTCCCTCTTACCAAATTTTAATGTATCTATCTTTTTTTTTAAAAGTTTTGAAAGTATTATTCAATGTATAATTAAGTGATGTTTTTGTTAACTGTTTAATGTTGGAGGAATGCGAACAATAAAAGGCCTGGAAAGGGTTTTCAGAGAGTTGCAGACGATAATTATTATTTTCTTTTAAATACGAGTTTTGAAGGGTCAGAATGAAACATAAAGTGGAAAATTTATCAAGAGCAAACAAACTGAAATTTGTTAAAGAGAAGGGTGATCAACGTTAACGTTAAAAACACACGTTTAGGCAATAGCACGGTTCAGAATTGTGAGGAATAAAATACAATTGTAATGGTGTCCTCATGCTAACTTTTACGCCGCGACGGAACGCATTCCCGACAGGCAGGAATCGATTGAAGTCGACTTGACTAATGATGAGAAGTCACGACGTCCTGGTTGCATCCGAATGTTGCCAATCAGCGTGCGGCAAAAATGATCGAATGAATAGACGTGAACGTGGAAGAATAAACCTTTTTCCCAGGGTGTCGAGCAGTACACTTCCATTAACACTGCCTGCTCTCTCACCCTGGTATTGGATCGCTTGCATATCCGCGTTTTTGATACGTATCATTATCAGGCGCCCTATAGACTATGTGTTGTAGGCTCACGTAATAGTCTGGGGAAATACTAATAAGGAAAATGCAACTGCGATGGGCATGGGGGATTAGCGCCCTCAACAGTGGTGGGCTAAATGCCATCTTCCCATTTCTGAAATGCGAGGTGGCAAGGTGAGCGCAGAAAAAGGAGAAAGATTTGCCCAAGATTTGAGGATGATGTAAAAAACTCTATTTAAAGTGTACTTTCTACAAGGAGTAGGCCCCCTATAATAAAATCTGCAATAGAAACGTAGTAGGCCTACTTGGAGCGTGTTTAAAGTATATTTTGTGGGTGTGCACTAAGGCCCCATGCAGTCACAACTCCAATACAAAAGACCAAGACCCCGCCAAGACCATGACATTTAAACATTTCTTGAAAATCGCACCGAAAACGTAGCAAATGTGGCACCAAATTCAAATTTCGTCCTCCGAGCTCCAATCTGCAGACCATGATCAGAATGTGCTGCGATGTCATCCCGAATACTACGACTCCGAAACGACCTCGAACCGAATATTACGACTTTGCTACGACTTGGATCCGTTCAATTGATTTTTTTTCACGACTGAGTGCTGATCTCGTTACGACATATCGATTGAGTACCGACACAAAAAGACCGAGAACCGATGCCGAAACGACTCCGAAACGACAGAGTGACCGTCTTCGGAATTTTCCTTCGTAATGGTCGTATCAAAGTCGGCAAAAGAAATTTGACTGACCATGTACGACCACTGCCAATCTGGTACAGACTATTGCGATTTCGTTACGACTTCGTTACGACACAACCGTTTGAGTACAGACGGAGAACATGCAGACTCTGATCCGTTTTGGATTTTTTGCCGACCATCACGATATGTTTTAACTGTTAACTTATCGTGGCTCCACTGCCGACCATGCAAGACCTGTAGGATGCCAAAATGGCGCTCAAGAAGTCATTCCGATAAAGTTCAGATGTCGTTCCGAGTTTCACGATGTCGTCGAGTCTTGCGTCTCAGCACTGTATTCTGATAAAAAAAAGGCAATGTAAAATTAAAATTGCATCTTTAAATATCCGTTAGAAGTCATAGCTGAAACCAGGGGGTGACTGTGGAGTTAAGGATCCGAGTTCCTATAACAGATGAAACATCTACCTTTAACTTTTTACTTTTGTCGCGATTGGGTGCAGACAACATGTCAAAGCCCATATTTCTTAAGTGTAACTACTTTTTGCTCAAGTAAGGTGTCATGTATTAATTTGTCAACATTGCCACTGGTCAAAATTTTGGTCTGTATTCTTTGTGAATAGAAAGGTTACATTTTTCAACTATAATAACGTGTCTTGTTTTTTTATTTCGACTATTGTTATTTATTATCAGCGGTCTCGGTCTCGGTCTCGGTCTCGGTCTCGGACCATATTGGTCTCGGTCTCGGTCCGCCTTGAAGGGGCTAATCTCGGTCTCGGTCTCGAATCTTCAGGTCTCGGTCTTGGTCTCGGTCTCGGACTATCCGGTCTCGACTACAACACTGACAGTGTGACAGGCGCTTTATAGTAGTTCTGAATGTAAGATATGGTGACCTTTTCATGGTTCAGTTAGACAAATTTGAAGATCCTGGATGGGGGGAAATGCCTTGGTTTGACATCTTGGATTAGAGCAAGAGCGTATTGGAGGGTGTATGATATATCTTGCTGAACTAGAAAAATATATTGAGTTCTTTGATATATTGAGAAGAATTTGATGTCATTCTAGGAAATCGGGTTGTAGAGTGAAGTATTGTCAACGTTGGACACAATGAAAATCTTCAAATTTGAAACAACAAATGTGGATAAATGTGTGTTTATTGCAACAACAAAAATGGAAAAAAAGTGAGCTGCAAAAAATGAGTTGGCCCTAATAACATCTTTGCATTTATTCAGTGTCAATACTTTTGAGTTAGCTAAGATGGGAGGGAACAAAGAGTATACATTTGTTTTCCGCAGATTTTTTTTTTCAGAGAGCAATTATGAATTTAATTGGCCCTTTGTCTATGGACAAGTAGTAAGGATAGTATATTTTGATATCTTGTTATCAAAAAAAGCGGGTCCAACAATTTACGGCGTGGGATTCGGTGCCCGCTTAAAGGCCCCGATTTTTTTTGGGGGGGGGATTTTAGATGCTGTGTGGTGCGATCTGAGGATGGTGGTGTACGCAGCGGCTGCCTTTCGGCGACGCCACTTAAAAAAAACTTGGGCTGTTATTTGTATTTTTTTGGGGGGGGGGGGGGTGGCCCCCTTTGGCCCCCTGGATCTGCCCTTGATGATATAATTATATAAGAAGGAAGTGCAATATAACATTTGTAGAGGCTAATTTAGTGCCAACCGAAAACAAAATGAAAATATTTGATACTGTTAATTAACACCGGAAAAGTATTTCAACATGGTATGGTAACCGGTATTGCAGATCTAAGGTATTTAGTATGACAAACAGCCACTTGATTGATATACATGTACACTGAGAGCGGGATCCATTACATCACAAGTCCATCAAAAGTCCAGTCTCAAGTCCAGTCTCAAGGAATGCCTTTGTCAAAGATCGTTTGAAGTGCTTGCGAGTTGAATTGGGACTGAAGGACTTGTCATGGGCTTACTTGTCAGGGACTTGTGATGGACCGGACTACATCCCTGCTCTTCATTACTTGAAGTAAAAAATCAACAGAATATAAACATTGATAAAAACAAGAGAGCAATAAGAACTCTAACTCTACAACCAATAATATGAATTACCAATATTTATCAAAAGTAAACAACTAAGTGAAAACAGTGACAAATATCAAAACACTGTAAAGTATTACCCATCTAATAAAGAACAGTATTAATTACCTAATATAATATCAACACAAACCACCTGTAATGCAAACAATTAAGTCTTTTTACAACATTGAGTCAAGTATCTGGACGACGTGATAAAGATATAGAAACATTAATATTTCTAGCCCATTTTGAGATATGGCTGACACAATAGGAGGCAGCTATTAGGTTTGGGTAAATACAAAAGACTTTTCCCAAATGAAACAGCGCCCTCCTCCTGTCTGCCAAATCTCAAATAGGCCAAGTGAGGTCATTGTGATTACATTTGACACGTTATTGTTTAACCAAGAAAATCACATTAAAATGGGGTTCAATGAAAAATATTAAAATCATAGGCTCCCATCAAAACTAGTAATAATACAACTTTTTATGAACTGGCGATTTGCGTCACTAGAGGTTTGGACGTGTTTGTGTGTGACACTTTCTTTAATCGTTCTCTGCAAAATCTTGTCACCCAAAGCAGTTTCGTCTGCAGTCCCGTTTAGGGCTGCCCACGGTGGGGATCGAGGCCTGTGTCCACCCAACTCCGCCTCCCAGCAATCGTTTAGAATTTGGGGTGAGAGAAAAATATCTTGTTATTGTTTAAAGATGCGTTCCCCGTGCTATTTTCGACTTTTACCTCGAAAACTATGTATTTTTTCCCAAGCAATGTAAAAGTTATTGACTTTTTAATGACACATCGATCGAAAAATCCACCAACGTTTAGTTGAAGTACATCTTCACATAATTCGAATTATTTTGGCTGCCAGACAATAACTCGGCTCTCGCAGGACGGGTTCATTGGTGAGTAAAATGAGAGACCTATTTCAGATTTTGTTTGTTAAAAAATTCTACAAATGAAAATTCTTTATAGGGGAAAAAAATATCATTTAGTAGGCACTTTTATTTAAGAGCACGGGGTATAAGTATCCCTCTAAAAATCAAGGCCCATAATAGTGTCATCCCCCTAGTTATATACACAACTGACCACCATTACGTGATTTGTTCACCTTGCTGTTCCGGCAGGATTGGGTTTCCCATCTTCTGATTGGTCCATTATTTACATGCATAAACGATGCTGTTTCGTGGACAACTAATTCGGTATCTAAAAATTATTATTATTATAATACACCTTAAATCAATATGGATACACATAGAATCTTCACATTTAATACCATGACCAAAATAATTAAGCGAGCTACTAATACCACGCATACTTGATTGCATCAGACAAAACCAAATTAAACTTCTCATTAGTCCATTATTTACATGCATAAACGATGCTGTTTCGTCGACAACTAATTCGGTATCTAAAAATTATTATTATTATTATTATACACCTTAAATCAATACGGATACGCATAAAATCTTCACATTTAATACCATGGCCAAAATAATTAAGCGAGCTAATACCACCATACTTGATTGCATCAGACAAAACCAAATTAAACTTCTAATTGGTCCATATGCATAAACTATGCAGGTTCATCGACAACTAATTCGGTATCTAAAAGTTATTATTATTATTATACACCTTAAATCAATACGGATACATATAAAATCTTCACATTTAATACCATGACCAAAATAATTAAGCAAGCTACTAATACCACGCATACTTGATTACATCAGACAAAACCATTTGAATTATTATTCCATCACCTATAAAAAAAAAAAATGCTGTAAATTCGTCATGTTGAGAGGCCTGCGGATCTAGTAGTGGCCGGAGATGGCGGGATTGGGCCAGTCTTGTCCTTCAAAGTGTTCCACTGGTCTCTGTAAAGATGTTCATGCAGCTGATATTATGAGTTACGTCATTAAAATAATTTGACAAATGCAGAACGAGGAAACGGCAAACATTACTCGTTTATTACTCATTCGGTATCAATTTGGTATTATTACTCATTTGAGGCTGCAAAGATAGACAAAGTTCACAGGGTATACCAGGCGCGGTTCTACGGGGGGGGGGGGGGGGGGGGGGGGGGGGGGGGGGGGGGGGGCTTTAACCCCCCCCCCCCCAATTTTTTTTTGTGTAGCCCCCCAAAAATAAATTCCGTAAAAAGAAATTGCATTAGCAAAAAGGATTGTGATGTACATGCAAACGGTCTCCCCCTAAAGAAATAGTCGTGACAAGGGTGCATTTGTAGTTAATATAGTGTGAATGATTTTAGGATTTTATTGGCACTCCCCATCCCCCCCCCTCCCCCCCCCCCTAATGATTTTCGGAGGCCTAAGTGTCTGGAGAAAATAACCGGTCTACATTTCAGCACGCCTCCTTGAAAAAAATTCTGGATCCACCCTGCTGGGGCCCCCCAAAATATTGGTTCTAGAACCGCGTCTGGGGTATACTACTGGCTTTAGAACTGATCACGATCTGCACCAATGTGGCAAAAAGAAATTATGCATAATCCATCAATTCAAAAAAGCAATTGCTGCAGAAATTCTCACTCTTATCTCCTTTCAAAAATGATTTGATCGAGAAAACTTGTTGGTCAAATTTGACTCCAAGATTCAAAAGGAAAAACGTATGTCCCTCACCCCTTGGTACTGATGTCGCAGCCTCTCTTCATCGCCCGATGCCACGTATGGTCTGATGAAATGACTGCTTCGGTCGGATGGAATCTGCAAAGACACGTTTCAAAAAACGTCAAATGTTGTTGTCGAATTTCCACTAATTTACGTGAACCTCTCGTGTATCGTGATGGTTTTGTTGCAGTTTTTAAACACTCATGTCGCTGATCACATTGTAAGATATTCAACTTTCTCGCCTTGGCAATAACAACATTTTTATTTATAAAGTGAACAGGCACGGGATAGACAAGACATCAATTTACACAATAATGATGTCGCTAACGAAATCGGCATTTATTATTGCAAATCAGGAAGATCATTGCACATCTTTCCAAAAATAATGTGGCATTCCGACAACTACATCCTACTCCTCCTTGATACAAAAGAGCTGACAAATATGACCACCAGTGACCAAACGTCACATTTTATGCTCCATAGCATAGTCCCCAATGACTTATTCCTGGGTGTTTGATTTAAGCAAATAAAACTCGAATGAAAGAGAAGGTTTCTGCCTCAACTTTGCTCCTTTAACCCCAGCTCCCTAGGGGGTGTGCAAAAATTATTTTAAAATTGGAGGATTCAGGACTGTTAGGGAGGAACACATCTTATGATTACTTCCAAACTAACCGATAGCAGAATGAGTTCAATTCAAGAAATTTTCAAAGCACATTTTCTTTGAAAACGGACACAATCAGGTTTGGCGCTATTTGGTTTGGGTAAACTAGGTTATTATACAAAAGAGTTTACTCGCGCAACTTTATCCAACTTGCCTAACTCAAGTTGTAAGACGCGATTATAAACTTATATTATAAAGTCAAAAAGAGGGCTGGTTCGATTGATTTTATGGAAAACAAATACCCCCCAATTCTTACAAACAAAATGTAGTCAGACCTACCTGTTGCAGTCGACGAATGCCATACCTATCCTCAGCAAACGAGCTCACGCCTTGGTTGTCGACACCTTCCCAGGCCTGACGGTCGAGATCTTGTACCCAACCGGCAGTTCGACCGTAAGGTGGCTCAGCTATGGCATAGCGACGTCTTAGCATGATACAGAGGAATGCCAGCAAGACAACGACAAGAACAAGCACCACAAGCCAAAGTGCAATGATCAAGACGGTTGACAATGGTAAACCACCTGAAACAGAATTGGAAAACAACACAACTGTGATACTGAGCATTTTTGAAACTGCCGGTAAGTCAAAGCAAATTAGGCCTGCCAGTCAAAATGCAAGGCGGAGTAATCATATGTTTGGCTTTCAACAGGTTTACATCGTATTTCAGCTAGGTTTGAAAATATGCCTGACACTGTTTTTCTACACCAGGCTCAATTAACTTCGACCCTGGTCATTACTAATAATTGTTAAGAGTGCCTTTCCTTCAAAACATAACTAAGTTGATTCTTACCTTGACCTGGCGTTTTGGTTGGTGCGCCCGTGGGGGGAGCCGTTGGTATGTCTCCAATGATCGGGATAACGCTGTCACAGCGTTCACCAGTGAAAGAAGTACTGCATCTGCACTCAAATAAAGATGGAAAACCGCTTTATTGATTTCCTATAATTATCTATAATTATCAAAACATAATATCCTATAAACACTTTCCGTCACTTATGTGATAAACATCTAAAAACCTTCCAGAACATATGTGTAAAATGCGCAAAATTATTGTGTTATTGGACTCCACCTTTTTAGAAACAGTTTCAAGTAAAAACGTAGGTACTTAAGACTGTTTTGTCCACATCACACAAATAAAGTTTAAGAAAAGAGAGGATGATTTCCATGAACCCACGCTCTCCCCAACGACGCGCACCCTCAGTCCCGATACTTACATCTGCCAAAAGAGACATACCCACCTGCAGTTTAGGATAAATGTCGGGTAGAGGCCAACTAAATCACATGTTCCACCATTTGCACAGTAGTTGGAGGGGCAGGTTGCTGTTGATACTAAGGGTAAAGAAGAAGAGAGGAAATCCAAGTTCAGATTTACTCGTAATTGAACAGGATAATCTTGATTCTTGACACTTTAAACAGTGCACAAGTACGACTTTCGAATAAGCGGTCAAAATGCAAAACCTTGCTATCTCTATAGGTCTTCGGCAACTTCAACTACAGGAGCACATGCCGCATTATACGTAGCTGTATGGTTCGACACCCGTTTCGCACACAGCTTTAGAGGATACACAGAGAACGCTTTCATTCAAGCTCAGACCCTATGAAGCCAACCGATAAATTCAAAAATATTAAAATAAAATTGATATAATTTCACATACGTTCTGTGGTAGAATACTGCGTGTCCACTGCCAGGTAATCCGATGCGTCCTGCAGTCTACGATTAGACTGCAGAACGCTCTGAACAGTCTGCAGAGATGGCACGACCGGTGCGGTGTTTTCGTATAAAGCCACGAATTCGACAATAATGCTTCCTCCGGTGAGGATGTTGATGCCAACAACATCTAGAACGGCAGAAGTCAGGGGATGTCGCTTCAGGATATGGAGCAACTATGACGAAGTAGGAATGCAAATATTTGGTTAAACTAGCATTGCTGATGTACCCTAACGTGGCGCACTTTGATTTTTCGCCCGTAGCGCCTACCTAAAGCAAAAGTTTTAACTGAAATTTCACAGAAAGTGAAATTTCATCAAGTTCTAAACACTCCTGTTCATAAATCGTGAGTTTATTTACCCGTAACAAATTTAGAAGAAAACATTATTTCGGCACGATTTTCCGATTTTTTTTTAAGTGTAAAGTGAACCCTTTGCAAATTCCCCGAAAAATAAGAAAATAATTTTCTGACAAACATCTGGCTGGGTATGTAAGTAGAGATAATAATTATTTATCAGAATTTATCAAGTTTACAGAAATTCTTAATGATAATTTGGAATTTTCCAAGATTGATTCAAGTGCGCCACGTTAGGGAACACTCCGCCAATTTGTGCCCAATTTCCGGACGCCACCGTTTTTGAATTTGGGATTAAATTTTATGAAACTGAAATTGTTCACAGAGATGAATAGCAAGCATTAATAAGATAAAAGTACTAGTATTTTACTGCATGAATTTGAGGTTTGTCAACAAAGAGGTTTGGCAACACTACACGAGGTTAGTCGGGTAAGCCTCGAAGTGCGCCACGTTAGGGAACATGACTATATAGCCGATTACTTTCAGAGGGTTTTTTCTATTGACTAAGAGGGAAAAAAATTATTGACAAATGGCCCACTGTCTCATTAAACTGTAATTGCTTGAAGTCGATTACAATCATACGCATAGAACGGCATCCTTTATAAATAATTGTAGGGTGTCCCGACAGACGTTAAGACAATACAAACAAATAGAAACATACCATATTTAGCATATCCCATGGACAAGAATGACCAAATGAGGCAGTTTCATGATGAAGTAGGCCTACGTAGGCCTACGTAGGTGAACTGGAAAGATATTCCTATTGTAGACCAATCAAATTACATAACAATAAATTATGAGTCAATTTATTCCGTGCGAGTAAATAAAACTTACTATTTTCTGAGTGACTTGAAGAACTTCTCTACTGGCTGAAGAGGTAGGATTACTGAAGGTGGGCAAGAAGTTGATAGCGTCCCCGTTGACACCAACAATCCTGAGTCTGAACACGCGTGCAACGTTCCCTTTAATGATATGAAAAGGTAGTACATTAATAATGTAATAAATAAATTCTTCTGAAGTGCACTGTCAATGAGAGTAGGATTCAACTATCTTGTGCACGTGAGCTTTGACACGGACCAGTCAAGGCCGATGAGTATCTTTTGCCACCTTCTGCACGTAGACCACTCATAAATGTACTGGTTTGCACGAATGGTAGCAATCCCTGACTGGTATGCACGCAAATTAATATAACTGTTTCGGATAGATAAACCATTGGATGACAGGCTGACAGAGAACAGTAGGAACGTTTTTCCCTACAAAAAAAAAAATATTTTGGTGTTTATTTTATATTTATATAATTCTCACTTGTACAGGAGCCATCTACTTCTGTGAGATACCCGAGCAAGGCATTGCAAACACAATCATAGCCAACGGCGCTATAGATGTTTGCCACGCAGGACTGTCCCTCTACAGGACACAGGGTGGCATCTAAACACGGGTTGGGTACTGAAAACAAAAAAAGGGGACAATTACTTTGATAGCGGGGAATTGGGTGATACTTCTTAATCATTATAAATAATCACATTACGACACACAGGTTTACCTGAAACTCAATTTGTTATTTCTTAACGTGCGCTGGAACTCCATCCTACCTTGACAGGTTGTGCCAGATACTGGCATGGGGCATACACACTCACAGTGAACGTCATCAAATGATCCTTGCTGGCAACTTGATTCTGTCAACGTGCACACTGAAAAACAAAATACGTTTGCCAGATTCATACGATATGCAAAGTGAGTATTGTTGCGAATGTTTCGTACCGGCACACATTTCAAAGACATGTATTTTTGGATCAGTTAAAGAGTTAGCTGGCTCTATGATCTGGAATATATTTTGAGCTGTCGAGGGTGCCTATTAAGGCGAAAGCAATTATCGTCCGTTTCATGTGTTACATGATCAGTTTTTAGTTGATAGTTTTGCACAAACGAAATGTGCAAATATAAAGTGTTAGAAAGCATGTGCATATTGTTGAGAGAATGTCACCCCATTTATTTCAAAGTCAAACACAATTATTCAGGAGAAACAAAACATCCGGCGCAAAAATAGGATGACGAACAATCTAACATTGTTTTACCTGCAGAAGGTGACTCAGAGGTGTGTGTTGAAACAGATGTGGTTGTGGGTGTCCTGCCCTTTGTTGAATAGTCAGTGAACTCTGTTGACGAGGATTCCTTGGAGACAGTTGCTGGCGTTTGGTCACCAGTTGAAGGGGACACAGTGGCACCAGTTGCTTGTGTTTGGCCACCAGTCCATGTGGACATTGCTGAAGTTTGGTCGTCAGTTGATGGGGACTCAGTGGCGTCAGTTGCTGGTGTCTGGTCGTCAGTTGATGGGGACTCAGTGGCAGCAGTCTCTTGTGTTTGGTCGTCAGTTGATGGGGGCACAGTGGCGTCAGTTGGTGGTGTCTGGTCGTCCGTTGATGGGGACTCAGTGGCAGCAGTCTCTTGTATTTGGTCGTCAGTTGATGGGGGCACAGTGGCGTCAGTTGGTGGTGTCTGGTCGTCCGTAGATAGGAACTCAGTGGCTTCAGTTGTTGGTGTCTGGTCGTCAGTTGATGGGGACACAGTGGCGTCAGTTGGTGGTGTCTGGTCGTCAGTTGGTGGTGTCTGGTCGTCAGTTGATGGGGACACAGTGGCGTCAGTTGGTGGTGTCTGGTCGTCAGTTGGTGGTGTCTGGTCGTCAGTTGGTGGTGTCTGGTCGTCCGTTGATGGGAGCACAGTGGCGTCAGTTGTTGGTGTCTGGTCGTCAGTTGATGGGGACTCAGATGCGGCAGTCTCTTCCGTTTGGTCGTTAGTTGAGGCAGACACAGTGGCGTCAGTTGCTGGTGTTTGGTCGTCAGTCGATGGAGACTCAGTGATGTCATTCGCGGTTGTTGGGATCTCAGTGGTCTCTGTTGTGGATATCCTACCATCAGTTGATGTTACTAAAATAAAATGTTAAATAATGTTAAGTTTCTTTTATGGGAAAAAAAATGCTATCTGATAGGCCATGCTACAAGATAAGCAATCAGGAAAACAACAAGCAAGACCGTGTGCATGTTCCAAGAAAAGGTGTCCTTAATAAATATATAGGTTTTTACCTTCACTTTCTGAGTCTGTTTGGTCGGTGGTGGGCACTGGAGAATCTACATAATAAACGATGGACAACGAAAACATAGATTGGTTAATTGATAAAAGTGGGGGGAGGGGGCATGATTTCAAAAGATGATTCACTGCAAACAACTTCTCCATGAACACAGATATACTATGCCAACTTTTATAGTTTCGTATTGACAAACCAAATCATAACATTGGATGCGCGAACTTCAGTCATCATGTCCATGAACCTGAACAGTCACCCAGCACAGTTGCAACGCTCCACACCTGATTTTACTTATACATGCACTGACGATAATATGGGAGTAGCATTTAAACATAAAGACCAAAAGTTATGCTTTTAATACAGAATCTAAATCTTTTATTTACCTGACAAAGTTACCGTAAACTGGCAGTTAGCATTATTGCCAGCCGCATCAGAGGCTTCACAATGCAGCGTTGTCAACCCGAGAGGTAAGGTATTATTTAATCCGACAGGGACCCTAGTCAAGTTTCCGTTGACGAATGAACAACTTGCAGGAAACTGGACCATCAACAGCATCAACAACAGCAAACAAATCAGAATCCCAGACGACTATAGACTCATTGACTCCCGGTGTTATCCACACAATTTGAGACTCGCAACTTTGAAAAATCGGCGCTTCGTTATCTGAAATGAAATGATGTATTTCTTTAAGGTTTGTCCGTCGACTGTTTAAGCTTATCAATGGACAAAGTCTAAAAAAAATTCATTTCTAGACAGGCACCTCTATTATCAGAAAAAAATTGAAGACTTCCCCTTAAGAAGCACGTTTGTATTGTAATCTCTTCGCGTTTGAGTGTTCACAACTGACTTGTTTTAGGTCTTTACTTATCAGTAAAGACCAAAATGAAATCAGTTGACAAGCCTCCTTCCAAAATGTACGATCAGTTAATTTCAATCTGAAACCAGTTTTGTTTAAAAACTGAAGAGTCTTGTAAAATAAATAATTGATTTTGAAAGACGAACAACAACGATGTGCAATAGCTCATTGGTTGTAGTTCGTGTTTATTTCCAATGATCAATGGAGATAGAAAATTAACACAGGGTGGATAAAAAAACCCGAAACCGACATATTATTGTTAATTGGAACAGTTGTAAGGCACATGTGAATTAAAGGGAGATATCCTCTGTTAGGGTTAAATCTCCTCTTTAAAATGATACCCTGGTCAAGTCATTACATTCACGGTTGACTGAGAAGTGACCAATGTTGTGAAAGGGTCTATTTAGACACTTGCGAAATGATGAAATCTCTTTTTCCCACCTGCCTTGATTGACAACCATAGCGTTTCACTCTGTGACAATGGACACAACAAAGACCATAACAGAAAAATGGCGCAAATCTCTCAATAGACCCTTTCATAAAATTGGTCACTGCTCAGTGAACCATGAATGTAAGGACATGAATAGGGTGTCATTTTGAAGAGGAGATTCAACCCTAACAGAAGATATCTCCGTTTGACTCACATTTAGCAATAATATCTCGGTTTCGGTTTTTTTTATGCACCCTGTATAATGCTAACGACCGACGTATAAGAGACACAAATAGATTATATTACCAAAGACAACCACGTCGAATCTACATGTTGCAGTCGGCGCATCGCAGGTGACTCTTGTTGTGCCAGCTGGAAATAGGTAATCTGAAGTCACTATGATTCATCACCACCACTTGGGTTTGGAATGGAGCATGAAGCTGGCACAGGCGTATTATCGGATATTTTCACGGCCACCGGACGGGAAGGAGTCCATGTTACACTGCCCAAACCACTCCCGCTGGTTACATTGACTGCATCGGCGGTCGGACATCTGATTACAACTGGTCCTGTGTTATTTCATGGATTGACAACGAAAACCACTCGTGAAATACGGCATTTTAGAGAAAATCTTATGACCCATCCCCATTATCAAAACGTTCATAAAGTATATCCTCACCCCCCCCCCCTCCCCGTTTATTTCCTTGGAGGCTGGAAACATGTTTCCTATCTTTGGGGGCCAAGTACCAAATACCACAGAATACTACATGTGTTGTGCACACTTGTATGGAAAGAAATTAATACTACAGGTTACTACTCAGTGGTATTTTGTAGCATTGGGGGCGGTTAGGGTTAATGCTCACGTGGGCCTACCTTGTATTTCATTGAGGTCAATACGGAACAGCCAACGACCTGTTGTGTTAATGTTTGATCTGTCATCGATGTTGACAATGTCGTCACTCCCTGAACCTGGTACTTCGTAGTAGTTGATGCCATCACTTGCATCAAAACCAACCTAAGTTTGACAAAATGGCAAGCAGCAGTGACATACGAAATTGCGAAAAGACTCCATTCATGTAAAATGGGGGAAGGGCAAAACAGGGACAATCTAATTTTACGCACAGGTGTGCTGTGATTAACCAAAATATATCTTCTTGGATTGTTGTTCTTTTGAAGTACCTGCGCAGGATTCCCTCCAAGTCCAGATTCGTTTCCACCAGATGATCCACCCGTGGTCCATGTTATATTGTCGTAATTAAGCATGGCAAAAGACTGCACACCATTCGTCAGCAAAACAACTTGGAATGTATTCAACTGTGGAGAAAGACAAAGAACTGTATCAAGACAGGAAACCACATAGCAACAAGGCCGGGCGATCTGGAGGTCTACAGATACATTTCTATCTTCACACAACCGTCTTTTCGCATACAAAGTCATGAAAAATGTATACTATCCACCATAAGCCACAATCTACACTACCTGACAGCCTGTGCACAACTGAAACCGTCAACATAGGCTGGTCTTGGTCCAGGAGCTACATGTAGTGGACATGCATTTTGTTCCCGAATAAGCAGCTGGACCCTGACAATTAGCGCATTAAAGCCATCGCGTCCAATAAGTCTGTCTTCTATGAAAGATCCTGGAGAGCCTAACGATAGTCTCAGTACATGACTGGATTTAGATTTTGTTCTTGTAACCCGCCGTGGTTGTAGTCCGAGTATCACCCGTAAATGTCCACGGACCGGAGCCCAGTCTCCGATGCGATCCCAAGCCTCAGCCAATCGGAGTCGATTCTACTAAATTGTGACGTCATTTCATTCCCAAATCGGGACTAAATGTGATGTGTTTGATTGGTCAATTTGAATGCTGTGTTTTGTGATACAAATACGGTCGGGCATAGGGCCTACATCTATATAGTCTAGAGGCTAGAGGTTGTTATTGTTTGTACGCGATAGCCCACCGCGCCGCTGCGCGAGGGTGCTATCACGACCAACCAATATCGCCCACGATTCCGTCAGAACAACGTCTAGATCACTTGCTAAAATCTCCCCCTGAAAATGGGGGAAATTAGTGCGCATGCGCGACTTCTGCAGGCAACTACGGTACATTTTCAGCCCCACACATACTACACACAACAAAAGAGCTGACCAGTGAAATTGCACAAAAGTCTTGCTGCAGCTTTAAACCTACTGGAAGAAATTTGAGAGTTTGCTTCGGAACTACTATGATTTTTTTTATTGCACGCTGCATTATATAAGGCCAAACAGGTGCGCTCGCATTACACAACCAATAGCAAGTGGTCTAGACATTGTTCTTACGGGTTCGTGGGCGATATTGGTTGGTTGTGATAGTGCCCTCGTGTGGCGGCCGGCGCGGCGGGCTATCGCGTACATAACAATAACAACGTCCAGCCTCTAGACTAACATATATACTACCTAGGTTGTCTTGCATAATTAATCAGCGAATCTGCTCTCATGGTCTATTACATAGACTACCAAGACTACCAAGGGAGTAGAGGGCATCAATAACGTGAATCCAATCAACTCGTTTTCAACGGCTACAGTAACGGAACATCACGAATATACATGACATGTTATGAGGTTTTAAATTCCTACAGTGACACTTCGGTAGCTCAACGGGATAAATACGTGTGGTTGCGTGCTGAAAGTGCAGGGTATAAATCTCGATGAGAACTCTTTTTTTAGTTTCCAAAAATATGTCTTTTTCTTAATTGTATTGTGTTATATCAAATCCTGCTTTTAATTGAAGTGGATCATTTTTCATTTTGAGAGGATTTTTTAAGGGAAGTAAATACCGAGAACTTTTGGTTGATCAATGACGCATTCACAGCAGTCGACTTAGTTACAAATAGCTACAGCGATTTTTAAAGTCATCAAAACAAGCCTTTCACACACAAAAACAATTAACAAAATCTAATCGACCAGTCAGAGATAAATCTAACGAGTTTCCTGTCAAACCCACTGACGTTCAAGTATATTTGAATCTGCGCTTAAAAACTGTGACCTGTATTATTTTGATTGGATCACCGCTCGATAGTTCGAAGATTCGATAGTCCAAAGGCTTATTAGTCCAAAGATTTGATAGTCCAAAGGTACGATGGTCCGAAGGTTGTTAGTCCGAAGGTCCATTAGTCAAAGGGGTCGTTAGTCCAAAGGTTTGATGGTCTGAAAGTTCATTAATCCGAAGGTTCGTTAGTCTGAAAGTTTGATGGTCGGCAGGTTTGTTAATCCGAAGGTTTGTTAGTACAAATGTCCCTTAGTCTGAAGGTTTGTAGTCCGAAGTTAAATCCAGAAAGAGAGTAAGTTAAATAATCGGAAGGTTCGATACATTTCGATAGTCCGAGTTCGGATTAACGAACGTTGTTTCATTTTCGGACCAATGAACCGCAGGGTATGAAAAATGTGCCTGTTCGGACTATCGACCCTTCGGATCAATAAACTTTCAGACTATTGAACCTTTGGACTATCGAGTGGACCTCTTTGATTGTCATGCAACTCACAATTGCAGCAGGATCGTCATTATCGTCAGCATCATGAAAAGCTACTTTGTGCCACGTTGCCACAAGCATCCATGTCGATGAAAAGTCCGACAGGCCTGGAAACACCTGTCGGATGATTTCGTCCGCCTGAAGGAACAGCATGGCATCCCTTGTGGAGTTGCGGAGAAGGTGACGGTACATGATGCTTCCAGGGTGATATTCTCCTGTGTCTACATCACTCCAATATACTGCCAGCCCGGGAATGTCCTCGGCCAGAGGAAACCTTGTAGGGGTGTAGCCGGTATTTTCCTCCACAAATGTGATTAGTCCATTGGTATTCACCTTTGGAGGGAAAAAAATGATTTTAAGGGAATACCGCACCGATGACCACTCTCTGCCGTTTTGTCAAGAAAAAAATACTTAGCACTTACATATAGAGAATTGAAATCACGACCGAAGAATGGAAACTCGATTGGAATTGGAATTTCGCCAGAACTGTCATCATCCAAGTTGAGAACTAATTCGTCTCCAAAGCCGAAAGGGAATAGGATACCTGGAACAAAAGCACAGCAATCTATATCATCATGTGTGAACCTTACTAAAACACAATGACTCTATCCAGTCTCTTTATTCACAATCTGAGTGTGAAGATGAGCTACCTGAAACCCGACGTGCAATAATGTAAAAAGTACTCATGTTTTCTTCAGCACATCAAACAATGGTCTGAATACAAGATTTGATAAGCAAACTACTTAAAATGTGATACGTATATAGACTGTACTATAAAGGCGAGATAACGCAAACCATGCACAAATACACCCCTCTAGGGACTAATATGCAATGGTCCGACAAACATGAATTGCAAAAAGACTCCTTTTGCCGATATCCAGAGGATGTTATGAAAATAACAAAAAAACCTATGGTATGAAGGCATATTCATGTACTGGAAAATGTAGTTTTAAGGCATTGAATTGGTGAAAAAAAAAAACTATCAAGAGCAAACAAACGGTTTTCCAACGGAGCTTCTAATAATGTAGGCGAGACGAACGCGTGGCCTGACCTTGTTCCCCGTTCAACCTACCAATTAATACACGCGTAGTTATTATGCATGGAGCCAGACTACAGAGACACGTTGCATATTATAATCGGGTCATGGTCTAGAAAAGAGACGTTCCATGATTGGAAGCAAAAAAAGCCCTTTCATCTACTCTTCCAATCAAAATGATTCTTACATGTGTGGAAAGGATATTTCATGTAGTTTATTCAGAAGCACGAGTTGAGTCTGTGGGATACAGAGAACGACTGGGCCATTCAATTTAGTGAGACAACCCACCGGAAAATGATCAATAATTGTGTTGACCTCCATTGACTTTGCCGATTTTGAGGTTTTACGCCCGTTTTTGGAGTGAAAAAAGCCCCGTTCCCCCCTTGCATCATATATTTGTTAAAAATAACCAATCTACAGGTAATACTCTGAACTTTCAAATGCGTAGCGAGTTGGTGAGAAACATAGACGTTCTTTCTTTTTACTGACAAAAGTTTGCAATAAGGGCTCTGTTTTTGTGTCATTTTCATGCGCTGAGCGTAGGGATGCACGCCTGTAAATAGGCCAAAAATCCGTCCGCCAAGCTCATGAATAAAAGTTATACCCTCAAAATATTCTATATTAGAGAGTTTTGAGTGCCATCAAATTGGGGAATTGAAGAGATATGGTACTGAACCTTTTGCCCGGACCTGGGGCTTCTAATTCTGAGCATTTTGGATGCTTTTGGGCTCGAAAGTGGCGCTATTTTGCCATGTTGTGGAGGGATCGTTTTTCAAGATGGCTACTTTTCCGCTTTGGGGAAAATAGGGGTCGTCTTCTTTGGGTGAGAAAATCTCGAAAAGTCAACGGTCAACCCACCAAAAAATGAAAAGAAAAATGAAAGATGAACATTGATCATCATTTTGTCTGTGCAGCTTGAATACCTGTGTGAGTTCTGAGTATTTTTAAATGCGTGCAAGTTGTTCATACATCGGTGAAGACTGCAAAGGTTTTGTCAGCTGTTACAGGCAGAGTTGTAATTACTCAAGTCAATGACTCGACTCCTGTCTCACTCGAGTCACAATTTTCGGTGACTCGACTCGACTCGAGTCCCTAATCAGAATGACTCGACTCGAGTGGACTCGAGGAAGGCTAAAAAGACTCGAGTCTCAAAAATAAAATCAGTTTGATCAGTGTCCACATTAGTTGGATGGCGATTAGTTGGCACCCCCTTTTTATTTTCATTAAGAGTCAAATGTGGTGTCATCACATGTAATAGCCTGAATGTAAAATTAAAAAGCCAAAAAAGTGCTTTCTCTTTTGTGTTTAGTTTAATATTGTATAGTGTTTAAATATTTGTGACTCAAAATGACTCGAGCTAAATACTTGACTTGGCTCGACCTTCTTGACCTAATGACCAGACTCGACTCGAACCACTTCTTAAATTGACTCGACTCGACTCAAATCACAAAAATCAGTGACTTGTTGCGACTCTGGCCACAGGTTTCCAAAGTTTTTGTGGGCAAATTAAAGGAAAAGGAGTACAAACTGTTTGCTGTTAAAAAGATGAGATTTTTTTAAAACTTACTTGAACAATCTAAGCCAAAGAATCCCTCCGAACATGAACACTGAGGAGGTGAAATCAAACAGGTGCATCCTTGAGGATTACCATCAGCTAAGCACTGACTTCCATCTAAGTTTGGTAAAAAAGAAAGAAGAATAAGCCTTTTTAACTGATTCACTGTTTAAAACTGGCTTTAGTTAACTAACATTCTCTTCATGATTCCGAACTTTATCTGCTCCACTCTAGCATATTCCGGTCTTGCCCCCAATCACCATCGCTCTTTATACAAACTGAGACAGTGCATTATGTATTTTTGTCAGCCTGCCCGAAGGCGATTTTTTTGTCCCGAACAACATACGCATGACGTTTTGAACTTTACTTCTCTTAAAAACATGAGGGGAAAAAATATTTAACAAATTGGGGGGAAAAAAGAAATGAATTCCAACATACTGAAATTCGGACTATATTTCCCTTTAAAAAAAATCCTCAAAGATTCAGATTAGACATGAAAAAAAAAATTGGGTAAAGATGGTGCTCCGAACACATACCGCGATGATCCCTAGCGGTATCCCGAGTAGCTGAAGAAAAACCCAAAAATAATTAGTCGAACTGAGACTGAACAGTGATGATACCTACCTGGGGTAGCACACACTTCAGCGATCTCACTAGCATTCCGAGATGAATTCACACCAGGAACTGCAAAAGAATTCGAAAGTTTTTAAATATATTTTTGTAATCATCTTTTTTTATACCATCACTATTCTTCCAGTAATAAAACCCGGGGTTCCTTAATAAATGTACGGCGGCAGTGTATCTCAGACGGCCTGATTATCAAGAGATCTTGGACATGTGCAGTTTTAGGGGTTGGAGGAAATGCGGGAATCGTATTTTAGGAATCAGACAGGGTCTCGGAACCCAATCGATAAAGGGCAGGGCTGTTTTGTCTAGCATTCCCCCCCCCCCCCCCCCGTAACAAAATTGCAGAAGCAAATGTTAGATGACAGCACATGCAAATAGTCTCCCCCCTAAAAAAAATAGACGTGAGAAGGGGTGTTTGCACACTAATATGTAATATAATATATGTGCATGATTGTAGGATTATATTAGCGTTCCCCATTGAAAATATGGTACGAGCCCACCCCCCCCCCCCCCCCACACACTTTTTGAATTTGCTGAGGCCTAAGTGTCCGAAAACCAAAACTGGTCTACATTTCAGCAGGCCTTCGTGCACACATTTCTGGATCCACCCCTGTGCAATATAGCCCCTTCCCCCTAAATATATAGGCTCTAGAACCGCACCTGAGCCTGTTAGGGATTGGAATCCTAGAAACATATTTTCAAAATCACTTTGCCAACATGTTTCCCTTTACTTGAAATGTTTCTATTGGTTGTGTCTTTATGGAATTTACTTACTCTCCACAATTGGTTGGTCGATACGAAACACCCATCGCCCTCTGATGCCGATGTTGGAGTCTTGATGGACATAGAGGGTATCCTCTGTAAATGATGCAGGGATAGTGTAGAAATTGCTGCCATCAGCCGCATCAAAGCCAACCTGGATATGATTTGAACAGGCATTTCAAAATCTCTAGTTAATGGTTATGCTTTATGAGTCAAAAATAGTGGCGAAACTCTGCCGATGCTGTGGTCAACCTCTTCGCGAAAAATCAGAGCAACAATAAACAACAATTTGTAGCATGTTGATTTAGAGTATGTAAAATACCGTGTAACATTTTTTTGTAATTCTATACCTGTGCGAATTCTGGAGATGAAGACCTGCTTCCATGGATCCACTGTATGTCTTCATAATTAAACACAGCAAAGGACCGAAAACCATCAGTCGCTAAAATGGCTTGAAATGTATTTTCCTGAAATCAATAACAAAAGAATTGGTAGCCGTACATAAACCCATAGCTATTTTAAAGTACAATTATCAGAAAGGAATTTTGGAAGTTTCAATTTGGCAGCTAGTCAAAGGTATCCTATACATACTGTATCACAAGAACAGTCATGACAAATGTTTGCTCTCTATACACGAAGGTAACGATTAAGTCATTACATTGGAAGTTAATGTATACTATATGTATACATGTGTGTGCTGGAATTTACTACCTTAAGGAGACATGCACACAATTGGAAACAAAGATTGTATACGTCTCCGCAACAACATTTCTATAGATGAATACGTCTCCACAAGAATTTCACGAAATAGATATATGGATTTTACTCAAAAACTAGGAATTTCCAAGGTAGGTTGATTTGTCGCAAATGGAAGAGTTTTAGAAAAGGGATATTAAGTCCAAATTTCAGCCCAGGAAATTAATTCTGGTTAAACTAAGAGCATTTTGAAACTTTAATTTCAAACGCGAAAACTTTACTACACGAGAACAACGAAATGTCTCCACAGGAATACAAATTCCAGAATGTGTGCACCTGCTGTAGTAATGAATGAAAGTTGCAACACTTGTGTTGCTTGAGGCAGTTTTAAAGGGCATAGGCGTAGCCAGCGGGAGGGTAAGGGGGTATACCCCCCCCCCCGCAAAAAATATTTGCCCTTTTTTTTAACAAGTGCTTTTTTTCTGAACAAGTGCCCTTTTTAAAGACACATCGTGCCCTTTTTTGTCCCATCGGCCGTTGTGGGTGCTTTTATTTTTAATTTCGCGCATGTATCGCCCTGAAAAGCACCATATATTGTCCATTAGTGTGCACAATCTTCGATGCTACCAGTCCCCCCCCCCCCCCCCCCCCCCCCCCGTTTCCCATAATGATAAATAGACGTTACTCACAACTCCCTCTGTGTGATAAACGTAAGGCGGAACTCTGTACCAGGTGACAATCAACAACAACGATGTCGTGAAGTTGCACTGACTAGGGAACACCTCTCTGATTGTTTCATCTGCTTCACAGAACAACATCTCATTTTGGGGTGTCCGCAGACTGAATTGACGAAGGCTGAGGGAGCCCAATTCCTCGGTAGATATGTCGGTCATGAAGACTGCAATCAGTGGTTCCTTCATCAAGGGTATTGGGTTGCGTGGAAACGTAGTAAGGTCATCATTGAATGAAATCACTCCATTTGTGTTCACCTGAAAAAGGTTTTTACGATAGAAGGTTGCGTATTGTGATTATTATGTAAGTAAGTGACCATGATCCAAAATATTGTTAATGTCTGGTGATCTTCTGATGTTACAAAAGCAAAAAGTTGATTCAGTTTCATTAAGGTGTACAGTAAAACAAGGGGTTTACAAAACGAAAACACCTGTCTTGACCGGCCTTGTTTTAGGGAACTAAATTTGAATCCTTTTCTTAACTTTCCTAAATTAAAAGTTCATTATGTTGGGTTGAGTTTAACTACGAAATGTATATGTTTCGTTTACACCTCATGTTTTTTTTTCTCGTTTCTTCGCCTTTAATATCACTCGTCTAAATTATATTGGGAACAATACAGGGTGAGTAAAACCCAAGTGGTTGCCCACTATTTTTTAAAATAAATTCTGCATATAGGGCTTTACAAATCTAGGATATAAAAGCCCAATTAATGAGCTTTCTTTTAGTGTAAGAATCATTCATATCGCTCATGTACTTTTCAAGTATGGAGTTTTGAACACAGACACCGTTTTTTTTAACCTTGTCCACGAATCACAAACAAAGAACCCTCTTATAACAATGGTAACTGTCGATTATCATAACATTTATTTAAAAACATGCTGCTTCAAATGTTAAAATAACATGCTTTATATGTTAAGAGTTTATAGCATTGCCCTGCCTACTACTTGCCTACCCCGGGGACGTATGAGATTATTCTGATATCAATTTGAGGATTACGACATGGTTTAATTTTTACTGAATACCACGTACCTTAGATGTGATTCGTGGACAAGAATACAAAAAACGGTGTTTGTTTTCAATTCCATAACTCGAAAAGGACGTGAATGATTCTTTCACTAAAAGAAAGCTTATTTAATTGGGCTTTCATATCCTACATTTGGAAGGCGCTGCATGCAGAAATTCTTCAAAAAATAGGGGGCACCATTTGGATTCCTTTCCTTTTTACTCACCCTGCATACATTAGTTTAGCATCGCTACAAATAACTCAATACAATTGGAACTCACATAGAACGAGGTGTAGTTTCGACCCAAGAAGGGAAAGGGTATAGATATGTGCACTTCCCCAGATGTCTCGTCATCTCCAGAGGGCACATAGATTACGTCTGGCCCAATAAACGGGAACAACACATCTGAAATGTAATTCACAATTAATGTGCATCAATGTTTATGTGTCTCTTGTATTACGTACAATCATGTGTTCAAGGACCGTTTTGAAAAAAGGTGAGCTCCTGAGAACAACAAAGAATGTGTTGTTCCTGTTCTGTCTTCGGGATGAACGTAATACAAGAGACTGTAGGCTACCTTTAATGACTAATTGTACGTTGATATAATGTGCACAGGCGTAGTAACGTACACAATGAAATCAACCAGTAGTCGCATAATGGTCCTCGCCTGAACTTGCCCAAACGTGTGTATGTTTAGTTTGGCATTCGATGGTTACACTTTGGGGTCCAAATTTTTCCCTGTTCATGTTACCACACCTATACGGCACATGCATGGAATTCCACATAAAATGTGTAAAACATCACGTGAAATTCCTGGACCCAAACTAATCAATCATGTTTGAATTTAACCCCAACTCCCTACCATGATTTACAAGGAACCATACCCATGCCATTCGCGGTTGTTGGGAACTCAGTGGTCTCTGTTGTGGATATCCTACCATCAGTTGATGTTACTGAAATAAAATGTTAAATTATGTTAAGTTTCTTTGCTGGGAAAAAAATGCTATCTGATAGGCCATGTTACAAGATAAGCAATCAGGAAAACAACGAGCAAGACTGTGTGCATCTTCCAAGAAAAGGTGTCCTTAATAAATATATAGGTTTTTACCTTCACTTGCTGAGTCTGTTTGGTCGGTGGTGGGCACTGAAGAGGCTACATCATGAACGATGGACAAAGAAACATAGATTGGTTATTTGATAAAAGCTTGGGGTATGATTTCAAAAGATGATTCACTGAAAACAACTCTCCCCCCTAAAAAAACCACAACATGCTCTGCTATAGATGTGTATTGACAAACCAAATCATAACATTGGATGCGCGACTTCAGTCATCATGTCCATGAACCTGAACAGTCACCCAGTACAGTTGCAACGCTCCACACCTGATTTTACTTATACATGCACAGATGATAATATGGGAGTAGCATTTAAACATAAAGACCAAAAGTTATGCTTTTAATACAGAATCTAAATCTTTTATTTACCTGACAAAGTTACCGTAAACTGGCAGTTAGCATTATTGCCAGCCGCATCAGAGGCTTCACAATGCAGCGTTGTCAACCCGAGAGGTAAGGTATTATTTAATCCGACAGGGACTCTAGTCAAGTTTCCGTTGACGAATGAACAACTTGCAGGAACTGGACCATCAACAGCATCAACAACAGCAAACAAAGCAGAATCCCAGACGACTATAGACTCATTGACTCCCGGTGTTATCCACACAATTTGAGACTCGCAACTTTGAAATATCGGCGCTTCGTTATCTAAAATGAAATGATGTATTTATCTAAGGTTTGTCCGTCAACTGTAAAAGCTTATCAATGGACAAAGTCTAAAAAAAAATTCATTACTAGACAGTCACCTCTATTATCAGGAAAAAATTGAAGACTTCCCCTTAAGAAGCACGTTTGTATTGCAATCTCTTCGCGTTTGAGTGTTCACAACTGACATGTTTTAGGTCTTTACTTATCAGTAAAGACCAAAAACAAATCAGTTAATTTCAATCTGAAACCAGTTTTGCTTAAAAACTGAAGAGTCTTGTAAAATAAATAATTGATTTTGAAAGACGAACAACGACGATGTGCAAGAGCTCATTGGTTGTAGTTCGTATTTATTTCCAATGATCAATGGAGATAGAAAATTAACACAGGGTGGATAAAAAAAACCGAAACCGAGATATTATTGTTAATTGGAACAGTTGTAGGGCACATGTGAATCATAGGGAGATATCTTCTGTTAGGGTTGAATGTCCTCTTTAAAATGACACCCTGATCATGTCCTTACATTCACGGTTGACTGAGCAGTGACCAATGTTATGAAAGGGTCTATTTAGAGACTTGCGCCATGGTGAAATCTCTTTTTCCCCACCTGCCTTGATTGACAACCATAGCCTTTCACTCTGTGACAATTGACACAACAAAACCACAATAGAAAAGTGGCGCAAATCTCTAAATAGACCCTTTCATAAAATTGGTCACTGCTCAGTCAACCATGAATGTAATGACATGACTAGGGTGTCATTTTGAAGAGGAGATTCAACCCTAACAGAAGATATCTCCCTTTGATTCACATTTAGCAATAATATCTCGGTTTCGTTTTTTTATGCACCCTGTAAAATGCTAACGACCGATGTATAAGAGACACAAATAGATATTACCAAAGACAACCACGTCGAATCTACATGTTGCAGTCGGAGCATCGCAGGTGACTCTTGTTGTGCCAGCTGGAAATAGGTAATCTGAAGTCACTATGATGTCATCACCACCACTTGGGTTTGGAATGGAGCATGAAGCTGGCACAGGCGTATTATCGGATATTTTCACGGCCACCGGACGGGAAGGAGTCCATGTTACACTGCCCAAACCACTCCCGCTGGTTATATTGACTGCATCGGCGGTCGGACATCTGATTACAACTGGTCCTGTGTTATTTTATGGATTGACAACGAAAACCACTCGTGAAATACGGCATTTTAGAGAAAATCTTATGACCCATCCCCGTAATCAAAACGTTCATAAGGTATATCCTCACCACCCCCTCCGTTTATTTCCTTGGAGGCTGGAAACATGTTACCTTTAATGCTCACGTGGGCCTACCTTGTATTTCATGGAGGTCAATACGGAACAGCCAACGACCTGTTGTGTTAATGTTTGATCTGCCATCGATGTTGACAATGTCGTCACTCCCTGAACCTGGTACTTCGTAGTAGTTGATGCCATCACTTGCATCAAAACCAACCTAAGTTTGACAAAATGGCAAGCAGCAGTGACATATGAAATTGCGAAAAGACTCCTGGCAACCGTTCATGTAAAATGGGGGAAGGGCAAAACAGGGACAATCTAATTTTACGCACAGGTGTGCTGCGATTAAACCAAGATAACTATCTTCTTGGATTGTTGTTCTTTTGAAGTACCTGCGCAGGATCCCCTCCAAGTCCAGATTCGTTTCCACCAGATGCTCCACCCGTGGTCCATGTTATATTGTCGTAATTAAGCATGGCAAAAGACTGCACACCATTCGTCAGCAATACAACTTGGAATGTATTCAACTGTGGAGAAAGACAAAGAACTGTATCAAGACAGGAAACCACATAGCAACAAGGCCGGGCGATCTGGAGGTCTACAGATACATTTCTATCTTCACACAACCATCTTTTCGTATACAAAGTCATGAAAAATGTATAATATCCACCATAAGCCACAATCTACCCTACCCGACAGCCTGTGCACAACTGAAACCGTCAACATAGGCTGGTCTTGGTCCAGGAGCTAGTGGACATGCATTTTGTTCCCAAAAAGCAGCCGGACCCTGACAATTAGCGCGTTAAAGCCATCGCGTCCAATAAGTCTGTCTTCTATGAAAGATCCTGGAGAGCCTAACGATAGTCTCGGTACATGACTGGATTTAGATTTTGTTCTTGTAACCCGCCGTGGTTGTAGTCCGAGTATCACCCGTAAATGTCCATGGACCGGAGCCCAGTCTCCGATGCGATCCCAAGCCTCAGCCAATCGGAGTCGATTCTACTAAATTGTGACGTCATTTCATTCCCAAATCGGGACTAAATGTGATGTGTTTGATTGGTCAATTCGAATGCTATGTTTTGTGATACAAATACGGTCGGGCATAGGGCCTACATCTATATGGTCTAGAGGCTAGAGGTTGTTATTGTTTGTACACGATAGCCCACCGCGCCGCCGCGCAAGGGTGCTATCACGACCAACCAATATCGCCCACGATTCCGTCAGAACAACGTCTAGATCACTTGCTAAAATCTCCCCCTGAAAATGGGGGAAATTAGTGCGCATGCGCGACTTCTGCAGGCAATTACGGTACATTTTCAGCCCCACACATACTCCTAGAACTATGAGGCTCCGCTCACGCGGAGCCTCATAGTTCTAGGAGTACCCCACACATACTACACACAACAAAAGAGCTGACCAGTGAAATTGCACAAAAGTCTTGCTGCAGCTTTAAACCTACTGGAAGAAATTTGAGAGTTTGCTTCGGAGCTCCTATGATTTTTTTATTGCACGCTGCATTATATTAGGCCAAACAGGTGCGCGCGCATTACACAACCAATAGCAAGTGGTCTAGACGTTGTTCTTACGGGTTCGTGGGCGATATTGGTTGGTCATGATAGCGCCCTCGTGCGGCGGCCGTCGCGGCGGGCTATCGCGTACAAACAATAACAACATCCAGCCTCTAGACTAGTCTGGTTCCCCGACCTGACAATTTCCTCCGACGTCTACACGTCTAAATTGTAGGTCAGGCAGCCTCCGTGGCTAAAAATATACATGACGACATTGACGGCCCTTTTTCAAAGCTCGACTTCGTTTCCGAATTCGCTTTATCACATAAAGCTGTTAATGTTCCGATAATTTTTTTTAAAAATAAATCACTTGCTTCATATATCATACAGTTATGATATACAGTTTAATACTTCTGTAAAAAACATTGACTATTTTTAACCTGGAATCTTCAAAGTTGGACACCCAAACAGCACTGTTAGCAGGCGGAGCCGAATTGAGACCACGCCGCGTTTTGGAAAATGCCGGTAACGGTTGTCAAATTCAAACTAGTGCATGACGCAGCAAAAAGTTCGCCCCTCGTATACGATCCGAGTGCAAAATCGTCGTTGAATTTCAAGTTTTCTAAATAAAAGCAATAAGGGAATAAATGTGTGCTCCGGAGGTTTTTATCACTCTGTTTAATACCACTTAGAGTCTGGGTGCTGATAATTACCCGAGCCGGAGGCGAGGGTAATTATCAGCACCCAGACTCTAAGTGGTATTAAACAGAGTGATAAATACCGACGGAGTACATATTTATTCCCATTCATAAATACCTTTTCGGTAAAAAAAATCATATAATTCGTTCAAAACATCCCGATTTTGTTCAACAAATTCACTTGCCTTTTGAAACATCCCTCCTGCAAAATAATGGAGTGTTCAGCTGGCGAGTAAGATGAAAACAACCCTTTTATGGAGATTGACGCGCGCGTATCATGTTCTACGCGATGTCGCGCAGAACGCACCTGGCGCGTTGCGTTTTGAATTTAGAACTATAAAATTCTAACTCCCTGGTAGTGTTGCGCATGCCTAAGTGAGGATTGTGAACGTTCAACCAATGAAACGATAAGAGGCACTGGATTTGTAGGAGTCCACATTTTATTGTGACACTGGAAAAGTGTTTAAGACCAGCTAGCCATGTCTTTATCATCCGTTTAATACCGGCCACGTGACGGGCTCTCGACAATAGGAATGGCTTAACTGTCTGAGGTATTTATGAATAGATATTCATAAATACCTCAGACAGTTTAGCCATTCCTATTGGTCGAGAGCCCGTCACGTGGCCGGTATTAAACGGATGATAAAGACATGGCTAGCTGGTCTTAACACTTTTCCAGTGTCACAATAAAATATGGACTCCTAAAAATCCAGTGCCTCTTATCGTTTCATTGGTTGAACGTTCACAATCCTCACGTAGGCATGCGCAATACTACCAGGGAGTTAGAATTTTATAGTTCTAAATTCAAAACGCAACGCGCCAGGTGCGTTCTGCGCGACATCGCGTAGAACATGATACGCGCGCGTCAATCTCCATAAAAGGGTTGTTTTCATCTTACTCTCCAGCTGAACTCTCCATTATTTTGCAGGAGGGATGTTTCAAAAAGCATAAAGTGAATTTGTTGAACAAAATCGGGATGTTTTGAACGAATTATATGATTTTTTTTTACCGAAAAGGTATTTATGAATGGGAATAAATATGTACTCCGTCGGTATTTATCACTCTGTTTAAGACCACTTAGAGTCTGGGTGCTGATAATTACCCTCGCCTCCGGCTCGGGTAATTATCAGCACCCAGACTCTAAGTGGTATTAAACAGAGTGATAAAAACCTCCGGAGCACACATTTATTCCCTTATTCATAAATACCTCAGACAGTTTAGCCATTCCTATTGGTCGAGAGCCAGTCACGTGGCCGGTATTAAACGGATGATAAAGACATGGCTAGCTGGTCTTAAACACTTTTCCAGTGTCACAATAAAATGTGGACTCCTAAAATCCAGTGCCTCTTATCGTTTCATTGGTTGAACGTTCACAATCCTCACGTAGGCATGCGCAACACTACCATGGAGTTAGAATTTTATAGTTCTAAATTCAAAACGCAACGCGCCAGGTGCGTTCTGCGCGACATCGCATAGAACATGATACGCGCGCGTCAATCTCCATAAAAGGGTGGTTTTCATCTTACTCGCCAGCTGAACATTCCATTATTTTGCAGGAGGGATGATTCAAAAACCATAAAGTGAATTTGTTGAACAAAATCGGGATGTTTTGAACGAATTATATGATTTTTTTTACCGAAAAGGTATTATGAATGGGAATAAATATGTACTCCGTCGGTATTTATCACTCTGTTTAATACCACTTAGAGTCTGGGTGCTGATAATTACCCTCGCCTCCGGCTCGGGTAATTATCAGCACCCAGACTCTAAGTGGTATTAAACAGAGTGATAAAAACCTCCGGAGCACACATTTATTCCCTTATTAATTATCAACTAGTTTTTTTAAGTTTTTTAATAAGCAATTAGCAGTTAATGAAACCTATATTATACTCGGAAATACTCGGACACTATCCGATTGTCGACGAAATTAATTCGGCAAACTTCGGACAGTTCGGAAAAAGGAGGAATTCCTCCCGTTTTAGTCACGTGATGTAAATTGTAATACATTGTATTACCGGAGGCTACCTCACCTAAGATTCATCAGGAATAGTCGGAATCTTTTGGTCTGGGAACCAGACTACCTTTAGACTAACATATATACTACCTAGAAAAGCTTGGCGCGTATCGCGATACATAATACAGAGCGCCTGACCACAGCATTGTTTGCTTTGTCTAGGTTTTTTTTCAACCAAGTTTATGACGCGACAACGGTGAATGACCGACGATAAAGTGCCTGCTGATTGGTCAAAACCTAGAGGAAAAGAGGCGGTTGTCTTGCATAATTAATCAGCGAATCTGTTCTCATGGTCTATTACATAGACTACCAAGACTACCAAGGGAGTAGAGGGCATCAACAACGTGAATCCAATTCAGTCTTTGGAATTCGGGCGCTCGGACCCGAAAATCCCGAGCATACCTCACGCGTGCTATATTCAAGCTTACACGCAAGCACGGAGGTGTGCTTGGAATTTAAACGCAAATGATTTTTTTTTCACTGAAGTGGCTATTTAACGGAAGCATAACTCGTTTTCAACGGCTACAGTAACGGAACATCACGAATACACATGACATGTATGAGGTTTTAAATTCCTACAGTGACACTTCGGTAGCTCAACGGGATAAATACGTGTGGTTGCGTGCTGAAAGTGCAGCTAGGTATAAATCTCGATGAGAACTCTTTTTTTAGTTTCCAAAAATATGTCTTTTTCTTAATTGTATTGTGTTATATCAAATCCTGCTTTTAATTGAAGCAAATCATTTTCATTTCGAGAGGATTTTTTAAAGGGAAGTAAATACCGAGAACTTTTGGGTTGATAAATGACGCATTCGCAGCGGTCGACTTAGTTACAAATAGCTACAGCGATTTTTAAAGTCATCAAAACAAGCCTTTCACACACAAAAAACAATAAAAAAAATCTAATCGACCAGTCAGAGATAAATCTAACGAGTTCCCTGTCAAACCCACTGACGTTCAAGTATATTTGAATCTGCGCTTAAAAATTGTGACCTGTATTATTTTGATTGGATCACCGCTCGATAGTTCGAAGATTCGATAGTCCGAAGGCTTATTAGTCCGAAGATTCGATAGTCCAAAGGTACGATGGTCCGAAGGTTGTTAGTCCGAAGGTCCATTAGTCCAAAGGGTCGTTAGTCCAAAGGTTTGATGGTCTGAAAGTTCATTAATCCGGAGTTTCGTTAGTCCGAAAGTTTGACGGTCGGAAGGTTCTGTAATCCGAAAGTTTGATGGTCGGAAGGTTCGTTAATCCGAAGGTTTGTTAGTACAAATGTCCGTTAGTCCGAAGGTTTGTAGTCCGAATTTAAGTCCAGAAAGAGAGTAAGTTAAATAATCGGAAGGTTCGATACATTTCGATAGTCCGAGTTCGGATTAACGAACGTTGTTTCATTTTCGGACCAATGAACCGCAGGGTATGAAAAATGTGCCTGTTCGGACTATGGACCCTTCGGATCAATAAACTTTCGGACTATTGAACCTTTGGACTATCGAGTGGACCTCTTTGATTGTCATGCAACTCACAATTGCAGCAGGATCGTCATTATCGTCAGCATCATGAAAAGCTACTTTGTGCCACGTTGCCACAAGCATCCATGTCGATGAAAAGTCCGACAGGCCTGGAAACACCTGTCGGATGATTTCGTCCGCCTGAAGGAACAGCATGGCATCCCTTGTGGAGTTGCGGAGAAGGTGACGGTACATGATGCTTCCAGGGTGATATTCTCCTGTGTCTACATCACCCCAATATACTGCCAGCCCGGGAATGTCCTCGGCCAGAGGAAACCTTGTAAAGGTGAAGCCGGTATTTTCCTCCACAAATGTGATTAGTCCATTGGTATTCACCTTTGGAGGGGGAAAAAATGATTTTAAGGGAATACCGTACCGATGACCACTCTCTGCCGTTTTGTCAAGAAAAAAAATACTTAGCACTTACATATAGAGAATTGAAATCACGACCGAAGAATGGAAACTCGATTGGAATTGGAATTTCGCCAGAACTGCCATCATCCTTGTTGAGAACTAATTCGTCTCCAAAGCCGAAAGGGAAAAGGATACCTGGAACAAAAGCACAGCAATCTATATCATCATGTGTGAACCTGACTAAAACACGATGACTCTATCCAGTCTCTTTATTCACAATCTGAGTGTGAAGATGAGCTACCTGAAACCCGACGTGCAATAATGTAAAAAGTACTCATGTTTTCTTCAGCACATCAAACAATGGTCTGAATACAAGATTTGATAAGCAAACTACTTAAAAATGTGATACGTATATAGACTGTACTATAAAGGCGAGATAACGCAAACCATGCACAAATACACCCCTCTAGGGACTAATATGCAATGGTCCGACAAACATGAACTGCAAAAAGACTCCTTTTGCCGATATCCAGAGGATGTTATGAAAATAACAAAAAAAACCTATGGTATGAAGGCATATTCATGCACTGGAAAATGTAGTTTTAAGGCGTTGAATTGGTGAAAAACAAACTATCAAGAGCAAACAAACAGTTTTCAAACGGAGCTTCTAATAATGTAGGCGAGACGAACGCGTGGCCTGACCTTGTTCCCCGTTCAACCTACCAATTAATACACGCGTAGTTATTATGCATGGAGCCAGACTACAGAGACACGTTGCATATTATAATCGGGTCATGGTCTAGAAAAGAGACGTTCCACGATTGGAAGCAAAAAAAGCCCTTTCGTCCACTCTTCCAATCAAAATAATTCTTATATGTGTGGAAAGAATATTTCATGTAGTTTATTCAGAAGCACGAGTTGAGTCTGTGGGATACAGAGAACGACTGTGCCATTCAATTTAGTGAGACAACCCACCGGAAAATGATCAATAATCGTGTTGACCTCCATTGACTTTGCCGATTTTGAGGTTTTACGCCCGTTTTTGGAGTGAAAAAAGCCCCGTTTCCCCCGTGCATCATATGTTGTTAAAAATAACCAATCTACAGGTAATACTCTGAACTTTCAAATGCGTAGCGAGTTGGTGAGAAACATAGACGTTCTTTCTTTTTACTGACAAAAGTTTGCAATGAGGGCTCTGTTTTCGTGTCATTTTCATGCGCTGAGCGTAGGGGTGCACGCCTGTAAATAGGCCAAAAATCCGTCCGCCGAGCTCATGAATAAAAGTTATACCCTCAAAATATTCTATATTAGAGAGTTTTGAGAGCCATCAAATTAGGGAATTGAAGAGATATGGTACTGAACCTCTTGCCCGGACCTGGGGCTTCCAATTCTGAGCATTTTGGATGCTTTTGGGCTCGAAAGTGGCGCTATTTTGCCATGTTGTGGAGGGATCGTTTTTCAAGATGGCTACTTTTCCGCTTTGGGGAAAATAGGGGTCGTCTTCTTTGGGTGAGAAAATCTCGAAAAGTCAACGGTCAACCCACCAAAAAATGAAAAGAAAATGAAAGATGACACATTGATCATCATTTTTCTGTGCAGCTTGAATACCTGTGTGAGTTCTGAGTATTTTTAAAAGAATTGTGAAGTATGCGCATTTAGCACTAGTGTCTATGGGATTTTTTTTGCAGGGTTGCACCCGTAGGGTCACGGAGCTCCGTGAGCAGATGTGCGCAAGTTGTTCATACATCGGTGAAGATTGCAAAGGTTTTGTCAGCTGTTACAGGCAGAGTTGTAATTACTCAAGTCAATGACTCGACTCCTGTCTCACTCGAGTCACAATTTTCGGTGACTCGACTCGACTAGAGTCCCTAATCAGAATGACTCGACTCGAGTGGACTCGAGGAAGGCTAAAAAGACTCGAGTCTCAAAAAAAAATCAGTTTGATCAGTGTCCACATTAGTTGGATGGCGATTAGTTGGCACCCCCTTTTTATTTTCATTAAGAGTCAAATGTGGTGTCATCACATGTAATAGCCTGAATGTAAAATTAAAAAACCAAAAAGTGCTTTCTCTTTTGTGTTTAGTTTAATATTGTATAGTGTTTAAATATTTGTGACTTGAAATGACTCGAGCTAAATACTTGACTCGACTCGACCTTCTTGACCTAATGACTCGACTTGACTCGAGCCACTTCTTAAATTGACTCAACTCGACTCAAGTCACAAAATCAGTGACTTGTTGCGACTCTGGCCACAGGTTTCCAAGGTTTTTGTGGGCAAATTAAAGGAAAAGGAGTACAAACTGTTTGCTGTTAAAAAGATGAGATTTTTTTAAAAACTTACTTGAACAATCTAAGCCAAAGAATCCCTCCGAACATGAACACTGATGAGGTGAAATCAAACAGGTGCATCCTTGAGGATTACCATCAGCTAAGCACTGACTTCCATCTAAGTTTGGTAAAAAAAAAAGAAGAAGAAGAAGAAGCCTTTTTAACTGATTCACTGTTTTTAGTTGACTAAAACTGGCTTTAGTTAACTAACATTATCTTCATGATTCAGAACTTTATCTGCTCCACTCTAGCATATTCCGGTCTTTTTTCCCAATCACCATCGCTCTTTATACAAACTGAGACAGTGCATTATGTATTTTGTCAGCCTGCCCGCAGGCCAATTTTTTTGCCCCGAACAACATCCGCATGACGTTTTGGACTTTACTTCTCTTAAAAACATGAGGGGAAAAAATATGTTAAAAAAATGGGAAAACAAAAATGAATTCCAACGTACTGAAATTCGGCCTATATTTCCCTTAAAAAAAAATTCCTCAAAGCTTCAGATTAGAAATGAAAAAAAAATGGGTAAATATGGTGCTTCGAACACATACCGTGAGGATCCCTCGCGGTTCAAAATCAAGACCCTACCAGCTGAGCTATTGAACTTCTCGACAAATTCATGGGAATATTAGGTATCATAGGCGTATCGAAGTGGGCGGTCAACAACCGTGTAATGCGAATGATTTTTAGGAAAAATAATTCACTACCCGGAGTAGCTGAAGAAAAACCCAAAATTCATTAGTCGAACTGAGACTGAACAGTGATGATACCTACCTGGGGTAGCACACACTTCAGCGATCTCACTAGCATTCCGAGATGAATTCACACCTGGAACTGCAAAAGAATTTGAAGGTTTTTAAATATATTTTTGTAATCATCTTTTTTATACCATCACTATTCTTCCGGCAATAAAACCCGGGTTCCTTAATAAATGTACGGCGGCAGTGTATCTCAGACGGCCTGATTATCAAGAGATCTTGGACATGTGCAGTTTTAGGGGTTGGAGGAAATGCGGGAATCGTATTTTAGGAATCAGACAGGGTCTCGGAACCCAATCGATAAAGGCAGGGCTGTTTTGTCTAGCATTCTCCCCCCCCCCCCCCCCCGTAACAAAATTGCAGAAGCAAATGTTAGATGACAGCACATGCAAATAGTCTCCCCCCTAAAAAAATAGACGTGAGAAGGGGGCGTTTGCACACTAATATGTAATATAATATATGTGCATGATTGTAGGATTATATTAGCGCTCCCCATTGAAAATATGGTACGAGACCCCCCCCCCCACACACTTTTTTAATTTGCTGAGGCCTAAGTGTCCGGAAAACAAAACTGGTCTACATTTCAGCTGGCCTCCCTGCACACATATCTGGATCCACCCCTGGGCAATATAGCCCCTTCCCCCTAAATTATGGGCTCTAGAACCGCACCTGAGCCTGTTAGGGATTGGAATCCCAGAAACATATTTTCAAAAACAGGAAAAAAATCACTTTACCAACATGTTTCCCTTTACTTAAAATGTTTCTATTGGTTGTGTCTTTATGGAATTTACTTACTCTCCACAATTGGTTGGTCGATACGAAACACCCATCGCCCTCTGATGCCGATGTTGGAGTCTTGATGGACATAGAGGGTATCCTCTGTAAATGATGCAGGGATAGTGTAGAAATTGCTGTCATCAGCCGCATCAAAGCCAACCTGGATACGATTTGAACAGGCATTTCAAAATCTCTAGTTAATGGTTATGCTTTATGAGTCAAAAATAGTGGCGAAACTCTGCCAATGCTATGGTCAACCTCTTCGCGAAAATCAGAGCAACAATAAACAACAATTTGTAGCATGTTGATTTAGAGTATGTAAAATATCGTGTAACGTTTTTTGTAATTCTATACCTGTGCGAATTCTGGAGATGAAGACCTGCTTCCATGGATCCACTGTATGTCTTCATAATTAAACACAGCAAAGGACCGAAAACCATCAGTCGCTAAAATGGCTTGAAATGTGTTTTCCTGAAATCAATAACAAAAAGAATTGGTAGCCGTACGTAAACCAATAGCTATTTTAAAGTACAATTATCAGAAAGGAATTTTTGAAGTTTCAATTTGGCTGCTAGTCAAAGGTATCCTATACATACTGTATCACAAGAACAGTCATGACAAATGTTTGCTCTCTATACACGAAGGTAACGATTAAGTAATTACATTGGAAGTTAATGTATACTTTATGTATACCAGTGCACCTGCTGTAGTAATGAATGAAAGTTGCATCACTTGTGTTGCTTGAGGCAGTTTTAAAGGGCATAGGCGTAGCCAGCGGGTGGGTAAGGGAATATTTATACCCCCCCCCCAATATTTTGTAAAGAATACCCTTTTTTTTAACAAGTGCTTTTTTCTGAACAAGTGCCCTTTTTAAAAACACATCGTGCCCTTTTTTGTCCCATCGGCCGTTGTGGGTGCTTTTATTTTTAATTTCGCGCATGTATCGCCCTGAAAAGCACCATATATTGTCCATTAGTGTGCACAATCGTCGATGCTACCAGCCCCCACTTCCCATAATGATAAATAGACGTTACTCACAACTGCCTTTGATGTTTGATAAACGTAAGGCGGAACTCTGTACCAGGTGACAATCAACAACAACGATGTCGTGAAGTTGGACTGATTAGGGAACACCTCTCTGATTGTTTCATCTGCTTCACAGAACAACATCTCATTTCGGGGTGTCCGCAGACTGAATTGACGAAAGCTTAGGGAGCCCAATTCCTCGGTAGATGTGTCGGTCATGAAGACTGCAATCAGTGGTTCCTTCATCAAGGGTATTGGGTTGCGTGGAAACGAAGTAAGGTCATCATTGAATGAAATCACTCCATTTGTGTTCACCTGAAAAAGGTTTTTACGATAGAAGGTTGCGTATTGTGATTATTATGTAAGTAAGTGACCATGATCCAAAATATTGTTATTGTCTGGTGATCTTCCGATGCTACAAAAGCAAAAAGTTGATTCAGTTTCATTAAGGTGTACAGTAAAACAAGGGGTTTACAAAACGAAAACACCTGTCTTGACCGGCCTTGTTTTAGGGAACTAACTTTGAATCCTTTTCTTAACTTTCCTAAATTAAAAGTTCATTATGTAGGGTTGAGTTTAACTACGAGATGTATATGTTTCGTTTACACCTCATGTTTTTTTTCTCTTTTCTTCGCCTTTAATATCACTCGTCTAAATTATATTGGGAACAATACAGGGTGAGTAAACCCAAGTGGTTCCCCACTATTTTTCAAAAGAAATTCTGCATATAGGGCTTTACAAATCTAGGATATAAAAGCCCAATTAATGAGATTTCTTTTAGTGTAAGAATCATTCAAATCGTTCATGTACTTTTCAAGTATGGAGTTTTGAACACAGACACCGTTTTTTTTAACCTTGTCCACGAATCACAAACAAAGAACCCTCTTATAACAATGGTAACTGTCGATTATCATAACATTTATTTAAAAACATGCTGCTTCAAATATTAAAATTACATGCTTTATATGTTAAGAGTTTATAGTTTTGCCCTGCCTACTACTTGCCTACCCCGGAAACGTATGAGATTATTCTGATATCAATTTGAGGATTACGACATGGTTTAATTTTTACTGAATACCACGTACCTTAGATGTGATTCGTGGACAAGAATACAAAAAGCGGTGTTTGTTTTCAATTCCATAACTCGAAAAAGATGTGAATGATTCTTTCACTAAAAGAAAGCTTATTTAATTGGGCTTTCATATCCTAAATTTGGAAATCGCTGCATGCAGAAATTCTTCAAAAAATAGGGGGCACCATTTGGGATTCCTTTCCTTTTACTCACCCTTCATACATTAGTTTAGCATCGCTACAAATAACTCAATAAAATTGGAACTCACATAGAACGAGGTGTAGTTTCGACCCAAGAAGGGAAAGGGTATAGATATGTGCACTTCCCCAGATGTCTCGTCATCTCCAGAGGGCACATAGATTACGTCTGGCCCAATAAACGGGAACAACACATCTGAAATGTAATTCACAATGTGCATCGATGTTTATGTGTCTCTTGTATTACGTACAATCATGTGTTCGAGGACCGTTTTCAAAAAAGGTGAGCTCCTGAGGACAACAAAGAATGTGTTGTTCCTGTTCTGTCTTCGGGATGAACATAATACAAGAGACTGTAGGCTACCTTTAATGACTAATCGTACGTTGATATAATGTGCACAGGCGTAGTAACGTACACAATGAAATCAACCAATAGTCGCATAATGGTCCTCGCCTGAACTTGCCCAAACGTGTGTATGTTTAGTTTGACATTCGATGGTTACACTTTGGGGTCCAAATTTTTTCCTGTTCATGTTACCACACCTATACGGTACATGCATGGAATTCCACATAAAATGTGTAAAACATCACGTGAAATTCCTGGACCCAAACTAATCAATCATGTTTGAATTTAACCCCAACTCCCTACCATGATTTACAAGGAACCATACCCATGCCATTCGAGGTTGTTGGGAACTCAGTGGTCTCTGTTGTGGATATCCTACCATCAGTTGATGTTACTGAAATAAAATGTTAAATAATGTTAAGTTTCTTTGCTGGGAAAAAAAATGCTATCTGATAGGCCATGCTACAAGATAAGCAATCAGGAAAACAACAAGCAAGACTGTGTGCATGTTCCAAGAAAAGGTGTCCTTAATAAATATATAGGTTTTTACCTTCACTTTCTGAGTCTGTTTGGTCAGTGGTGGGCACTGGAGAATCTACATAATAAACGATGGACAAAGAAAACATAGATTGGTTAATTGATAAAAGTGGGGAGTGGGGCCATGATTTCAAAAGATGATTCACTGCAAACAACTTCTCCATGAACACAGATATACTATGCCAACTTTTATAGTTTCGCATTGACAAACCAAATCATAACATTGGATTGCGCGACTTCAGTCATCATGTCCATGAACCTGAACAGTCACCCAGCACAGTTGCAACGCTCCACACCTGATTTTACTTATACATGCACTGACGATAATATGGGAGTAGCATTTAAACATAAAGACCAAAAGTTATGCTTTTAATACAGAATCTAAATCTTTTATTTACCTGACAAAGTTACCGTAAACTGGCAGTTAGCATTATTGCCAGCCGCATCAGAGGCTTCACAATGCAGCGTTGTCAACCCGAGAGGTAAGGTATTATTTAATCCGACAGGGACCCTAGTCAAGTTTCCGTTGACGAATGAACAACTTGCAGGAACTGGACCATCAACAGCATCAACAACAGCAAACAAAGCAGAATCCCAGACGACTATAGACTCATTGACTCCCGGTGTTATCCACACAATTTGAGACTCGCAACTTTGAAAAATCGGCGCTTCGTTATCTGAAATGAAATGATGTATTTCTTTAAGGTTTGTCCGTCGACTGTTAAAGCTTATCAATGGACAAAGTCTCACTTGCGAAATGATGAAATCTCTTTTTCCCACCTGCCTTGATTGACAACCATAGCCTTTCACTCTGTGACAATGGACACAACAAAAACCATAACAGAAAAATGGCGCAAATCTTTCAATAGACCCTTTCATAAAATTGGTCACTGCTCAGTCAACCATGAATGTAAGGACATGACTAGGGTGTCATTTTGAAGAGGAGATTCAACCCTAACAGAAGATATCTCCCTTTGATTCACATTTAGCAATAATATCTCGGTTTCGTTTTTTTTATGCACTCTGTATAATGCTTACCAACGACGTATAAGAGACACAAATAGATTATATTACCAAAGACAACCACGTCAAATCTACATGTTGCAGTCGGCGCATCACAGGTGACTCTTGTTGTGCCAGCTGGAAATAGGTAATCTGAAGTCACTATGATGTCATCACCACCACTTGGGTTTGGAATGGAGCATGAAGCTGGCACAGGCGTATTATCGGATATTTTCACGGCCACCGGACGGGAAGGAGTCCATGTTACACTGCCCAAACCACTCCCGCTGGTTACATTGACTGCATCGGCGGTCGGACATCTGATTACAACTGGTCCTGTGTTATTTTATGGATTGACAACGAAAACCACTCGTGAAATACGGCATTTTAGAGAAAATCTTATGACCCATCCCCGTTATCAAAACGTTCATAAGGTATATCCTCACCCCCCCCACCTCCCCGTTTATTTCCTTGGAGGCTGGAAACATGTTTCCTATCTTTGGGGCTCAAGTACCAAATACCACAGAATACTACATGTGTTGTGCACACTTGTATGGAAAGAAATTAATACTACAGGTTACTACTCAGTGGTATTTTGTAGCATTGGGGGCGGTTAGGGTTAATGCTCACGTGGGCCTACCTTGTATTTCATTGAGGTCAATACGGAACAGCCAACGACCTGTTGTGTTAATGTTTGATCTGTCATCGATGTTGACAATGTCGTCACTCCCTGAACCTGGTACTTCGTAGTAGTTGATGCCATCACTTGCATCAAAACCAACCTAAGTTTGACAAAATGGCAAGCAGCAGTGACATACGAAATTGCGAAAAGACTCCGTTCATGTAAAATGGGGGAAGGGCAAAACAGGGACAATCTAATTTTACGCACAGGTGTGCTGTGATTAACCAAAATATATCTTCTTGGATTGTTGTTCTTTTGAAGTACCTGCGCAGGATTCCCTCCAAGTCCAGATTCGTTTCCACCAGATGATCCACCCGTGGTCCATGTTATATTGTCGTAATTAAGCATGGCAAAAGACTGCACACCATTCGTCAGCAAAACAACTTGGAATGTATTCAACTGTGGAGAAAGACAAAGAACTGTATCAAGACAGGAAACCACATAGCAACAAGGCCGGGCGATCTGGAGGTCTACAGATACATTTCTATCTTCACACAACCGTCTTTTCGCATACAAAGTCATGAAAAATGTATACTATCCACCATAAGCCACAATCTACACTACCCGACAGCCTGTGCACAACTGAAACCGTCAACATAGGCTGGTCTTGGTCCAGGAGCTACATGTAGTGGACATGCATTTTGTTCCCGAATAAGCAGCCGGACCCTGACAATTAGCGCATTAAAGCCATCGCGTCCAATAAGTCTGTCTTCTATGAAAGATCCTGGAGAGCCTAACGATAGTCTCGGTACATGACTGGATTTAGATTTTGTTCTTGTAACCCGCCGTGGTTGTAGTCCGAGTATCACCCGTAAATCTCCACGGACCGGAGCCCAGTCTCCGATGCGATCCCAAGCCTCAGCCAATCGGAGTCGATTCTACTAAATTGTGACGTCATTTCATTCCCAAATCGGGACTAAATGTGATGTGTTTGATTGGTCAATTTGAATGCTGTGTTTTGTGATACAAATACGGTCGGGCATAGGGCCTACATCTATATAGTCTAGAGGCTAGAGGTTGTTATTGTTTGTACACGATAGCCCACTGCGCCGCTGCGCGAGGGTGCTATCACGACCAACCAATATCGCCCACGATTCCGTCAGAACAACGTCTAGATCAATTGCTAAAATCTCCCCCTGAAAATGGGGGAAATTAGTGCGCATGCGCGACTTCTGCAGGCAACTACGGTACATTTTCAGCCCCACACATACTACACACAACAAAAGAGCTGACCAGTGAAATTGCACAAAAGTCTTGCTGCAGCTTTAAACCTACTGGAAGAAATTTGAGAGTTTGCTTCGGAAGTACTATGATTTTTTTTATTGCACGCTGCATTATATAAGGCCAAACAGGTGCGCTCGCATTACACAACCAATAGCAAGTGGTCTAGACATTGTTCTTACGGGTTCGTGGGCGATATTGGTTGGTTGTGATAGCGCCCTCGTGTGGCGGCCGGCGCGGCGGGCTATCGCGTACATAACAATAACAACGTCCAGCCTCTAGACTAACATATATACTACCTAGGTTGTCTTGCATAATTAATCAGCGAATCTGCTCTCATGGTCTATTACATAGACTACCAAGACTACCAAGGGAGTAGAGGGCATCAATAACATGAATCCAATCCAGTCTTTGGAATTCGGGCGCTCGGACCCGAAAATCCCGTGCATAGTCACGCGTGCTATATTCAAGCTTACACGCAAGCAGAGAGGTGTGCTTGGACTTTAAACGCAAATGATTTTTTTTTTCACTGAAGTGGCTATTTAACAGAAGCCGAAGCCGTATAACTCGTTTTCAACGGCTACAGTTACGGAACATCACGAATATACATGACATGTACAATGTATGAGGTTTTAAATTCCTACAGTGACACTTCGGTAGCTCAACGGGATAAATACGTGCGGTTGCGTGCTGAAAGTGCAGGGTATAAATCTCGATGAGAACTCTTTTCTTAGTTTCCAAAAATATGTCTTTTTCTGAATTGTATTGTGTTATATCAAATCCTGCTTTTAATTGAAGTAGGGGTTAGGGTTATTTTTTTAAGGGAAGTAAATACCGAGAACTTTTGGGTTGATAAATGATGCATTCGTGCGGTCAACTTAGTTACAAATAGCTACAGCGATTTTTAAAGTCATCAAAACAAGCCTTTCACACACAAAAAACAATTAAAAAAATCTAATCGACCAGTCAGAGATAAATCTAACGAGTTTCCTGTCAAACCCACTGACGTTCAAGTATATTTGAATCTGCGCTTAAAAACTGTGACCTGTATTATTTTGATTGGATCACCGCTCGATAGTTCGAAGATTCGATAGTCCAAAGGCTTATTAGTCCGAAGATTCGATAGTCCAAAGGTTTGATGGTCTGCAAGTTCATTAATCCGAAGGTTCGTTAGTCCGAAAGTTTGATGGTCGGAAGGTTCGTTAATCCGAAGGTTTGTTAGTACAAATGTACGTTAGTCTGAAGGTTTGTAGTCCGAAGTTAAGTCCAGAAAGAGAGTAAGTTAAATAATCCGAAGGTTCGATACATTTCGATAGTCCGAGTTCGGATTAACGAACGTTGTTTCGTTTTCGGACCAATGAACCGCAGGGTATGAAAAATGTGCCTGTTCGGACTATCGACCCTTCGGATCAATAAACTTTCAGACTATTGAACCTTTGGACTATCGAGTGGACCTCTTTGATTGTCATGCAACTCACAATTGCAGCAGGATCGTCATTATCGTCAGCATCATGAAAAGCTACTTTGTGCCACGTTGCCACAAGCATCCATGTCGATGAAAAGTCCGACAGGCCTGGAAACACCTGTCGGATGATTTCGTCCGCCTGAAGGAACAGCATGGCATCCCTTGTGGAGTTGCGGAGAAGGTGACGGTACATGATGCTTCCAGGGTGATATTCTCCTGTGTCTACATCACTCCAATATACTGCCAGCCCGGGAATGTCCTCGGCCAGAGGAAACCTTGTAGGGGTGTAGCCGGTATTTTCCTCCACAAATGTGATTAGTCCATTGGTATTCACCTTTGGAGGGAAAAAATGATTTTAAGGGAATACCGCACCGATGACCACTCTCTGCCGTTTTGTCAAGAAAAAAATACTTAGCACTTACATATAGAGAATTGAAATCACGACCGAAGAATGGAAACTCGATTGGAATTGGAATTTCGCCAGAACTGTCATCATCCAAGTTGAGAACTAATTCGTCTCCAAAGCCGAAAGGGAATAGGATACCTGGAACAAAAGCACAGCAATCTATATCATCATGTGTGAACCTGACTAAAACACAATGACTCTATCCAGTCTCTTTATTCACAATCTGAGTGTGAAGATGAGCTACCTGAAACCCGACGTGCAATAATGTAAAAAGTACTCATGTTTTCTTCAGCACATCAAACAATGGTCTGAATACAAGATTTGATAAGCAAACTACTTAAAAATGTGATAAGTATATAGACTGTACTATAAAGGCGAGATAACGCAAACCATGCACAAATACACCCCACTAGGGACTAATATGCTATGGTCCGACAAACATGAATTGCAAAAAGACTCCTTTTGCCGATATCCAGAGGATGTTATGAAAATAACAAAAAACCTATGGTATGAAGGCATTTTCATGCACTGGAACATGTAGTTTTAAGGCGTTGAATTGGTGAAAAACAAACTATCAAGAGCAAACAAACAGTTTTCCAACGGAGCTTCTAATAATGTAGGCGAGACGAACGCGTGGCCTGACCTTGTTCCCCGTTCAACCTACCAATTAATACACGCGTAGTTATTATGCATGGAGCCAGACTACAGAGACACGTTGCATATTATAATCGGGTCATGGTCTAGAAAAGAGACGTTCCATGATTGGAAGCAAAAAAAGCCCTTTCGTCTACTCTTCCAATCAAAATGATTCTTACATGTGTGGAAAGGATATTTCATGTAGTTTATTCAGAAGCACGAGTTGAGTCTGTGGGATACAGAGAACGACTGTGCCGTTCAATTTAGTGAGGCAACCCACTGGAAAATGATCAATAATCGTGTTGACCGCCATTGACTTTGCCGATTTTGATGTTTTACGCCCGTTTTTGGAGTGAAAAAAGCCCCGTTTCCCCCGTGCATCATATGTTGTTAAAAATAACCAATCTACAGGTAATACTCTGAACTTCCAAATGCGTAGCGAGTTGGTGAGAAACATAGACGTTCTTTCTTTTTACTGACAAAAGTTTGCAATGAGGGCTCTGTTTTCGTGTCATTTTCATGCGCTGAGCGTAGGGATGCACGCCTGTAAATAGGCCAAAAATCCGTCCGCCGAGCTCATGAATAAAAGTTATACCCTCAAAATATTCTATATTAGAGAGTTTAGAGTGCCATCAAATTGGGGAATTGAAGAGATATGGTACTGAACCTCTTGCCCGGACCTGGGGCTTCCAATTCTGAGCATTTTGGATGCTTTTGGGCTCAAAAGTGGCGCTATTTTGCCATGTTGTGGAGGGATCGTTTTTCAAGATGGCTACTTTTCCGCTGTGAGGAAAATAGGGGTCGTCTTCTTTGGGTGAGAATATCTCGAAAAGTCAACGGTCAACCCACCAAAAAATGAAAAGAAAATGAAAGATGACACATTGATCATCATTTTTCTGTGCAGCTTGAATACCTGTGTGAGTTCTGAGTATTTTAAAAGAATTTTGAAGTATGTGCATTGAGCACCAGTGTCTAAGGAAGTTTTTTTGCAGGGTTGCACCCGTAGGGTCACGGAGCTCCATGAGCAGATGCGCGCAAGTTGTTCATACATCGGTAAAGATCGCAAAGGTTTTGTCAGCTGTTACAGGCAGAGTTGTAATTACTCAAGTCAATGACTCGACTCGTGTCTGACTCGTGTCACAATTTTCGGTGACTCAACTCGACTCGAGTCACTGCGAGCAAATGACTCGACTCGAGTCCCTCATCAGAATGACTCGACTGGAGTCGACTCGAGGAAGGCTAAAAAGACTCGAGTCTCAAAAATAAAATCAGTTTGATCAGTGTCCACATTAGTTGGATGGCGATTAGTTGGCACCCCCTTTTTGTCATCACATGTAATAGCCTGAATGTAAAATTAAAAAAGCCAAAAAAGTGCTTTCTCTTTTGTGTTTAGTTTAATATTGTATAGTGTTTAAATATTTGTGACTCGAAATGACTAGAGCTAAATACTTGACTCGACTCGACCTTCTTGACCTAATGACTCGACTTGACTCGAGCCACTTCTTAAATTGACTCGACTCGACTCAAGTCACAAAAATCAGTGACTTGTTGCGACTCTGGCCACAGGTTTTCAAAGTTTTTGTGGGCAAATTAAAGGAAAAGGAGTACAAACTGTTTGCTGTTAAAAAGATGAGATTTTTTAAAAAACTTACTTGAACAATCTAAGCCAAAGAATCCCTCCGAACATGAACACTGAGGAGGTGAAATCAAACAGGTGCATCCTTGAGGATTACCATCAGCTAAGCACTGACTTCCATCTAAGTTTGGTAAAAAAAAAGAGAAGAATAAGCCTTTTTAACTGATTCACTGTTTTTAGTTGACTAAAACTGGCTTTAGTTAACTAACATTCTCTTCATGATTCAGAACTTTATCTGCTCCACTCTAGCATATTCCGGTCTTGTCCCCAATCACCATCGCTCTTTATACAAACTGAGACAGTGCATTATGTATTTTTGTCAGCCTGCCTGAAGGCAAATTATTTTGCCCCGAACAACATCCGCATGACGTTTTGGACTTTACTTCTCTTAAAAACATGAGGGGAAAAAATATTTTAAAAAATGGGAAAAAAAAGAAATGAATTCCAACGTACTGAAATTCGGCCTATATTTCCCTTAAAAAAATTCCTCAAAGCTTCAGATTAGAAATGAAACACAAAAATGGGTAAAATGGTGCTTCGAACACATACCGTGAGGATCCCTCGCGGTTCAAAATCAAGAGCCTACCAGCTGAGCTATCGAACTTCTCGACAAATTCTGGACATTCATGGAATATTAGGTATCATAGGCATATCGAAGTGGGCGCTCAACAACCGTGTAATGCGGATGATTTTTAGGAAAAATAATTCACTACCCGGAGTAGCTGAAGAAAAACCCCAAATTCATTAGTCGAACTGAGACTGAACAGTGATGATACCTACCTGGGGTAGCACACACTTCAGCAATCTCACTAGCATTCCGAGATGAATTCACACCTGGAACTGCAAAAGAATTTGAAGGTTTTAAAATATATTTTTGTAATCATCTTTTTTATACCATCACTATTCTTCCGATAATTAAACCCGGGGTTCCTTAATAAATGTACGGCGGCAGTGTAGCTCAGACGGCCTGATTATCAAGAGATCTTGGACATGTGCAGTTTTAGGGGTTGGAGGAAATGTGGGAATCGTATTTTAGGAATCAGACAGGGTCTCGGAACCCAAACAATAAAGGCAGGGCTGTTTTGTCTAGCATTCCCCCCCCCCCCCCCCGTAACAAAATTGCAGAAGCAAATGTTAGATGACAGCACATGCAAATAGTCTCCCCCCTAAAAAAAAAGACGTGAGAAGGGGGCGTTTGCACACTAATATGTAATATAATATCTGTGCATGATTGTAGGATTATATTAGCGTTCCCCATTGAAAATATGGTACGAGCCCACCCCCCCCCCCCCCCCCCCCCCACACACACTTTTTGAATTTGCTGAGGCCTAAGTGTCCGAAAACCAAACTGGTCTACATTTCAGCAGGCCTTCGTGCACACATTTCTGGATCCACCCCTGTGCAATATAGCCCCTTCCCCCTAAAATATAGGCTCTAGAACCGCACCTGAGCCTGTTAGGGATTGGAATCCTAGAAACATATTTTCAAAATCACTTTGCCAACATGTTTCCCTTTACTTGAAATGTTTCTATTGGTTGTGTCTTTATGGAATTTACTTACTCTCCACAATTGGTTGGTCGATACGAAACACCCATCGCCCTCTGATGCCGATGTTGGAGTCTTGATGGACATAGAGGGTATCCTCTGTAAATGATGCAGGGATAGTGTAGAAATTGCTGTCATCAGCCGCATCAAAGCCAACCTGGATACGATTTGAACAGGCATTTCAAAATCTCTAGTTAATGGTTATGCTTTATGAGTCAAAAATAGTGGCGAAACTCTGCCAATGCTATGGTCAACCTCTTCGCGAAAATCAGAGCAACAATAAACAACAATTTGTAGCATGTTGATTTAGAGTATGTAAAATATCGTGTAACGTTTTTTGTAATTCTATACCTGTGCGAATTCTGGAGATGAAGACCTGCTTCCATGGATCCACTGTATGTCTTCATAATTAAACACAGCAAAGGACCGAAAACCATCAGTCGCTAAAATGGCTTGAAATGTGTTTTCCTGAAATCAATAACAAAAAGAATTGGTAGCCGTACATAAACCCATAGCTATTTTAAAGTACAATTATCAGAAAGGAATTTTTGAAGTTTCAATTTGGCAGCTAGTCAAAGGTATCCTGTACATACTGTATCACAAGAACAGTCATGACAAATGTTTGCTCTCTATACACGAAGGTAACGATTAAGTCATTACATTGGAAGTTAATGTATACTATATGTATACATGTGTGTGCTGGAATTTACTACCTTAAGGAGACATGCACACAATAGGAAACAAAAGATTGTATACGTCTCCGCAACAACATTTCTATAGATGAATACGTCTCCACAAGAATTTCACGAAATAGATATATGGATTTTACTCAAAAACTAGGAATTTCCAAGGTAGGTTGATTTGTCGCAAATGGAAGAGTTTTAGAAAAGGGATATTTAGTCCAAATTTCAGCCCAGGAAATTAATTCTGGTTAAACTAAGAGCATTTTGAAACTTAAATTTCAAACGCGAAAACTTTACTACACGAGAACAACGAAATGTCTCCACAGGAATACAAATTCCAGAATGTGTGCACCTGCTGTAGTAATGAATGAAAGTTGCAACACTTGTGTTGCTTGAGGCAGTTTTAAAGGGCATAGGCGTAGCCAGCGGGAGGGTAAGGGGGTATACCCCCCCCCCAAAATATTTGCCCTTTTTTTTAACAAGTGCTTTTTTTCTGAACAAGTGCCCTTTTTAAAGACACATCGTGCCCTTTTTTGTCCCATCGGCCGTTGTGGGTGCTTTTATTTTTAATTTCGCGCATGTATCGCCCTGAAAAGCACCATATATTGTCCATTAGTGTGCACAATCTTCGATGCTACCAGTCTCCCCCCCCCCCCCTGTTTCCCATAATGATAAATAGACGTTACTCACAACTCCCTCTGTGTGATAAACGTAAGGCGGAACTCTGTACCAGGTGACAATCAACAACAACGATGTCGTGAAGTTGCACTGACTAGGGAACACCTCTCTGATTGTTTCATCTGCTTCACAGAACAACATCTCATTTTGGGGTGTCCGCAAACTGAATTGACGAAGGCTGAGGGAGCCCAATTCCTCGGTAGATATGTCGGTCATGAAGACTGCAATCAGTGGTTCCTTCATCAAGGGTATTGGGTTGCGTGGAAACGTAGTAAGGTCATCATTGAATGAAATCACTCCATTTGTGTTCACCTGAAAAAGGTTTTTACGATAGAAGGTTGCGTATTGTGATTATTATGTAAGTAAGTGACCATGATCCAAAATATTGTTATTGTCTGGTGATCTTCCGATGCTACAAAAGCAAAAAGTTGATTCAGTTTCATTAGGTGTACAGTAAAACAAGGGGTTTACAAAACGAAAACACCTGTCTTGACTGGCCTTGTTTTAGGGAACTAAATTTGAATCCTTTTCTTAACTTTCCTAAATTAAAAGTTCATTATGTTGGGTTGAGTTTAACTACGAAATGTATATGTTTCGTTTACACCTCATTTTTTTTCTCGTTTCTTCGCCTTTAATATCACTCGTCTAAATTATATTGGGAACAATACAGGGTGAGTAAAACCCAAGTGGTTCCCCACTATTTTTTAAAAGAAATTCTGCATATAGGGCTTTACAAATCTAGGATATAAAAGCCCAATTAATGAGCTTTCTTTTAGTGTAAGAATCATTCAAATCGCTCATGTACTTTTCAAGTATGGAGTTTTGAACACAGACACCGTTTTTTTTAACCTTGTCCACGGGTCACAAACAAAGAACCCTCTTATAACAATGGTAACTGTCGATTATCATAACATTTATTTAAAAACATGCTGCTTCAAATGTTAAAATTACATGCTTTATATGTTAAGAGTTTATAGTTTTGCCCTGCCTACTACTTGCCTACCCCGGAAACGTATGAGATTATTCTGATATCAATTTGAGGATTACGACATGGTTTAATTTTTACTGAATACCACGTACCTTAGATGTGATTCGTGGACAAGAATACAAAAAACGGTGTTTGTTTTCAATTCCATAACTCGAAAAGGACGTGAATGATTCTTTCACTAAAAGAAAGCTTATTTAATTGGGCTTTCATATCCTACATTTGGAAGGCGCTGCATGCAGAAATTCTTCAAAAAATAGGGGGCACCATTTGGGATTCCTTTCCTTTTTACTCACCCTGCATACATTAGTTTAGCATCGCTACAAATAACTCAATACAATTGGAACTCACATAGAACGAGGTGTAGTTTCGACCCAAGAAGGGAAAGGGTATAGATATGTGCACTTCCCCAGATGTCTCGTCATCTCCAGAGGGCACATAGATTACGTCTGGCCCAATAAACGGGAACAACACATCTGAAATGTAATTCACAATGTGCATCGATGTTTATCTGTCTCTTGTATTACGTACAATCATGTGTTCGAGGACCGTTTTGAAAAAAGGTGAGCTCCTGAGAACAACAAAGAATGTGTTGTTCCTGTTCTGTCTTCGGGATGAACGTAATACAAGAGACTGTAGGCTACCTTTAATGACTAATTGTACGTTGATATAATGTGCACAGGCGTAGTAACGTACACAATGAAATCAACCAATAGTCGCATAATGGTCCTCGCCTGAACTTGCCCAAACGTGTGTATGTTTAGTTTGGCATTCGATGGTTACACTTTGGGGTCCAAATTTTTCCCTGTTCATGTTACCACACCTATACGGCACATGCATGGAATTCCACATAAAATGTGTAAAACATCACGTGAAATTCCTGGACCCAAACTAATCAATCATGTTTGAATTTAACCCCAACTCCCTACCATGATTTACAAGGAACCATACCCATGCCATTCGCGGTTGTTGGGAACTCAGTGGTCTCTGTTGTGGATATCCTACCATCAGTTGATGTTACTGAAATAAAATGTTAAATTATGTTAAGTTTCTTTGCTGGGAAAAAAATGCTATCTGATAGGCCATGTTACAAGATAAGCAATCAGGAAAACAACGAGCAAGACTGTGTGCATCTTCCAAGAAAAGGTGTCCTTAATAAATATATAGGTTTTTACCTTCACTTGCTGAGTCTGTTTGGTCGGTGGTGGGCACTGAAGAGGCTACATCATGAACGATGGACAAAGAAACATAGATTGGTTATTTGATAAAAGCTTGGGGTATGATTTCAAAAGATGATTCACTGAAAACAACTCTCCCCCCTAAAAAAACCACAACATGCTCTGCTATAGATGTGTATTGACAAACCAAATCATAACATTGGATGCGCGACTTCAGTCATCATGTCCATGAGCCTGAACAGTCACCCAGTACAGTTGCAACGCTCCACACCTGATTTTACTTATACATGCACTGACGATAATATGGGAGTAGCATTTAAACATAAAGACCAAAAGTTATGCTTTTAATACAGAATCTAAATCTTTTATTTACCTGACAAAGTTACCGTAAACTGGCAGTTAGCATCATTGCCAGCCGCATCAGAGGCTTCACAATCCACCGTTGTCAACCCGAGAGGTAAGGTATTATTTAATCCGACAGGGACCCTAGTCAAGTTTCCGTTGACGAATGAACAACTTGCAGAAACTGGACCATCAACAGCATCAACAACAGCAAACAAAGCAGAATCCCAGACGACTATAGACTCATTGACTCCCGGTGTTATCCACACAATTTGAGACTCGCAACTTTGAAATATCGGCACTTCGTTATCTAAAATGAAATGATGTATTTATCTAAGGTTTGTCCGTCAATTGTAAAAGCTTATCAATGGACAAAGTCTAAAAAAAAATTCATTACTAGACAGTCACCTCTATTATCAGGAAAAAAAATTGAAGACTTCCCCTTAAATAGCACGTTTGTATTGCAATCTCTTCGCGTTTGAGTGTTCACAACTGACATGTTTTAGGTCTTTACTTATCAGTAAAGACCAAAAACAAATCAGTTAATTTCAATCTGAAACCAGTTTTGCTTAAAAACTGAAGAGTCTTGTAAAATAAATAATTGATTTTGAAAGACGAACAACGACGATGTGCAAGAGCTCATTGGTTGTAGTTCTTATTTATTTCCAATGATCAATGGAGATAGAAAATTAACACAGGGTGGATAAAAAAAACCGAAACCGAGATATTATTGTTAATTGGAACAGTTGTAGGGCACATGTGAATCATAGGGAGATATCTTCTGTTAGGGTTGAATGTCCTCTTTAAAATGACACCCTGATCATGTCCTTACATTCACGGTTGACTGAGCAGTGACCAATGTTATGAAAGGGTCTATTTAGAGACTTGCGCCATGGTGAAATCTCTTTTTCCCCACCTGCCTTGATTGACAACCATAGCCTTTCACTCTGTGACAATTGACACAACAAAACCACAATAGAAAAGTGGCGCAAATCTCTAAATAGACCCTTTCATAAAATTGGTCACTGCTCAGTCAACCATGAATGTAATGACATGACTAGGGTGTCATTTTGAAGAGGAGATTCAACCCTAACAGAAGATATCTCCCTTTGATTCACATTTAGCAATAATATCTCGGTTTCGTTTTTTTATGCACCCTGTAAAATGCTAACGACCGATGTATAAGAGACACAAATAGATTATATTACCAAAGACAACCACGTCGAATCTACATGTTGCAGTCGGAGCATCGCAGGTGACTCTTGTTGTGCCAGCTGGAAATAGGTAATCTGAAGTCACTATGATGTCATCACCACCACTTGGGTTTGGAATGGAGCATGAAGCTGGCACAGGCGTATTATCGGATATTTTCACGGCCACCGGACGGGAAGGAGTCCATGTTACACTGCCCAAACCACTCCCGCTGGTTATATTGACTGCATCGGCGGTCGGACATCTGATTACAACTGGTCCTGTGTTATTTTATGGATTGACAACGAAAACCACTCGTGAAATACGGCATTTTAGAGAAAATCTTATGACCCATCCCCGTAATCAAAACGTTCATAAGGTATATCCTCACCACCCCCTCCGTTTATATCCTTGGAGGCTGGAAACATGTTACCTTTAATGCTCACGTGGGCCTACCTTGTATTTCATGGAGGTCAATACGGAACAGCCAACGACCTGTTGTGTTAATGTTTGATCTGCCATCGATGTTGACAATGTCGTCACTCCCTGAACCTGGTACTTCGTAGTAGTTGATGCCATCACTTGCATCAAAACCAACCTAAGTTTGACAAAATGGCAAGAAGCAGTGACATACGAAATTGCGAAAAGACTCCTGGCAACCGTTCATGTAAAATGGGGGAAGGGCAAAACAGGGACAATCTAATTTTACGCACAGGTGTGCTGCGATTAAACCAAGATAACTATCTTCTTGGATTGTTGTTCTTTTGAAGTACCTGCGCAGGATCCCCTCCAAGTCCAGATTCGTTTCCACCAGATGCTCCACCCGTGGTCCATGTTATATTGTCGTAATTAAGCATGGCAAAAGACTGCACACCATTCGTCAGCAATACAACTTGGAATGTATTCAACTGTGGAGAAAGACAAAGAACTGTATCAAGACAGGAAACCACATAGCAACAAGGCCGGGCGATCTGGAGGTCTACAGATACATTTCTATCTTCACACAACCATCTTTTCGTATACAAAGTCATGAAAAATGTATACTATCCACCATAAGCCACAATCTACACTACCCGACAGCCTGTGCACAACTGAAACCGTCAACATAGGCTGGTCTTGGTCCAGGAGCTAGTGGACATGCATTTTGTTCCCAAAAAGCAGCCGGACCCTGACAATTAGCGCGTTAAAGCCATCGCGTCCAATAAGTCTGTCTTCTATGAAAGATCCTGGAGAGCCTAACGATAGTCTCGGTACATGACTGGATTTAGATTTTGTTCTTGTAACCCGCCGTGGTTGTAGTCCGAGTATCACCCGTAAATGTCCATGGACCGGAGCCCAGTCTCCGATGCGATCCCAAGCCTCAGCCAATCGGAGTCGATTCTACTAAATTGTGACGTCATTTCATTCCCAAATCGGGACTAAATGTGATGTGTTTGATTGGTCAATTCGAATGCTATGTTTTGTGATACAAATACGGTCGGGCATAGGGCCTACATCTATATAGTCTAGAGGCTAGAGGTTGTTATTGTTTGTACACGATAGCCCACCGCGCCGCCGCGCGAGGGTGCTATCACGACCAACCAATATCGCCCACGATTCCGTCAGAACAACGTCTAGATCACTTGCTAAAATCTCCCCCTGAAAATGGGGGAAATTAGTGCGCATGCGCGACTTCTGCAGGCAATTACGGTACATTTTCAGCCCCACACATACTACACACAACAAAAGAGCTGACCAGTGAAATTGCACAAAAGTCTTGCTGCAGCTTTAAACCTACTGGAAGAAATTTGAGAGTTTGCTTCGGAGCTCCTATGATTTTTTTAATTGCACGCTGCATTATATTAGGCCAAACAGGTGCGCGCGCATTACACAACCAATAGCAAGTGGTCTAGACGTTGTTCTTACGGGTTCGTGGGCGATATTGGTTGGTCATGATAGCGCCCTCGTGCGGCGGCCGTCGCGGCGGGCTATCGCGTACAAACAATAACAACATCCAGCCTCTAGACTAGTCTGGTTCCCCGACCTGACAATTTCCTCCGACGTCTACACGTCTAAATTGTAGGTCAGGCAGCCTCCGTGGCTAAAAATATACATGACGACATTGACGGCCCTTTTTCAAAGCTCGACTTCGTTTCCGAATTCGCTTTATCACATAAAGCTGTTAATGTTCCGATAATTTTTTTTAAAAATAAATCACTTGCTTCATATATCATACAGTTATGATATACAGTTTAATACTTCTGTAAAAAAAAACATTGACTATTTTTAACCTGGAATCTTCAAAGTTGGACACCCAAACAGCACTGTTAGCAGGCGGAGCCGAATTGAGACCACGCCGCGTTTTGGAAAATGCCGGTAACGGTTGTCAAATTCAAACTAGTGCATGACGCAGCAAAAAGTTCGCCCCTCGTATACGATCCGAGTGCAAAATCGTCGTTGAATTTCAAGTTTTCTAAATAAAAGCAATAGATATTAATTATCAACTAGTTTTTTAAAGTTTTTTAATAAGCAATTAGCAGTTAATGAAACCTATATTATACTCGGAAATACTCGGACACTATCCGATTGTCGACGAAATTAATTCGGCAAACTTCGGACAGTTCGGAAAAAGGAGGAATTCCTCCCGTTTTAGTCACGTGATGTAAATTGTAATACATTGTATTACCGGAGGCTACCTCACCTAAGATTCATCAGGAATAGTCGGAATCTTTTGGTCTGGGAACCAGACTACCTTTAGACTAACATATATACTACCTAGAAAAGCTTGGCGCGTATCGCGATACATAATACAGAGCGCCTGACCACAGCATTGTTTGCTTTGTCTAGGTTTTTTTCAACCAAGTTTATGACGCGACAACGGTGAATGACCGACGATAAAGTGCCTGCTGATTGGTCAAAACCTAGAGGAAAAGAGGCGGTTGTCTTGCATAATTAATCAGCGAATCTGTTCTCATGGTCTATTACATAGACTACCAAGACTACCAAGGGAGTAGAGGGCATCAACAACGTGAATCCAATTCAGTCTTTGGAATTCGGGCGCTCGGACCCGAAAATCCCGAGCATACCTCACGCGTGCTATATTCAAGCTTACACGCAAGCACGGAGGTGTGCTTGGAATTTAAACGCAAATGATTTTTTTTTCACTGAAGTGGCTATTTAACGGAAGCATAACTCGTTTTCAACGGCTACAGTAACGGAACATCACGAATATACATGACATGTATGAGGTTTTAAATTCCTACAGTGACACTTCGGTAGCTCAACGGGATAAATACGTGTGGTTGCGTGCTGAAAGTGCAGCTAGGTATAAATCTCGATGAGAACTCTTTTTTTAGTTTCCAAAAATATGTCTTTTTCTTAATTGTATTGTGTTATATCAAATCCTGCTTTTAATTGAAGCAGATCATTTTTCATTTCGAGAGGATTTTTTAAAGGGAAGTAAATACCGAGAACTTTTGGGTTGATAAATGACGCATTCGCAGCGGTCGACTTAGTTACAAATAGCTACAGCGATTTTTAAAGTCATCAAAACAAGCCTTTCACACACACAAAAAACAATTAAAAAAATCTAATCGACCAGTCAGAGATAAATCTAACGAGTTCCCTGTCAAACCCACTGACGTTCAATTATATTTGAATCTGCGCTTAAAAATTGTGACCTGTATTATTTTGATTGGATCACCGCTCGATAGTTCGAAGATTCGATAGTCCGAAGGCTTATTAGTCCGAAGATTCGATAGTCCAAAGGTACGATGGTCCGAAGGTTGTTAGTCCGAAGGTCCATTAGTCCAAAGGGTCGTTAGTCCAAAGGTTTGATAGTCTGAAAGTTCATTAATCCGGAGTTTCGTTAGTCCGAAAGTTTGACGGTCGGAAGGTTCTGTAATCTGAAAGTTTGATGGTCGGAAGGTTCGTTAATCCGAAGGTTTGTTAGTACAAATGTCCGTTAGTCCGAAGGTTTGTAGTCCGAATTTAAGTCCAGAAAGAGAGTAAGTTAAATAATCCGAAGGTTCGATACATTTCGATAGTCCGAGTTCGGATTAACGAACGTTGTTTCATTTTCGGACCAATGAACCGCAGGGTATGAAAAATGTGCCTGTTCGGACTATGGACCCTTCGGATCAATAAACTTTCGGACTATTGAACCTTTGGACTATCGAGTGGACCTGTTTGATTGTCATGCAACTCACAATTGCAGCAGGATCGTCATTATCGTCAGCATCATGAAAAGCTACTTTGTGCCACGTTGCCACAAGCATCCATGTCGATGAAAAGTCCGACAGGCCTGGAAACACCTGTCGGATGATTTCGTCCGCCTGAAGGAACAGCATGGCATCCCTTGTGGAGTTGCGGAGACGGTGACGGTACATGATGCTTCCAGGGTGATATTCTCCTGTGTCTACATCACCCCAATATACTGCCAGCCCGGGAATGTCCTCGGCCAGAGGAAACCTTGTAAAGGTGAAGCCGGTATTTTCCTCCACAAATGTGATTAGTCCATTGGTATTCACCTTTGGAGGGGGAAAAAATGATTTTAAGGGAATACCGTACCGATGACCACTCTCTGCCGTTTTGTCAAGAAAAAAAATACTTAGCACTTACATATAGAGAATTGAAATCACGACCGAAGAATGGAAACTCGATTGGAATTGGAATTTCGCCAGAACTGCCATCATCCTTGTTGAGAACTAATTTGTCTCCAAAGCCGAAAGGGAAAAGGATACCTGGAACAAAAGCACAGCAATCTATATCATCATGTGTGAACCTGACTAAAACACGATGACTCTATCCAGCCTCTTTATTCACAATCTGAGTGTGAAGATGAGCTACCTGAAACCCGACGTGCAATAATGTAAAAAGTACTCATGTTTTCTTCAGCACATCAAACAATGGTCTGAATACAAGATTTGATAAGCAAACTACTTAAAAATGTGATACGTATATAGACTGTACTATAAAGGCGAGATAACGCAAACCATGCACAAATACACCCCTCTAGGGACTAATATGCTATGGTCCGACAAACATGAACTGCAAAAAGACTCCTTTTGCTGATATCCAGAGGATGTTATGAAAATAACATAAAAACCTATGGTATGAAGGCATATTCATGCACTGGAAAATGTAGTTTTAAGGCGTTGAATTGGTGGAAAACAAACTATCAAGAGCAAACAAACAATGGCCTGACCTTGTTCCCCATTCTACCTACCAATTAATACACGCGTAGTTATTATGCATGGAGCCAGACTACAGAGACACGTTGCATATTATAATCGGGTCATGGTCTAGAAAAGAGACGTTCCATGATTGGAAGCAAAAAAAGCCCTTTCGTCCACTCTTCCAATAAAAATGATTCTTATAATGTGTGGAAAGGATATTTCATGTAGTTTATTCAGAAGCATGAGTTGAGTCTGTGGGATACAGAAAACGACTGTGCCATTCAATTTAGTGAGACAACCCACCGGAAAATGATCAATAATCGTGTTGACCTCCATTGACTTTGCCGATTTTGAGGTTTTACGCCCGTTTTTGGAGTGAAAAAAGCCCCGTTTTCCCCATGCATCATATGTTGTTAAAAATAACCAATCTATCTACAGGTAATACTCTGAACTTTCAAATGCGTAGCGAGTTGGTGAGAAACATAGACGTTCTTTCTTTTTACTGACAAAAGTTTGCAATGAGGGCTCTGTTTTCGTGTCATTTTCATGCGCTGAGCGTAGGGGTGCACGCCTGTAAATAGGCCAAAAATCCGTCCGCCGAGCTCATGAATAAAAGTTATACCCTCAAAATATTCTATATTAGAGAGTTTTGAGAGCCATCAAATTAGGGAATTGAAGAGATATGGTACTGAACCTCTTGCCCGGACCTGGGGCTTCCAATTCTGAGCATTTTGGATGCTTTTGGGCTCGAAAGTGGCGCTATTTTGCCATGTTGTGGAGGGATCGTTTTTCAAGATGGCTACTTTTCCGCTTTGGGGAAAATAGGGGTCGTCTTCTTTGGGTGAGAAAATCTCGAAAAGTCAACGGTCAACCCACCAAAAAATGAAAAGAAAATGAAAGATGACACATTGATCATCATTTTTCTGTGCAGCTTGAATACCTGTGTGAGTTCTGAGTATTTTTAAAAGAATTGTGAAGTATGCGCATTTAGCACTAGTGTCTATGGGATTTTTTTTGCAGGGTTGCACCCGTAGGGTCACGGAGATCCGTGAGCAGATGTGCGCAAGTTGTTCATACATCGGTGAAGATTGCAAAGGTTTTGTCAGCTGTTACAGGCAGAGTTGTAATTACTCAAGTCAATGACTCGACTCCTGTCTCACTCGAGTCACAATTTTCGGTGACACGACTCGACTAGAGTCCCTAATCAGAATGACTCGACTCGAGTGGACTCGAGGAAGGCTAAAAAGACTCGAGTCTCAAAAAAAAATCAGTTTGATCAGTGTCCACATTAGTTGGATGGCGATTAGTTGGCACCCCCTTTTTATTTTCATTAAGAGTCAAATGTGGTGTCATCACATGTAATAGCCTGAATGTAAAATTAAAAAACAAAAAAGTGCTTTCTCTTTTGTGTTTAGTTTAATATTGTATAGTGTTTAAATATTTGTGACTTGAAATGACTCGAGCTAAATACTTGACTCGACTCGACCTTCTTGACCTAATGACTCGACTTGACTCGAGCCACTTCTTAAATTGACTCAACTCGACTCAAGTCACAAAATCAGTGACTTGTTGCGACTCTGGCCACAGGTTTCCAAAGTTTTTGTGGGCAAATTAAAGGAAAAGGAGTACAAACTGTTTGCTGTTAAAAAGATGAGATTTGTTTAAAAACTTACTTGAACAATCTAAGCCAAAGAATCCCTCCGAACATGAACACTGAGGAGGTGAAATCAAACAGGTGCATCCTTGAGGATTACCATCAGCTAAGCACTGACTTCCATCTAAGTTTGGTAAAAAAAAGAAGAAGAAGAAGCCTTTTTAACTGATTCACTGTTTTTAGTTGACTAAAACTGGCTTTAGTTAACTAACATTCTCTTCATGATTCAGAACTTTATCTGCTCCACTCTAGCATATTCCGGTCTTGTTCCCAATCACCATCGCTCTTTATACAAACTGAGACAGTGCATTATGTATTTTTGTCAGCCTGCCCGAAGGCCAATTTTGTTGCCCCGAACAACATCCGCATGACGTTTTGGATCTTTTAAAAACATGAGGGGAAAAAATATGTTAAAAAAATGGGAAAACAAAAATGAATTCCAACGTACTGAAATTCGGCCTATATTTCCCTTAAAAAAAATTCCTCAAAGCTTCAGATTAGAAATGAAAAAAAAAATGGGTAAATATGGTGCTTCGAACACATACCGTGAGGATCCCTCGCGGTTCAAAATCAAGACCCTACCAGCTGAGCTATTGAACTTCTCGACAAATTCATGGGAATATTAGCTATTATAGGCGTATCGAAGTGGGCGCTCAACAACCGTGTAATGCGAATGATTTTTAGGAAAAATAATTCACTACCCGGAGTAGCTGAAGAAAAACCCAAAATTCATTAGTCGAACTGAGACTGAACAGTGATGATACCTACCTGGGGTAGCACACACTTCAGCGATCTCACTAGCATTCCGAGATGAATTCACACCTGGAACTGCAAAAGAATTTGAAGGTTTTTAAATATATTTTTGTAATCATCTTTTTTATACCATCACTATTCTTCCGGCAATAAAACCCGGGGTTCCTTAATAAGTTTTAGGGGTTCCAGTTTTAGGGGTTGGAGGAAATGCGGGAATCGTATTTTAGGAATCAGACAGGGTCTCGGAACCCAATCAATATTTACTCCAGAGCAGGGCTGTTTTGTCTAGCATTCCCCCCCCCCAATTTTCGTAACAAAATTGCAGAAGCAAATGTTAGATGACGGCACATGCAAATAGTCTGCCCCCTAAAAAAATAGACGTGAGAAGGGGGCGTTTGCACACTAATATGTAATATAATATATGTGCATGATTGTAGGATTATATTAGCGCTCCCCATTGAAAATATGGTACGAGCCCACCCCCCCCCCCCCCCCCCCCCCACACACACTTTTTTAATTTGCTGAGGCCTAAGTGTCCGGAAAACCAAACTGGTCTACATTTCAGCTGGCCTCCCTGCACACATATCTGGATCCACCCCTGCGCAATATAGCCCCTTCCCCCTAAAATATAGGCTCTAGAACCGCACCTGAGCCTGTTAGGGATTGGAATCCCAGAAACATATTTTCAAAAACAGGAAAAAAATCACTTTACCAACATGTTTCCCTTTACTTAAAATGTTTCTATTGGTTGTGTCTTTATGGAATTTACTTACTCTCCACAATTGGTTGGTCGATACGAAACACCCATCGCCCTCTGATGCCGATGTTGGAGTCTTGATGGACATAGAGGGTATCCTCTGTAAATGATGCAGGGATAGTGTAGAAATTGCTGCCATCAGCCGCATCAAAGCCAACCTGGATATGATTTGAACAGGCATTTCAAAATCTCTAGTTAATGGTTATGCTTTATGAGTCAAAAATGGCGAAACTCTGCCGATGCTATGGTCAACCTCTTCGCGAAAATCAGAGCAACAATAAACAACAATTTGTAGCATGTTGATTTAGAGTATGAAAAATATCGTGTAACGTTTTTTGTAATTCTATACCTGTGCGAATTCTGAAGATGAAGACCTGCTTCCATGGATCCACTGTATGTCTTCATAATTAAACACAGCAAAGGACCGAAAACCATCAGTCGCTAAAATGGCTTGAAATGTGTTTTCCTGAAATCAATAACAAAAAGAATTGGTAGCCGTACGTAAACCCATAGCTATTTTAAAGTACAATTATCAGAAAGGAATTTTTGAAGTTTCAATTTGGCTGCTAGTCAAAGGTATCCTATACATACTGTATCACAAGAACAGTCATGACAAATGTTTGCTCTCTATACACGAAGGTAACGATTAAGTCATTACATTGGAAGTTAATGTATACTTTATGTATACCAGTGCACCTGCTGTAGTAATGAATGAAAGTTGCATCACTTGTGTTGCTTGAGGCAGTTTTAAAGGGCATAGGCGTAGCCAGCGGGTGGGTAAGGGAATATTTATACCCCCCCCCCAATATTTTGTAAAGAATACCCTTTTTTTTAACAAGTGCTTTTTTCTGAACAAGTGCCCTTTTTAAAAACACATCGTGCCCTTTTTTGTCCCATCGGCCGTTGTGGGTGCTTTTATTTTTAATTTCGCGCATGTATCGCCCTGAAAAGCACCATATATTGTCCATTAGTGTGCACAATCGTCGATGCTACCAGCCCCCACTTCCCATAATGATAAATAGACGTTACTCACAACTGCCTTTGATGTTTGATAAACGTAAGGCGGAACTCTGTACCAGGTGACAATCAACAACAACGATGTCGTGAAGTTGGACTGATTAGGGAACACCTCTCTGATTGTTTCATCTGCTTCACAGAACAACATCTCATTTCGGGGTGTCCGCAGACTGAATTGACGAAAGCTAAGGGAGCCCAATTCCTCGGTAGATGTGTCGGTCATGAAGACTGCAATCAGTGGTTCCTTCATCAAGGGTATTGGGTTGCGTGGAAACGAAGTAAGGTCATCATTGAATGAAATCACTCCATTTGTGTTCACCTGAAAAAGGTTTTTACGATAGAAGGTTGCGTATTGTGATTATTATGTAAGTAAGTGACCATGATCCAAAATATTGTTATTGTCTGGTGATCTTCCGATGCTACAAAAGCAAAAAGTTGATTCAGTTTCATTAGGTGTACAGTAAAACAAGGGGTTTACAAAACGAAAACACCTGTCTTGACTGGCCTTGTTTTAGGGAACTAAATTTGAATCCTTTTCTTAACTTTCCTAAATTAAAAGTTCATTATGTTGGGTTGAGTTTAACTACGAGATGTATATGTTTAGTTTACACCTCATGTTTTTTTTCTCGTTTCTTCGCCTTTAATATCACTCGTCTAAATTATATTGGGAACAATACAGGGTGAGTAAAACCCAAGTGGTTCCCCACTATTTTTCAAAAGAAATTCTGCATATAGGGCTTTACAAATCTAGGATATAAAAGCCCAATTAATGAGCTTTCTTTTAGTGTAAGAATCATTCAAATCGCTCATGTACTTTTCAAGTATAGAGTTTTGAACACAGACACCGTTTTTTAACCTTGTCCACAGATCACAAACAAAGAACCCTCTTATAACAATGGTAACTGTCGATTATCATAACATTTATTTAATTACACGCTGCTTCAAATGTTAAAATTACATGCTTTATATATGTTAAGAGTTTATAGCATTGCCCTGCCTACTACTTGCCTACCCCGGGGACGTATGAGATTATTCTGATATCAATTTGAGGATTACGACATGGTTTAATTTTTACTGAATACCACGTACCTTAGATGTGATTCGTGGACAAGAATACAAAAAGCGGTGTTTGTTTTCAATTCCATAACTCGAAGAGGACGTGAATGATTCTTTCACTAAAAGAAAGCTTATTTAATTGGGCTTTCATATCCTACATTTGGAAAGCGCTGCATGCAGAAATTCTTCAAAAAATAGAAGGCACCATTTGGGATTCCTTTCCTTTTACTCACCCTGCATACATTAGTTTAGCATCGCTACAAATAACTCAATACAATTGGAACTCACATAGAACGAGGTGTAGTTTCGACCCAAGAAGGGAAAGGGTATAGATATGTGCACTTCCCCAGATGTCTCGTCATCTCCAGAGGGCACATAGATTACGTCTGGCCCAATAAACGGGAACAACACATCTGAAATGTAATTCACAATTAATGTGCATCAATGTTTATGTGTCTCTTGTATTACGTACAATCATGTGTTCAAGGACCATTTTCAAAAAAGGTGAGCTCCTGAGAACAACAAAGAATGTGTTGTTCCTGTTCTGTCTTCGGGATGAACGTAATACAAGAGACTGTAGGCTACCTTTAATGACTAATTGTACGTTGAAATAATGTGCACAGGCGTAGTAACGTACACAATGAAATCAACCAATAGTCGCATAATGGTCCTCGCCTGAACTTGCCCAAACGTGTGTATGTTTAGTTTGGCATTCGATGGTTACACTTCGGGGTCCAAATTTTTCCCTGTTCATGTTACCACACCTATACGGCACATGCATGGAATTCCACATAAAATGTGTAAAACATCACGTGAAATTCCTGGACCCAGACTAATCAATCATGTTTGAATTTAACCCCAACTCCCTACCATGATTTACAAGGAACCATACCCATGCCATTCGCGGTTGTTGGGAACTCAGTGGTCTCTGTTGTGGATATCCTACCATCAGTTGATGTTACTGAAATAAAATGTTAAATAATGTTAAGTTTCTTTGCTGGGGAAAAAATGTTATCTGATAGGCCATGCTACAAGATAAGCAATCAGGAAAACAACGAGCAAGACTGTGTGCATCTTCCAAGAAAAGGTGTCCTTAATAAATATATAGGTTTTTACCTTCACTTGCTGAGTCTGTTTGGTCGGTGGTGGGCACTGAAGAGGCTACATCATGAACGATGGACAAAGAAACATAGATTGGTTATTTGATTTCAAAAGATGATTCACTGAAAACAACTCTCCCCCCCCCCCCCAAAAAAAAACACAATATGCTCTGCTAACTGTTATTGATGTGTATTGACAAATCAAATCATAACATTGGATGCGCGACTTCAGTCATCATGTCCATGAACCTGAACAGTCACCCAGCACAGTTGCAACGCTCCACACCTGATTTTACTTATACATGCACTGACGATAATATGGGAGTAGCATTTAAACATAAAGACCAAAAGTTATGCTTTTAATACAGAATCTAAATCTTTTATTTACCTGACAAAGTTACCGTAAACTGGCAGTTAGCATTATTGCCAGCCGCATCAGAGGCTTCACAATCCACCGTTGTCAACCCGAGAGGTAAGGTATTATTTAATCCGACAGGGACCCTAGTCAAGTTTCCGTTGACGAATGAACAACTTGCAGAAACTGGACCATCAACAGCATCAACAACAGCAAACAAAGCAGAATCCCAGACGACTATAGACTCATTGACTCCCGGTGTTATCCACACAATTTGAGACTCGCAACTTTGAAAAATCGGCGCTTCGTTATCTGAAATGAAATGATGTATTTCTTTAAGGTTTGTCCGTCAACTGTTAAAGCTTATCAATGGACAAAGTCTAAACAAAAATTCGTTACTAGACAGGCACCTCTATTATCAGAAAAAAAATTGAAGACTTCCCCTTAAGAAGCACGTTTGTATTGCAATCTCTTCGCGTTTGAGTGTTCACAACTGACTTGTTTTAGGTCTTTACTTATCAGTAAAGACCAAAATCAAATCAGTTGACAAGCCTCCTTCCAAAAGGTACGATCAGTTAATTTCAATCTGAAACCAGTTTTGCTTAAAAACTGAAGAGTCTTGTAAAATAAATAATTGATTTTGAAAGACGAACAACGACGATGTGCAATAGCTCATTGGTTGTAGTTCGTGTTTATTTCCAATGATCAATGGAGATAGAAAATTAACACAGGGTGGATAAAAAAAACGAAACCGAGATATTATTGTTAATTGGAACAGTTGTAGGGCACATGTGAATCAAAGGGAGATATCTTCTGTTAGGGTTGAATATCCTCTTAAAAATGACACCCTGATCATGTCCTTACATTCACGGTTGACTGAGTAGTGACCAATGTTATGAAAGGGTCCATTTAGAGACTTGCGCCATTGTGAAATCTCTTTTTCCCCACCTGCCTTGATTGACAACCATAGCCTTTCACTCTGTGACAATTGACACAACAAAAACCACAATAGAAGAGTGGCGCAAATCTCTAAATAGACCCTTTCATAAAATTGGGCACTGCTCAGTCAACCATGAATGTAATGACATGACTAGGGTGTCATTTTGAAGAGGAGATTCAACCCTAACAGAAGATATCTCCCTTTGATTCACATTTAGCAATAATATCTCGGTTTCGTTTTTTTATGCACCCTGTAAAATGCTAACGACCGATGTATAAGAGACACAAATAGATTATATTACCAAAGACAACCACGTCGAATCTACATGTTGCAGTCGGAGCATCGCAGGTGACTCTTGTTGTGCCAGCTGGAAATAGGTAATCTGAAGTCACTATGATGTCATCACCACCACTTGGGTTTGGAATGGAGCATGAAGCTGGCACAGGCGTATTATCGGATATTTTCACGGCCACCGGACGGGAAGGAGTCCATGTTACACTGCCCAAACCACTCCCGCTGGTTACATTGACTGCATCGGCGGTCGGACATCTGATTACAACTGGTCCTGTGTTATTTCATGGATTGACAACGAAAACCACTCGTGAAATACGGCATTTTAGAGAAAATCTTATGACCCATCCCCGTAATCAAAACGTTCATAAGGTATATCCTCACCACCCCCTCCGTTTATTTCCTTGGAGGCTGGAAACATGTTACCTTTAATGCTCACGTGGGCCTACCTTGTATTTCATGGAGGTCAATACGGAACAGCCAACGACCTGTTGTGTTAATGTTTGATCTGCCATCGATGTTGACAATGTCGTCACTCCCTGAACCTGGTACTTCATAGTAGTTGATGCCATCACTTGCATCAAAACCAACCTAAGTTTGACAAAATGGCAAGCAGCAGTGACATATGAAATTCCGAAAAGACTCCTGGCAACCGTTCATGTAAAATGGGGGAAGGGCAAAACAGGGACAATCTAATTTTACGCACAGGTGTGCTGCGATTAAACCAAGATAAATATCTTCTTGGATTGTTGTTCTTTTGAAGTACCTGCGCAGGATCCCCTCCAAGTCCAGATTCGTTTCCACCAGATGCTCCACCCGTGGTCCATGTTATATTGTCGTAATTAAGCATGGCAAAAGACTGCACACCATTCGTCAGCAATACAACTTGGAATGTATTCAACTGTGGAGAAAGACAAAGAACTGTATCAAGACAGGAAACCACATAGCAACAAGGCCGGGCGATCTGGAGGTCTACAGATACATTTCTATCTTCACACAACCATCTTTTCGTATACAAAGTCATGAAAAATGTATACTATCCACCATAAGCCACAATCTACACTACCCGACAGCCTGTGCACAACTGAAACCGTCAACATAGGCTGGTCTTGGTCCAGGAGCTAGTGGACATGCATTTTGTTCCCAAAAAAGCAGCCGGACCCTGACAATTAGCGCGTTAAAGCCATCGCGTCCAATAAGTCTGTCTTCTATGAAAGATCCTGGAGAGCCTAACGATAGTCTCGGTACATGAAAGGATTTAGATTTTGTTCTTGTAACCCGCCGTGGTTGTAGTCCGAGTATCACCCGTAAATGTCCATGGACCGGAGCCCAGTCTCCGATGCGATCCCAAGCCTCAGCCAATCGGAGTCGATTCTACTAAATTGTGACGTCATTTCATTCCCAAATCGGGACTAAATGTGATGTGTTTGATTGGTCAATTCGAATGCTATGTTTTGTGATACAAATACGGTCGGGCATAGGGCCTACATCTATATAGTCTAGAGGCTAGAGGTTGTTATTGTTTGTACACGATAGCCCACCGCGCCGCCGCGCGAGGGTGCTATCACGACCAACCAATATCGCCCACGATTCCGTCAGAACAACGTCTAGATCACTTGCTAAAATCTCCCCCTGAAAATGGGGGAAATTAGTGCGCATGCGCGACTTCTGCAGGCAATTACGGTACATTTTCAGCCCCACACATACTAAACACAACAAAAGAGCTGACCAGTGAAATTGCACAAAAGTCTTGCTGCAGCTTTAAACCTACTGGAAGAAATTTGAGAGTTTGCTTCGGAGCTCCTATGATTTTTTTAATTGCACGCTGCATTATATTAGGCCAAACAGGTGCGCGCGCATTACACAACCAATAGCAAGTGGTCTAGACGTTGTTCTTACGGGTTCGTGGGCGATATTGGTTGGTCATGATAGCGCCCTCGTGCGGCGGCCGTCGCGGCGGGCTATCGCGTACAAACAATAACAACATCCAGCCTCTAGACTAGTCTGGTTCCCCGACCTGACAATTTCCTACGACGTCTACACGTCTAAACTGTAGGTCAGGCAGCCTCCGTGGCTAAAAATATACATGACGACATTGACGGCCCTTTTTCAAAGCTCGACTTCGTTTCCGAATTCGCTTTATCACATAAAGCTGTTAATGTTCCGATAATTTTTTTTAAAAATAAATCACTTGCTTCATATATCATACAGTTATGATATACAGTTTAATACTTCTGTAAAAAAAAACATTGACTATTTTTAACCTGGAATCTTCAAAGTTGGACACCCAAACAGCACTGTTAGCAGGCGGAGCCGAATTGAGACCACGCCGCGTTTTGGAAAATGCCGGTAACGGTTGTCAAATTCAAACTAGTGCATGACGCAGCAAAAAGTTCGCCCCTCGTATACGATCCGAGTGCAAAATCGTCGTTGAATTTCAAGTTTTCTAAATAAAAGCAATAGATATTAATTATCAACTAGTTTTTTAAAGTTTTTTAATAAGCAATTAGCAGTTAATGAAACCTATATTATACTCGGAAATACTCGGACACTATCCGATTGTCGACGAAATTAATTCGGCAAACTTCGGACAGTTCGGAAAAAGGAGGAATTCCTCCCGTTTTAGTCACGTGATGTAAATTGTAATACATTTTATTACCGGAGGCTACCTCACCTAAGATTCATCAGGAATAGTCGGAATCTTTTGGTCTGGGAACCAGACTACCTTTAGACTAACATATATACTACCTAGAAAAGCTTGGCGCGTATCGCGATACATAATACAGAGCGCCTGACCACAGCATTGTTTGCTTTGTCTAGGTTTTTTTCAACCAAGTTTATGACGCGACAACGGTGAATGACCGACGATCCGACATAGAAAGTGCCTGCTGATTGGTCAAAACCTAGAGGAAAAGAGGCGGTTGTCTTGCATAATTAATCAGCGAATCTGTTCTCATGGTCTATTACATAGACTACCAAGACTACCAAGGGAGTAGAGGGCATCAACAACGTGAATCCAATTCAGTCTTTGGAATTCGGGCGCTCGGACCCGAAAATCCCGAGCATACCTCACGCGTGCTATATTCAAGCTTACACGCAAGCACGGAGGTGTGCTTGGAATTTAAACGCAAATGATTTTTTTTTTCACTGAAGTGGCTATTTAACGGAAGCATAACTCGTTTTCAACGGCTACAGTAACGGAACATCACGAATATACATGACATGTATGAGGTTTTAAATTCCTACAGTGACACTTCGGTAGCTCAACGGGATAAATACACTCTTAAAAATACGTGGTTAAAAAGTAACCACGTCGTGGTCATATTTAACCACGTTCCCGTCGTCAAATATGCACCGACGACATCCGTGGTCAAAACGACCCCACCTGACGTGGTCAGTATAAATAACCACGAATTTTGGTCGATATTTGACCCCATTGTGGTCATATTTTTAACCCAATTCCGTGGTCAATTTAACCCCATTGCCGTGGTCAGCCATTTTGACCAATTCCCGTTGTTAAAATTTCGCAACCCGATTTCGTGTTCAAAAAAAAAAAAAAAAAAAAAAATCATGGACTAAAAAATTCTACAAGTAATCCTGAAATGGTGCACTTAAAATGAAACACCTAAAATTCAACGAAGGGAAACTTAGACATAAGAATGAATGCTTTAAGAGTGCGTTATCTTCAATACACATTTTTCTTTAATAAATTCCGAATATCCTTATACATTTGTTAACTTTTTTTAAATGAATGCAGTTGACTCTCTTAGTACAAACAATTCTTTCATTTTTTTAGAGACATATGAGCACCAAATGTTACAAGTACAATTTAACAGCACACAGATGTTTTTCATTAATAAATTGATGGTGTGAACAGTTTGTTTCACCAGTCTATTATATAGCTGATTATTTTAACCAACTTGCACAAAATACAGCATTGAGGTACATACATGTATGTATTGTAATCATTGAAAATGAACTGTCAGGTTGTACATGTAGCTGCAATTACTTAATGATTGTGGTACATTTTCAGTACATTTTAAAAATCTCAAGTACGCAAAAGCTAACACTTGTGTCACCTAATCCACATAATCAAAGATGTCAGGATTAAACAAAAATGGTTTTCAGTCAATAATTAGAATTTCTTTAAGTATTTTCTGCTAAATTTTAAAAAAAAAATGAAACAAAATTTGTGAGGTCTATTTGCAGTAGAGAGTTTGGTTTGGACTGACTGAACACTGTAGGACCCGTCTATCTTTGGTTTGCATCCTCGTGTTGAAGGTTGTCGCTGACATTCACTCACTGTTTGGACACCTAAAGTTTAAAAAAAAAAGGGAACTTAATAAATACTTCTGGAAGTAAATTTAATGTTTTTGTTGCATCAGTTTGAAATTTGAGTTGCATGACTGATAGACAAAATACTTTCACTCAGTAATTCACTTTTTTAATCTAAAAATTACATGTGCATTGTTAACATGTGTGTACATTTAATTTTCATGTTTGTGATACAAAATTACTTCATTGATGTTCAGAATGTATCCACAGTCGTAAGACTAATTCGAAAACCTCATTGTTGTACACATGAAGACTAATTACCTTAAATTTAGTAGCATTAACACAAGCTGAACAGCATGCAATAACCAGCATGACAGCTGGCCCTCTACAGGTTGTCTTCATGATGTTGGACGCATCTATCAGTCAATCATCCAGATCATTGCAGGAATGGTCACCAGTCAGCCAGGGCTGAAAATAAAAACAAACACAGTTTGTTTTTGTCAAAAATGTTATTCTTGGGACAATGGAAGACCATTTCACTGACTAAAATTACACATAAGCCTAGCCTGCATGTCCATTACTTGTGCCTGGCTCGCGTACGAGCTGGCTCGCGTACGAGCTGGCTCGCGTACGAGCTGGCTCGCGTACGAGCTGGCTCGCGTACGAGCTGGCTCGCGTACGAGCTGGCTCGCGTACGAGCTGGCTCGCGTACGAGCTGGCTCGCGTACGAGCTGGCTCGCGTACGAGCTGGCTCGCGTACGAGCTGGCTCGCGTACGAGCTGGCTCGCGTACGAGCTGGCTCGCGTACGAGCTGGCTCGCGTACGAGCTGGCTCGCGTACGAGCGTCAGGTACGTCAGGTTTGTGGCAAAGTAGGCTTGTACGTCAGGTCTGTGGCCAAGTAGGCTTGTACGTCAGGTCTGTGGCCAAGTAGGCTACGATGACAGTTCTTACACTTGAATTTACAACAAATTTTGGTAAACGAGGCACTCAAAATGGAATAATTTGCCCGCTGATAACGTAAGTTCAACTGTCAATGCGGAGGCACATTATGCATGACGGTAACGTACGTTAAATCAATGACGAGCTAGGCCTATGTCATGTAGGCCTATGTCATGTATGTTAAATCGCTGTTGACATGGTTGACCATCATGAACATAGGCCTAGCCTACCCGCAGCAGCACAGAAGCGGAACTTTGAACGAATATATTTCCCTTTTTTTCGGCGTTCCATTAAAGACCTTAACGGCTCAGGCGTTTTTACTCAATGAAAAGTATTGTATTACTTCGAAATAAATATTAAAACTGACTTACATTGTTTGAAAAAGCTGATTCTGATCCACGAAACATCGGCACATCGAGCAACAAAGATGGCGGACAATGAAGTGGAAATTTCCGCGCCGCGCGCGCGCGCACGGTGCGCATGCGTGAGTGTATGCTTTTTGACCACGGTTATTCGGGGTTACTACATTGACCAAGTGGATGTCAATTTTTTTGCAAATCAACCACGGAAGTGGTCAAATAAATTTGACCACGGAAAAAATAACCACGTATTTTTAAGAGTGTACGTGTGGTTGCGTGCTGAAAGTGCAGCTAGGTATAAATCTCGATGAGAACTCTTTTTTTAGTTTCCAAAAATATGTCTTTTTCTTAATTGTAGTGTGTTATATCAAATCCTGCTTTTAATTGAAGCAGATCATTTTTCATTTCGAGAGGATTTTTTTAAGGGAAGTAAATACCGAGAACTTTTGGGTTGATAAATGACGCATTCGCAGCGGTCGACTTAGTTACAAATAGCTACAGCGATTTTTAAAGTCATCAAAACAAGCCTTTCACACACAAAAAAACAATTAAAAAAATCTAATCGACCAGTCAGCAGTCAGAGATAAATCTAACGAGTTCCCTGTCAAACCCACTGACGTTCAAGTATATTTGAATCTGCGCTTAAAAATTGTGACCTGTATTATTTTGATTGGATCACCGCTCGATAGTTCGAAGATTCGATAGTCCGAAGGCTTATTAGTCCGAAGATTGGATAGTCCAAAGATACGATGGTCCGAAGGTTGTTAGTCCGAAGGTCCATTAGTCCAAAGGGTCGTTAGTCCAAAGGTTTGATGGTCTGAAAGTTCATTAATCCGGAGTTTCGTTAGTCCGAAAGTTTGACGGTCGGAAGGTTCTTTAATCCGAAAGTTTGATGGTCGGAAGGTTCGTTAATCCGAAGGTTTGTTAGTACAAATGTCCGTTAGTCCGAAGGTTTGTAGTCCGAATTTAAGTCCAGAAAGAGAGTAAGTTAAATAATCCGAAGGTTCGATACATTTCGATAGTCCGAGTTCGGATTAACGAACGTTGTTTCATTTTCGGACCAATGAACCGCAGGGTATGAAAAATGTGCCTGTTCGGACTATGGACCCTTCGGATCAATAAACTTTCGGACTATTGAACCTTTGGACTATCGAGTGGACCTGTTTGATTGTCATGCAACTCACAATTGCAGCAGGATCGTCATTATCGTCAGCATCATGAAAAGCTACTTTGTGCCACGTTGCCACAAGCATCCATGTCGATGAAAAGTCCGACAGGCCTGGAAACACCTGTCGGATGATTTCGTCCGCCTGAAGGAACAGCATGGCATCCCTTGTGGAGTTGCGGAGACGGTGACGGTACATGATGCTTCCAGGGTGATATTCTCCTGTGTCTACATCACCCCAATATACTGCCAGCCCGGGAATGTCCTCGGCCAGAGGAAACCTTGTAGGGGTGTAGCCGGTATTTTCCTCCACAAATGTGATTAGTCCATTGGTATTCACCTTTGGAGGGGGAAAAAATGATTTTAAGGGAATACCGTACCGATGACCACTCTCTGCCGTTTTGTCAAGAAAAAAAATACTTAGCACTTACATATAGAGAATTGAAATCACGACCGAAGAATGGAAACTCGATTGGAATTGGAATTTCGCCAGAACTGCCATCATCCTTGTTGAGAACTAATTCGTCTCCAAAGCCGAAAGGGAAAAGGATACCTGGAACAAAAGCACAGCAATCTATATCATCATGTGTGAACCTGACTAAAACACGATGACTCTATCCAGCCTCTTTATTCACAATCTGAGTGTGAAGATGAGCTACCTGAAACCCGACGTGCAATAATGTAAAAAGTACTCATGTTTTCTTCAGCACATCAAACAATGGTCTGAATACAAGATTTGATAAGCAAACTACTTAAAAATGTGATACGTATATAGACTGTACTATAAAGGCGAGATAACGCAAACCATGCACAAATACACCCCTCTAGGGACTAATATGCAATGGTCCGACAAACATGAACTGCAAAAAGACTGCTTTTGCCGATATCCAGAGGATGTTATGAAAATAACAAAAAAAACCTATGGTATGAAGGCATATTCATGCACTGGAAAATGTAGTTTTAAGGCGTTGAATTGGTGAAAAACAAACTATCAAGAGCAAACAAACAGTTTTCCAACGGAGCTTCTAATAATGTAGGCGAGACGAACGCGTGGCCTGACCTTGTTCCCCGTTCAACCTACCAATTAATACACGCGTAGTTATTATGCATGGAGCCAGACTACAGAGACACGTTGCATATTATAATCGGGTCATGGTCTAGAAAAGAGACGTTCCACGATTGGAAGCAAAAAAAGCCCTTTCGTCCACTCTTCCAATCAAAATAATTCTTATATGTGTGGAAAGAATATTTCATGTAGTTTATTCAGAAGCACGAGTTGAGTCTGTGGGATACAGAGAACGACTGTGCCATTCAATTTAGTGAGACAACCCACCGGAAAATGATCAATAATCGTGTTGACCTCCATTGACTTTGCCGATTTTGAGGTTTTACGCCCGTTTTTGGAGTGGAAAAAGCCCCGTTTCCCCCGTGCATCATATGTTGTTAAAAATAACCAATCTACAGGTAATACTCTGAACTTTCAAATGCGTAGCGAGTTGGTGAGAAACATAGACGTTCTTTCTTTTTACTGACAAAAGTTTGCAATGAGGGCTCTGTTTTCGTGTCATTTTCATGCGCTGAGCGTAGGGGTGCACGCCTGTAAATAGGCCAAAAATCCGTCCGCCGAGCTCATGAATAAAAGTTATACCCTCAAAATATTCTATATTAGAGAGTTTTGAGAGCCATCAAATTAGGGAATTGAAGAGATATGGTACTGAACCTCTTGCCCGGACCTGGGGCTTCCAATTCTGAGCATTTTGGATGCTTTTGGGCTCGAAAGTGGCGCTATTTTGCCATGTTGTGGAGGGATCGTTTTTCAAGATGGCTACTTTTCCGCTTTGGGGAAAATAGGGGTCGTCTTCTTTGGGTGAGAAAATCTCGAAAAGTCAACGGTCAACCCACCAAAAAATGAAAAGAAAAATGAAAGATGAAACATTGATCATCATTTGTCTGTGCAGCTTGAATACCTGTGTGAGTTCTGAGTATTTTTAAATGCGTGCAAGTTGTTCATACATCGGTGAAGACTGCAAAGGTTTTGTCAGCTGTTACAGGCAGAGTTGTAATTACTCAAGTCAATGACTCGACTCCTGTCTCACTCGAGTCACAATTTTCGGTGACTCGACTCGACTCGAGTCCCTAATCAGAATGACTCGACTCGAGTGGACTCGAGGAAGGCTAAAAAGACTCGAGTCTCAAAAATAAAATCAGTTTGATCAGTGTCCACATTAGTTGGATGGCGATTAGTTGGCACCCCCTTTTTATTTTCATTAAGAGTCAAATGTTGTGTCATCACATGTAATAGCCTGAATGTAAAATTAAAAAAGCCAAAAAAGTGCTTTCTCTTTTGTGTTTAGTTTAATATTGTATAGTGTTTAAATATTTGTGACTCGAAATGACTCGAGCTAAATACTTGACTTGGCTCGACCTTCTTGACCTAATGACCCGACTCGACTCGAGCCACTTCTTAAATTGACTCGACTCGACTCAAGTCACAAAAATCAGTGACTTGTTGCGACTCTGGCCACAGGTTTCCAAAGTTTTTGTGGGCAAATTAAAGGAAAAGGAGTACAAACTGTTTGCTGTTAAAAAGATGAGATTTTTTTAAAAACTTACTTGAACAATCTAAGCCAAAGAATCCCTCCGAACATGAACACTGAGGAGGTGAAATCAAACAGGTGCATCCTTGAGGATTACCATCAGCTAAGCACTGACTTCCATCTAAGTTTGGTAAAAAAAGAAAGAAGAATAAGCCTTTTTAACTGATTCACTGTTTTAGTTGACTAAAACTGGCTTTAGTTAACTAACATTCTCTTCATGATTCCGAACTTTATCTGTTCCACTCTAGCATATTCCGGTCTTGTCCCCAATCACCATCGCAGTGCATTATGTATTTTTGTCAGCCTGCCCGAAGGCGAATTGTTTTGCCCCGAACAACATACGCATGACGTTTTGGACTTTACTTCTCTTAAAAACATGAGGGGAAAAAATATTTAACAAATTGGGGGGAAAAAAGAAATGAATTCCAACATACTGAAATTCGGACTATATTTCCCTTTAAAAAAAATCCTCAAAGCTTCAGATTAGACATGAAAAAAAAAAATGGGTAAAAATGGTGCTTCGAACACATACCGCGATGATCCCTAGCGGTATCCCGAGTAGCTGAAGAAAAACCCAAAAATCATTAGTCGAACTGAGACTGAACAGTGATGATACCTACCTGGGGTAGCACACACTTTAGTGATCTCACTAGCATTCCGAGATGAATTCACACCAGGAACTGCAAAAGAATTCGAAAGTTTTTAAATATATTTTTGTAATCATCTTTTTTATACCATCACTATTCTTCCAGTAATAAAACCCGGGGTTCCTTAATAAATGTACGGCGGCAGTGTAGCTCAGACGGCCTGATTATCAAGAGATCTTGGACATGTGCAGTTTTAGGGGTAGGAGGAAATGCGGGAATCGTATTTTAGGAATCAGACAGGGTCTCGGAACCCAATGGATAAAAGCAGGGCTGTTTTGTCTAGCATTCCCCCCCCTCCCAATTTCCGTAAAAAAATTGCAGAAGCAAATGTTAGATGACGGCACATGCAAATAGTCTGCCCCCTAAAAAAATAGACGTGAGAAGGGGGCGTTTGCACACTAATATGTTATATAATATATGTGCATGATTGTAGGATTATATTAGCGCTCCCCATTGAAAATATGGTACGAGCCCCCCCCCCCCCCCCCACACACACACACACTTTTTTAATTTGCTGAGGCCTAAGTGTCCGGAAAACAAAAGTGGTCTACATTTCAGCAGGCCTCCCTGCACACATATCTGGATCCACCCCTGCGCAATATAGCCCCCTAAATTCATTACGTGAACAGCCCTTTAGAAAACCTAGATGGATTCACACATACTTTTCAACCCCAGTGGGAAGTCCTTGAGTAAACACACTTCACCCATGTCCAGCAAGATATTCCCCCTAATCACTTAAATAAACAACCTCCTGTGGACAACACAGCTGGCTGGGTGAGTGTTGGAACTACTTTCAATATGACCACATGGACATGAAAACAAAATCACGACCAGCGTTAATAATCGTTCTCTGTCATTACTTATGGAATGTAACCGTTCAAAAAAGAAAACAAAATAACATTTCACACACGTAAATAATAAGTTATTTATATGAATTTATATCAAGGTATTTAGCAGGGATGTGATTGGTCTGTAACAAAAAAACCTGAAAATTTTATGCATGAAGTGCAAACCCCGGCGAGCGCGAAGCGCGAAGCCATTACGGCGTGTGGTCCGGGGCCCGCTTAAGGGCCCCGGAAAATTTTTTGATTTTAGATGCTCTGTGGTGCAATCTGAGGCAATTACTGGGCACTTTCCTCTGAAATTCTGAAGCAGAATTTGTTGTAATTTTATAAAGAATTTTCCCTTATTTGTTAAAATGTACTCTTGTTCTAATAAAGTTTCTTTCTGTACTCAAAAGTTGAGAACCATGCTGTTCTCCCCAGGATTTTTTCAAACCTGTGGGGGAATTTTTGTTGTGATACAACAACCCGCGAAGCCACGGCGCTAAAGGGCCCCGAAAATTTTTGAACTTTAGAAGCTTTCTGGTGCATTTTAGAGCATTTCAGAGGAGATCTTGTAATTTTTTTGTAAAAAAAAAATCAAATTTGTAAACTTAATCACTTCTGCTTCCGATAACATGCCTATCAAAATAGCGTCGGTAGTATTGTTGGAAAAAATTATTTAACCATTTCTATATTTGTAGTAAAGCAAGGAATCGTTTATATTCCATGTATTTTGTGCCTGGATTATTCTCATTTGCGCCACAAAAATTATCAAGACTAGCCATCAAAAGTGATTAAAACTTGCCTCACCTACTTAAAAATATATTTGAGGTGGGTCATTCCACAATTATGCTTAACGTACATCATGGCCGCTATCGCCGCAAACATTCAGTCTGGCCGGCCGTACATCGCGCCGTACACACGGCCGGCCCGGCGCAGTATCAGTGTGGATTGCTGCACTGTGAACGGCCCATCCCGTGTGGCCGAAAATTCTGCCGGACTGCAGAAACACGCTACGATGTTTCTCCACAGGCTCGAGCTTTGCAATCTCGTCATTTCATGGAAAATACATACACAGAAAATGAAGATCACGTTCTGTGAATTAATTTCCAGAAATCCTCTTTCTCCATCGATGGTCGTTTTACTATTTTTACGATCCAACTTCGGCCGATTGATTCCGCACGGAAAACGAACCTGTGACGTGAGTATACTGGTTCCGATCCTTCATCATAGCATTGATTCTGTTAGCGCGCGAAGGGTACCAGTGTACCATGCTGCACTCGTCTGCACACCTGACCAGCACAACACGTGCATCTCAAGTACCGACACAGGAACTAGACCTGTATAACCACAACCTCGGCCCCGAGCGAAAAATCACATAATCGCACTAATGGCAACCGCATGGTCTTCAACTTCGTTCTCACATTGGGTGTTCAATATGTGCGTGCGGCATACATATCGATCAACGAAGTTTATGTCCGTAACTCGTAAGTAAATTTCGGATATTTCGGCAAGCAAAACTCATTATGAATAATTAATTAGCACATTCTACCCCCCTATTTTCTCAACGGATTCACACGATTCACGTTGGTGGACTTTTGAGGCCCCAAAAAACGGATTTCCGGATAAAACCGGAGAAATCACATCCCTGATTTAGTTCCAAATTGTAAGCTGAATCGGTCAGGCAGGATCTCTTATCACACTCATTATAGGATTAGTGGTGATAACAATCTTAATCCCCTGGGGCACACATGCACTCTCCCTTTAGAAAAGCTCCAAAAGTATGCGGAGGACCCGACCAGTTAGTAGGTTTGGTCGGGTCGGCTCCTAAAGAGCTGGATCCGTCATGATGGGCTCTAGAACCGCACCTGAGCCTGTAAGGGATTGGAATCCCAGAAACATATATGTATTTTCAAAAACAGGAAACAAATCACTGTGCTAACATGTTTCCCTTTACTTGAAATGTTTCTATTGCTTGTGTCTTTATGGAATTTACTTACTCTCCACAATTGGTTGGTCGATACGAAACACCCATCGCCCTCTGATGCCGATGTTGGAGTCTTGATGGACATAGAGGGTATCCTCTGTAAATGATGCAGGGATAGTGTAGAAATTGCTGTCATCAGCCGCATCAAAGCCAACCTGGATACGATTTGAACAGGCATTTCAAAATCTCTAGTTAATGGTTATGCTTTATGAGTCAAAAATAGTGGCGAAACTCTGCCAATGCTATGGTCAACCTCTTCGCGAAAATCAGAGCAACAATAAACAACAATTTGTAGCATGTTGATTTAGATACATGTAAAATATCGTGTAACGTTTTTTGTAATTCTATACCTGTGCGAAATCTGAAGATGTAGACATTCTTGCATGGATCCATTGTATGTCTTCATAATTAAACACAGCAAAGGACCGAAAACCATCCGTCGCTAAAATGGCTTGAAATGTGTTTTCCTGAAATCAATAACAAAAAGAATTGGTAGCCGTACGTAAACCCATAGCTATTTCAAAGTACAATTATCAGAAAGGAATTTTGGAAGTTTCAATTTGGCAGCTAGTTAAAGGTATCCTATACATACTGTATCACAAGAACAGTCATGACAAATGTTTGCTCTCTATATAGTCAGGTGGCTTAGATCTAATTTTCGTCAAGATCGTGACCGACTGGTCCAAAGCACCAAACTTGGCAGATAGGTTCTTATAGACCTGGAGAAGATATTTACAAGGGGTGACACCTGAAATTCTTTTGGGAAGAGTGCCTAATTTGCATAAATCTTTAATCCCTGTCGTGTAATATATTTATTCCCATATTTGGGTATATTTCTATTTTTTTATTTTTTTGAAAAGTGTATTTTGGGGATTCTACCTACATATCTTTACTTAAATAACATTTTCCAAAGCATATGAGTGACTGAATAATTATGAGGACATAGTAACGATCCAAAATGGCTACTATTATGCCCTAAAATTGCGCGCATTTACCTTGTCTCCAGATATCATCAATTAGTCTTGCCAAACATCAGCATTGATGAACTTCAAATTCACCAAGTAGCTAACTGGTACAGTTACCCTATTAAAACCTTATGCAAAATCATGTGAACAATGATAACCCTCATCGAATTCAAACAGAAAATAAACATGTTTTGATTCTGTTTGAAACACGTTTTTTAAAAACAAATCTGTTCTTGAAAAACATGTTTTATTTGGTTGGATTTCGCCACCTCAAAAAACAGGGAAAAAATAAAACAGTTTAAAAACATGTTTCAAACCTGGTTTTTGAACCATAAAATATGTTTTATTCCTGTTTCAAACATGTTTTAAAAAACAATTCTTTTTCAAAAATGGTTATTAAAAGAAAACCGTTTTTGAAAAATAGTTGTTTTAAAAACAACTAAGGATAAATTGCTGGTCAGGGAACCATGCATAGTCAACTAGCTGTTGATAAGAATCCTGTAACAATAGCAGTTTAAAATCATGTGAAAGCAGGCTGCCGTAATGATTATACCTACAGCATTCTAAAATGGCAGAAAATAACAAGATCAACTCAATCTGTGTTATCTAGCTAATCCAAATGGTACATGCATAAATACAGAAACTTACCATGCAACTATGGTTGATGATAATTGCACTCATTCTCTTTGCATATCCGTGCATGCAACAATCCAGGCATAAATTTACACACACCATGACTTGCCAGCTCACATCAAAATTTCAAAGTACTGGCTATAAAACCAGACAGATACTAATCCAATAGTTGTCTACAACACCAACCCAACATACTGATAGCTACTTGTGTACAAAAGACAAAGAGTACAATCACAAATTTGATGCAATTATTCCTGACTACATGTCTGCCTGTCCTATGCCCACTGCAGTACTGATTCAAATTGTAACTGAAATAAAATTTTCCATACATCCAGTACATGCATGAGGTCACCAAAGGTCAAAGGAAGTAGTGCACTCTGGGTAGCATATGCCTTTCCAGAAAACAGAACGAAAACAACCAGAAAACAAGGAAAAAACAGTCTGGACATTGATGTACCAATTGGTTAGCCCAATACTTTTCAAAAAAAATTCTAAGTCCCCCAAAAACAGTACTAAAACAGACATTTAGCTTACAATATTGTTTTAAGCTCCACCAAAACAGCAAAAGAACAGTGCAACATTATTAAAAACATCCTTAAAACATGTTTTTCTCCTGTTTTGTTGTGTGAGGCACAACAAAACAGAATAAAAACAAAATGTCATCAAATAAAACAGCCAGGAAACAGTTGGTGGAACATACTCATTTTCAGGAAACAGGGAAAAAATGTATTTTATTCCTGTTTTCTTACAAAAAACAGGGAAAAAACGTGTTTTAAACAGAAATAAAACAGGAATTCTTCAACAAAATTCGGTGAGGGAACATTGTGATATTTAGCCCAGAAAACAAAAACTGGGAAAAAACGAGGTGCCCATAAATTAGGCTAACAAGTAGGTGAAGGGTTGCCTAACGTGGAACACTGGAACAAGTTCAAGGAAATTCCCAAAATTATTGTTGAGAAAACGTTTTGGCGTAGACAAAATTATTGTAAACAACAATAATCTCTTATTTAGGGGGATTTCGTTGAACTTGTTCAAGTCCCAACGTTACCCTTCCCGTACTAGCCCAATTTACGGACACCACATTTTCTCCGCTTTTGGGGTCTTTTGGGCTAAACATCAAGATGTTATCAATTTTCACTTGATTTCCCACTTATTTTTGTTAGGGTAACTATGCCAGTAAGTAACTTTGTGAATTTGAAGCTCATCGATACCCACGTTTGGCGAGACTCGTTGATGATATCTGAGGAACTTTAGGGTAAAATAGTAGCAATTTTGGTTCTTTAATATGTCCTCCTAATTATTCAGTCACTTATATGTTTTACAAAATGTTATTGAAGTAAGAATATGCAAGTAGAATCACCAAAATACACTTTTCAAAAAAATAGTAAAATAAAAATATACCCAAATATGGGAATAAATATATTACACGACAGGGATTACGATTAATGCAAATTAGGCACCCTTCCCAAAAGAATTTCAGGTGTCACCCCTTCTAAATATCTTCTCTAGGGCTATAAGAATCTATCTGCCAAGTTTGGTGCTTTGGACCAGTCGGTCACGATTCCGACCATATGCCACCTGACTAATACACGAAGGTAACGATTAAGTCATTACATTGGAAGTTAATGTACATGTATACTATATGTATACCAGTGCACCTACTGTAGTAATGAATGAAAGTTGCATCACTTGTGTTGCTTGAGGCAGTTTTAAAGGACATAGGCGTAGCCAGTGCCATTTTTAAAAGCAAGTCGTGCCCTTTTTTGTCCCATTGGCCGTTGTGGGTGCTTTTTTTTTTTAATTTTGCGCATGTATCGCCCTGAAAAGCACCATATATTGTCCATTAGTGTGCACAATCTTCGATGCTACCAGCTCCCGCTTCCCATAATGATAAATAGACGTTACTCACAACTACCTTTGTTTGATAAGAGTAAGGCGGAACTCTGTACCAAGTGACAATCAACAACAACGATGTCGTGAAGTTGGACTGACTAGGGAAGACCTCTCTGATTGTTTCATCTGCTTCACAGAACAACATCTCATTTCGGGGTGTCCGCAGACTGAATTGACGAAAGCTTAGGGCGCCCACAATCCCGGTCGATATGTCGGTCATGAAGACTGCAATCAGTGGTTCCTTCATCAAGGGTATTGGGTCGCTTGGAAACGTAGTTAGGCCATCATTGAATGAAATCACTCCATTTGTGTTCACCTGAAAAAAGGTTTTTACGAAAAAGGTTGCGTATTGTGATTATTATGTAAGTAAGCGACCATGATCCAAAATATTGTTATTGTCTGGTGATCTTCCGATGTTACAAAAGAAAAAGTTGATTCAGTTTCATTAAGGTGTACAGAAAACAAGGGGTTTACAAAACGAAAACACCTGTCTTGACCGGCCTTGTTTTAGGGAACTAAATTTGAATCCTTTTCTTAACTTTCCTAAATTAAAAGTTCATTATGTTGGGTTGAGTTTAACTACGAGATGTATATGTTTCGTTTACACCTCATGTTTTTTTTCTCGTTTCTTCGCCTTTAATATCACTCGTCTAAATTATATTGGGAACAATACAGGGTGAGTAAAACCCAAGTGGTTCCTCACTATTTTTCAAAAGAAATTCTGCATATAGGGCTTTACAAATCTAGGATATAAAAGCCCAATTAATGAGCTTTCTTTTAGTGTAAGAATCATTCAAATCGCTCATGTACTTTTCAAGTATGGAGTTTTGAACACAGACACCGTTTTTATTTAACCTTGTCCACGAATCACAAACAAAGAACCCTCTTATAACAATGGTAACTGTCGATTATCATAACATTTATTTAAAAACATGCTGCTTCAAATGTTAAAATTACATGCTTTATATGTTAAGAGTTTATAGCATTGCCCTGCCTACTACTTGCCTACCCAGGGGATGTATAAGATTATTCTGATATCAATTTGAGGATTACGACATGGTTTAAGTTTGACTGAATACCACGTACCTTAGATGTGATTCGTGGACAAGAATACAAAAAGCGGTGTTTGTTTTCAATTCCATAACTCGAAGAGGACGTGAATGATTCTTTCACTAAAAGAAAGCTTATTTAATTGGGCTTTCATATCCTACATTTGGAAAGCGCTGCATGCAGAAATTCTTCAAAAAATAGAAGGCACCATTTGGGATTCCTTTCCTTTTACTCACCCTGCATACATTAGTTTAGCATCGCTACAAATAACTCAATACAATTGGAACTCACATAGAACGAGGTGTAGTTTCGACCCAAGAAGGGAAAGGGTATAGATATGGGCACTTCCCCAGATGTCTCGTCATCTACAGAGGGCACATAGATTACGTCTGGCCCAATAAATGGGAACAACACATCTGAAATGTAATTCACAATGTGCATCGATGTTTATCTGTCTCTTGTATTACGTACAATCATGTGTTCGAGGACCGTTTTCAAATCACATAAAAAGAGGAAATTCAAATTTTTCCCAGACTTTGTACAGTGTTTTTCTATTTTCAATGGCACACATTGGAAGTAAAAAAAGAGGAAATCAGCTGATCTGAGGAAAAATTGCATGCCTGTATTATACTCCTCGAAAATAGGCCACATACATGACATACACAGGTCAACTTCTTGGGCCTAAAAAAAAAATTACCAAAAAAAAACCCTGGGGGGGAAGCCCCCCGAGACCCCCCTTAGGTGCGCCACTGGCGAACTCCGACCGAAAGTGCAGCTTGAACCAAAAGTCTAGTCGGCATGCCTACAAAGTACGACGAACCTGATAAAGATCATATTTTGTATTACAATGAACAAGGCAAGCTTTCAACAAAAACATAAAAGCCTCACTCACAGTAATCCCCACCCCTAGAAAAAGAGTAATCTCAGTTGGATATAAAAGAATCTCAGTGGAGCATGGAACAGAGCAGGACATTGTATCGGTGACGAAGGCGTTTGTTTCTTAAATATTGCTGCAGGTGTGAGAATATAACAATAATAAGAAATAAAATTGTTATTGAAACCAGACTTACAAAGAACTCTTTGTCAATGCCTCGTACACTTCTGTCAATACTCTTAATTTGACCAATTAGCTGCTGAACCTGCTTCCTAGAATTCTTAGCTACTGCACTATTGTCATTGAATTTCTGATCTGTTTTGGAAAAATGATTAGGATTGTCTGACTGTACCTGAGCAACCTGGTCATGCTTGGCCCGAAGGTCATCTTCAAGTTCCCCCTTGGAATTGCACAAATCATTGTGTTCTTTACCCAAATCTGCAACGCGTGCATACAAATCATCTACAGCATTATGCGTCCCCTTAGTTGTGAAGGATTTGTTTGTCCAACTCTTGCGCATTTTTCTCGACAATCTCAAACATCTGCAACCCCAACCCTAAGCAATGCTGACACATGTTCTGTGATTCGACCCTCAGTGCCTATGAGCAGATGTTGAATACAGTACCTACAATCGGGGCTGATGAACTTGTTATTGTGATCAATTTTTTTTTCAGAGGAATGAAATCTAATTTCTCATCCACCCCTGCCTGAATCATTTCATTTGTGAAGAGGTCATCGTGAATCTCTGGTTTTGGAAGCTTCAGCCTTGAGATGTCCCCAGTGATCTCCAGCAGTTCCTCAAACACCGGCTTGAAATATGCAGTTTCAATGTTGACCCCGTCATCTTTCCCACCTTCGAATATTTCCAACAAGTTGACAGATTTGACAGAGTGACTGTCCTCGACATTCAGAACTTAGATGACACATTTAGTACTTTTACCGCCCTTATCCCCAGAAACATGCAGCCATAAAGCATCGTCAAAGCTTTTCGCAATCAAATTTGTTTCAACAGATTCTGTGACAATGTGTTTTATCATATTTGCAACACCCTTGATCCGACTAAAGTGAAGAGTGCTCCCACCACTACCCTGAAAAGAACCAAACTCAAACTCGTCAGGATGTTCTGATGAAGATCTCATTGTTTGTCGGGTTCCCAACAACTTGTGCCCGGTTTCTTTTTCCAGTGTTTTCTTAAGGAAAACCCACATGGTCTCTGGCATGAGGCTACGTAACCCACTGATTGAAATTTTCAAGCCAGCTGCTTGGGATGCTGTTGCATACTCTTCTTTTTTCTTTTTTATATTCCATGCGCGCTGAGCAGCAACATCATCCAAAGAAGCCGACACCAGGGTTGAGGGGCGTGTTCCTGCCACTGAGGGAGTAGTCATACCAGAGCTTGACTGTGAACCAGCACTTGAGGCTGAACTAGGAAACATGCTGCCAGATATGAGTTTGTCTACCTTTTCGATCAATTGACTCCTTTTACGGAGACTCTCTTTTGTACATGTAGAGCTTCCAACCTGAGCAACAGGAACCCTAACAAAAACCTTTGGACGCCCATGTTTGCCTTGAACTTTCAAGAGATCCTTAACCGCAGTCCCTGAACATGCTGAACTAGCTGCAATATGTCCGAGTGCCGAGTTTTTTAATTCATGTACCCCACATGTCCTGTCAACTCCTAAGAACTGTTTTGTCTTCGAATTCCCTGATTTTTTTGTTTTCTGGGAAAAAAATTGGCTACCCGATCACCACTCTTTTCAATTAATTTTCTAGCGCCAAAAGTTACATCTTTTATGGTTATTCCCTCCACTTTCCCTCCTCTACTCTCACCCTCTCCTTTCCTTAAAGGGAATATACAACATTTGCAAACATCGAAAAATAAAACTACCAAGTTTTTGCGAAATACCTTAATAGGATGTTGGTAAATGACAGTCTAAAGCATCCTGTAAAATTATGGCACCTGGTATACTGTCATTTTCAAGAAAAGTGGTATTTTTGTATCAATTTCCAACGCTGATCGGCCGATCAGCGTTGGAAACAACTGGCTTTTTTTCAAATACTGGCCCCAATTGACCATCGCACTTGTTTGCAATCGATTACAAACCTATGAACGGGTACGAGCCAGCTAGACTGGTTCCCTGACCTTACAATTCCCCAATGTATGTAAACTGCTCTGTTTCTTCTTATATGGAGTCAGGGAACCAGACTACAGGAAAATGATCGTTTTTCTTGGTTTTTATAGCATTTTCGAACCCAAAACCTCCAAAAAGTCAGTGTAACTATATTTGCTTTATATTTCCAACCCCCCAATCCCATCCATTTCTGAAAATTACAGCAAAAGCAAATGATGTATATTCCCTTTAATTTCTATATCAATCAGTCACTCACTTCATCGAGATTCGAACCTCTGACGCTTGCTTGATACACGAGACTCTTAACCGCTAGGCCGCGCACGATCGCTGTTGCAATGATCAATCTTTGGACGTATTTGAAGTATCCATTGAAATAAACTAAATATTCATGAGAAAATAAATATTCATAATGACGTATTGCACTATCATTGGCCGGCTCATGCGACATCTCATGCAACGTCATGGTTATCGATTGTTATCCTTTTTCAGATGTATATTTTTCGTGAAATTTCCAGATTCATTTTTACACGTTTGCGTATCAAAATTTCAACATGAAATTTCACAAAAATTAGACATCCGAAAAAGGCAGCACTTTCTGGCTAGCCTATAAAGAGGGTGAGTATGCTTCTAAAGCAAAAAAATTCTACAAACTAAGGCTAAATGTGAAAATCAAAATTTGGCAAAGTGCGACACGTTTTTGTACATGTGGATGTGTGGCCTATGTTTACGGAGGCAGTCCAGTAAATAGGTAGCATAAAATGGTACGACAGTAGAGCGCGTAATGAATATGCATGACTATGACGTCACTAGAAGCTCATGAGTAATATATCACTCTTAGTCCAGCGGATATGTGAAAAAATTGTGCACTTTTGCATAAAAGCGTGAAACTTGGCACAGATGTTTATATTCGTGCGAGAAAATATTTTAGATGTGGAGCCATCGCAAATTTACCCTTTTAGGGGCGTGGCATCCATTTACAAAAAGGGGGGCGGGACTTGTCGTGCCCGCAGTAAAAATGGTTTTTCCCACTTGTTACAAAAGCAGGAAACTTCACAAAGACATAATTATATAGATTATTAGTGTTTTCCAGATTCGGAGCCACCACAAAAGTACCTTTTTAGGGGCGTGGCAGCCATTAAAAGAAAAGGGGGGGTATAATTATTATGCCCACTTTGGAAAACATTGTGCCATTTCATGAACGAACAAAACATCCCACAGACGTTTATATTCATGAGAACAAAAATTCCAGATGTAGAGCCATCTCGAACACACCCTTTTAGGGGCGTGGCAACCATATAGGAAAAAAAAGGGGGGCGGGGTTTTCATTATGCCCACCCTGGAAATATTGTTCCCACACTCATAGAGAAATGGAACTTTCCACAAACATTGACATTCATGAGAAAACAAATTCCAGATGTGGAGCCATCTCGAACACACCCTTTTAGGGGCGTGGCAACCATATAAGGAAATAAAGGGGGGGCGGGGTTTTCATTATGCCCACCCTGGAAATATTGTTCCCACATTCATAGAGAAATGGAACTTTCCACAGACATTGACATTCATGATAAAAACAATTCCAGATGTGGAGCCATCGCGACCACACCCTTTTAGGGGCGTGGCAGCCATATTGAAAAAAAGGGGGCGGGGTTCTCATTATGCCCAACATGGGAAAAAAATGTGCCCACATCTCATAAACGAATAAAGCTAATTCCCACAGATATTAATATTCAAGAGAAAAAAAAAGTCACACGTGAAGCCATCGTAAACACACCCTTTTAGGGGCGTGGCAGCCATAGTAAAATGGGGGGGGGGGGGGGGTAGTCAAGATCCCCCTATAAAAGAAAGTTCTTATGTAGAGCCACAGCAAACTCATCCTTTTAGAGGTGTGAGGGGCCTACTCACTGTGCCCACAATTGCAATTTTTATATTTTGTTGTTGATTTCTTATAATGTGGATTGGCCCATAACCTATATTATTTGGTAATACAATGACTTACCCCAAAGAGCATGGGTAAGTACCGGTAGGCTAACCTGTGTTATATTGTTCAATGTGTGTACTTGCACCTATATTATCATGCACATCTAAATTCCAGAGTGATTTCATAATTACAAATACACAGCACACAATGGCAGCCCTTAACATTTAACATTAAAGGGCCATGGAAATCCTTTTTTTTACGGGGGAGTGTAAAATCCCCCTACCCCTTACCCGTTGCGCCGCATTGACAGCAGATTGGGTAACAACACGATGTACTCGCCTCACAAAGTGGTGGACACGTCCACTATGACTTCACATTCAATGAATCTGTGTACCCCCACCACACAACCCCTCTGTGCTCTTAAAAATGGTATATCAAGCTCTTATGAGTGTTTTTTTTTTACCCCGACCAAATCCATTAAAAAAAATTATACGTTATATAGATGCGACACTGCATATGCCTTTTGGTCTGTCAGAAAAAAAGGCAGGGGAAACAATGTATTTGAAGAAGTAACACTAGTCTTTCCAGGACTAACTGAGGTACCCCAGTTTATACCCCTAATTCAGATATTGATGCAGTTGAAAGGTTATCAATAATTCTTCAGACTAAAGAACCAGTAACTGGGTTAATATAGATGAGGCAAGAATGCATAGTGTAAGAAAACAAAGGGTTTGTCAACAGTAAATTCCAACTATAAAGGCGGCCCTACTCCAACACATTAAACAGCTATCTGAGGTGGATTTTATTATATGAAACGCGGTCAAAATTTTCCACGTTGTGCATATTGAGTACCCCCCCCCCTTTTAAAAATGGATGCCGCACCTCTAAAAGGGTAGGATTGTGATGGCCTCACATTAAAAAAAAGAAGATTTTTATGAATGTATTGTCCGAGTGGAATTTAATCCATTTATGAAAGGTAGGCACAACTTTCTTTTATAGGGGCATCATGACTACCCCCCCCCCCCATTTTATTATGGCTGCCACGCCCCTAAAAGGGTGTGTTTACGATGGCTCCACGTGTGATTTTTATCTCGTGAGTATTAATGTCTGTGGAAATTAGCTTCATTCGTTTATGAGATGTGGGCACATTTTTCCCATGTTGGGCATAATGAAAACCCCGCCCCCCTTTTTTCAATATGGCTGCCACGCCCCTAAAAGGGTGTGTTCGCGATGGCTCTACATCTGGAATTGTTTTTATCATGAATCTCAATGTCTGTGAAAAGTTCCATTTCTCTATGAATGTGGGAACAATATTTCCAGGGTGGGCATAATGAAAACCCCGCCCCCCCTTTTTCTGATATGGTTGCCACGCCCCTAAAAGGGTGTGTTTGAGATGGCTCCACATCTGAAATTTGTTTTCTCATGGATGTCAATGTTTGTGGAAAGTTCCATTTCTCTATGAGTGTGGGAACAATATTTCCAGGGTGGGCATAATGAAAACCCCGCCCCCCTTTATTTCCTTATATGGTTGCCACGCCCCTAAAAGGGTGTGTTCGAGATGGCTCCACATCTGGAATTTGTTTTCTCATGAATGTCAATGTTTGTGGAAAGTTCCATTTCTCTATGAGTGTGGGAACAATATTTCCAGGGTGGGCATAATGAAAACCCCGCCCCCCTTTTTTTTCCTATATGGTTGCCACGCCCCTAAAAGGGTGTGTTCGAGATGGCTCCACATCTGGAATTTTTTTTCTCATGAATATAAACGTCTGTGGGACGTTTTATTCGTTCATGAAATATGTGCACAATGTTTTCCAAAGTGGGCATAATAATTAAACCCCCCCTTTTCTTTTAATGGCTGCCACGCCCCTAAAAAGGTACTTTTGTGGTGGCTCCGAATCTGGAAAACACTAATAATCTATATAATTATGTCTTTGTGAAGTTTCCTGCTTTTGTAACAAGTGGGAAAAACCATTTTTACTGCGGGCACGACAAGTCCCGCCCCCCTTTTTTAAATGGATGCCACGCCCCTAAAAGGGTAAATTTGCGATGGCTCCACAGCTAAAACATTTTCTCGCATGAATATAAACATCTGTGCCAAGTTTTACGCTTTTATGCAAAAGTGCACAATTCATCGATATTTTGTCACATATCCGCTGGACTATCTCTAGTGTCGCCCCACTTACCGATGATATCACATTTAACAAGTCCTCTTTCTACTGTCGCGCCGCCACCCTCTAGTGTCGCCCCACTTACCGATGATCATCATCAGATTTAACAAGTCCTCTTTCTACTGTCGCGCCGCCACCCTCTCGTGTCGCCCCACTTGATGATCATCGGCAGATCGGTAAGTGGGGCAACAGTAGAGGGTGGCGGCGCGGGTACAGTAGAAAGAGGACTTGTTAAAATTGTGATATCATCGGTAAGTGATCGATGCAGCACATACAGTGTGCATCTACATGTATATCTATCAGTACCGTGCGTGATATATTACTCATGAGCTTCTAGTGACGTCATAGTCATGCATATTCATTACGCGCTCTACAGTCGTACCATTTTATGCTACCCAGTAAATAGCCCCATAAATGTGGCCTATTTACTGGACTGCCTCCGTAAACATAGGCCACACATCCACATGTACAAAAATCGTAACGACTTTGCCAAATTTTGATTTTCACATTAACTTGATTAAGGCTTAGTTTGTAGGTTTGTTTTGCTTTAGAAGCATACTCACCCTCTTTATAGGCTAATCAGAAAGTGCTGCCTTTTTCAGATGTATATTTTTCGTGAAATTTCCAGATTCATTTTTAATTTTTACACGTTTGCGTATCAAAATTTCAACATGAAATTTCACAAAAATTAGACATCTGAAAAAGGCAGCACTTTCTGACTAGCCTATAAAGTGGGTGAGTATGCTTCTAAAGCAAAAAAATCCTACAAACTAAGCCTAAATGTGAAAATCAAAATTTGGCAAGGTCGACACGATTTTTGTACATGTGGATGTGTGGCCTATGTTTACGGAGGCAGTCCAGTATTATGGGGCTACCCAGTAAATAGGCCACATTTATGGGGCTATAGTACACGATGAGCACAGATCGCCATGCCGCTCATCTTGAAGCAAAATCAAGGCTTGATATCATCCTTATATAAACCCTACATGAACAAAATCTACAACTTACTCCTCTTCTGCAAATACAACAGTGGTTTCTAGGCTCACGAGGCATTCTTAACCTATCAAGTACGTAACTTTGGGCGATGAAAATACTATACTAGCTTCCATAAGTTCCAGCAAAGACACTTCGAAATCACCACGTGCGCAACCTCGTCCCCAGTGCTTACTTAATTTCCAACCGCGTTTCCTAGAGCAGGTAGAGGTGGGCGCGTACTGATCGACACCCTGGGGACGAGGTTGCCACGTGCGACGTTCACAATGAGACGTGTCCCTAGAGTTCCCAACGCTGTAACGAACCTGTATAATTGTAAACATGGCACCATGCTATTGATTGCCCCAAGGGAACCGATAGAGCGCGCTCTTTTGAAATTGGTATTTGGCGGGTAGTCTGATTCCCAGACCAAAAGATTCCGACTATTCCTGATGAGATTCATCAGGAATAGTCGGAATCTTTTGGTCTGGGAACCAGACTATTTGGCGGGCCGTTCGCTCGTACCCTGCAAACACATATGATGCATCATTTGAGACGACGTTCACAGGACGCTGGGATACTCTGATGAATTCACGCTCTGATTGGTTGGATTTTGCTTGACCTGTGACCTGCGGGTCATCACTGTCATGACTCTGCAAGGTTTGAAACGGCCGTTAAGACTGATTCATTACTCTTTTATTCCAGTTTAGAGATATTTTTTTTCGTTGAAAAGCGTTACAATGAAGGAAATTCTGTTAAACATATCTGTGTTGTAAATTTACAATTCCCGTCGGATTCCATTTATATATGCGACGCTTAAAATTTCGTCCACATGGTCCGCAATGAAACAGAAATCACATCTGGTATGGAATGTGCGCAATTCATAGAGTTATATAGTCGTGTTCCCTAACGTGGCGCACTTCGAAGCTTATCCAACTTTCCTCGTGTAGTGTTGCCAAACCTCTTTGTTGATAAACCTCAAATTCATGCAGTGAAATACTGGTACTTTTACCTTATTAATGCTTGCTATTTAACCTCTGTGAACAATTTCGGTTTCATAAAATGTAATCCGACATGCAAAGACGGTCGCGTCCGGAAATTGGGCACAAATTGGCGGAGTGTTCCCTAACGTGGCGCACTTGAATAAATCTCAGAAAATTCCAAATTAACATTTAAGAATTTCTGTAAACTTGATAAATTCTGATAAATCATTATTATCTTTACTTACAAACCCAGCCAGATGTTTGTCCGAAAATTATTTTCTTATTTTTCGGGGCATTTTCAAAGGGTTCACTTTGCACTTGAAAATAAAATCGGAAAATCACGCCAAAATGATTTTTTCTTTTAACTTTGTAACGGGTAAATAAACTCGCGATTTATGAACGGGAGTGTTTAGAACTTGATGAAATTTCACTCTCTGTGAAATTTCAGTTAAAAATTTTGCTCTAGCTAGGCGCTACAGGCGAAAAATCAAAGTGCGCCACGTTAGGGGCCGCGCCACGTTAGGGTACATCAACAATACAACTCTATGGCGCAATTTTATAGGAAGTTTCAGATAGCACTTACGCACATTGTCTAACTGCGGTCTTGAACAGCTGCAGCCAGATGCTTTACATAGGTCATAGGCCACTTCCTTCACGAGATTCTGTGAAGCTCATCAGCTAGGGCAGGGGGGGGGGGGGGGGGGTTACGGGTACGAGCGAAGGCGGGCCGTGCCAACCTCGTGCCCTGTGGGTACGATCTTGCAGCGCCCATGTTCTTTCCCATCATGCCTTGCGCGATCGTAACCCCTGGAATTGTGTAATTTAAATGTGCCAAAATACGGCACATTATAATTAGGGCTGCAGTTTATCCGTTTTACATGCCGTCGCCATCTTTAAAATGTTAAAAGTTGTGATTTTGAAGACAATCCTTCAAGGATTGATTAACACAACGTCCAAACGTTGTGTTTGGCAAACACAACGTTTGGACGTTGTGTTAATTAGCAAAGATTTGTATTAAATGTACGTACCCCTTTCGTGCCTTTACAACTACAGATACAGGGTTTTCTAAGCGAAAAACGCGGCTGACATAATCCATATCGTACAGGCATCGCGACTTTTGAATCATACTTTTTTTTTTCGTACGTGACGTTACGTGCAAGTCGCCCCCAGTCGCCCCCCCCCCCCCCCCCACCCCAACTGAGATTTTGAGTTTCTAAAAAAATTATCATTGATCTTAATCTAAATAGTCGCGAATGATCCACATGATGACCACTGAGAAACGACCCTTCGACCGGCGACCGCGGACCAGTAAGCTGACAACCGGCGTGACATTACGCATAATGATAATCTAAAATGCGTATTAACACCCACTGCACTGCTCGCTTACACCACGGAACACGTATTATAGACAGGTGGTCCGTGGGTCACACAGTTTCAGTCAGCGATATCACGCGAATCGGCCACGCATGACCCCCATGAAACCTTGTCGCCCCCCCCCCCCAGTCCCCCCCCCCCCCCCCCCCCCCCCCACTGAGATTTTGAGTTTCTAAAAAAATTATCATTGATCTACATGACGCCATGGGCGTCAATCTTGGGGGGGGGGGGGGGGGAACAGGGGGGCGGGGCTGGTCCCCCCACTTTTTGAGGGGTGGGGGACACAATATCAAATGTCCCCCCCCCCCCAGATTTTTGAACTCGTGTCTCATTTACAGGGCCCTATTATGTACTACAATGTATCTTTTGCTTAGAAAATATTGGTTAAAGTGGTCAGAAATTGCGTCAGATAGCACCACAGAGCATTTAGAATCCAAAATTTTTCGGGGCCCTTAAGGCCAAAAAAAAAAGGTAACCGGTTTCTGGTATGCGCGCGCGTCGCCGTAGCCATGCGCGTCGGCAAAATGAAAAAGTTTTTTTTTCAATGAAAGATGATGCCTCAAAACCGCCAAACTCACTGGTTTGACTGGAATTCTGCTGCTGCGCAATTTCAACGTGTTGTTAGATGGGGTTATGATCGAGAATAAGCTTCATGTGGCCTCTCTGGACTCCCATATATTTGCACTAAGTTTAGTCGGGCACCATTTGCAGTCACCAGCCGACATTTGAAGCAAAAAAGTCAGGTAAAAAAAAAAAAAAGTCAGGTAAAAAAAAAAAAAGCCGCGTCGCCGCACCACTTTTGGGACAAGCTCCATACCAGAAACCGGAGACTTTTTTTTTTGGCCTAAGCGGGCCCCGAACCCCACGCGTATAGCTCAGAATTCTGGTAGCTGATTCAATGACTCCAACCTCGAAAACAATGTTCAAATTTTTTTCTTATGCCTTTAGCTGAGAAAACCTCGAAAATTATGTTTAAATTATTATCTTTTGTGCTAAGATAATTATTGGTTAAAGTGGTAATAAATTGCCTCAGATCACACCTCAGAGCATCGAGAATCCAATTTTTTCGGGGCCCTTAAGCGGGCCCCGAACCCCACACCTATAGCTCAGAATACCGATAGCTGATTCAATGACTCCAACCTCGAAAATGATGTTCAAATAATTATCTTTTGCTAAGAAAATATTAGTTAAAGCATGGAGGAAAGTGGTAAGAAATTGATTCAGATCGCACCACAGAACATCTAGAATCCAATTTTTTCGGGGCCCTTAAGCGGGCCCCGAACCCCCACGCCGTATATTTGCACTAAGTGTAGCCGGGCACCATTTGCAGTCATCAGCCGACATTTGAAGCAAAAAAGTCAGGGGAAAAAAAAAAAGCCGCGTCGCCGCACCACTTTTTGGACAAGCTCCATACCAGAAACCGGAGACTTATTTTTGTTGGCCTTACGTCACGATTTTTCTGATTTTACGAGGTTGGCATGAAGAACCCGATTACTGTTGATTTCAATTATGCGCTCGCCGACCAACACAACACTCAATGAATTTTACTTTTATAAGCAATTACGCGCATTACAGAAAATTGGGAGTTTGTCTTTATGCTGTATGTGTCCGGGTCTACTCTAAAGTAAAAAACAAATAAAACAAAATACGGAACATATTATATGGAAAGTTCCAGCATTCCACAATTGGGCAACGTCTTAGTTTTTGAAATAGTTTTTTTGCCCGATCATTCAGCGTTTCTAACTCAACAAATGCGAATCTCTTGTACATTTTAAAGAGGTCGTGGAATGCCCGAAGACATTTCCGTCATTTTTCCGGTTTTTCGAGAGTCCTGTTTATTATGTCACAATTTACTATGTTTTGTATGCCAAACAAAACAATTGCTGTCCCCAACGACGACTTTTACACAAATTGCACGTTCGGGTCGAAACAGGATCTGAAAACAGCTCTCAAAAAGTACCTTTTGTACTTATTTCGTGACAGACAAAATAGTCGTTTTTATTTGATTTTACGGATGCCAAGTTCAGTGTCTGGAGAACAAAACGTGCACGAAAGTGCAATTGCCTTTTCAAGAACTGACCTTGCTCCGCCCCTGCCATATTGCCCGAGTTACGCCATGCATGGTGGATGCTTAACCCAAAAGTGATGAACCTCGGCCAGGACAATGGTGGCAAAGTTGTTTAATTTGCTTCACAGGAATTGTTTTATATTCGATCTGTCAACCTTATAAACAGCAAGGTTATCATCCTGCGGTTACACGTCCCGCCTAGTAGGAATAAGACCGGCTTTCGTTTAAAGTAGTCACGCTTTACGCCAATTCCGGTGTATTTTCGTTTGAACAAAAAAAAGCTGTTCATGCATCACCCTCCGCAATTTTTCTTCTTAAAAACTAGATTGATAAAATATCCTCCACTCACCCTGAACAAAATTTCAAACAAAAAAGCACTGCAAATGGGTCATTACATGTCAGACCATTGCACTTTTTTACCTCGTGTCTTCCGATTTTGACAAAAATTGCTGTGCTTGTAGGTCCTGATGAGCAATGAATGCACACCAAGTTTTAGCCCGATCCGACCTACCATGCGGTCAGGGCAGAAATCACACCAAAAAATGACATTTTTAGAGTAAAATCCCACCCTTTTGGTAGAAATATGTCAAAGCCATGTCAATTTTCATCGAATATATGCGAATTTGGTATTAAAATAATAAGAATTGCAAGTTCAAATCAACTTTTTTTGTCAAAATTAAATTTTGAGAAAAGTAGGTCATGTGACCTTTAATATGTTATCATGACC